TGGACCCGAGGGGAATTGAACCCCTGACCTTTCACATGCGAAGCGAAAATCATACCCCTAGACCACGAGCCCAATCAGATACCGACATGGCAGCAAAACAGTTCTATACAGGCTACAACACAACCCGATCAAGCCTGAGGAGCAATCCATGCCTGAATCATTTCTTCCCGGATCTTCAAGGTTTTATCCATACCCAGTCTCATAGGGTCAATGAGCTTTCCTTTCCATGTTCGCGTATGGTCGGACTTCGTACAAGTCATAAGCTTGCTGTGTGTATGGCTACCTGACGCAGACCGTCAGACAGTACAGATAACCTTCAAGCTCCAAGGCAGCAGAACATTGCACCGCCACGCCGTTATACAAACATTCGTGCTCGGGAGGCTGCTTGCTATATAGCTATTCGGCATTGTACTGCAATCGTTTCATAAGATTGAGAATAATCCCTGGCAATAACAGACATAAGTCCATCTACGAGGCAGTGCTCTCATAGGCGAGATAGACAGTGACCTCGCACCTCGAGCTTCAACATAGTAGTATCGTGGTAAATAACCTAGAGCTGTCAAGATACACACGCTGGCTTCAGGCAGGTGATATTCGCCAGCCTTGAGTACTCATAACTTCCGGACGGCAGTCGCCCGCCCTCCAACATCCCAGATGCGAATAAAAATGATCAGAACCGCTGTCTGGACTTTATACTGAACTATAGAATCACTTCCCTCCAGTACCTAGGTACAGAATGTTGAGGTTCGTTACCCCACCAAGCCAGCGAAATCTCATCTCGCCAATTTGAACGCTACAAAGGCACGAAGCCTGGGTGCGATGACAGCTATTTCTTATCGTTGGATTCATTACCCGAGAAAGTCTTCAAGTTTGACAAAGTCCTAGCAATGGCCTCAACTTCCATAGAACAGTGGATAGATACTCCATGGAGTATGATCTGCGCCAGATGTTCTCACCCATACACAACTGCCACCTTCTAGCGGAGCATACGGTCTGTAAATGCGAGGCTCTTTTCTTGGTCGTCAGATGGAGAATGCATGACCGATATGCAGTTGCGGATGGTGAGGACGAGGACTTTTGAATCAGAGGAGACGGTCCACATTCACGGTTCGAGGGCGCTGAACGACACTTGATGCCAAACTGGGTACCTAATACATGTAGCTTGGAGACGGTACCTATGGTACCTAAGGTGCCTAGTACTTGATGGACCCTTAACTGTCAACACCGTTCCTGGGCTTATACAACAAGCCCCAGCTCTTTTGCTATAATATCTGCTCCCTTTTCTCCGACAATAAGCGCCGTGTTGTTTGTGTTTGCGCCTACATTCTCGGGTGCAATTGAGAGATCTGTGAAGGATAGGTGATTAGCGAATGAACAACAAGAATATCTTCTCGAAACGTGTCGCAGAAAGAGGACATGCTTACCACATATCTTGAGTCCAACCGTTCCGTACACGTTGAGATGCTTATCTACAACGCCTCCCTTTTCCCTCGGTGCCATCTTACAGGTTCCCAAAGAATGCCAGGTCGTTTCAATGTTCGATCGGATGTACTCTTCAATAGCCTTCTCATCATCTTCGTCATACTCAATCGGCGGCAGAGCCTTTCTCTCTTCAAGCGTCTTGAAGCCATCCGGTACTTCAGGCTGCTTCCGAAGAGCGGCTTTGCTGCCCTCGCGAAACTTGGGACTTCCCACGGGCAGCTCACTGGTCATCAGATTCGTGCGTCGGAAGATTTCGCGCTGCTTCTTGTATGCCCATATTTGCTTCGTCAGGTCCACCCTTCTGGACAGAAAACCAGCGTTGAAGCAAGGTGCCGCGTCGGGATCTTTGGAAGTGATGTGGATGTCGCCACGCGAATATGGGTAGCCAGTGTACATTCCGATAGACAAGTACTGAGAAGGTCCGTTTTGTTCTTCAGGCAGAGTCTTGTGATCGCCGAGGAAAGTGCTGACAACAGCCAAGAGCATCAAGGGCCTCGTAGTCTGATCCTTGAAGTCACGGTTCCAGTGGTCCTGAAACTCTTGATCCAACTGCGCGACTTCTTCATCAGTTGGACGAAGCTTTGCCGCCAGGTCGATCCCATTCCAGGTGACAATGGGGTTCTTCTTCTCCATAGCCTCGTTAAAGTCCAGCCGACCGCGATGCAAATCATCAAGAGTCTCGTCAGGCTTGAGAGAGGTTCTGTACGAGTAAAAGATCAAGTTATGGTCCTGGTACTCCTCGCCGACGCCAGGAACGTCAGCAACGACTGGAATGTCCAGTTTCTTGAGCAACTCAGCATTGCCGACTCCCGATCTCTCCAGTATCTGCGGCGTTCCAAGGGCTCCCGCAGAGACTACGACGAGCTTTTTCGCTTTGATAGTCGATGGCTCCCTGCGTGTCAAATTGGTGATGGGTTGAAAAGCTACATTTGGCAGGTATTCCACGCCAACGGCTCTGTTACCCTCGAAAACGACGCGGGTGACGGTGCTCTGGACGAGAAGATGCAGATTGGGGTAGTCGCCCGAAGCCATCAGAGGGTGGACATAGCGATGCGCAGTATCTTGTCGCTTGCCATCAGGGGAGATGTATCGAAGCCATCGAGAAAAGCCGTTGGCCGCTTTGAAGTCTTGCAAATCTACGACTTCAGGAAGGCCAACAGCCGCGGCGCCAGTTAAGATGTCGTCCTGCGTATCTTTGGCGCTGTAAGCACCGAAAGATACATTGATTGGGCCATCATGTCCATGAACGCCCTGATCGATGTCAGGGTGATCGTGGTGGAACATCTCCAGCTTCTTTGCGTAGTGTAGCAAGCTCTTCGCATCCCAGCCTTCAGTATTCCACGAGTCGAAATCGACGCCCGAAGCTATGTATCACGCGTCAGAACCATTCTCCCATGCATGTCAAGACCGCCAGATTGCTTGAGATGGGACATACCTCGCGTGTACATTGCAAAATTGATAGACGAGCCGCCTCCAAGGATACCGCCAGCGGTCACAATGGGCTCCCGGCCGTTGAGGTCATCCGTCTTGTTTCCCTTGTATATGATGGCCGTCTGAGTGTTCGGTGCCAGATGGTAGAGATATCTGGAGGAGTTGACCACGTTTGGATCATCGAGATTGTTCTTGCCGTGCTCGACGAGGAGGATGGAGAGGTTGGGGTCTGCTTTCGCCAGGCGACCAGCGACTATGCAAGCAGCAGTGCCACCTAGAGAAGGTCAACAAGATGGCAGCCGAGGGGTGAGGAGCGTATATTGCTTTACCTCCAGCAAAAATGATGTCATATTCTCTTCCCTCTTTGTAAGTCGACATCGTGATGAAGTGGGATTGTTCGACTGAACGCTGTTTTCACACGGGACAACTCGACTTGGATAGAGGGATTGTCAATGCTATTCAAGGGACTGAGACGGCAGAGACAACACAATTCAAAGACAGTATTTGACAGAGGGTCCTTCTCCTCTTTGTACTAGCGACTCGAGACAGCATACCGTATATGCGCTCTGTCAACTCCCTGCTTGGGGTTACGAAGACCCATGATCTAGATTCTCACAAGACCAACCAAATACATTGGCTGCAGAGCTCGCATATTAGCCCCATCCGAGCCCAATCTGCCAAGAATTGCTCTCTGTGTTGGCAGAAGACACGCAAGGTATCCCTTCAAATGTATAGTTTTGCTTGGCGAGACTACTACCTATTGGAGCGGCATCAGTTGGGATCGTTGCGGGGTAACTCCTCGATGAGGCTGGAGAGTACATCTCCGGCAGGGGCCACGGCAAGTCGGAGATGCGCGTCTATGGACAAATTGTTTCGAGGAAAGATTCCCAACGAATCTGATGGTGCTGGAAGAGACGGGATTTGTGTCGGCTGTTGTTGTGGAATATGGGAAGAGATTCCATAGCTTACCGGGTGCGAACAAGCTGACAATTAGCAAAATTGTTTGATTCCAAAATTCATACGCGACGCTCTCCATAATAAGTCCAAGCCTTTTGATGCGTAGCTTTTAGAAAACGTGGCTAGATTCTTGACGGGATGCATTATCTCGGGACTAGTCCTCACCATCATGATTCTCTGAGGCAAGAATAGACGTCTAAGGACTTTCGCCTTCATGTTGACCTCCCGCTAGATTCTGCCAAGTCTAGCAGCTAATCACAAGCCAAGCTGACAACTCCGTATACTACTTGTAATATATCCAGCTCCCGACTATCCGAGACTATCTGAGGGGTCCGCTTGTCACACGGTCTTGTCGTCCCACCTCTTGCAAATATACCTTCTTCTGTTGCTCTTCGTGCGAATTGATTGAGACCGCTGACAATGAAATTGACAGCCGCGAAACTCATGTCTCCCCCAGAGCCTTGGAAAGCCTCCACTTGGCGATTCGTCATTGCTGATTGTCATGCACCTGTCAAAGACTCTCAGATGATATTGAAAAGGCGACTAAATCATATGCGCATAAGATTATGTACTCCTAAGGCTACCAATTGATACGGTCTACACAACTAGGAGCGGGAGCAGCATATCAGCCCCCTCTAGGTCTCCGTTTGCAAAATCGATCTCTATAAACTTTTTCGTCTCCTGTCATTATTACTTCCTCAGGTTGACCACTTATGTACGTTGATCACTGCTCTTCATATTAATTGCGAGAGTCACTATCCCGAGCCACTTCGGGGTCTGACTTCGAAGCCAATGTTTGGTCCCCCGTGAGCTTGGGGTTGCGGATTGCCAGAGAAAACGCGATCAGAGGCACGCAGAGGCAGATGCCCGTGATGGTGAGCAGGCGCTGGATGTACTGGTATGAAGCGATGATGGCGTCTCTCTCGGGTGTGCCAGGGGGATAAGGAACGATGGCCACAAGGGGGTTGCCGTAGGCATCAGCCGCCAGCGTGGAGTTAATGCCCGCGAGTCTGGTTTCCAACTGCTGGGGGAGAATCTGCGTCCACATGGCGCCGGAAACGGTATTTCCCAGAGCAGATCCAATGTTGTAGAGGGCCAAGAAGAGACCCGTGATGACGGCCAAGTTCTCGTGCTTCAGGCCGACTTGAATCGATGCCTGAGCGGTATAGGGGAACAATCCACCTGCAAAACCCAGGACAACTTGAGCTGCAATGACACCAGCACGAGCTGAGCCAGCAGTAGATCCACGGTAATGAATGAGCAGACCAAAAGCGACCATGAAGAGGCAGGTTCCCGCAATGACGAACATCTTGAGACGGCGGACTTTGTAAACCACCAAGCCGAGAATTGCTCCGACCACGACGCTGACGAATGAATACACGGACGTGATGCGCGTCGCAGCGGTAATGGAAAAGTTGAATGCCACTACAAGAACGGTGTAGAGGAAGTCGGCTTGCATGGACCAGGCAAAGTTGAGGCAGACGGCGATGCCCATGGGAGCCCACACGGAGCGGTCCTTCATGAGGTTAAAGGGAACCAGCGGGTGAGGGGCCTTGAGCTCCCAGAGGATGAAGACGGGGATGCAGCAGAAGCCGACGACGAGCGGTGCAATGATGTGTGCGGTGCGCCATTGCGTGTGGACGCCGCCAGCCAGAGTAAAAGGCACGAGGATGAGGGCAAAAACGGCGATGAGGAGGATGATGCCGATGACGTCGAGCAGCCAGAACAGCTCGACGACGAGGTTCTTGAAGCCGAGACGCTCAAAGGACGACTTGTAGTTCTCCAAACGGCCCTGCTTCCTTGCGCGGTGTCCGACAACCGAGAGAGAGATGATGAGCGGCAGAGCGCAGACCGGGTAGATGATGCACCACATTCCAATGCCCCATTTCCAGGTCGTCACCTTCAGGACAGCGCTGGCAACATTGCCGCTGATCCAGGCGTTGATGATGAACGGCAGAGCGGGGATGTAGCTGAAGAAGAGACGGGCCCGGGTCGAGGTGATGTCGGCGATGATGACCTCGATCAGCAGGAGGATCATTGTGTAGCCGACCTGGTAGATGACATTGCCGCCGGTGTACGTCGCCATATTGGTGGCCGAAGCCTCAATCGCGGTTCCGATGACATAGAAGAAGACGGAGACGCAGATCAACTCGACTCGGCCAAAGACGTCGGCAATCTTGGCCGCCGTGGGCTGAGCAGCAGCCGCAATCACCGCTCGGAGCACATTGATCGTGGCAAGGAGAGAGTGGCTGTCGAACGAGCCCGTCGCATAAGGCTGGTAGGTGTATCGCAGAGTGCCGTCAAGGCCATAGCAGTAGGCGATGAGGAGGACGCTGAGGAAGATGAAGATGCGGTCGACCAAGGTGATGGCGCCGGAAATGGCTTCGATGCGGGAGACACCAGGCGACTGGATGTCTCTCAGCTTGGCGACAGCCGGTTTTTCGGGATTCTGACTCTGCTGATCATCCTTGGCGACAACGTTCTCTGCCCTCTTCTCCGCCTCGGGAAGGGGAGTAGGTGTCAGGTCGCCAGACATGTTTCTGCTCGCGATTGACGAATGGTAATAATTCAAGAGATATGATTCAAGTGTCACTTCTCTGTGTCTCCTCAGACAGATGACCGAAAACAATGAGACAGTAGGAAAAAGAAAAGGCGCGGCTGAATCACCAGCTGAGATCTCACTCCAAATGCTCCGGATGCGGACGAGAACGCATGTGCATATGCAAGCAAGGGGGGAGGAGGAGGGGAAGGAAGCCGACAGCCCTCGAGAACGTCACGGCCGTAGCACAAGTTATATATAAGTATCCAGTCATTCTCTAGCGTCAACTTAAAAACTGTTTACCTGACGCTTGATGCGATCGATTAGATCAAAGCGGGCTCGGTCAGTGTTGATGCGCCACAGTGGTGACCCGAAAGAGCCCACGCCAAGCAGTCTAGAAGCGTTCTTCGGCCGGCTTCTTCTCGTTATCTGATCATCAGATTTTTTAAAGCGGACCAGATGGAGCGCAGAAGAAGAGGAAAATTCTTCGTTTTCCTACTCATGAGCCAGCCAAGAAGGCCCTACCACCGGACTCTGCTTCCCAGTCTGGCTAATCAAGGACTCGCACGCCCCGGTCTGTGGCACGGCGCAGCAGCTTGGCGGGCATCGACACTGCGGTAGGCAGCCAATCGCTTGCTGGAAGACTCAGTAAGAGCTGAATACATACTTGTACGGTGGGCATTCTCCTGTGCTACCCTCTGGGACATTTCGTTGGGGTTGATGGGGGTCAAGAAGCTCATGTTAGTGGCTGACGGACTGTGGCGAGAAGAGGACAAGATTCAATCCAGAGGGATCCTCTCCCAAGGCAGACGAGGCGATAGCCAGTAGCCGAATCGCGCCCTTGAACCATTCTTTTCGACGTAGAGCCAAAGTATGCGCATATTTGAATCTTGAAGCCTCGTTCCCCGTACAGCCGTGGGCTTGCTGCATGTAAGCGGCCCCGTGTGCTTTATTGTTGTTGGTCCGAGACAAGGTCATCCTCCCCTGTCTTTCCTTGCCGCGTGCTGCCTTGGTCCTTCGTCATCATCCAACATCATCGCTGAAGAGTCGGAGCTTGCCAGCCTCCTTTTCTCACCGGAAGGGTCCGCACTTTGCCGCAGCCACAAAAATCCAGACAGGAGGGGCTTGAGGAATTTTGCTGGATGGGTGGCGCTCCGTACAACCCGCCCAGAGGTTTCTCTGACCGTTCCAGGCACGGCCAATGACGAGAGGAAGACCATCGGACCACCGCAAAATAAGAGAAAACGGCGCCTGGCGCCATGGCGTGTAAGTTCTTGACGTGGGCTTGCCTCCATACCGGGTTAGGAGACACTAGCAAGTGCTCGCTCGGGGCTTTTGGCAGCCACAAAGCAGCTAATTATCGCATTCGGAAGCCCTGCAAAGATCCGACAGCCCTTTTCGGAGCTCTGGAAGCGATCGGATTCCCCGTGGATTTGAGAGAGAGAGAGGAGCAGAGTTTCAGTCAGTCCATCTCCAAGGTCATGCGTTTGTTTACTTGATCCCGCGTCCAGGGAATCGGGTATTCAAGCAGTACGACAAAGTGATTACTTCAAGGCTGTGAATATCTTCGGGTTGAGTCTAACGGACATGATTTTCATGACGTCTTCCCTCCAGAATGCGGGCTGTCACACTTTACGACCTCATATCGAGTAGGCGTGACACAGATAAAGCAGCTGGCTAGCCCTTTGTGCTACTTCTCGAAATTGATATCGGCAGACGCGATCACCCGACACCTGACTGGCCAATCTTCAGCCCCGGCTTGTTTCCACTCGCCCTGCTAGCAGCTGAAATAGTTCCATGTTGGAAGGCTTTTCAATACTACTTGGCAACCGGCGGCCATTCAACCACCTTTTTGCTCAGATGTTCGATTTTCAAATGCATCCCATTGTTTACAGCCATCGGATTGCCTCAGAAGCATCGGGATACTTCTGATGAGCTTTCCAGTTCTGCATCAGCCACCATCCAAGGTAGCTCCCGGTGGCGTTTCGTACTGTAACAGTATACTTGCCTTACATTGCCTCTCATTTAATTCTGGCTCGTTCACATCGCGGTGGTCTCATTCCACCCATATTATTCCAACAGGTGGCCATCACTGATACGTCGAAGAGGCCAACTCACATAATCAGACGCCCAGCTGAATATCTTGTGCTACCAAATATCTGCGGATGAGTAATTCCACATGCTGACACTGGCTGCTTTGATGAATGGGTCACTTTAAGCATAAATTGTGGGCGTTAAGGCGGAGTAAAGGCTTCGCTACAACTCGTATGAGTCTCAGGTATTGATACCATACCCCGGTGTCGACACAGAGATTAATGTTTACGACGCAGTACTAAGCAGCAGTTCTATTTGCCGAGAAGGTAGCGACTTTCTACTCTCGTAGGCCCTGAGGCACTGTGGCGTAGAAAAAGTGTCTGCTTCTAACTCCCAGCCATCTGCAATGGATACTCCACTAGCAGACTCTTTGTTGAAGCATATTGGCACTGCTTGCCTCTATGAGCACAAGCACAAAGATGAAGATAAGGCTTAAGCTCAAAATGTCATGGAGCACACGTCGGGTAGTTCGGCACTTTCAACTGACACTGCGTCCCCCCCCCTACCATCCAAACATATCACAAGGTGTGCGGGAGCAGGTGTGGATGAAAGCAACCCCTTCCTCCTGGAAATCGCCTCCATCAGCCACTCAGTAGAAAGTAAGGCTTGGCTTACTCTTTGAGGTCAACATTGGCTTGGCCTGGCGGTTGGTCTTGTGCTGTGATGGATGAGCCCTGCCGCAATCAAGGTTCTTGATCCATTATTCTAAAGTTCCCCCCTAATGACACATCAACATCGCTTCCATCCGGTTTGTATCTGCAGCCACACAGCTCTCTTTATCAGTTTTGGTTATATAAACCATGTAGCCCGTTCAACGCGCGTCTCTCCCATCCTCTTCTCACTCTTGCTCCCTACCGTTGCCCCTGAGTTTCCAGCCCCCTTTGCAACGAAACAGACATGTTCGGCCACGTTGGTATCGCCGGGGCTTCCCTGGCGATGGTTTTTGTCACAAGAACGTATGCGGCGGCCTATGTCCCTCGACACCCAGCCGCAAGAAGCAATGTGAACGCATCTGCCGCGCTTGCAGGCAAAGATGCGTCACCTCTCGCAAATGTAACGACACCCTTTGTCGTTGAGGACTTCCCAGTCACGGAAGACGGTCGTTGCGGCGCCAGATACGGCACCAAGTGCTGGAGCGACGACTGCTGTTCCGCTGAGGGGTACGTGAAACCACCTTCAACACGATTCGCGTTGATCCCTTGCCAGTGCTGTACCCAGACGCTGACTTTGAACCAGATGGTGCGGGTCTGGATACCTGTACTGTTCTGCCCCTGCCTGCCAGTATGAATATGGACCGGCCTGCGATGCCAACAGGCGGCCCGACGGGGAGGACACAGAGGAGTGGCCGCGACCTCAATTTGGAGATGTGCCTTATGGAAAAGCCGTCTACCACTGTACAGTTCCCGGGACTGTTGCCCTGACATTTGACGATGGCCCATGGGAGTACACTGAGGAGCTCTTGGATCTCCTGGATGTGAGTGTTCAAATATCACCCAATTTTGATAAAAGGATAAGGAGTACTAATCGCTTCTGTGTAGGAGCACGGTGTCAAAGCTACATTCTTTGTCACCGGACGCAACCTCGGAAAGGGGGCCATCAACGACGAAAGCAAGGACTGGCCTCGTCTCATCCGCCGTATGAAGGATGAGGGCCACCAGATTGGTAGCCATACCTGGTCTCACCAGCGTCTGCCTACCCTCACCAAAGCACGCCTTCGCCAGCAGATGATCTTCAACGAGATTGCCATTGCTGATATCATTGGCGTCTTTCCGACTTACATGCGCCCTCCCTACTCTGCCAGCAACGAGGATGTCAATGAGTGGCTTGGCGAGCTGGGCTACCATGTCACATACTTTGACCTCGATACGGAGGGCTATCTGCATGATGACGAAGATGCCATTGAGGACTCCAAGGAAATTGTCCGGAACACATTTGATGATGCCGACCCAGACACTGACTCGTTCTTGCACATTGAGCACGACACGGTGGCTGAGACGGTGCGGACCCTGATCTCGTACACCATCAGCGAGATCTATGAGGCCGGCTTCACGCCCGTGACTCTTGGCGAGTGTCTCGGCGATCCATATGAGTTCTGGTATCGAAGCCAAGATTCCGGCTTCCTCAAGCGGGCAGTGAATCTTTACCAGGACGTCGTGTCTTCTAACCAGGAGGCGCCGCGCGCCCCCGTCAAGCCCAGGAGCTTCTTCGACAGGCTCTTCTTCTCTGCACCCAAGCATCGAGTTGAGCCTGTGTCTTATCCACATGCGGCCAACGCTTCGTTGAGCGTGAATGGCACCGTCCACGTGAATGGCACCATCCCCGGCGGCCACAACTCGACCACCATCTTCAGGCCTACCAGAGACGGTCGTTGCGGTCCCGCGTTTGGAGATGCTTCGTGCATGAACCAGAAGTACGAGAACTGTTGCTCCAGGGCTGGATGGTGCGGAGCGACCGACGGTCACTGTCTGGATGGTTGCCAGGAGGGATTCGGCCGCTGCGGATTGATTGGTTAATCATCCATAGTTTCCTCTTCCTTTTTTCTTATTCTGTTTCCAACTCTTATTTGGTGCTCGCGTCAATTCTAGACGTCAGTCCGTGTTGCTAACGGCAATGTGATTGACCGGTTGGAGTTGGGGCCTCAGTCACAGAGAATCAGCGGATGATTTGAGCTCGTCTGGCTACTGCTCGCGATCAGGTTCCTCCGGCGACTCGCACTATGGAGGCCAGTCTTCAGGATGCTAGAAGCTGAGCTTATTCTACCTAACGATAAATTGACCAGATTATCGTTTTTTTTTTAAACCAGCTTCAGGCTATGTTACCCAAGTCGTAAATGAGTTGATTGAGTCTCGGTTGATCTAAAGCGCCAAAGTTGCCCACTAGTTGTCCCTTTCACCAACAGCATCTACTTGTGCGTAAGCCTCATGATAACCTCAGGAGTGTTCAACTTGGAGGTAATGTAGACCTCCAGCAATTTAATCTTGCTTCTCTCTCCATGGCACTGATTCATGCTACAATATAGACTTCCTGACTTGGTACGGGAGGCTCTATCGCACAGCCACCGCGGCGCCCGCCTCGGCTTGACATATTCCTGGTCTCGACATAAAAGAAAAAGATCCCCCACTGACTGTTATTGGAAGGCATTTCGTATCGCGGTTCATTTTTCACATTAATATGCATAGGTTCAATGCCAATGTCGGCATCGGGCTATCAAGTCCTCTACATTCTTCTCCCATGACCACGTGCGGCTCATCTTGATGTCCCCAAAACTTCAATGTGGCAATAATTGAATCACATCGTGAGAAGGCAAGCGGAGACCAAAAAAACGCGGACCGCAAAACGAATATATACACCAGCATCAATAACAAGAGCACTGTTTAGGTGGACAACTTACCAGATCTTATGTGTGTATACTTCTCACCTTATGTGTTCAGAACTATCTAAATCCGCGTTTTTCTAGTCTCCGCTTGGAAGGCAATCAATGTTTGTGATGACCCTCGTATGCGAATCCACCAAGTGATTGACGAGGCTCGTTGTACAATTTAAAGCTCGTCTGACTGAAGAGAACCCAGCAAGCCCAAACCTCCAGAATAAAGGAAGAAAAAAGGGAGCAGCATCCTGGTGGCTATCATTGGAGTTGTGGGCCGATCTTGCATTTATACCTGAGCCGGATCTGTTAGTCCGGCTGTAAGGCTCCGTAGCCCTTGCATTCTCCTTTAACTTTCTTCTTCCTTTTTTTTTCCTTATTCTTGTTTGTTATCCTTTGGCGACTGGGGTCATTTTCAGCTTTCAGCTGATCGCGACGCATGAGGCTAGAACTCTGTTGCTCTCCGGAAACTCGGTCAGTTAGCGTCTGCCATCACGACAACAGGGGACAACTCCACAGGCCGGCCAATGCAGAGAACAGCCTCACGACCCGCTCATCTGGCCATTTCACCGCGAAATCTGTCCCAATCATCTTCGGCACAGGGGCGTAGTGCCGGACGCTAAGCCTGAAGAGCAGCTGGCGGCAGGCCTAGATGCGAATAGTCTCAGGTTGCTACAAGGCCAGCTCACCATTCTAGGCCTGGACGGACTCGAGATTCCAACTATTGAACTTGTAGATCGTGTAAGATCAGAAGCAATAGTCAGTGTAATGCATACTAGCTTTTGAAATGAGCTATCAGCTATGGCTTTACTTGGTGATTTTCGCGAAAGGCAATCTCTAGCCGCATACTGAACGGGATACATAACGTGAAGGTGCCTTCTTCCTAGCAGTCGTTGTTTGTCGTTTGTTCCAGCTCAGCGTCAACCATATGCTGTTTCTTCAAGATGAAGTTGCTCGTCCTTTCCGCCGTACTATCAGCACTCCAGGCTGTTGAAGCTCGGGATCCGGCTTGTCACCCTGCTGCGCCGTCATGTCAATTCGTTTCCCCCTGGACTGCCCGCGAGTGCTCAAACATCATTCGTAAGTCATAAGTCAGGCAAACCAGGTTGAATAAGATTCTAATCCAGTTGTGTTCGTAAACAGACTCTCACCATATCCGACTCTCGACGTGCGAGGCTCCTGAGAAAACCATCACCAAGACCGTCGTCGCCACTCATCATCCAACTTTTACACACACCAAGACCGTGAAGCCTGCGCCGAGCACGAAGACTTCGACCAAAGTCATCACCGCTACTGACCCTGTGTAAGTCAGCGTCGTCAATTACCGTTTCCATAGGACTCTGCAGCTAATTGAATGGCCTGAAGCACCCAACAAGACACAACGACAGCCTGGGCCACCGCAACAGCAGTGTCAACCACGACAGCAGTGACGAGCGACTTCACAACTGCTACCACAACTACGACTTCTGTCGAGACCGAAACTGATTCCACCACAATCACAACGTTAGTCTTGCGCTTCCACTCTCATCAAGTCTCAGAGGCTGACATAGCATATTGCAGCACCCAAGAGGTCACCAGGACCGTCAGCTGGGCGCCTGAAGTCTGCACTCCGACGCTCACTCTGCCAACAACTCAGGCACCAACTCTAGCGCCCACTCTGGCGCCTATCAAGCGCTCAGACAACCACAACGACTACAAGATTCCTCGCGATTGTTGTGTGTAACCTCGAAACCAGTATATGCCGTCGCCATGAGTACTCTGGCTAACTTTGTGTGAACCTCCAGCATGCTTCCTGACCTCCACCAAGAGCTGTGGTCCCCGCGCCACAAAGGTCGTCACTAGAGTGGAGGACCGTCCTACATATATCACCAAGACCGTCACCGATCGAAGGAACTGCGAGACTGTTACGGTCACCAAGACATCCATAACCCACATCAACGGAGCACCGCCGCCCAAGCAGACGGTGACTTCTACGACGACCTCTACCGTTGTCACAACAGCTACGTCAACCAGCACGGTTGAGCAAATCACCACTGCCACGGAGGCCACCACGACAACAGTCGTCGAAGCCAGCACCGTCACCACGTCACACTCGGTCACTGCCACCGAGGACCCCTGCAGCCCGACCAACATCAACAAGTATCTCCTCCCAGGCCCTCCCTCCAGCCCCAACGTCGTCCTGGGCTTCCGCGGGGATGGTGGTAACGACGCCAGCAATTGTTGTCAGGATTGCCATATGAACTCGGACTGCGCTTGGTGGAGGCTCTCTGCCGACGGCTCCCTCTGCGAGGGATACTTTACGAGCCTCAGTGCTGTGGTTGAGGGATGCACTACTACTACGTGCCGTAGGGGACATCCGCTTGTGATCGTCGACCCAGAGTCGGATGGAAGCACGTACGGTATGGGAGTATGTGGTACATTCAGCGTGGTATCTTGATGAACACGGGCGGTTACATGTAGATGGAATTGGGATGGTTGTGTTTCTGCGATAGACAGCGAATCTTCTTCTTCTAACTGACAACCTTAATGCATTTATTTCTGTTGCGCGACTCCCTCCATCAGTGATACGAGTATACGTTCAGGCAAGGAATGAACCGAAAAATAATGCACAGCTAATCAGCTAATCGGGAATTATGCTCGTCCAACCGACTCTTAGAGTTGTTTCCTCCGCCGATCGCGTAGACCCTCTGAAGCTACCTCAACCAATCTCTGCCCACGTTTCATTGCCGCAGATGGACACAGATGCATGAGACAGATCTCTGGCTTACTGTAGTTAGCATCGACAATTGTGGCGAGCTGAACATGCGGACTGGATCCCATTCGCCGAACAAGCGCATCGATGCTGGGGGCCAGTCCAATCAGGTCAAAATGACATGGCTGTCAAGTCTGCCTAAATGCTGGGATGCTATGGAGTACATACAGCCCGTGTAATATCCCAGGACTACGGTCTCATGAGGCTCTGTGCTTATATCCTCTCTCTATCCAGTAATAGGGGTGGCATCTAGCATACATCTGGAGGGTGGCCAGGATAGAAGAAGTCGAGCAAGGAATCATCGCGTAAGCTGCAGATGATGCAGCGCAAGTATAGAATCGTTACTCCGTACATACCTATACATTTACAATCTTGTACACCATCGCTAATAGACACAGCTGCTTAACAACCTTTCTCTAATCGGCATTATTACGAACCTGAAGGTCATTGCAAATACACCAGATCCTCCTCATATCCTCCATACTACCTCATAACGTTTGTAAGTAACTCTCGAAAGAAACGCTTCCCCATAGAGGGTAATACGTTGCTGCATGCAGTGGGTATTGGCTCCAGCGGCGGAAGCGGAAACGCCATGCACGAGACCCAGCCACGACCACGACGCGTTTGAAGAAAGACACACATGGTACAAGATATCGCAAGATAAACGTCTCCCTCCCTCCCAAATGGTGGTTGCCGGAAACACCTCGTCTCAGGCTATTCTAGCTATAGGAATCCTCCCTCGCCCAATTCCGTTGCCATAGTCTATCCAACAAGTAACCTCGCCCATCTACGTGATACAGAGTACAGGAGCCTCGACTCTGAACTCAAATACGTCCGAATGTAGAGTATTTTGGAGAAGAGTGTGTCATTGTCTTCACTGAGGCTCTGCATCTCGTGAGTACATGTATCAAATGAGCCAAATTTGCCACTTGAATGCCTCCTTATTCACAGCAGCGGCTGAGCCACCCCTTCAGCCACGCATCTGCCGCATTGTGAAAGCATTATCCTGCAGTTTCCTCCCGTAGTATAAGCTGACTTGCGAAATGCCGTATCCGACATCGGTTAGCCCCAATGCAAGGAGCCTTGTTCTCTTCGCAGTTCAGCTGAAATCCCATCACATGTTGACCTATAAGACCCAGTTCTCCATGCCTCTCCACAAACGCGAAAACGTGCAGTGAGTGCCAGCATATCAATATCTCGTTCAGAGCCGCCTAGAGGCTCAACATCCACCCAATGACGGCCCAACACATCTGCCAAAGGCGGAGCGCCCTATGCTGCAGTTCCACGTAGCCCGGGGCGGCCTTTCTGCGGCCATGCTCTCTGAGAGTCTGGTGCAGTCAAACGGCGATTCTTACAGACTGGACAACCGAGAATGCATGGGTTGAGATGTATGCATGTCCAATTTTCTTAGGCTCCTATGCAAGGCAGTGTAACCAGGAACAAGTGACCCTCAATTATATGATGAAGACTCGAATGGGGATACCGAGCACTGTATACTCATGCCTTCACCGCTGGAGGTTTGTGGAGATGTGAATCGCTTGTACGAAGTAACTCGTAAGGTTTGTGTGCTGAAGATGAGTTATAGAAGGGTAGAGCATCATGTTACCAATTATCTACGGTGAGATACAGGGGAATAGCCACAGTAGAGGAAACCTGATCTTAACCAGCGATGGATTTGGTCCAAGCAAATCTACACAGCCAAGGATTACTGAGAGTCGTAGTTCTGATGCAAGTTTCAGTTGACGATGCAAGTTCTATCCCCTCTGATAGGCTCATGGCCTGACTACCTGACAGCCGCGCGGAGGCCAGTTTGCATCCACCTGTCTGCATGAGATGCTACCTTAACATGCAGTCTGGCTTGGCCGAGCCTCATCTCCTGCCAATAAGGCAAGTCTTCGGTGAGAAGCTCCGTTGGGTTGCATGCGATGCGGACTGTAGCTCGACGGCTTTGAGATCATGGACAGTATATAGATATATATCCATACCTGATATGTACGGAGACAAAATACATGCATATACAAGACATACTTGCCTTACATACATAGTACTTGGTACGCATTATACGCTTTTGATGGGAAGGAAAGTTCTATATAAGAGGTTATATCTATCCTTCGGACTTGCTTCATCACTCACTCTTTTTAAATCAACAGCCGCTAGTTAGACGGCTCATCTGCCAAGTTTTGTATGCTTTCGTACGCTTCTATTCCTTTTATGTCCCTGATTTCTAACGAGCGCCAATGATTACTCCAGTGTTTCTTGATAGCTCAGCATGAAAGCGTTTGCCAAGACATTGACTAGCAGAGGTGCGTACACGTACCTATACACTTGAGAATTGTTACAAGCGCTGTAGACGACTGTTCAGATACATCATTTGCGGCTATCCAGACTGATACAAAGTAGGGAAGAGAAACTCTAAGACCGCTGAGACTATATCTCCCGAGATATCCGACAGAGCTTCTATCACCAGTGTAGCATCAACCTCACAAGCCGAAAGCCAAATAGTCATACCTACACCTCCACGGCGAGCTGCTACCACCATGGAAGCTCCCAAGCCGCGTGGCCTAGTCCTTCCTCAGCCGTCTCGTCCAGCTGCTCTGGTAGAGATTACCAGGGGCGTGGACGTCGAGGGAACAGTCGTCAGGCCAATTTCACCACCGCGGAGCAACGGTAACAATGAAGTCAAGACCACCACCACGACAGCTACTACAAGCTCTATCACCAATACAACAACTTCCACTGCCATCACCACCCATCATCTTAGGCGAATGGTGGGAAAAAATGCCGTCATATCAAGGAGAGAGTACCAACGTCCTGTTACGGCCAAGACAGGCGTTAAGCTCCATGCGATCACTGACTTCACTCTTGAGTTCTATCTCCGATGCATCTCAGATGAGCGCATCATCAGAATGCCGGAGAGGGACAGCCCTTGGGACCGAGTTCTCCATGCTGCACAGTTCTTTGGCCTCCATATTTCTCAGTTCGGGGACAAAGTCGACGCTTTCCTCCACAGAGAGACGTCTAACGGCCTAGTTACTGAAGATACTCAGCATGATACCTTCTTCAAGGGTGCGAGTATTGGTGCTTTCTTCAACGGGCAGAAGAATGCGGTGCCAATCAACAGTGCGAAGGATATGGTCTTTGCGGCTCTTGCATCATCTCATGCATTGCTTGAGGTATGTTTGCCCCTCTGACAATGACAAAAAAAGACTATCAATCAGTTGTTAATAAAATGACAAGATCGGCCACGCTCAAGCCCAGGCTCTTTTGCCAACCTTCACTGCCTTGTATGAGTTTTCCATACTTCTCACAGACATCACTCGCATCCAAAGCCTTGAAACGCCATCTCAAGTCATCCAATACGATGTGACCAAGACGTTTAGCAACTTGGTTACCCTTCTCAACAACATCGCGGCAGTGTATCGACAAAAGATCAGCGATTTGAAGCCTGGATCAACTGCACGCATCGACTTTGATGCCAGCTTCGGAGCCCAGATTGAAGAGATCTGGCGCTCCAAGGAAGCGCTCTCCGATGCCATCTGGAAGCAAAAGCTCCATGAAGCAGAGCCCTCAATGACTGTCACTCAACTTCGTTGGAAGCTTCAGTACCCCTACAACTCCTCTGTTACCAACAGAATCTACGACAAAGTCGGGGATGATCATGCTACGCCATCAAGAACGTGCTACTGGCTGAAAGACACTCTTGCAGACTTCTTCAGCCGAAGCGACCAGCTGCTCTGCGTGACTGGACATGAATCGAGCGGCAAGACCTTTCTTGCCAAATGGGTGGAAGAGAGACTTGCTCGGCCGCTCAATGTCAAGTCATACCACGTTCTCCAATACACTTTCCGTAAGTCATTTCTTCTGAAGTCTACTTTGGTTTTCTTTACTGACGTGAAGCCTCGCAGCATTTGACGCGCCGAACAGAGCAACTCCAACCGCATTCATCAAGAGCATCCTCTCTACACTTCTCGAGCAAAACATCAGCAATGTCAACGTATACAAAGCCATAGCGCAAGCCTTCAAAGACGAGTCCGCCGGAACAGACTCTGAGCCCACGGAGGCAGTACTATGGAAGACTCTTCACGACTGCCTTGCAGCTGTTCGCATTCAACAGGCGACAATGGTTATCGTTATAGATGACTGCGACGAACTCGTTCAAGGCGACGCCGGTTTCTACTCCAAACTTCAAGAGTGCATCACCGGGCTCCCAGTACGGGTTGTTTCCTTCTGCCGCTCAGCTCCAACGGCAGTTCAGGAACACGAACGACAAATCGAAACATCCAAGGTGCGCGAGGACATTCGTACCTACATTCGCGAAAGCCTTTCAAGATCTCGGCATTTCCGCAAATTAAGCCCCCAAGAATCTGACGAGATTCTCAAAGGCATGGTTGTCAAGGCCAATGGCAGCTGGCTCTGGGCTTACTACGCCGTTCGCCTCGTCTCCGAGGAAAAGTCGGCAGCCTCCATCATCAAGACAAGCCATGATTTAGGCCCGACTGTCGCGGACGTACTTCATAAGATTGTCGAGTCACTTCAACTCGAACAGAACCCCGATCTCAGAGCTATTCTGTCCATCTTATTGGTAGCCTCACGATCATTGACTGTTGCAGAGATTGGGCAACTCCTCTCGATTGACCTCCACAAGTGCTCAATCTCCATCGCTCCTGATGTTGCCGGCCTCATCTCGAGATACCTCAGCGACCTGGTAATAATCAAGGGTGGTTATGTGCACTTCCGTACGAAGACTGTTCGCGCATTCATGAAAGAACAGCTCGGAAGCAAGTCGCTTCCTCTCGAGCAGACCGCCCACGAGCAACTGACGCTTATGATGCTTCTCTATGTCAAGCTCACGCTGAAAGAGACGAGTGAACCTTCCACCAGTGCCCTTGACTATGACCTTGTCCTTTCTCGTTTTTCCGCAGATTCACTCCTCGGCTATGTCGTGCAGCATTGGGTTGAGCACTTTCAAGCATCAGGCTTTACTGGACCTGAGCTCAAAAAAGTATTCCCCAATTCCATCACGTTTGCCCTGCTTGAGAGAACTTGCTGGACGAGAGCGTTTACCATGGAGGAGCTCGTTTACAACCACAAGCTTGCTCTCCAAGTTCGGCAGGACTGTTTTGGAGTCCGAGATATTACCCTTCTTCACACACTCGTGACTCTTGGATATGTCTTTCAGAATGTTTTCGGTTCAAAAACTGATGCTGCATGGTACTTTTATGGTGCGGCCAAGCTTGGAAGAGAGATCTTGTCAGGATCCTCAACCACTATGAAGAGCTGCATGGAATTCGTCATTGACTATGCCACGATGCTGGAGATTACCGATCGAATCGAAGTTACTGCGACTCACACGGGTTATCAAATCGATATCGTCACATGGTACGAGGAAATGCTGCGACTCGCCATTGAGATTGATCGACATCGATATGGAGAATCCAGCGACGAGGTCCTTTCGTGGTATCAGAAGCTCGCAAAGCTCTATACCGACATCGGGGAAGAAGAACGCGCAATGAGTGTCTACCAGGAAATACGCGCCATCATCATCGCGAGAGACGGCACCGACTCCGGCCGAGCGAAACAAATGAATGCGTACTTTGCGACTTTGGACATTGTTCTTGAGGGCCCTTCAGTCGACAAGATTGGCGAGCTCGAACAGATGATCTTTGAAGTCAACGAGGATGTAGAGATTACTGATCTCTGGTGTATCAAGCTCTGGCTGAGACTCGCGCGCTCATACGAAAGCTGCGATAGCTTTGAGCATCTCTCTCTCGCCGAAAGGCTCTATGTTAGCCTTTGGCAACGCATTACTGTCAATCAAGCCATTGCAGATGATCTTGACATACACCTTATCCGCATTGACATTGCCCTCGAATACGCCAGGTTTCTCTGCAGACATGACCGGATTCAAGAAGCTTGCAGCATCCTCATATGCCTCTGGGCAGAGTATCAGAAGCATGCCTTTGATTCCGAGGCACTCGTCATTCGAATCAGGGATGTCGCAGAAGAGTGCAGAAAGTCTGGGCTAGCGGATATTGCCATGGCCATGCTGACCAAGGTCTTGGATTCGTTCAGCAGCAGCCACAGCGAAGAGATCCAGAAGACTGTTCTCCTCATGAACGAGGTCGTGGAAGAGATTACGGATACCACCGTTAGCAAGAATACTACAACGACAACGGTCGTTACTGAGCAGACTGAAAGAGTGGTCAGGCAGCTCTTTGAGCGTCTCGTGGATCAATACGAGCATAACAGAACAGACATTTCACTCTTCACCGCATCGAAAGCCCTAATTAACCTTTACAATCAGCAGAAGAACTGGCGCGAATCTGAGGCCACCCTCAAGAAAACCCTTGAGCTTACCTGGAATGAAATCTTGACGGAGACCTCCAGCACCAGCTCCAGTACCAAGCTCTGTGAGCGCTCGATCAAGGAATGTCTGGACGTGGCACGTCAGTTAGGCGCTTGTTATTCCACGCAAGGACTCTTCCAAGATGCCGAGAAGATATACTGGCAGATCTTCAAAGCGTGTATTTCCGTTGGACTGGAGGAAAATCTCGGGACACCCGGGAATCCGCTGACAGGCGCTCAGCTCCTGGTGGATGCAATCACAACATTGGTTGCTTTCTACGAGAAGCATCATCGCCACAGAGAGGTTATTGATGTTTACACGCTTGTCCTGGACAAGTACAGGCTTGAACTCGGTCAAAAGCATAAATTGACCATCAGAGCCCTGTACTTCCTGGCGTCCTACCACAACGATCTCGGCCTCGAAAAGGCGTATGATTACTACGCTGAGATCCTCACTGTGCTCAACGAAGGCCTGGACTACTGCCACCAAGATGCCATCAAAGCAGCTCTCGTCCTCTACATCCACTACGATGCACGGAAGCGTTGGAACGACCTTCAGCTCGTTTGCACCGCTTTGTGGGAAACGATCCTTCGCCGTCGTGGCAAGCAGACCGAGGAACAATCCGAAATTACTGGAGAAACGGTTGCTTCCGTCTACGAGAAGTATTCACATGTCCTAGACTTCCACGTCAAGGTGGACTTTCTGGTGCTTTACCGTCTTGCTGTCGAGTACAGGGAGATTATCGAGGAAGGTTACCACGACAAGCCTGAGTTGGTGATTAAATCTCTGGTTACTCTAGCAAAGATCTGCGAAACGAGTGAAAACCACCACGAGGAGTCTATCAAGGCCTACGAGCAAGTTCTTGAAAAGGTCAAGACGACCAAGACAACCAGTACTATCGAAGAGACAACTGTCGACACTGTGAAGAAACGTCTGTCTAGGATGTATGTGACCATTGTCAAGGGTTCTCAGAGGACGACAATCTCCCTCGACCGTGCCATCGAGATCTCGCTGGAAACATACGAGCAGTATAGGGCTGCATTCAAGGATTATCCTGAGCAGACGCTGAATCAGCTTGAATGTCTCATCTTGCTGTACCAACAACTAAACACAGCAGAGGCACGACAGCGCATATGCGAACTGCTAGAAGCATCAGCCAGGTACATCATCACCATAGCTGCGGTCAACATGACGCTCTTCCATGCTGCCACTTCGCTGGCCGCGCTCTTCGTCAACGCCGGTATGATTCAGAATGGGAGAGACCTGCTCCAGGAGATGCGCCACAAGATCATTTACGGAGACCGATTCCTCCAAAAAGACACACAATCTAGCCTGGATGCTCAGATGGGAAAGGCTATCTTCATCTTCTTGATCGCCTTTGGACATGGTCTTGAACAGCATTCCGAGAGTCTCTCTTACACCAAGATCATGGCTGAGATTGTTCTCGAGTCGTTGTTGTATGAAGAGTATTCCCGCGTGAATCATAGTGAGGCTACTCTAGAGGTAATTTTGCAGTATGGTGCAAGGCTTCGCCGCTTCTGGCAGGCTTACCAACGCACTGAACTGATTGAAACACTGGACCGAGACCTCATGGATCGCTTCAAGTCGGCATATGCTCACTGCTTCGACGTCAACTGCAGCAAGCAAGTGAGAGAGTCTCTTTACTATTACTTGATGGAAGAGTTGGGCAAGGATCGACCGACCGTCAAGTTCGATTTTGAGACTTTCATGCTACAGATCGGAAACGAGCAAGTCAAGTCTCTTTTGTGGGCAAGCGAGTTCTATGCCGCAAACCAGATTGGCCGTTTCGTCTTCCAATACTCCAAGGAGAGGAACCTGTATCACGATCGCAGCCGTATCCGCTACGGATACACGCTGGCCCAGTATCTGGTTGGTATAGGCGCACCCCATCCCGACGATGAGGACGGAAGAAATATGGTCGCCACTTCACAGGATATTATGGACGACGTAATAGATGCGTTCGACACGTTGGAGATCGACTTTGAAAGACTTCGTTCGGAAGACCTTGTCGGTCTCATCCATCTGCTACAGGCACAAGGCAACTACGAGCAGCTCGAGCGCGTGCTTTCTTGCCTCTGGCGTTTCAAGGGAGACATTCATTCGACATTTGGCGGCGATGCTCAGAAAATCATCGAAATCGGTACCTGTCTGGTACACACTCAATGTGCCCAAAAGAGGTACTGGGCGGCAATTGAGACAGCTCGACAGCTGTACTACAACTTGCAGCGTGCTCGCGGAAGACTTGATCGGGAGACGCTGGAAGTTGCACGACTTGTGGCAAGCATCTATGCCACGATGGCCTCCGAAGGTGAAGACGAGGACCTGGATTATATCTCATATGCCATGGATATCCATCAGAATGTTCTGCGAGAGCTTGCTTCTCCTTCTGGAGTCGTATACAACGGATATACACGCCACGATCCCGAATTCCTTGCCGAACAGGCATATATTCATTCGTCTCTCTTGAAAAACCTTCGGTTACAGCTCAGCGATTCACAGTCCAAGCACTGGATAAAGAGGGAAAAGGATGTTAATGAGCTTTACCACAGCTTACAAGATGACTTGAGGTTCAATGAAACTATCAAGGAATCTCACCAAGTGCCACCATGGCAGTACGCTCCTCCAAAGACGTGGAGATTCGAGGAGCCAGAGGCGGAAGGATATGCAAATGGAGTCGATTGGTATTCTGACAACAAGGTATTGGAGACGGCGCAGAGAGAATGGGTGTTGGCTACGCGCATCTTTGCTTGATGGCAGCTCGAAGGAATAGCGTCGAGCTGCTACCTGTACAGCATGTTACCCTACATGCGTTTCCTTTGTTCTTTTTTGTGAGGTTCATCTCTTCAGTCTATCTAATATAGTCTCTGTCTAGTTATGTAAACGGAATTGACTCGTCGGTTTTGCAGTGGCTGCTGGAAGGTAGTGGTTGTCAATGTGTAATAGTTTCTGCATTGGCTATCCCCTACACTCAGGATCCGTTATATCCCTTCTTGATTAAAACATTGTCATGAACCCATAATGACTAAATATGATGTTACAATTTCTTTATCAATATTAGACTTCAACTCAGTCACCTTACTCCAGGAATATCCTGACCCTCTGGTTGCATATCGAAACCTCGTCCGCTCTCCCAGAGTCAAGCTACATTTGATGAAATGGTAGATTGGTAGTCTGAGTCATGATCACAGACGAATACCAGCTGCTGTATGCCTTCGCACTTTCACAATAGCCATCCGGCGGGGAAACTTCCAAAAGCCAACGACTCCCACGATCAAGCACATACGACCATAGGTAGTGGAGAATTCGGGGTCCCGTCTGCTCCCCCATAGACAAGCCACTAACCGGCAGATTAGTAGTCAGGTGGGTGACCACTGGCGAACACCGGCTGTTGTATGTTTTTACTTTTTTGCATTTGTTGCCAATTGTCTCTTTTTTTCTTTTGTAAACTCATGAAGTTTTGAGTATCGTCTGTGAATGGCTTCAATGACGGGCAGTTCTGTGGAGAACCTCACTACTACCATATGCAACCACTATGGGAGCACTAGGTCTGAAACGGGTGGAGGGTTACATCGAGCGCGCTGTATGTATGTACTTCCATGCATTTTGGTATCTTACGAGTAATCCTGCGCATTTCATCTTCAGATGGCTCCTTGTATAACCTACTGCCTTCACCGGAGAGAACCCGCTTGGTCCGGGAATCTCCTAAGTACTTGTAACAGTACTTTTCCTGTTTATTTTGTCAGCCATGCTTCTCTTTATACCAAGTTCAAGGTGTCAAATCCCGTACTGGTAGACAGTGCCATCCTGGTAGATGGAGCACCCATTGTATCCCGTTCCAATGCCGCATTGCATCGTGCCCGGTCCTCCCCATGTAATGGATGAAGCGATGCAGTACACAGACTCGCCGTTCGCACCACAAGACGGGAACCAATTCATGCCAACCGTGATGCAGCCGGGTGTTCGATCGCAAAAGGCAGCGCAGATGGCGGCTCTTGCGGTGTGCGGAGTGCCGGCGGGGATGTCTTGCGAATACTGATCGATGAAGCTATTTCAATGAGAAGATTAGTTTTCGATGTCGTTCAATATCGCCGTAGAGTTTGAAGAAAACTTACTCAGCCATTGTATAGGCGCATCCATTTACCGGGCCATAGATGCGGGTGTACGAAGAGGTGGTCGAGACAGTCGTGGTGGCGAGAGGTACTATAACAGTCTTTGTGGATGTGGTAGGCAATGTCGTTGTGTATGCTACATCGACTTCCGAGAAAGAAGTGACAGAAATCGTCGTCGTGGCAGCAGTGAGAACTTGGGTAACAAAGACCGTTGACAATGTTGAGAGGGAGTCAATGCTGGTGGTAGCCGTCTCGACGTCCAGCACCGTGTTGACATTAGGGATGGAGGTAGTGGTTGTCTAGAGAAGGAGTCAGATGCCGGCCAGAGGTATGATGCTTGAGGAACTGAACCTACAGAGGCCGTCTTGATAGTAGACGTAGACACCTTTTTGGCCGTCACCGTACCGACGACATTCACAGTCTTGGTGGCGCATACAGTCCTGTACGATGTATGAGTGCACTTGGCCGTGGCCGTAATGGTATGCGTAGGCGGATGAACTCCAAGACACTTCAAGGCGTTAGCGTCTCTGATCTATTTGAGGACGGGAGTATCGTTGAAGAGGATAACCCACTGAGCATGCAGTCTTCAGGGTGTCCCTCCGGCAGGCAGCCAGTCTTGGCAGGAGATCCTCGCGGAAATCATGATGCTTCTGCTGATGTCGCCTTGTCAAGCCAGTGTCAATAGTCGTATAAGCGGTAGCGGTTCCAGAAGAGACCGTCACAGTTTCCTGTTCCGTGGTGAAAGCAGTAATGGTTGCGGTTGTCGTCGTCGAAGGGAGTGTAGCAACGATCCTGGTGCTGCATATCGTCAGTTATCTTGCATAGCTGACTACTATGTGCGCAACTCACATGGTGTTGGTACCGGTAGTCTGGTAGTCGGTCGAAGTCGAAGTGTACTCAGTGGCAATGTTCGTCCGGGTGTAGACCGTGTCAATTTCCGTGCCGGTGTGAACAGTCCGTGTCTGCGGAAGATCAGCTGTCATGCTCTACCTGAATTTCAGGCTCTAAGATGGCTTACCGAGGTTCCTGAGGTAGCTGTAGCAGTCACTGTAGTTGTGTAGATGTACGCAGTCGATGTCGAGGTGTAAATGGTCGACGTGGTGACGCGGGTGGCGGACGTAACCGTTCGAGCAGGCTTAGAGACGGTCACAACTGCAGTCGTCGGCTTCGTCACCGTTCGAGTGACGGTTGTAGGAGGCAGAGGATCTTTTTCTGGTCAGTATACTCCCCTCGATCTCTGGTGAATGTACTCACAGTAGTGGGAACAAAATGATTCTGCCGGCGGGTAGTGCTTCAGAGGGAGCAGCTCAGCATAAGGCCAATGTTGGCATACCCTGTCAGCCGCCAGTACAGACTGGACTTGGAGAAGGCAAAGCCCAGACAAGATCCTGAGTGACACCATCGTGAGACCTCTTTGTGTGACCCAAGGTCTGATGAGAAGTAGGTGGCTCGACCAGCAAACGCTGATACCATTGCCAGGGCCTTTTTACATACACTTTACAAATTCTCATCTCTTTAACTCTACAGGTCCAGGCTCTGTGACTGAATGAGCCACAACTGGAGCCGCTAGGAGCTACCAGGTTGGTGTTTGTTTGCTGGAAATCCTCGCTTCAAGGACCGTAAAAGGAGATTGTATCTCTTAGCTTGACGCCAAAAGATGTAGATCTGGGCCTAGAATCCGGCCGCAATGCTTGTCTTGTTCGATCATTGTCAACAGAAGGCTCTATTGGATCGTAGATCCCCGCTAAATCTCGATAGTTAGGTGAACATCAACTATTGAGAAAAAAGGTGCAGGCCTAGTCTGTTAGTATCGGGATCTCTTCCGCTAGAGTCAAACCGACTGCCGCTCGGTGCACGCATCGAGCCAAGGGCAATTCTCAGCTCTTTCATGGCGGAGACTAAGTTGAGATGGCTTTATAAACATCAGGTCGGTGTTCATCTTGGAATGAGTTCTGTAAATCCAGATTCTAGCGAGGTTCTCCCTACACGAAGACGAGGACTACCTTGAGCATCAGAGTTCTATCCTCTGTGTGGGGAATCTCGGAATTGACATGTTCACAGATCTCTGGCAACAAGATCTAGCGATAAGTGCTCTTCTTGATACAGTTTCACACAATGCAAGTCGGCCGATTGTCTTTCATTTGGCTGTTATGCCGATTGTGACTGGACGTGTCTTCACTTCCATATGAACTACAGATCTACGGTCAAGCACGTATCAGCCGCGGCTGAAGCTTGTGAGAAGGATCAGTTCAGGTATTGCTGAACTTGCTTAACTTTCCAAGGATCAATTTCCAGGGCTTAGAACTAACGTTTGGGATAGCAGCCGCGGATTATATGTGGCTTCAGACGATAGGCTTCATCGCAGCCTCCCTGCAGGTCGCACCTAAACGCGAAGAGGCGGTCTATGCAAGCGAAGCGCAAGATGCAAGACGTCGTTTGCATTTACAGGGCAGAGGGCTCGGTAGCTCATTTTCTCAGAAGCAGTCGAACAAGTATAGCATTTCTCATCTATGTACTCATCCCTCCAGAGGAGATGTGCATGTAAAGGAATTGATCTGGGGCGATTTGAAAGCATCAATCAAGCCCTCTATGGCCGCATATGCTCCCAGTCCACTCAACGCCAGAGACCCAAGCGTGTATACAAGCAGTATAACATTCAACCACCAAAACCTGCCAAAGAACCCACGAATCCACCGCTTCACTCCCGAGTCTCGTCGATGAATCGCGCCAGTCGCCGGGTCAAATGCCTCTTCTCCCCGCATCGCGTTCCTCTGAATGAACAGACCGAGACCGATGAACGCGGGAAATGTATACGTAAACTGCACAAGGCAAATGGCAGCGATGACGCTCGTCAGGCCGAAGAAGTCGGGGATCGCAGCCGCAAAGACGAAGGCGACGACCCAGTAGATCGGGACAATGACAGCCCACAGGATCTTGCCGCCGGTCGAGGTGAGCGGCGGGGCTTTGAACATTTCGATCAAGACGTTATTGTAGATGACCTTGATTCCAATGTTGCCGTAGAGAGTCGCGGCGATGATTCCGCTGATAACGGCGAGCATGTTGCAGACGGTTTGCCAGGCATAAGGCGAGAGGCCCTGATAGGCGAGCTATTCGAGGCAATGGTCAGCACATATCGATATGATCAGCGTATCTTTCGGTGAAGCTTACCTGATTGGCATACTGTCCCTGGTAAAAGTAGACAAACGATCCATACGACATGTAGCAGGCATAGATGAAGAACTGGGCTCCCCACATCGCCTTGAGAAAGTCACGGGGTCGCTGAAGCTCAGCCATAAACTCAACAAACAGCTGCGCTCCTCCATATGCATAGACGCCATTCATGAGACCGTTGATCGAGCCGGTGAAGCCGTTTGTTGACGGGGGAACGCCACCATATCTCTGGATCGGGGGATACGTTCCGTTGGCATACGGCGTAACAGAGAGTCCGCCCAGGGCAGCTCCAGCAGAACCAGCCTGAGCAGCTGCATAGTTGGGCTCACTATGAGCCATGACGCCCATACTGATGAACATGACCAAGAGGTTCAGGACCACGGCAAAGTTGGCCAAGAAGCCGAGCTTGTTGAGCGTTCGGATCTGTCCTGTGAAAAAGCCCACAATGGCCCAGATCAGGCAGCACACGATGTAGCAAAGATGGAACTTTGACACCTGCGAGATGGAAAGACCGTTGCTAATGACAAGGATGCCGACGCTGATCATCAGCTGCAGGGCTTGCAGGAAGTTGATCGTGTAGCGGAGCCAGGGGCCCCAGATGCGGAATCCGAGGTCGCCGTAGTTTTTGACTGGGAATTCGTATGAGTCGACATCAAGGAAAGCTTTCCAAAGAATCCAGCCGGAACTGTTACACCTTTGTCAGTATCTCAAGTCTCCTGATTGGAAATAAAAAGATGTTGTCAATGACTTACGCTCCAGCGCAGAGACCAAACAGAGTAAACAGTCCGATACCCTCTCCCCAACCCATCGTACCAATAGAGAAGCCCACTCCAAAGGGGCCCAAGATATCCGTCGTGATCAGGTAGAAACAAGCCGCCGCACTAGCTGAACGCAAAGCCCGGCTAGCATTCGTCCACTCCAAATCCGTGATGAGCAGTTTGTTGTCGTTCAGGTTCGACTTCTCGCCTTCTTGCTTCTCGCTGGGCTGCTTGCCCTCCAAGCGTCTCGAGGTACCCCTTGATGGGAACACCATATCTATGAAAGTAGTGGGCGGTGCGGTGGCCGCGACTGAGTCTTCTTCCGCTCGAGTCTTTTCGGCGTAGTACATGTATTCTTCGAGGGTGACGCTGGCATCGTGGAGGGGGCGATGCTGGGGCTTGATGGCAGCTGAGGGTATGACATTGGCGCTTGTGAAGGCATCCTCAGGGCCAGAGGAGTAATCCTCTTTTTCGGAGCCCATGTTGATGGTCAAATGAGGCCAAGAGCGAGGAGGCCTCGGGTATGAGCAACCAGAGTCTAGGCAATGGGTTGACTCAAATTCGTCTTTGGACTGACAACTGTGATGACGGGCCACAGAGATAACGTCTTGATTATTCGAGAAGTGTATATAGCAAAAGAAGTACAGACTCCGGGGAAGATCAAGATATTCTGGGGATATATAGGTGCTTTTGATGAGACGACATCGGATACTTGACCCCGTCGCCACCGTTATGACTACCCGTCCTCATCGGAGTCAACGATCTGAACCGACTCCATGGACTCCATCTTCTGCCATCTGTGGCAATGTGCATGTCAACTTACACTCCTCACGCTCAGTCCCACAGTGGCTCTCCACGATATGGAAAGATGGGTTTGCAAGGATCCAAACCCCGAGGTGACTAAAGTCCCGTCTTTCAGATCCAGTCGCATGCCGATATTCCGCACGCTCGACCACAACGACTCTTCTCCGAAGAACTTTTGAACATGACCCACAGTTGATGTTTGTAAACTGGATACTTGTATGAATCGAACACGAAAAGGGCGTGTTTGACTCCGGGAGAGACTACCTGATATTGTCAACCGTGCCGGGAATTGTGTAAGGTCCCGTATATCTGGGAGTTAAGACGCCATCCGAGCTCGGAGACGCTGTGGCCAAATCTCAGCCTCCCGCCTGGTAAGAATTTTTTCTTCCATTGACTTTGGCCTTACTCGACTTTTACATGACTAGTTCCGTCCGGTGAGATGCTTATTGCAGAGAGGACCTCGCGCCAAGTACCATCCCTCCCTAAGATCTATGCCAAGGACATGCGGGAACGGAGGTTTTCTCCAGTGACGCCATTCTAGGAGCAAGCCATGATGTACTGGAGCCAATCAGCTTCTCCTGCTTCGCCGATGCCACGTTTTCTAGAAGTGACGATGTGACTGGGGCCGTGGGGTGGCGTGGGCGATTCAGCGCCTCCCGCGATGCCAAGTCATTTGACGGCTGATGGTGGTTTACGTCTGACGCCCTTCATCTACAGATCAGCCAGGTCGTAATGCAATAGAACACTGACGAGCGGCTAGGTAGAATCAAGTTTTGAGACTCAGAGATACTCATGGAAATCTTCTCACTGTTGGAACCCATCCAGCTGGAGCCGACAGCCACAGTCCATACAAAAGAACCACAGCCAGATGCCAACATAAATGGAGCCCCGGCTCGGAACTGCCGGCTCGATCTGAACCACGGCTTTTGTCACCTTTTGCGGAACCAAGAGACAGCCCGTGTTAAGGCCGAGATCCGCCTCCATTCGTCGACCCACCTCCCGGCATTCCCAGCAGTTCCGGCGTGCTGGGATCATGCAAAACTCTCCGAGGCTCCTAAAGCAGAGGTCTGGTGCTAGTATTGCTTTCGTAGACCAGAAGTTTTGACGAATACGGTAACTACATGTATTGCCCATGTATTACGAACAACTAGAGGCTCTTTGCGCAATCCTACCTACAGACACGAAGAACTTGTAAGCCTATGGTATGAGTCAAGTCCAGCATAAAGCAACGTGATAGTCTCATGATCATCAAGAAGAGCAAGGGGAAGCGTTTCGCTTCTGAACCTTCATTCTCGACCCATCTCCCTAAGGGCAAGGCGACGATGATCTTCGGCGTAGGCAGCCTCTGCGACTAAAATACAGTGGGTGCCTCGTTGAGAGGACTTGTGTAACGTCCAGCCTGGAGAGGCATGCCTCTGAGCTGACGTCGAGTTAGTAGTGACGGATGAGATAGTATGCTTCATCTTTGTCAAAAAGATGCGTCGACCGCAAGAGATTCGTCTCTCAGACTGTCGGTATATTACCATGGGCTTTGCACAGGGAGGCCCTTAAAAGGAGCATCTGGAGCTGTCCAATCTTGAGTCGCTGGGCCAGCCAGGTTCTCTTGGCTGAACGCTGTCTCAGACGATTCAATACCCAATTCTACTCACCGGGTCTCTCGATGTCCCATAATCCTCCCTTGCTCAATGCCTTCTGCATTATCCAAGACGATGACGCGGACGAAGAGAACGTGATCGGCTCCAAATGGCAGATCACAACTTCGCCCGCCTCACTTCGGTGGCGGCACCAGAGCATGATGTGGACAGCGGCCTCCCAGGCTTTTGCTCAGGCACCCGTTTGCTCACCCAACAAGGAGCTGCTGTCCTACCACCCTCGGGTACAAACACTTGCCTCTCCTTGATGACGACGCCAGTCCCTTTGAGCATTCCAAGTAATCATTCCCTGCAGCCAATGTCCAGAAATACTCGCGTTTGAACCATGCAGAAGCATGTCATGTAGCAAGAAGTTCTCGTCTTTATGCCCCAGCAATCATACTGGATCTGTAAAGAGATCACCTTTGGCGAGGAAAGCTTACATGTACTTTGAGAGCGAAGCGTTAAGCGCCCACCGCTTCCAACGAGGAGCTGCTGTATAGAGAACACAGAGACGCACCTTTCGCTATTTATGTGAGGCCGAGAGCCCGAGGCGCAGTTCTGAAAGACGTACCAGAATCTGGCGGTTATGTACGTCCGCTGAGCGTTCACTCGCCAGAGATGTTTTTCTTGGCTTTTCTTGCTGTGACACAAGGGCTATCAACTCTGTCTGGTGAGGGTCTAGCGGGGATTGCCCTGGTCGTACCTTGAACAAGCTTCATTTGGATCTCATTTTCAGGGGTAAGGTCAAGACTCGATCAGTTGACCTTGACAATGACATTGTTGCACCAGATGGCACCGTTCCCTGGCTTATGTTAAGTGAGCCAGAGCGGTATGTGAGATGCTCATCCGCTTCGGAGACGATCAATATGCCGAATAGGGTCTGTGAGTAGGTCCTCTGTGGGCGCCAGGTCGCCCTACAATATGCAGTTCGCTCAAACATCGGTTGCCTCGCCGGCACCCTAGAGTGAGATTCCCCAGATTCTGTCCTTCAAGCACCACCGCGACCCGCTCCGCCTCGGGCGGGTGAGGGCTTCAACGGCCTCATATGACCACTACGGTCGCGAGCGAACACAAGTGGGAGCTTGAAGCCAATCAACAAGTGACAGTGACAGATCTCCAGGCTCACGCCTCGGGGCTGATGGCAGAGCTGCGCAACGCCCTGGAGAAGCAGCTTGTTTTCTTCCGGACCAGTTCATCCCTGTCACTGTTGTGCCACCATCAGGCGCTGCTGTTCGCCAGAGCGCCATCGTAGGCACCAATAGAGACGTAGTCGAAGCGATGGGGGCTCTGACCATGGAATCTGAGCAAACTTCTGGCAGTTCAGAAAGCAAGAAACACCATCATCTCGCTATCATGCGAAATCTTTTCTCAAGGCAGCGCTCCTTGCTTTACTGACCAGATGGGTTACCGACATAGAGTCTCGCGTCAATACCGGCAACATATCAGAAGAAGCGTGGGAAAGCAACCCCGTACCGGAAGCCCATCACCACGAGATTAGAGTCGAGTTATCTCCAAGTATGTCGTTGGTTCGAGTCCTGAGGAGGAGGCTCACCATCTACAGAGCTGTGGCAATGCTGTGCAACTATAGAACCAACACTCTGGCAATATCGAAGCTCAAACAAGGCGGTAATGTCGAGTTCTAAGCGAGCAAATAACTTCAACTTCGCCCTCTCTACAAGCTCTAGAGGCCTTTGAATAGGCCTACAGATGGTCTGTTCGTCCAGCCATGGCGAGTATCTATATATAACAGACACTCGTGGTTCAAGCTCACCCAATGGCATCTTTGTGTAGCAGCATCTCCCAACGCATGACTTGAAGCTAAGCCCAATATCAGGTACTCATCCGCTTCCGAACGATACACAAGACATCGCATTCGACGACTTGGCTGCTCTATGTGGCCTTTATACATAGCCTACGATGGCCTCCTAAAAGCAAACATCTGGGAATCAGTTTCCTTTTGACCGGAGGTGCGCAGTTGAGATGCTCTTGGCACGGAACAAGGCGACTGTATGGACGACGGCGAGGAGTATGAGCGAAGACGAGGTGTTTGGATAGAAGTGAGGCATACAATGGAAATGTTTGCTCCAAGGCAGAGAAAGAGACGATATTTGCTATCAAGGGAGAGGAAAATGGCTATAAAATGAGGAAGTTAAGATCTTCTGGACAAGTTGCCAGCTTTCACCTTCGTCTCAACCAGCTTTACTACGAAAGTGCTGCTCTCTCACGGAAACAAATTCCTGAATACTGAAAGAAGTCCCCAAAAATCGCATACAGCCTAGATCTAGACGTCAAAGTCGAGGTCTAGGTAGTCTCCACCATGCCTTTAGCCGGCAGTGTGATATGGTTCCTCATATGCTTCCTCCTCCTCATACAGTCCGTCCTCGCTCTCAACAAGAACAATGACGATGAGAAACACGGCATGGGAGATGACTTTTTCAACAATCTAGCATCTGATCTTAAGGAGTAAGCCTATCCATCAAGCCCAAATACCTCTGTTTTAAGTTCTCAAACACCGGTTCTCTAATATTTTAAACGTCAAAGGTATCTTGCTGTCTTCGCCGATCGCTTCACGATGCAATTCCTCTCTCAATCCTTGACCACCTCCGACTATATTCTTGCCTCAATCAAGTCACCTGGCGTCATGACCACCCTTGTCTCTGCCATTCGGGCTGGCGGCCCGCAACGGCTCAGAGATATGTTCGGAAAAACGGCCGAGAACACAGCCGCCGTGGAGCTGGAAGTCATGTCGTCCACCTCTAGAGAGGTGGGTGAGCTCTACAACGGGAGAGAGGTGGTTCGCTGCCTCGGGCAAGCCCCTATTTGGGAGTTCATCTACTTGATTCCTGATAAACTCCTGCCTGAGACAACGAAGACCAAAGAGATGAGCATGAAGGAGGCTGTCGACCAAGGTTATATGAGAATGGGTCAGTCGAAGCTCCTTTGAGACACTCATGTGTGGTGAGCTGCTGCTAACATAATATCGATGCAGTATCTTACGCCAGAAAGAAGACCTTTTGGCAAAAGGTCCGGGATCTCCTCTCGTTTCGGTCTGTCGATGACCATGACGGAACTCCTGAAAATGGCAGCAAAAGCAGTATCCACGCCCATCACACTGAAGCTGTCATTGTCAGAATCGTTCGACCTGAAGCGCCCAACATTTCTCTCAATCGGTCCAAGAATACTGGGCGAGGCGAGCTACGTTTTGCCGCTGGTGTTGCCATCTTTTTGTTCCTATTGTTCTCCCTATGTTCCTACCTCATCACCTGCCATCCCGAGATATCGCTTACATTCCTCAAAGACGGATCTCCCGTTCCTCCCTATGCCTTTGCGTGTACCTTCTTCGGCTCACTGTTCTCGGATTTCAGCTCATACATATCCGCTTATGTCATAGGGAGCAGCACAAAGGAGGAAATATTCCAACCGGCCAAGAATTGGCGAGCGAGGATGGTATGGGTACAGGGAGAGAAGATTGTGGGTGATCAAGAGTTCAAGCCATTTGCCATCTTCTCGGGAGAAGATCAACCCAACATCATCACTTCGAGCAGAGTCGACGACAACCAAGGTCCTGGCTATATTCGGCGTCATTTGGAGAACCTCACTTACAGGGGAGCCGTCTTGAACATGATCGGCTCCGCTCTCCAGGCTGTTGGCTTCCGAGCATCACATTGTTCTGTCTCAATTCTTTATCTCATTGTGGTGTTGATAATGCTCATTGTGAAGATGGTGGTTCGTCGTGGACGATCAAGACCCATTTTCTCTCGAGCCATTATTCCAGGATTTCAGTTCGCCTGGCTTGCGGACTCTTTGAGAGATCCCAGCAGCGCTCCCTGGTTAAGAGATCGGAACGAGCTCTCCAAAGAATCTTTGGATAAGTCCTCAAGCCGAGTATCTGACGAACTGACTGGCGGAAGAACCGGTGGCCCAGATCCTGATGAGGCCCAGGAGAGCACCAGGAGGCTACAGAGCCTTGTCAGACTTGCAAGCTCACCTTCTCCCCCATGCCAAGAAGCCACTCAGCTCGTGGAGGCCATGGAAGAGGTGATGGGTATCCTGCACAAAAACAGCAGCCGGGTAGCGTTCACCTGGACTGACAGAGTTCAAGCGGGAGAGTCGAACGTCGAAAGTCTCAAACACAAGATTACCAAGCAACCTGACGGCAAGTGGAAAGCTGATGTGGGACGAATTGCGGCTTCCCTATCACTCAAAGAGTTTTACGCAAGGATCAAAGCCGAACCGCAGTCACCATCTGGATCTTTTGAGAACGATGCTGAGAGGCTATATGAGTGCTGCGACATGCCTGGCAAGAAGATGAGAATCCTCGGAGCCCATAAAGGCTCTCTTCTCAAGCAGCTCAAGTGGTGGACTCCTGTGGATGGGCCGCAAATCCTTGTCGGCCAAGCGAAGTACATCGCTGCCGAGGAGAGCCATACAACCGATGACGGAAGCCAACAGAACCATGTCGCCCGAAGCAACAACAAGTTTGAAATCGGAGAGTCGTTCGTCACCGGGCTGGATCCACGTCTGGGAGATGTGTGCATAGAAACGGCCAATGCCGTGTCTCTCCTATCCCAAGGAGAGTCCACGTCCCGTTCCGAAACTTTCAATCACGGCCACGCAGTTACAGATCCAGAGCCCGCCTTTGGCTGTCCTTTGCAGCTGCCATCTCCCTACTCACGAAACTCGGGCCGCGGCAAATGGGAGTTCAAAGTATCGGAGCGCGATGCTTCCGAACCACCCAGCGAGGACTCAAGTCGCGTGCTCTTCGTTGAGTCTTGCGATTCACTGCCCGTCTTTTTGGCTAAGGACATGTTCGCGACTTTCATGTGGGCCGCGTTAGAAGCCGTCGAAGCGCCCATCGGGGGCGAGACAATCATATCACAGGAAGAAGTCAAGACAGACGAATTCCAAGGCCTAGGAAAGCACTGCAACCTCGAGAACAGCGTCATCCACAAACTGGTCCGGCGCGTCCAGAGCACAGGACTTTTTAGCAAATCAGACGTTTATCACAGCATCATCCTCCCCCTGAGCATGCAAAAGAAGCTCCCTGACGCCTCCATCGTGGTGGAGAAAGTGCGCGACTCTGCCAAGCAACCCGAGGCGTGCAGGCATTGGGACGCGGCGGTCGCGGATTACCTATGGCTCAGTAACAACATGGACGCTTTTCCTGCCAGAAGCCACGCCCTTATGAGAGCCGCGGCTGTCTTGGTTGCCTTTGAGACAGCTCTTGGGGGCACTGTCGATCCGATGACTGCAACGGACGCGGGGACCGCATCCAAAACTGCGGACCGTCTCAGGGAGTCTATGGAAGACATTGATCCAAAGCTCATGAAGCAGCTTCGTTCATTCTGCAATTTGGATGACGCTAACGAATGGCGGCAAAGCTTTTGGTCCCATTACAAGGGACTGCTTCTCAGTTCGTACGAGGTATACGGAGAGGATGGCACAGATTCCGAGTGGTCTGCGCAGACAAGTGCTAGAGAGCAAGACATGTTCGACAGGACACCGCTCCACTACATGGCAGCATTGGTCAGAGATGCAGACGTCACATCTGAGAGGGCCAGTGTAACGAGATTTGCCGAAGACGAAGCCAAGTCTGTGAAGTTCCGGCAACGTGTTGGAGCTTTGATCAACTACGGCAACGCCATTGACGCGTGCGACCTTCGCGGATGGACGCCGTTGCATTACGCAAGTCGAGCTGGAAACATATCCATGACTCGGTTGCTCCTCGAAAAGGGTGCCTCGGCCGACGCGCAGAGTCGCGATGGTACAGCCGCCCTCCATTGTGCTGCAGATGGAGGCCACTGGCAGATGGTCCAGCTTCTGATCGAGTTCGGAGCCAACGTCGACGTAGTCGATGGAGCAGAAAACACCGCCTTGCACATAGCAGCGCTCAGAGGGTCGGTCAAGATTGTGAACACTCTGCGCCAAGGTGGCTGTCGAAGCCTACGGAACGAGCTAGGACAAAGAGCCATTCATCTGGCAGCCATGCAAGGGCAAGCCGAAGTCATCGAGCATTTGCAAGAGGATGTCGGCTTCAAGGACTTTGCGGGAAAGACATCTCTTCGAATTGCCGCAGAGCTTGGCCACAACTCATTCGTGAAACGGCTTCTTGAGCTTTCAAAAGCGCAGGTTGAGCTGCTTCTGTCTGCGAAGTTGACCCAGGACGAACTGCGCCTGACGCCGCTCTACCTCGCTTGTGAAGGAGGCCATGACGACGTCGTCGAGACTCTCTTGGATAATGGTGCGCCCATCGATGGCTTGGGGAAGCCATTTGAAACACCATTGTTTTTTGCACTCTTGGAGCACAAAGAGAGCATTGTGAGACTCCTCGTCAAGAAGGGCGCCAATCTCGAGCTTAGGGACGAGCGTGGACGGACACTTCTTCACTGGGCCATGGAGGAGCGAAACACGGCCATCGCCAAGCTTCTATTGAGACTGGGGGCTGATGTTGAGACCGTCAACAACGCAAGAGAAACGCCGCAAATGATTGCGGAACGTGTGGGTTTGTCCCAGTGGTGGAGAGACAACATGGCGGAGTCCGCATGAGGTATGTTCAATCGTTCGAGTACACATGGTGCCAGGACGCTTTTGCTGCAAGTGGCCTCACCAAAAGGTACCCTTCCCCTAAGTAATCGAAATGTCCTGACACTGAACTCTGTTGCCCAGACTGTTCTTCTTACAATATGGACCTCACTCATCCGAATAAAGCACCCCTCAAAATATCACTTTCCCGAATCTCATTGCTCCTTGGAAAGGTTTTTACAGTTCATGTTATTACCCAGATTGTCATGACCCAGGTTGTTCAAGGATCGGATACACCTACACAAAACAGGTCCTGCCGCAGAGAGAGAGTCGCCTTCCCTATCTAACCTTTAATGTTCGGATTTTTACGCGGAATGTTAATGACGTCTTTACAGTGATTATTGTTACATAGTCTAGAAGTTATCGTACAGAATGAATCAAGAGCACTACAATACATATAAAACTTTGATACGAGCATTTGTCTGTGGCTCGCTTCTCTGTAATATCATTTACCGGTTTTGGTCTTGCAAAGGTGCCGGGACTACACGCAAAACCCCCATCCCCACATCTTATAATTCCTCATCTAATTCCCGATCCCACCAGGGTCGAGGCTTGGCACAGATCCCCGGAAATCCATACTCGTGTCAAGCAAGTCTCTCAGCTCCAAGCCTTCAACGCAAAGGAAGGAAAATACAATACGTACCATGACATAGACCTTGAAAGGCGGTCCAGCCTCATCCCGATTCCATCGCCCAATGCTTACTCTCCCACGGTTCAACTCCTCCCCGCGTCTCGAGCCAAACCGACCAACTCCAGGATAAAGGAACCTGATGCTTCTGTTCATGCATGTTCAGACTAGCCCTACAAGATGTGCCGCTGCTACGCCCAATCACGACCAGCTCGGGTAATTTAGTCATTCAGCTCAGGCAGACAGGCAGGACAACTTGCATGCACGCGGCAAACAAGCTTCTGCCACTCTTGATGTGTTGTTCATCCTCTTCTATTCCTGGTGTTGCTTCAGACCCAATTGAAGAGCAAATCATCACGATATCCTCTTCTGTATCCTCACGTTTTTCAAAGCGCTGACTCAGAGATCAAACCACCTGAAAGACCCAAACCAGGCATCTCACGCCATGATTTTCAAACCGCCACCCCTTCGATTCCCACCCAGGCCCAGGCACCAGAAACCCCCCATCAGTGCCTTTTTTACTTCCTAAACTCCCTTCAGCCTAGTGACGGTCCATGAAGGCAGAATGCGCCCTCTTCCCCTATTCTCCTCGACCAATATTTTCTTCCCGCCTTGTCTCCAATAGGCAGCGCCCGAGCTAAGGGTCTGCGCTAGACGAGCCAGGGGGTGCAGTTGTGGTTTGGCTCTGCCGGTGCTTCATGTTGTCGCCTTCAGCTAACGCTTCAGCTGCCGGGGACGGATGCAGGGAAGCGACATTGCGAAAGATTAGGGCCATTCTAGGGGAAGTTGTGATTCGTTCAGCTGGGCAAACTTGGTATGAAGCGTTTGAGTCGTAGAACCTGATCTAGCAGATTGTATATATACGCGGGTAGCACGAGGAGTTGCCGTTCTGTTACAGTCATTCCAGTCCCTTGCACGCCGCTCACTTACACGAACGTCTTCCTATATCGTGATACCCTCAAGTCATACCAACCACAACCTCAAAGACAGCCAAAATGTCCTCCAACAAAGCCCTCCTCGTCCTCACCCTCACGGCCTCCGCCTCCGCCGCCATCAACTACATGGCCATCCCCCAGGTCCGCGACCTCCTCCCCGCGCCCACCCCCGTCGCCCACAACCTCGCCCGCGACGCCGCCGACGACGCCCAGTGCGCCTCCTCGGCCCTCGACCTCCTCCAGTCCCTCCCCACGCCTCCCCCGGACCTGCTCTCCGACATCTCCAAGAGCGCGCAGCAGCAGACCGACCCTTGCAAGTTCAGCTTCCCCGCCAGCCTCAGCGACGACGTCTCCTCCTACAGCTCAAAGGTGCTCTCCTGGTACAGCGGCCACCAGGCCGAGCTCACCTCCCTGGCCAAGGAGTGCTCCGCCGCGCAGACGTACACCGATCTCGTCAACGTCTGCACGGATGACAGCTCATCTGGTTCTGGTTCCGCGTCTGGTTCTGGCTCTGCCGCTCCCAGAACCGCCTCCAAGACCGCTGGTGCGGGCGCCGCGACTTCGACGAATGTTGGCGTCGCTCATGAGACGGGCATGGCTCTCGCGGCTCTTGCCGCTGCTGGAATTGCTGCCATTCTGTAAAACGGCTTGGTTAAGAATGAATTCCATGAGGGATATCGGGTTGTTAATGTTCATGGTGGCATTGCGAGAAAGGAGTACACATCTTGATGACTTATGGGCCAGCTGATGGAAAGACTTTACTACAACTATTTAATGAATTTATACAACAAGACTTTGTTACGGTCTCGTACATATAAAAGACTACTCTGTTATGGTCTTGTAGATCAATTGCCTGTGGAACTCATATGCAGTAAAACCCGACAATCGTATAAATGAGCTACTTCTGTAATTGACAGCGTCCCCAACAAGAATTGCCTTATCACCCAGTCCATGAAGGCCAGTTTGGTAGACCTCACCGTGTTCTTCCACAAGGCAGCTTGAAATAACAACATATTAGCAACTATTTTATATACCTATTCAACCAGACAAGCCCCAGCCTCCCCTCCAGGCAACCTCCTCAACCGACCATGCAGCTCTTGTAAGTTTTGGTGCAGTGTAAAGCGCAACACAAACAAGGAGAATCATATTCACGTAAATCCCACTTCTACGCCGTCTAGGTAGTAGTCCATATCAGTCTTCCCCCTTTACTCTTCCTCTTCCGCAATCTCCTCCTGAGCTTCTTGCATTTCCTCGTCATTTTCCTCTGCTTCTTCGGCCTCGTCCTCTGCAGCATGGCCGTTGGGTGTCGCCGTGTCGACATCGGCCGCAACACCACCCTCACTTTCCAGTTTCAGCCACTCATCCCACTCAGGAAACAGCTCTGCATCCTCATCCGGGACACCGATCAGCTTGGCTACCCGGCCCTTCTTGTTCTTCTCCAGGCTCTCCTTCCAGGTCCTTGCCGCGGCCGGGGCCAGGCTAGGCTTGTATGTCTGGGCAAAGAGAGTGGCCTCTACTGTCCGTCCAGTCTTGGTCAGGATCTCCACGCATCGGTCGATGTCGCCTATTAGCCAGGACGCTGAAAATGCCACGTTGTGGGCGTTTGCCTCCTCAGCCTGTGTAACCAGCTTGGCCAGGCCCTCCTTGTCGCCTGTTGACGAGTGCACCAGGAGAAGAGACCCGAGGTCCTTGGCGTGAGCGAAGCACTCAGCAGCCAGGGCGACATCCCACGCAGTTAGAGCCGCATCTCCGACCGTCTTCCACTTGTGCTCCACGTCAGCCTGTCGAGCCAGGTCAAGAGCAATGTTGAGCTGGTTCAGGGCCAGCGCCAGCTCAAACTTGTGCTCGGGATCAGTGGCAACTTCCAGGGCAAGATCCTTGTGTCCTTGGCCTTCTAAGAATCGTGCCACTTTGTTCAGCTGATCAGCCGGGATGGTGGGAAGCAACTCGGCGGCCGTGTCCATATCCTCACGCAGGACCAGCGTCTGGTACTCGAGCACGGGCTGTGACAGGGCAAACGAGGTGACGTTGACATCCTTGTCGGCAAGATAGATGCGAGAATCTCTCTGAATGTAGCCAAGAACGTACATTGGCTTGTCGAAGTGAGAGATTGTGTAGGTCTGGTCGCCGACCAGGTAGTTGAGGCGGTTTGTGCTGTTAGTGTAGATGAAGCAGTCGCCAACCCATACACCAGTTCGGATGCTATAAAACACAAGTCAGTTATCACGATTGGGGTGCAAAGATAAGGTCAATACTTACGTCTCGTTGACATCGGTGATGACTTCAAAGGCAGACTCAACGCCATCCTCCTCGACCTGTCCCGACTGTACGGCCTCGATGTAGTTTTCACGAGAGAATCGCAGAACGTAGAATGAGTCCTCGCAGGCAATAGCCACCAGCTCGCCGCTTTCTGACCAGTAGACCTGCTTCGGCTCTACCTCAATTCTGCGAACAAGACCACCGGTGGCCCAGTCGAAAAAGGAGACACCACCCTGGCCAGTGACACCCAAGAGAACGCCCCCGGTGAGGCCCTCGGCCTGGAAACCAACATCCAGACCTCCGCTCTTCTCCACAAAGTTCTTGAAGACCTTGACGCTCATGGGCGACTCTCGGATGGCGAAATCGTTGCTGTTCTCCTTCGAGGCCCACACAAAGTCCAAGGCAGATCCAAAGGCCTTGTTTCGCCATGCCAATGCTGTGTAGATGATGTACTCTCCGTCACCGCACACGGCCACGAACCGGCCATTCGGTGAATGAATCAGCGTCTGGGTATACACTTCGCAGGTTCCGAGATCCTTGGTCGGTAATGAGATGGGCTCGCCATCCTTGACGGAGGCGTCCCCTTTGATGATGGCTGACACGACTTCGTTTTGCTTGGCCCAGATCAGCTTGCCAGAGGGGTCCATCGACACGGCAGGCTCCTCGCGGCCGAGCTTGATCACGACGGCACCGTCGTCATATCCAATGGCGACGCCCTGCTTGCCCTTCTGGTAAGAGGCGCACCATGCTCTTTCCAAGTTGTAGCTCAGCGACTGCTCTAGTCTGTAAGTGTTCGCGTGCCAGAGCTTGACGGTTCCGTCTTCTGAACCCGAAATGATGACTGGCAATTCGGGGTGGTAGCAGGCGAAGGAGACGTTGTTGGTGTGTCCCTCGAGGGTGGCAATCAGGGACTTGGTGGTGTAATCCCAGATCTTGACGGTTCGGTCGTCGGAGGTGGTGAGGAGATAAGGCTTGTCGGAGTGGGGGTAGTAGTCGACATGGTTGACTCCCTTGGTCTCGTGGGCCTCGAGGGTGAAGTTGGCTGTGCCGGATCCCAAGCTCCAGATCTTGACGGTCCGATCGAGACATGCCGAGGCAAAGGTATTTGTGTCCTTGGGGTTGATGGCAAGCCCCATGACATAGTGGCTGTGGCCCTCAAAAACCTGGACGCACTTCCAGCCCTTGTCCCAGTCCCAGAGCTTGATGCTCATGTCATCGGAGGCCGTCAGAACGAAGGGCAGCGTGGGGTGGACGCAGATGGCTCTGATGTAGTCGGGGTGCGCCTCGAAGGAGGTGATCTTCTCGGAGGTGTTGTAGTTGTAGACTCGCAGCTGGAAGTCGTCTGAGCCGCAGACTATCCAGTTCTTTCGCGCAACGAATCGGCCAGCTCGGACGGGGACGTCTGTAAGCTCAAAAGACTTGACGATCTGCTGTGTCTCGTACGACCAGATGTTCACATGGCCTGCAACGAGGGACGGTATTAGCGGCGGCCTGGTGGCTCAATGCTGCAATCTCGTGCTCAACTGCTGTGACATACCGCTGTAGAGGGTGGTGAGGATCCATGGCTCCTGCGGGTGGAAGTCGATGCCCTTAACCCGCTCACTGCGGGCATAAAGCTGGCGCTGTTGGCATGAACGAACTGGTTAGCCGAGTTTTCTAGTTGCGAATGTTGCGTGTTTGCTTTTTGCGAGAGGCATATTAAGACAAGAAACGGCGGCGAAAGGTTCCGAGGCCAAGCAAGCAAATGCGGACAAGGGGGAAGAGAGAGAGGGAGAGACGAGGCGCAAGGCAAGGCGAGCCCCAATTCGGCGGCAACTGACCTTGACGTCCAATCTCATCTTTGCGGCGTGATCCTCCTAGGGCTCCGGTCTCGCAGCTATGGAACAGTTCCTGTCGCGGTCGGTCGCGGGCGAGGGCGAGGCAGCGGGTGAATGCAGAGCGCGGGGTGATTCGAACTCGAGATGCTCCCACATATGACCGGGCTGGCGGATCAATTGTCGGGGCGAGGACGAGCCGGGCAGAGGCAGCTGTGTCTGCGGTCTCTGCAGCTTGTTGTCGTCGTCGAGGGTCGAGATTCGAGGTTCGGGGTGGCAGCAGACGCGGCAGCTGTTCAATAGGGCTGGACCAGCTTCTCGAAAATGTGTCCTGCTGGCGCTATTGAGGCTATGAGCCAGGTGTATCGTATACTGCCAGGTGGTCAGCCAGGATGGCGTGGATGCCTGGGATTTGAGGCACGCGCGGTGTGCGACCTCGAAAGCTGCGAAGCAAAAGGTACTTCATGATCCCACTGAATTGAGAGTGGGCAGAAGTACCTCGACCAGCCCACTCTGCGGAAAAGGGGGAAGCTGCACATTGATCGAGAATTTGTAGGGTAGCCCGCCGAGTCTGAGATGAGGCGGTAGTCAATTTAAGATGTCGTACTTTGGTATCAATATCATGAATTTGCCAACTGTCAACATAGCTGCTCCCGATCTGCACCTCAAAGTTCATGAGGTATGTCTGTAACGATGCGATTCGCGTCGGCAAGCCTCATCTACCCAATAGTTGTCGAACCCGGCGGTGTCTTAGCACATCACAGCGGAATAAAGGTAACTGCTGATACCACAACATGCACATGCGCCAAGGAAACGATAGCATCTTGCCTAGGGACTCGGCTTCAGACATTTCGAGACTGCCACGGCTTCTCTGCTGCGTCTGTCCGCCCATCGTGCGAGACGCGTTGCACCAGTTCTCACCCAAGCCATGACTATACCAGTGAGGAACAAACAGCATTTGACAAAATCTCAGTACTCGTACAGCAGACAACGAACCGCATACTACAACTACCGTACTCGCACACGCGCATCGCCACCAGCTCATTCAGCCACCAATTACGCGTGTTCCGTCTTGTCCGGCTGTGGCTGCGCATCGCTTGGCTGCCATCGATGTGGTGTATCGGATGTGGAACCAGGAACCGATGCCCTTCAATGACGTACCATCTCATCTACTCTATGCATCACATCTCGTTGTTAGTAGTAGTGATTCAATGTGAGATGAAGAAGAAACCCCGAAGGTCTTTGCAATCCAGAGAATACCAGCATCAATACCATGCGCAGCTCTACTGAGATGTATATCGCTGTGGCCTCTCTCCCACCTTATGACACGAAACGGTACCAAAATCGAGTCCAGTCCCAGATTGATCGAGAAGTGCCCGCTTACACATGTACTTTGGCACCATGAAACGACGTGCACTGTGCTCGACGTGTGGCAGCGATCGACACAGCGCCATCCACCACAGCGACCCCCCTCTGAAACCGCTGTCGCACGGCGCCAAGACTCAGCATAGACGCCGTACCGAGTGCCTGCGACTTGCGACGCGCACCGTGTGTCTAGCGCCCGCTGCAGGCTACGCTAGCATCCACTGAACCGTCGAGGCTAGCGGCTGCTACAGCGGTCGTTACCCGCAGCCCGGTCCCTGAATTTGGGCTCCAGCTGGACTGTTGCCCCAGATTCCTTCGGGGCTGGCTTCGCCTCCTCCTGATTGTCGAGCATCGAGTCTGCGACAAGACTTTCAGATACATGTACAAGTACAGCCCGTATCCGTATCGGCCGGATCACTCGACCCCTCTTGTTGCAGCCTTTTTCTTCCGGGCTGTTCTGTCTGTTCTTTGCCTGCTTGCCCAGTTTCACCTCGTGCCTCTTCATGTTCGCTGCATCTGCTGCCGTCGGAGATACTTGACCTTGATTGAACGAGACCTCCAACACAAGCGGCACAACAGCCCACAGCGCTATAACCCACCTCGAAATAGGGGCCGCCCTCCCTCGCTGCAGCGCCTCGAGCAACTGGAACCTCCAACCGCTGCGGGGTTCCAACTCTCGGGTCGATTGGCGGGCTGCCTGCGCTAAAACCCCAAGGAAACACGCCCGTCACATCGCCTGCTGCTGCTGCTGCTTGCTTCCGCTCCATCCATCCACCTCAATTTCGAGACCTGGACCTCCATCTCTTCCGTCCTGTCGGCTGCTTATCTCTCGGCCAGAGGAGCTGCTCGACCGACTGTCATCTGTCACATCCGCTCCTTCACCTTCGTCTCGTTTCTTTCCATCTTCCATCTTCCATCGTTTCTGTCCCTCACTTCCTCTTCTTCCCTCGTTCGCATTCGTATCCCGCTGAGCGGCCGAGTCGGGAACCGTCACCATGTCGTGGAAGCTGACCAAGAGTATGTCTCTCCTTTTCCATTGTCCCCGACCTTCCCTCCGCAGACGAGGACAACTCCATTTCCCTGAACTGGCGACGAGGCTGACTGGCATTGCGCAGAACTCAAAGATACGCATCTCGGCCCGCTGAGCGCGTTTTCCCGGTCGCCGTCGACTTCCACCATCACCGACAAAGATGAAAAGGGGACCAGCCCCGGCGCCACCACGCCGACCAGCGAGAACGCCATAGGTGAGTTTCCCAGTCAGTCGTGCGCTGCGTATGCCTATTCTGACTGCTCCTGTGTCTCTTGCCAGCTGCCTCAGAAGCCCTGTCGCAGGCGCCCGTCGTGAAGAAGCCCGGCATCCTGGTCGTCACCATCCACGAGGGTCAGGGCTTCTCCCTCCCCGAACAGCACCGCAGCGCCTTCGCATCCAGCCACCAGAGCTCTCGCTCGTCGGGCGGCGCCCTGGCAGGCTCTGTGCGCCCAGACTCCCAGCGCGTTGCTGGATCGTATACCAACGGAGCGCGGCCGCACTCGTCGGGCGGCGGCTTCGGCTCGCTCCCTACCAACCATGGCCGCATCTCGGGCAAGTACATGCCCTATGCGCTGATCGACTTCGACAAGGTGCAGGTGTTTGTCAACTCCGTCGAGGGAAGCCCGGAGAACCCACTGTGGGCAGGTGGAAACACCCAATACAAATTTGACGTTTCTAGAGTGACGGAGTTGGTCATCCACCTGTACATGCGAAATCCTGCGGCTCCTCCGGGGTCTGGGCGAAGCCAGGACATCTTCCTGGGCGTGGCCCGGATAAATCCCCGGTTTGAGGAGCGACAGCCTGCGTCGGATGATGCAAAGGCCAGCAAGAAGGATCGCGAAAAGGCAGCCGATGCCCGTCAAAAGGGAGAGGGCCATTCCGGCGTCGAGTGGGTTGACGTCCAGTACGGCACGGGCAGGATCAAGGTTGGTGTTGAGTTTGTGGAGACGCGGGCTGGCAAGCTCAAGATTGAGGACTTTGAGCTGCTCAAGGTCGTCGGCAAGGGCAGTTTCGGCAAGGTGATGCAGGTGCGCAAGAAGGACACCAACCGGATCTACGCGCTCAAGACGATCCGAAAGGCGCACATCATTTCTCGGTCAGAAGTCGCGCACACGCTTGCCGAACGATCTGTGCTGGCGCAGATCAACAATCCCTTTATCGTCCCGCTCAAGTTCAGCTTCCAGTCGCCCGAGAAGCTGTACTTTGTGCTTGCTTTTGTTAATGGAGGCGAGCTCTTCCACCACCTGCAGAAAGAACACCGCTTTGACGTTAACAGGTCAAGGTTCTACACGGCCGAGCTTCTCTGTGCCTTGGAGTGCTTGCATGGTTTTAGTGTCATCTACCGAGATCTGAAGCCGGAGAACATCCTGCTCGACTACCAGGGCCACATTGCGCTGTGCGACTTTGGCCTGTGCAAGCTGGACATGAAGGACGAAGACCGGACGAACACGTTCTGCGGCACACCCGAGTACCTCGCCCCCGAGCTTCTGCTTGGCCAGGGGTATAACAAGACGGTCGACTGGTGGACGCTGGGTGTTTTGCTCTACGAGATGTTGACGGGCCTCCCTCCTTTCTACGACGAGAACACCAACGAGATGTACAGGAAGATTCTGTCAGAGCCGCTGCACTTCTCCGACGTGGTACCTCCTGCTGCCAAGGACCTCTTGACCAAGCTGCTCAACCGGGATCCGAAGAAGCGACTCGGGGCTAATGGCTCAGCCGAGATCAAGGCCCATCCGTTCTTCCACGACATTGACTGGCGCAAGCTCCTGCAGCGGAAGTACGAGCCTACCTTTAAGCCCAGCGTGGTAAGTTTGATTTCGCCGAGTGACTTGAAACATGGCTTTGATAGACTTGCTGACTATTTGGTTCCAGGCGGATGCCATGGACACAGCCAACTTCGACCCCGAGTTCACGTCCGAGGCCCCCCAGGATTCGTATGTGGATGGCCCGATGCTCTCGCAGACGATGCAGGACCAGTTCCAGGGCTTCAGCTACAACCGCCCGATTGCAGGCCTCGGAGATGCCGGCGGAAGCGTTAGAGACCCTTCGTTTGTGGGCAGCCTCCAGGACAACTGAGCGTCAGCAGGCGATATATTCTTTCATTTTTCGGCGGATACCAATTTGAGTTGAGACTAGATCTAGAACCAAGATTTGGAACGAAAACAGGGGCGTGGGGGGGAGTGGGTGATGGGAGAAAAGACAGCCTTTGGACGTGCGCGAGGGGAAGGCAGAGAGGCAGACAGACGCAGGACGCGGTCCAATATTGGCTTGAAGAATTGCTTGATGAACCATACGTCTATGGAGTTTAGCAGGAAATCATGTTTGGAGTTGTCTCCTTTTTTTTTAATTCCTCTTTTTTTTATTTCCTTCTCTCTATGCGACTCATTCTCTTGCAGAGGTAGTCAAGCGCGGATGAAGGCTGAGGAGGCTTGTCCGGCGAGAAGTAAACGACATGGCAAGGCATGAACGAGGACGGATGCGGCGGATCGATGAAGCCGGTTGTCGATATACGTTGCTTAACAGGTAGCTAAAAATGACTCGAGTTGAGACGTTGCACTGCTGAATCGTACACTTGATGTCGTGTTGATTCCTTGCTTCGAGAATGACGTGAAGAGACAGTTGCCAAGTTGTTGATTAATAAGTTACGATCTCGTATGGCCTTGATATCCGGAGAAGAGCAACTGCCGGCTGTTACATCAATGTAGGTACCTTAGTTGTGAGAGTCGACTTCAAGTCTCGAATCAGCTCACAGTAACGCAGCACGCCGGCAACATCCGACCACATCGGACCAGATTACGGATGCATGACCAAGTACCTTATATACTCCATCATGCAGTCAATGGACCTCGAAGAGTCAGGTGCTCTACGGAATGAGCTATCAAGATGCTGCCGGCCCAGAGAAATGTTCTGCATCTGCTTAGCTAAGCGCTTCGCAGCCTGTGTCACTGCTTTGGTAAGCGGCCACGCAGCGCGGCAACTGGCCAGCCAAGTTCCAGCGGTTCGCCGGTGAGGTCATCAATGCCCCCCTCCAAGGAGGGGCTCTCCATAGAAAATGGATGTCTCTAGCATCAGGCCAGACCAATTGACCCGTAGCTCCAGCTTCGACTCGATCCAATTTACCGGAGAGCTACAGCTTTTGCTGCTGCCTTAATTTTCCATCTTCTTCTCTCTCCGTCACTCGTCGTGAGGCATTTCGATCTATCTTCACAGCTTCTCTCGCTTCCTCCTCCTCCCACTGTGTCCAATCTCTCCCTAAGGTAATCATCATACGTCCTCGGTAAGCTCTTCTGTCTTTCTTCTTCTTCTCCTCCTCGTCCCCCATACCTCACCCCGCATCACATCATCACCAGAGGGAGCCGGAACAGCTTCTCTCCTGCTTCTACGCCACCCCCACCATCAAACCCATCCATCAATCAGCCATGCATCAGCAGCAGCAACAGCTTCCGCGTTGCCCGGATTCTATGCATTGCCTCTGCCGGACCGGGGCCGTATAGTCTAACTACTTACGACTCCATCTCCATTCCTCGAGCCATGCTCCAGTAGCCTGTGGGCTTTTATATGTTGCTAATCCCCCTCCCCTCATCAGCCGTTCCTGTTCCTGAACTCTCCTCCTCATGATACCCTCGCCCGTCTGATTGAATCAAGTCCTTCTATTACCTTGCCAGAAGCAGACCTCTACTCCACGTGGTGGCTGATTGTTGCTTCGACTTGTCTTGATTCGCTGCCACAAACTCCAAATAGGGGAATAGACTATTAACCTCTTGCTCGAATCCTAGCAGATCCCCTAGCAATAACAATCATCTCACAATGGCCCCGGCAAACACCCTCCCCGCCTGGTCGGAGCTCCAGGCTCACCGCGACGACATCGCCAAGAACTTTGTCCTCAAGGAAGCCTTCGCCTCCGACGCCGACCGCTTCAACAAGTTCTCCCGCACCTTCAAGTCTGACGTCTCGGCCGACATCCTCTTCGACTTCAGCAAGAACTTCCTCACCAACGAGACGCTCGACCTGCTCGTCAAGCTCGCCGAAGAGGCCGGCGTCGAGCGCAAGCGCGATGCCATGTTCCGCGGCGACAAGATCAACTTCACCGAGAAGCGAGCCGTCTACCACACTGCCCTGCGAAACGTCGGCGGCTGGGAGATGAAGGTTGAGGGACAGGACGTCATGAGCGGCCCCAACGGCGTCAACAGCGTTCTGCAGCACATGAAGGAGTTCTCCGAGCAGGTCCGCAGCGGCGAGTGGGTTGGCTACACCGGCAAGAAGCTGACCAACATTGTCAACGTCGGCATTGGCGGCTCTGATCTGTGAGTTTCTGAGCTCGGCGAGAACTTTATTTGCGGAAAAGTGTTGCTAACCGGCCTCTTTCTTCTCCTTCACAGCGGTCCCGTCATGGTGACCGAGGCCCTTAAGCACTACGGTGCCCCCGACATGACGCTGCACTTCGTGTCCAACATTGACGGCACTCACATGGCCGAGGCTCTCAAGGCCTCCGACCCGGAGACTACCCTCTTCCTCATCGCCTCCAAGACCTTCACCACCGCCGAGACCATCACCAACGCCAACACTGCCAAGTCATGGTTCATCGAGAAGACGGGCGGCAAGGGAGATGTGGCCAAGCACTTTGTTGCCCTGTCCACCAACGAGGAGGAGGTTACCAAGTTCGGCATTGACAAGGCCAACATGTTTGGCTTCGAGAGCTGGGTCGGCGGCCGCTACTCCGTCTGGAGTGCCATCGGTCTGAGCGTCGCCCTCTACGTTGGCTACGACAACTTCCACAAGTTCCTGGCCGGTGCCCACGCCATGGACAAGCACTTCCGCGAGACGCCCCTGAGGGAGAACATTCCCGTTATTGGAGGTCTGCTCGGTGTTTGGTACTCTGACTTTTTCCAGGCCCAGACTCGCCTGGTCGCTCCGTAAGTTGACTTTAACCCCTGATCTCGATGGCATGTATACTGAACGAGAGCTGTTAGTTTCGACCAGTACCTCCACCGGTTCGCCGCCTACCTCCAGCAGCTGTCCATGGAGTCCAACGGCAAGGCCATCACCTCTGACGGTTCCTCCGCCAAGTACACCACCGGTACGTGTTTCATGTCCCTTAAGACATTCACACTTTTTCACAGCAAGGCTAACCATTGCACTCACCAGGCTCCATCCTCTTCGGCGAGCCCTGCACCAACGCCCAGCACTCCTTCTTCCAGCTCGTCCACCAGGGCACCAAGCTGATCCCTGCCGACTTCATCCTGGCTGCCAAGTCGCACAACCCCATTCACGACAACCTGCACCAGAAGATGCTCGCCTCCAACTACTTCGCTCAGGCCGAAGCCCTCATGGTCGGCAAGACGGACGACCAGCTGCGCGCCGAGGGCACCCCCGAGGAGCTCATCCCCCACAAGCGCTTCCTGGGCAACCGCCCTACCACGTCCATCCTCGTCGGCGACGTCATCGGCCCTGCCGAGCTGGGCGCCCTCATTGCCTACTACGAGCACCTGACCTTTACCGAGGGCGCCGTCTGGGACATCAACAGCTTCGACCAGTGGGGCGTCGAGCTGGGCAAGGTCCTTGCCAAGAAGATCCTCAAGGAGCTCGACGAGCCCGGCAACGGCGAGGGCCACGATGCTTCCACTGGCGGCCTCATTGGAGCCTTCAAGTCGTTTGCCAAGATTTAAAGGCAGCTGACGGGCAGGCAGGAAGAGAAAAGAGATGGAACAAAAAAGGTGGATTGAGGATTGGCAAGCGATGAGTCTCTCATGCGAAACCTGTAAATAATGAAAAGGCAAAAATAAATGAATATCAATATCAATATCAATATCAAAGAAATGGCGTGAAAACTGGTATCAGGAAATGAGTCTTTTTCACAAGCTTTGGCTACTTTCGTAGTGTGCGAACGGGTCGTATGTGAACAAATCATATGTGAAGAGATGGTAGGATGTGAAAAAGGAGTATGAGTCACTTATGGGAATGTGATTTGGTCTGATGCACAGCACCGGGTAGGTATGCGTGTCTTCTCTTGAAGTCGTCACATTGATCACCATGACAGTGGTCAGAAGCAGCGTGATATTGTCTTCCTCGTGCCCGAAGTTTGTGATGTGTTCCCTCAAAAGATTGTAGTATCGCTTGTCTACAAACACACCCACATGTCAGTAGCACTACCAAAGTAGGTATGTATCCATACATCCGCGTCCAAAAGGTATATAGCTCAGCTTCGAGTGAGATTCTCAGCGCCAGATGATGTACAGAATATGCCTCTCCACACCTGGGCGAACGGACGGAATAGTACATACAATTAACGGAGGCTGCACTAGCATGTGGTTCTCTCCTTTAGCCCTACCACGTTCTCATCGTTCTCCACAGAATCCCATTTTCCCTCAGGTTGTTTTCCGGGGCGCAGGACGCACATGCACTCATGGGGAAGGTCATATGGGGGAGGGGAGACGGGGAGATGGAGAAGAAGGGGATGCAATCGCCAACACGCGGAGGGTGGTATTTGCGGTGATGAGTGGTTATTACTAGTACTACTGTATCGAAAGCTGTAACTTGACAGGCCGGGAATAACACAGCTTGCACAGATGGATAGATGGATGGATGGGCTGAGAATGGGAATGGGAATGCCATTTCATCAATCTGGCCCTTTTGCGGAAGTGCAGAGGTGGAAGTCCGTAAAGGAGGGCGTCTGGCAAAGGAGCTGGTTGGCTGCCAATGTTCCCATGCTTCCTATTCGAGCCGCCGACGAGGCTCGGTATGGAGCGCCGAGGGGCAGAATGCGCGGGACAAGGCTTCGGATAGCCGGGCTGAGGGAGGCTAATATCGCTGGCTGAAACGGCTGTGACAAGTTCTTCGCCTGTCGAGAAAAGTGGCCTGCTTGACAATCGTGACGTGCCAGAGATCGATCGTGAAGACATTTGTCAGAGATCAGACGGCGTCGTTGCTAGCCCGTATCGATTGTCAGCCTGTCATAGGCTTTGTTGATCAGCTCGCCCTGCCTCAGATCGGCACTCCGCGAGCGTTGACGAAAGACTCTCGGCCAGCATGACCTCCTCGACTCGTGAAGGAGAAAGAGGCAGCTAAAGCACACATGCAGCCGTAAGTATCAGCGTGGCAGCGACGACTAAAAGAGTGGCAAATAGGCGGACGTAGATTTGGGGACCCAACACACGGTCGATAATAACCGGGCGCTGATATCGTGGGATTCTCTGGCGGATGACAGTTTCGCCGTTATCTCGCGCAATCCTGGAGGGAGGAGCTATTGACACATCATATCAGCTGCTGTGGGCGCGCAATGCAATGCACGAGGCGACGAATATGGCTCAGCGATAGGGGTGCATGTGTTATGCTCCTTGAGCTTAGTAGAGGCGGGCTGACAGAAGTGAAAGTGAGTGTATCGTGACATGACATGGCAAGCATGGCCTCTACAGTATCTTTTAGCCATTGACTTTGGGTCATCAATGTCATTCGGGGAATCCGAGTCATGGCCGGTTCTCAGCCTGTTGCCGTCTGCTGAACCGCCACCGTCCACGACGGTCCAAGCAAACGAACGGCCTCCCCTGCATCACGGCGTTTGCCTGGATAGGCACGAAACCGGGCCACGATAACAGCCAGCGCCTTCTGCGCCCTTTTTTGCCTCTTCCCCCCTGGAGCCCCTGGCCCTCATGCCGCCAAGAGGAAGCGAAACGGTAGTTCTCCATAATCGCGCACGGAGGCGGACGGTGGTTGGCCGGTTTGTTACGGGCGGTGCGGTGGATCTGCCCCTTCGGAGCCGGCGGAGGCGCTGCTTTGGGGAGTTCGGGAGAATAGCCGTGCGGTGATGAAAAGTCCCAAGCAGCCGCAGGGTAACGCTGGCGAGCATGCAAGTACCTGCTAACGCGATGCAGAGTTGCTGGCATGCCATTGGGTCCGCCGTCCCGGGGACTCACGAACGCGGCCGGAGGAAGCTGAGGTGCATGAGCACGAACCGCGTTGATTCGACTCGAGGCTTCGTCCAGGAGCCGTGGCGTATTGCGGTGAGCTCGTCAGGGGCGCTCTGCAACGTGGCTGCTTCTCTATCGAGATACGACGCATCAAGGGAGTCGCAGCAGACAAATCTCACCAGTCGCCCTATCTTGCGATGGACGGTATCAGCTATGTACCAAGGCTGGGCAAAAGACGACGCCGAGAAGAGACATCGTGAAGTTTACCAAGCCATCCCTGGTTACCTACACTGCTATCTGCTGGTATCAGCGGAAAAAGCGCGCAAAATCTCGTTCATGTGTCGGCCCGTCTTCTGGCTGAGACTTGGCGCCTTGGTCCGACAAACCGCCTGTGGCTGTGAGTGGTTGAAATGGCGGGTAATCCATGTTGGAACGGCTTCAATACGCCGTCGTAAATAGGGCGTCTAGTTCTCCTGGTGCTTCCGTGGATGTTGTCTGTACTGTATGAAGTAGATTGACATGAACCCGAAGCTAACATGGTTCGCACATTCAGACAGCTTGGTCCGCTTGAGCAGATACATAGCACAGCCGAGGCTTCATGGACAAAGCCTTTTGTCGATGGCCATCCAGCCGGCTCGAAGTCGATATCAAAGTGCACCGTTCTGCCACGTTTGCAATGTGTCTTGATGCGAATGGGCACCTGCACGTCTCATAACTTGTTTTCTCGTGACGAGTAATTCTTGACGAATAAAGCTCGTCTCCTGGGGTGAGACACGCCGTGACGAGACGAAACGAGGGAAATCTTGTTGGACTTGAGGTGCAACTCGACGTCAACTTACATGAAAGGACGGCTTGGAAGCAAGGGCTGCGCATGCACATCAAGGTGGCTATTGCGAACGAACATCAACGTGTGCTCCGGCAACACGAAGAAAGAAGCAGAGATCGACATCAACATGCTTTCCCCGCCGTCATGTATTGGTGCGAGAGGAGTCGGAGCGGAGACAACCATGAGGGGGATCCCATGGGGAAGACGGCTTGAATATGCGGATGAGTCCCGAGTCGTACGAGAATATGGCTTCGGATGGATGTTTGCTGCAGTGCCGACGCAACCCTCCCCGTCCATTCTTCTCTTCGGTGCAAAGATGCACGACATGTCGACGCAAGAGAGGGGTACTGTAGTAGATGAAGACTGCAAGCGTTTACGGTGATAAGCCTGATTCTGGCCAAGCCGGAGAGAACTGCCGTTGGTGTTGATGGCTTCGTCTGGAGAAAAGTCTATTCCAACCAGAGAGCCTGTTTCTGCTGGATGACAGAAACTCTCATCTCACACAGCTCATCGTGAAACATCGTCTCTGAGCCGGAGCCGTGATGGTTGGTGGAGCAGCCTCACGAGGTTCGAGGTGGAGGCATCCCCAAGATACGTCATTGTGCTTCGGACCCCTGTGACCGACGATCGTAGATACAACAAGACGCATCCCCGATGCTCATGGCCTTTCTTTGCTTTCCGAATCTGCGTGCAAAGGGGGTAACGGCGTGGTCAGGGGGGTTTGTTAGGATGCAGAAGGGAGAAGTTGACGGGGAAAGGCTAGGCCAAGGGCCGGGATGCTGGACTAAGAGGGTGTCGAGCATGGAAAAGCTCGGAGACACATGTCAAATAGCATTTGCTGAGATGTGGCGTCCGGACAAGCTCGACTCGGGGTCGCTTTGCTGCTCCATCGTCGACCGTTTCTCACTCTTTCCCAGTCTGTGTATAATAAACGCAAGGAATTGAACAACAAAAACAGGACTTGGAAATCTGTCGTTCGTGGCCGCGAGGGCAACACGAGGCTGACACGGCAGGCTGCAGGATATCATCTGGGAGCGGGAATAAGCTGAGCGTGCCGAGGGCTGAGGGGTTGAGGGCCGAACCCTTTGGGCTGACGCAGGGTTCAACTGAAATCCCGTAGCGGCCGCACCGCATCGCATCGCATCGTATCGTCAAGTCTCGGCGCATGGCAATGGTGCGTGTTCCGTGGTGTATCGCGTTGCATCGTGAGAGCAAAACCGGCCAAGCGCCCGTGATGTCACAGGCGTCGTCCAGTCCAGCACTAACCCGCTGCCCACAGCGGGGGCTCCTTCGGCGACCTTGGCTCCCCGTAAGGTGAACTGGAGCCCCCCAGCCCGCCACCAGCAACCACTGAAGAACCAGGGCGGCGCTCAAGAGGCCTCAGTGGCAGCCGTGGTGCCCGTTGTCGTGAGCCGGATGACGTTAGTCTGGCGGTGGGCCATGAGAAACGACGCAAACCTGCATGGAATTCTTGGTTTCTGTTTGGCGTGCCACCGGGTCTGTTTTAGAGCGATGGGGCGCCCCCTAATGTCGAAAAGCAAGACGCTGCTGCTGACAGCAAGGCGAGGCGAGGCAGGATGAGGCAAGGCAAGGAAAGGCAAGGCGAGACAAAGTCAGGGCAAGCCAGGGCGGGCAAATGGTCTGACGGCATTCCTGGGAAGACGGGCTGGCGGGAAGCCAGTCATGATAATGCCACTGAAGGTTGCTAAAGTGGCACAGCGCGGCCATCTTCTTGTTGTTTGCAATCATGCTGAGATGGTATGACGCAAAGAGAGACAGGAGAAGAAGACATGAACAAGGCTGGAGACACGATAGTCAGGCACCAGATGGCAAGATGAGACGAGAAAGATCCATGGCTGAGGCGAAGAATGAGGCAAAGAATGATGGGCTGCAGTGAATGGGAGGCACCAAGTACACACATGGCCACGATAACGGCAACGAGCAACGACACGGCAGGCACGACGCACGAACCAGCATCGTCCGTAAATGCAGGTGCGTTCCTGCCTCCAGACGGCGGTACCAGATAAGAGACGCTGCAGCACACACAACGAAAGGTCACTCGGCCCGCTTTTTGCTCTGCGCCACGGCCTCTAGCAAGCCACGCGCCGTGATTGGCCAGCGGCGAGCCTCATGCCACTGGCCAGCTGTACCGGTACCTGATGCTGCTCACCTCATGCCTTGATGCGTTGTTGGACTGATGGGATGGTCTCAACCGTACGACGTAGCACGAGGCCGCGGCCATTCTGCCAATGACACGGCACTCAATGCAACAATGGCATCCGATGGCCGCTGCGTTGGTGTATCATGTATAGAACAACTGAAAGTACTCCCAGTTGTACCTGTACCTGCGCTCTTGACTGGACCCCCCCTGTGGATCTGGCGGTACGGGCTGCATGTATCCCCTAGACCCCACACCCCCCTGCTGTGACGATGGTCGATCAGCTTCAAAGTCCCTCCATCTTCTTCGCCTGTTGGACCCGAATGAGGCGCCCATCGTCATCGTGGACCCCCTACCTTACCTCTGGCCTGTACATACTGTACTGACTGACTGTCCTACCACCTAGAGTAGCCTTTCTGTGGCTCTTCTCCTTCTCGTGGGCTCGCTCTGTCGACTCATTCTCGGATTGTTATAAAGCAGGCTGGATTCCCGCTCTTCCTACTCGGATCTTAGTTCCTCTCCATTCTCATCAACCAACTTTCACCACCAAAAACCCTCCTCTTCCTACTACTACCACTTCACTATCTCTTCCTTCTCATACCTCTTCCCGAACTTCTTTCTACCTACTTCATCCACAGCAATCATGGCCAAGATGGGCAAGAAGGCAGTTCACTTTGGCGCCGGCAACATCGGTATGTCATCTCTCATATAAACGCCGTCCATTTTCCCCTCTGATCTATCATCCAATGCTAACAACCCTCCTCCAGGCCGTGGCTTTGTTGCTTGCTTCCTCCACAACTCGGGCTACGAAGTCGTCTTTGCCGACGTCAACGGAGACCTGATTGACACCATCAACGCTACCCCCTCCTACAAAGTCATCGAGGTCGGCTCAGAGGGCACCTCAGAAAACGTCATCACCAACTACCGGGCCATCAACTCGCGGACTCACGAGGAGGACCTCGTTGAGGAGATCCGCACCGCCGACGTCGTTACCTGCTCCGTCGGCCCCAACATCCTCAAGTTCATCGCTCCCGTCATCGCCAAGGGCATCGATCGCCGCTCCGACGAGGAGACGCCCCTGCACGTCATTGCCTGCGAGAACGCCATTGGCGCCACCGACACCCTAGCCAGCTTCATCAAGGACGCCAAGAACACGGATCCTGCCCGTCTCGAGACGCACCACCTGCGCGCCCGCTACGCCAACTCGGCTATCGACCGGATCGTGCCTGCGCAGGACCCCAATGCCGGGCTCGACGTGAAGCTGGAGAAGTTCTTTGAGTGGGTTGTCGACAAAACCCCCTTTGAGGACGTTGGCATCCCGCCGATCGAGGGCATCCAGTGGGTCGACAACCTGGAGCCCTTCATCGAGCGCAAGCTGTACACGGTCAACACCGGCCACGCCACGGCTGCCTACCACGGCTACTACCGCAGAAAGCGCACCGTCTACGACGCCCTCCAGGACAAGGAGATCATGGCTGAGGTCCGCGGCGCCCTGACCGAGACCAAGAACCTGCTCGTCGCCAAGCACGGCATCGACGAGGAGGCCCAGCTCGCCTACATGAACAAGATCATCAAGCGCATCGGCAACCCCCACTTGGAAGACGCCGTTGAGCGTGTCGGCCGCGCTCCCCTGAGGAAGCTGTCGCGCAAGGAGCGTTTCATCGGCCCTGCCGCCGAGGCCGCGGAGAACGACATGCCCGTCAAGTTCCTCCTCGACGCCATCGAGATGACGTTCCGCTTCCAGGACGTCGAGGGCGACGACGAGTCCAAGGAGCTCTCGACCATCATGTCGGAGAACACCCCCGAGGAGGTCGTCAACAAGGTCTGCGGCGTCCAGCCGACGGAGAAGATCTACCCTCGCCTGGTCGAGGTTGTCAAGCGTGTCCAGGCCGACAGCCAAGAGGAGTAACTTGTGATAACATTTGTTCTTTCGTTGCTAGCTCGGCATCACTCACGGCGCTGAGTTGCGTGCCGGATTATTTACTCTGGCTTTGGGCTTTTTCTTCTCTTCTACTTCTTCTATTACTTCTTTTTTCTTCTTCAACTTGTGTTATGAATGCACGAATGAATGGCAAGGCGCTGGGTTCCGGATTATTAGAGCATCGTCTATTTTACTTTTTCCTTTTGTACTGCGCAAGAGCATTCTTAACGGGAAAAGGATGCTCGGGATATCTTCATGGGAAGCTTCAGTCTATAGATTGATTGAATCGATAGCAGAACGAATCAAGATACCACAGCAATAAAAGCAGACTTGATCGGTTCTTTCCTAAACCATTCCGAACTCAAATGTCCCTAATGTGTTGTAGCTCAAATCGCCGGTAATGCCAATGTGAGGTCACAATGATCTCAAGCTTACCCTTCACAGCCAGCAAACTGCAATGCAGCCACATCCGTCTAAAACGGTTCGCTAGGAAGATTTTCTCCAACCCATCAACCCATCTCACGATCCGGCTCGGCAGCTAAACAGCTCGCCCGGGTTCTGACAGACGACACATGGAGGTCGTCACACATCCGCTAATAAAGCATGCCATACCTTTTTACCAGCACACCACCCACACCCGCCAGTCATGCCGCCCGTCCCACCACCCTCCTTCCTACCAGGAATCGCAAGTACGCCTATGGATGGATGGATGGATGGTTGGTTGGTTGGATGGATGTATCCCTGAGGATTGCCGGAATAGGAAGGGCACGATGCGTGGACGGCTGATTGGTCCCTGAGCTGCGCATCTCGAATGTCTAGTGCCCTTTTGCTGATGGGAAGGCTTCCGTACTGACATGTTGTCTCAAGGCATGTCACAGCGGAGACGGCCAAGTAAGACAAGGCTGAGCCTAACCGCCTGCATTCTATCCTCTCCGCATTGCGAGATCCCGGACTACGCCGACCACGAGCATGTTGTGAGACAAACTGAGCCGAAGTGGCGATGCTACCAAAGTTGATACAGCGCACATCTGCATGCCACTTCAATATTACTTCGAAACCCCCTAGTTAATGTAAGTCTGCAGTAAGGTACCTGTACTGCTACCGCGCAAGCCCCTTGCTTCTGCTTCAATCTCAACGCCCGGCAATTCCTCCCAAAGTTGACTGAAGAGATAAAAGACTGAGTCATGTTCTTTTATGCCGACTTGTTCTGGATCTAATCGAATGGCTTAGTGGGAGCATGAGGATGTCTTATCAGTTGATGGGTGTCTTACAATGCATCTCGCTTAAGGCGGTGAACACACTTGACTTATTCTTCAGATATTGAAGTCGATACAGATTGTGTAATGCGAGCACGCACTCACTCGAGAGAAAGACGCTGTCAAAGCTCGACGTGGCATGCAGTGGCTTGAACAAGAGAATTCTACGGAACGGCATCAACGTACAAGTCAAAGTGTCCGCAGAAGGAACATGCAAGGGACAGCAGCCTCTTGCTAGTCATACCACGAACTCGAGTCTAGATTTGGCAATTCGTTCGTTCTCAGATGCAGGGGAATGTCTACGAATGTCTGCGCTCGGTTCTGAATGGCCCTACGAAGAAACTGCATCGCACCGCAACATCATGTGGTGGCTCTACGTGACCAGACGAAATGCCACGAGTTGCTCCAATGGGGCAAATGTCTAAGACCGTCTCTGAGGGCTTGATGGGGTCGGGATGCATCTTCCGGTATGTGTTAGGAACGAGAGTTGTTTCAGAGGGAAACAAACCACCACACCCCCTCTGGCTACATTACCCTATATCGTCGCCTCGTGATTTGATTTGAGGCGTCGAGGAATGTTAACTGTGGCAAGGCCGGCTGAGAGACTTCCGGATCGCTCGAGTAAGCCCCCTTTTACCTGCCGTGATGAGCTGCATAAGAGCAAGTTGGCAGCGTCAGTTCCGTAGGGATGTCCTGCATGTATGCAGCAGCAGCATCAGCAGCAGCATCATCTCCTATACGAGCAGCCTCGCATTCTCTCTTGTCCCGGCCAAAATCTGCATACTCGTACGAGGACTGTTGGCGCTGCAGCTTGCCCCCTTGCAGAGTATCTAGCCACTGCTTGTATGTAGTAATACTGCTGGTCGTACTTGTACAACCATGCTACTGGAAATATTACTCCTCTCCGGCCTTTACGGCCGTGTGCCGTTCGCCGCAGCTTCCATCACGGTCCCTGTCGATTCGGACGTCGACCCACTCCCGCTGTCAACCGCCGGCATAGTGACATCGGCGTCGGAGCTGCTCCGGCAGAGCTGCCCGGAGGAGTTCCCCCCACGCACGCCGTACTCGCCAGAGCTTCTCATGTCGTCCTTTTCCGACTTCGGCTCTGACGATGAGGATGCCTTCGTCAACGGCACGATCTATGAGTCGTCGGACAGTCTCGTGAGAGGCGCGATCGAAGCATGGGGCCAGCACCAGAGCCTGATCCTGCGGCCTGATGAGGTATGGTTCGAGATCCTGGCCCAGCTCAATTTCTACATGACTGCGCATGCCGAAGATGTACGACATCTGTTTGTCGACCACGAGGGCAAAGAGGAGATCCAGGTGTGGCGACTCTCGTGGCGTGACGTGATCGCGGCATTTGGCGGCGAGATCCAGAAGAGGGTCAAGACCGAATGGCTGCTCGACTGGATCATGCCAGGCTTCACAACGAGCGACGTCAACGATGGCCTCACGGCTACCGTGCTGATGATGGGCCTCATGCAACACTACTTTGAGTTCAGCGGCGGCATCATCTGCGGCCTTCCTGAGGTGACGCTGCTCGGCGAAAGGGACGACTGGGTGAAGCTGCTCGAGAAGCTGGACAGACTGGCGGAGTGGGGAGAGGAGCCGGCAGACTATGCCGAGCGGCTACGCCCGATCCTCACGCGCTTCGTCGGCACATGGGACGAGCCAGACAGCGACGAGACCAAGGACTTCTGGAAGAACATTGTGCGATCGCAGCGGCTGGTATCCTGTGGCGCAGGACCCGCCGACTACAGCATCTCCGGGTGGATCACCGGGTTCCTGCACTGGACGGTCGAGGGCAATCTGAGGGTCTCACGCGAGGCTGAACAGGAGTTTGTGCCGTCGGACCGCGACCTGGTGCTGGACGGCGTTCCGTACTTTTCAACTTCGCTCGACGACGTGCCCGTGGGCTACGCGAAGGCGCCGCTCAAGATGCTAGACTACCCCCGTCAGGGGAGCGACTCCATGGCGTATCTGCTGGCGGGCAACGTCGGGGTAAGGAGACTGGCGGTGGCCTCAAGCGACACGCCGGGGCTCGAGCAGTGGAAAGTGACGGCGCAGCCGATGAGCGCCTGGTTCCTGTTCGGACCGGTGAATGCGAGCGTCGAGACAGGGCCATGGTACGGCAACGGGGGGGAGCTGGCGAGGGCGGCGGCGGGGCTGGGAATGTGCGAGGCGAGTACGGGCACGGGCGGTGATGGCTGGGGAGATGACGGGCTGATTGGCGATGATGGCGAAGCTGATGGCGATGTGTGGGATGGTGCGCCGGTGTTTAATGGCGGCGATGATGATGATGGTGTGTTTGGCGATGATGATCTGATACCTTGGGGAGGAGGAAGAAGATGAAGAGCGAACAGCCTGAGGCATGCACCTCGAAAGTAGTCGCTACTTTGGATGCTGGTGGCCGAGGCTGAAATCTGACACCGCCTGCACGTATCCGATACTTTATGAGCAGAACATTGAGTGAATGAACGACTGGAATGCATCCCTCATGCTGCAGCACCTAGTATTCCATACCTAAGGTACGGTATAATAATCAGACAGAATTATCATCAAAGCCATCGCAATTGATCTGAGTCCATTGGATTGGTCTCTGTGCCGTAAATCGTCTTCAGTGATTGCATCTGCCAATAAACCTTGAACGCAGAGGTCTTCTTCAGTTCGTTTGTCTCATGCTCCTCCATGCCATTCCTGCTCCCCATTGCCACAAACACCAGACAACATGAGCTCTCCCTTCACAAGCCACCTGCAGTGAATGCCTCCTGCAACGCAACGTTCATACTGCCGCCTCCTCTTTGTGCCATTGGTCAATCCTCGTCCATGCCGGCAGCAATGCAGCAGCAACTGCTGTAGAATAATGTGAGGTGAAGTGTTCATAAACACACTGGCCAGCCATGCTGCGAAATGCGGGACACCTCACTGCCCTTATACTCGCAGGGCGCCCTGTCCCCGGAGCTAGTGGCCTGTGCAGCGCTCACCGACACCTGGGAGGCGCTGGTTGGCCCGCCGAGAGCCACTGAGGGCCCCCGCGAGCCCACTGTGTCTGCTGGCAGAGCCCACTGAGCCCACTGGGGGTCCCTTGCCGAGGCGCTGGCCGGCCAATCCCCCTCTGCCGCACGGCTACAACAAGCAGCCGCACGAGCTCTCCACAAACTGCAACTTCAACCTTCTTCTGCAGCCACTCACGTCTGTTCCCGTCGTCTGCGATACCTGATCTGATCTTTGGGAATCCAATTGCGAGCCCGACGATGATGCTGCCGTGACGGCCAATTGCTCGACTGTCTCCCTCGGCCTGTCGCTCTCACACTGATCTCACCAGAGCTTCCGACTCCGACTCAATCCACCTTTCTCTGTCTCCGTCTCTGTGTCTCTTCTCTCCGGGTCTCATATACTGTCTCTCCCCTGTGATTCCCCAGATCACATCACCAACAAGGCGAAGCGCAGGCAGAGACAAACGCAAAACATCTCTCGCTTGCATCGTCCGTCTGCATCGTCATCTTCTGATCCAGCGCGGCAGCAAACGAGGGTGCCCGATATGGCGACTGTCGTCCAGCAGACCCAGGTCCATACTCGGACGCGTACCTCTCGCGTGCCCTCATCCAACCGGCCTCTTCGAGCCGCCGCCGCCGTAGCTGTTGCTGCTGCCGCCTTCGCCAGACCTGTGCGCAGCCTTGCGAGGCCCAAGCCTGAAACTCTCGAGATCCCGTCCGGTGGCGCTTCACACGCGGCCAGCCATGCCCCTGCAGAGCCGTCCTCCGGTGCCGCCATCGCTATGCCAGGCCCGGCGTCTCTGTCGCTGTTCTTGACCAACCTCAAGCTCCTGGATCTCGACCAGCTCCCCGACTGGCCTGACATTACAGCCGAGACATTTGCCGCCTCCGGAACCACCTTGCAGGACCAGAAGAGGCGAGTACAGTGCGTAGAATGGGCCTTGTATCAGCTGTTTGTCATCTGGGATCCCGAAGAGGCAGCGAATGTGCGTATTATCTCACTCTCCTCCTTCCTTGACTGCTAGACGAGCCCTGCAAATGACGTGACATGGTGAATCTGACGAGGCTAATACTCCATCCCCTCCGCAACAGAAGCTGAAGCCTTTCTACCCACCTGCCGACCAGCTCCAGTCTGTCAACCTCCGCGCCGCGCTCGTCAGAGCCCTCGAGCAAGCCAAGAAAAATGGCGACCTCGGCCGGGACACCATCATCCGCAAGACGATGCTGGACGAGTGCAAGGGCGAGAGGCTGGAGGAGGTCCTGGCCTTCTTTTCCACCGCCGTCCTGAAAAAGGTCGTTTCTGACAGCCTTGCCGCCAGTCGTGGCTATGTGACCCCCGTCGTTGAGCTGGCCTTTGAGAACAAGGGCTACAAGAGCGAAAAGTCGCATCTGATTGCCCTCTCCATGGCCCACAAGGCTTCCATCCGACAGCTCTTGCAGCGCAAGGAGGCTGCTCGAGCTCGCTTCCAGGGGTTTGCCAAAGTTCTCGACGATAAGGAAGATGATATCATCCGTAGACGAGAGGCCCTTGAGATCAAGGAGATGGATGGCGGCGGTCAGGCCGTCTCTGACAACGCCAGAGCCGAGATGCGACGGACTGTGCGCCACAACTGGTCGGGCAGCGAAGCCTGGATGGAGGCTCTCTTATGCGGAGACGCAAAGCATGGCGGCCTGCTGGCTACCAAGTTCGACAGAGTCTGGAGACGAGCCCAGCAGGGCCGGCTGGACGAGCTGGACACGGACGACGTTGGACTCTTGGAGCAGCTGGACAGCAGGGTCAAGATGCAGAGGGACAGGCTCCGCAAGTGGGATGCTTTCCGCAGGAGCACATTCGGCGAGACGAGGTCCACGCCGACCAAGCCCAGGACATCTGCTGCCAAGACAAAGGGCATCGACCTCGGCTTCTCTGCTCACTTGGACTTGCATACCGGCATAAGAGTCAAGCCGACCAGAGTTGCACTGTTCCAGCATGCGCCCCAGATGACGGACGATTATGCCGCGCTGGTCTCGGATCTGAAATACGAGCTGGGAAAGATCACCACTAAGGAGGTCGACATTGCGCCTCTAATCAGGAAGCGAACCCCTGTGAAGCAAGATCGCCGCGACCGTCGCCTGCTTTCCATCTCGTCGTTCGAGAGCGGTGGCGATGACGATGAGATTAGCGATTTGGAGGACGCTGAGAATGCGTTCCGCACCGATGGGTCCGTCACATCCTTCTCGTCCCTGCAGGACAAGTTCACCGCGCCGGCTCGTGCCGTGAGACCCGTGATATCTCGACCGAGTCTTTCCCAGCTCTCTGGTGATTCGGAGACACCGGGCGTTGCAGCGCGGCCGGCTCAGAAAAACTTTCCTGGACGGAGCACCTACGACTTGACGCAGCTCGACGACTCGCCGCTCGCCGCTCCTCCTTCTCTTTCCCCACAGCGCAAGCCTTCGGGATACCATACGCCGACACGTCGTCGGTCACCAGAGGCACCGAAACCAGCTGCAAGGCAAAAGGCGCTCTACAGCCCGCCGCGGGTATCCCCTACGAAGGAATCTGCGGCCGGGGCAGATGACATGAAAGGCACGACTCCGTCGCCCGTGAAGCGCACCAAGCCTCGACACACTTTGTCCTTGGCTGAGCGGACTCGGCTCTCGATGAGCCGGAAGAAATCCCTATGCTTCGAAGACGAAGAGCTTGATCCGCCCACCCCCATCACGCCTTCTACCATGCCTACGATTACAGCTGTGAACCCGGATTATTCAGAGGACCTTGCTAGTCGGACTCGTCGAAGCATGGCCGGGTTTGAAAAGGCCCAGCAAAAGGCCCAGATGGAGCGGCGTAGGAGCCTGAGAAGGGCCAAGGTGCCCCCGCGAAAGGAAGGTAGCTACTTCCCAAGGGTGGACGAGGATCTCAGCGAGACGACTCAGCTGTTGGAGCAGCTGGCTGAGGAATCGGATGTTGAGGCTGTCTTTCGATCGCGACCCAAGATTGGCCAGAGCCTGCAGCCGAGTCCTACGAGGGATGATTGGGCCGCTATCCCGGCCTACAATGGTGTGCGGATGAAGTGAGAATGAAGTTAGGGCTTGTAGTAGGGACTCGTGGCCCCTCCGAAGCTCGAAGTTTGGTGTCTTTTTATTTTCTCATTATTTTCTTTCTCTGAGCGTTTGAGCATGTAAATATGGATGATGAATAGATATTATATGGGAACGGAAACCAATGCTTACACGATAGCACAACATAGAATAACGGCAATGGATAAATGGATAACGTCTTTTACTCTCACTCGTGAAATCTCAATGTGTGTATGATGGTATCTTTTGCCCATCGTTGTATTGTACATGCATATATAGAAATGTATGTATGCCTACCTTATATATGACACCATCATGAATGCTTCTCATCATGGCCAAACTTACAATTTCCACCTCCAAAATCTCCCCCCATCTTCCACAGCATTGTCGTAGATTCCCATGTCTCAGGATGCACCCACTTTGTCTACCACCCCTGCTTCTTCAGCTCCATAACCTTACTAACCGCCGCCTTGAATCCCGTCTTGAACCTTGCCCTCCACCGCTGACTCCTCAACCTCTTCTTCTTCAAGCCCTTCCTCTCGTGAAACTTTTGCGAGTGGTACTTGTTGCGCACCTTCTGCTCGCGGCACATCCTCTCCAGCACGCGGATCGCTACGGCGGGCGTAGGCGCGGACGTTGGCGATAGGCGGTCCCTGATGAAGACGGTGCGACCGGAGACGGCCTCGGTGCGGACCTTGGGGCGGAGGAGGGGGTCGCCGACGTTGAGGGACTGGCCGAACGCTGCGGAGCGGGCGGCCACGATTTCGGCAATGTCAAAGCTGAAGGGGGTGGAGGAGTCGGCGGCCGTGTAGGGAAACTCCGTCGATGAGGATGAGGAAGACTTTTCAGAGGAAGCTGCTGGCGATGCTGAGTCGGCGGGAGGAGGAGGGGGAGGGGGAGGAGGGACGAAATCGGCCGTGGCTGAGGGTGCTTCTGATCGAGGCTTTGGTGCTTCTGCGGCAGGCTTCGGGGCGGGAGTGGGAGGAGCGAAGTTGCCGACCAGAGGGTTTATTCGGTCGTTGCCGTCAAAGAGCGGCCGTGAGGCATTGAATCGCATGGCCAGTGATGTGGAAAAGGCGCGGGCTTGCGCTGGAGCGGCTATTCTGGACAGCATCATGCTGCCGGGTCTCAGTGATACGGCCCTGGGATTGATTAGCGTTAGCATTCGGAAATCCAGCTGGGATTCCTGAGCTGTAGGAAGTGTCACTCACATCTTGGGGGTTTCAATGGCTTGCAGCAATTCAGCCGTCTATCAGCCCATCCGCACAGATGCAGCCCCAAGATCATGAAAGTCGTCGGTCGCGAAAAAAGCTGCGGGCGGATCAACGTTGATGCGGGGCTATTCCGCTACAACCTGCAGAAACCGAAGCCCAGCCAGCAATTGATCCTAGCCTCGCACCTTGCATATCGCCATTCCCAAACTTCCGACTTTTCTCCCAAAAAGCTGCGAACAAGCAAAGCTGGACAGCCTCAGCAGAGAAGAAACTCGAGACAAAGGCACTGTCTGCGTGCTGATGCCCTGCAGAATCAATCTGGTCTGCCGTCGCGTCTCAATGCAAGCCGAGAACCCTGCACTCTGAGGCTGCGACTGGAGATTCATCGTCTGCAGACATCTGGCTCTTCTGCTGGAGCTCTCGTGTTCCGTCCTGGCCTGAGCCTCGATCCTTGATTCTTTGACCCTTGACTCTCTTAGACGGTGCAGAAACTACACGACACGCGACAAGCGACAAACCACAAACGACAACTTCCTCCGTGCCCTCGACAAAGCCGGCGTGACGCTGCTCCGTCGCCATGGCCTACAACCAATACGGGGGTACTCACGGCCGAGGACAGCCCCGAGGGCGATATAGATCGGCTAACGGAGCTTCAGCACCGCACATTCCCTATGGCGCGCCTCCAGGCTATGGCTATCCGGGCGCGGCGCCTGGCTTGGCTGCTCCTCCTGGCTTAGGTGAGCATCTCTCTCTTCCCCTTCCTCTTGGACCCCCTTCGATGATGCTGACTCCAGGCCCCTCAGGTCCTCCTCCAGGCATGTCTCCCGCTCCGGGAATGGCCCCTCCGCCGGGCATCCAGCAAGCCAACGTGCCTCAAGCTAATCGTCCAAGTGGTCTGCCACCTGCATTCCAAGCGCCGACCAACATGCCCAACATCAACTTCAATGCCCCCGTTATTCGCCTGGGCACTGGAGCCTCGGGTGGTGGCGGCAGATCCGACGACCGACCTTCACAATCAGGAGGAAGAGCTGGGCTCGGCATGGAGAGGGGTTCAGAGCAAGGCCGAATGGCGGCGCGAGAGAGCATGCAGACGCTGCTCCCACCGACGAACGACGAGAAGCTGCGTACCATTTTCCTACACCAACTACCCGAGGGAATAGGCGGTGATGAGGGCACGAAGAAGCTACTTGGAGCAGTTGGCAGGCTTAAGCGCTGGGACGCCTTCGACAGCGTGTCAGAGGAACGGAAGGGAACCAAGTTTGGCTTCGCCTTGTTCGAGGACATTGATTCGGTGGCTACCGCTGTCAAGCTCCTCACCGAAGAAGAGGTGCAAATCCCCACCAAGAAGCAGCCGAGTTCGAGCGACCCCCCTGCCGATGACAACTTTGACGATGTCGAAAAGACCAAGCTACAAGTGGTTGTTGATCCCACGTCTTTGAGCTACCTGGAGACGTACAAGGAAAGCAAGGGAGACGATACGTCGTTGGAGCAGCGGATAGAGCAAGCCCGTGAGGCCCTCAAACTGGTTATCCGAGAGCTATTCCGCCCACCTGTTGTCGAGACTGCTGACGCCAACGGCGACGTCGCGATGGGAAATGCGGTGGATACGGAGGAGAATGTGGAGGTGGTCAACATACCCCTGGCTCAAGAGGACGAGCTGGCAGATATCCCGCCCGACATGAGGGAGGTCGTGGCGGGTGAAATTGCCGCTTTCCGTGAGCGAAGCAATCAGCGCGATATGGAGCGCTTGCAGCGAGAGGAGGAACTCGAGGAAAGCGAACGACGACGAAACGGCCCAGGCCGATCAAGACTGGCCTCGCCGCCGAGGAACTCGAACAATGTGCCACTGGGACCTCGAGGCGTTTCCGTGCCCAACGCGCCGGCCGGACCCAAGGGCCAGAACGGGCCGAACCGAGGAGTGTCCTTTGTTAACGGAGGGGTCAACAATGCAGACGGTACGCTGAGACGGGAGGATGAGGACACAGATGCCAGTGACGAGGAGCTCTGGAGGAGACGCGAGGCTGAGCGCAAGGCTGAAGAGGACAAGATGTATGCCGAAGCCGAGCGCAAATGGGTCAACAGAGAACGCTCAAGACAGGCGGCCTTGGAGCGAGAGCGGGAACGGGAAAGGCATGACCAGGAGAACTTTGAACGCAGAAAACAGGAGCAGCTGGATCGAGAAGTGGGATGGGATGACGACCGAGAGGCCGCGCGTAAGACGCACATCTACTACCGAGACCACGCCGCCTGGGCCAGGAAACGAACGGCTGAACGGATTGAGGAGGAGGCGCGTGACGAAGCCGACCGGCAGGCCGAGAGGATTGAGCAAAGCCGCGAGCAGGCCCGGCTGGAGCAGGCGCGTGGCATGGCGGATTCATTCCTGGACCAGCAAGCTCAGGAAATGGAGCAGCGCGAAGCTGCCGCCGCTGCCGCGGCGCCTCAGCCATTCAAGCTGTCACTCGGCGCAGCCGTACAACGAGCACAGGCCTCACGAGCGGCACCGCAGCGACGCACGATTGCCGAAGTGGAGGGTCTGCTGGACGACGAGGAGGTCGAATCTACAAAGCGACAGCTCGTCCCTATCCAGATGGACGCCTCTTCTGGTGCTGCTGGCATGACGGAGGAGGAAATCTCGCAGGCCGTGCGCGCATTGGCGCAGGAGATTCCGTCGGAGAAGGAAGGTCTCTGGGCGTGGGAAGTCAAGTGGGAGTTTATGGATGACGCGGTGGTGCGCGACAAGCTGCGGCCGTTTGTGGAGAAGAAGATTGTCGAGTATCTGGGTGTGCAGGAGGAGATGCTGGTGGAGGCCGTTGAGGAGCATCTGCGGAAGCATGGCACGGCTGGCGAATTGGTGGAGGAGCTCGAAGGAGTAAGTTTTCTTTTCTATCTCGTGTATTCTGTGCTGGACAAGACGAGCTAACTCTATTTTCACAGGCGTTGGATGACGAAGCAGAGGATCTGGTCAAGAAGCTGTGGCGTATGCTCATCTTCTTTACCGAGAGCGAGAAGCGAGGCTTGCCAGCTTAAAGCGAGGGATCGCTGTCACCTGGGTAGGGCACGAGAGCCGAGACGTGTAGTGTTTTTTTCCCTCCGCCACTCTTTGTTGCTTCTTACAGCACCAGGCATCTCTTCCTATGAAGGAGTTGACATGCAGAGTGCTATTGCCGTTTCCAAGTGCAAGACGGCAACTTTGGCGGACAGGACTTGGAGACAAGGGATGTTCAAGTGGAGGTAATGTTTTGAAAGAGGATATCGAAAAGGCGAAAAGGGAAAAAATCTGTCTTGTATGTACAACTGGGGGGGTTTGGCAAACAGCCCGGACTTTTCGACACATTCTGTAGGATTCATTGTATGTATGTTGACAAATGAAATTATGGCTCACCTTGGGGGGCATTGACTGTGATACCATGAGGGACTGTGCTGTTATGAGGATGGCGAGTTGGCCATGGGAGATGGAAGTTGTTGTGATGAAGTTCGCTCTAAAGATGAGTACCAGGACTTGTAAATACTCGTGTTACATGAGTAGTATCACCAGTCGACCCCGAGGAATTGCTCTTTCAAATGATTATATCTGAATATCAGTCCCGCCAATTGTAGCTACACGTTAACACTGTCGCAACCCCTCGTAATTCGGTAATAACAACGAATCTCACCACCTCCAAAAAGAGGCACAAAAGCTCACCAACCGAAAAGCCTCGGCTCCAGCCCCACACAGACACCCCAGAGAGGCGCGTCACAGCTGCTGCTGACCAGGTTGTCGTTCCTGGAAAGAACCCGTGGCGAGTTTTACCGCCAAATTCACCCTCCGAAGCCCAACCACCTCCAAGTGAAATCCACACATACCGTACCCTACCTTACCTTGCATCAAGACGAGCTGCAACGAAACGCGACTGAGCCGTCGGGAAGCGGCCATGGTTTATTAGCTCTGTGCAGCGTGTTGAGAACACTGAATCTCGTTGTTTTGATTCTTTTCTTTGTTTTGGGACTTGTTGAATGAGATTGAGCGGGGGAAAAGGGCACTGAAATCGAGAACAGGGGCAGCACAATAGTGAGAAGTGAGTGAGAGAGAGAGAGAGTGACGAGATATTGAACCACAAGGAGGTGTTTTCTCGAGTTCCGGCAACTCGGTCCTCATATGCTGTCGCCACTCAGCTTCGCCCTGTCCGCCTCGCTCGCCCCCTTTACCAAGCCATACACCTGAAATCCCCCAAAGAGAGACAAAAAAGACATCATCATCAGCAATGGCCATCTCCATGAGCTCGCCGCCGGCCGTCGAGGACGTCATCATCACGGCGCCGCGGCCGCACATCCTGCTCGTCACCATCAACCGCCCCAAGCAGCTCAACTGCATCCGCAACGACATGCACTACCAGCTGGACCGGCTGTGGCGCTGGTTCGACGCCGAGCCGGCGCTGCGCTGCGCCGTCGTGACGGGCATGGGCCGCGCGTTCTGCGCCGGCGCCGACCTCAAGGAGTGGAACGAGCGCAACGCCCGCCCGGACGAGCCGTCCAAGAAGGCGCCCGACTCGGGCTTCGGCGGGCTGAGCAACCGCCGCGGCAAGAAGCCCGTCATCGCCGCCGTCAACGGCCTGTGCCTGGGCGGCGGCATGGAGATGATCCTCAACGTCGACATGGTCATCGCGTCCGTCGACGCGCGCTTCGCCCTGCCCGAGGTCGCCCGCGGCGTCGTGCCCATCCAGGGCGCCCTGCCGCGCCTCATCCGCTCCGTCGGCATGCAGCGCGCCGCCGAGATGGCCCTGCTCGGCCGCATCTACAAGGCCGACGAGATGCTGCGCTGGGGGCTGGTCAACCACGTCATCGCCCGCGGCAGCGACGTCGTCGGCGAGGCCCTGCAGTGGGCCATTGAGCTGGCCAGCAACTCGCCCGACTCCGTCATCGTCGCCCGCCAGGGCCTGCTGAGCGGCTGGGACCCCGAGGACCCCCAGGAGGCCACCCGCCGCATCCTCAACGACGTCTACGCCAAGATGGACGGCGGCGACAACATGACCGAGGGCGTGCGCGCCTTTGTCGAGAAGAGGAAGCCCATCTGGAAGGACAGCAAGCTGTGAGACGGCCCGGGTTGTTGTGAGTGAGTAATACAGCACGTCATCCCGCGAGAACACCACGACCGAGGAGGAATGGGTTGGACAAGGTGTCTCGGATACTGCATCTTGAGTGATGCAATGGAGATGAGAGCCGGCGGCGAGTACTACCGTGTCCTCCCGTGCTTTTAGTGTACATACTTTATGATTGTTTGTGTAGCACCAGCGTATTGTCGTCGATCAATTTAGCAACGACCCTCTTTGCTCTGTCCGACAACCACGGCCCCCCCATGCACGCTGCCATATTAATCCTCCGAGCGGATGTTGATCAGCACCGAGCCGAAGAGCAAGAGAGAGATGCAGCCAACCGTAAGCCATGCCGTCGTCATGCGGAGAAAGCAGTGGCATATAAAGCATGTCATACAGGTCAGGTCCACGATCGCTGTCTTTCTCCCTTCCTCGTCGGGCCAGCATCTCCGCCTCGATATCCCATCTAGATCACGATCCGGCTAGTTGGGAGCCATCCTTTGCCACAGTCACTCGCACCCACTCACTGAGACACTCACACCTTGGCACTGGCACTCTTCAAAGTGAAAGATTACCAAATAGGCTGCTGATGCCTTGACCGAGATCATCCTCGTAGGTAGATCGGCTACGGTCTGGTCCAGGGCCTTGATCACCATACTGTACCGCATCATGGGCCAAGACCAGGATAGCGGGAATGACAGATCCAGCTGGTGGAGTGGGAAGCCTGCAGCCATCCAATGGCACGCACACGGCTTACTGCGTTGAAATTGCTCTCACGCCCAAAGAGTTCTAGGCACGGCCCGTTGCGGAGCCCCAAGCAGCTGGAAGGCATCGTCAAGGTTCGATATTTGCGCTCAAGTATTAGTGATATGTTGCTCAGCGTTCGCAGACATATGACGAGACACCAGTCATCTCCATATCTTCTGTCAGAGCAGTAGTTGTACCTCGTGGGATTCTTTGTGCGCCAGAAACTTGCGTGCACGGCAGCAGAAACTCTCCGATATGCTCGCTGTACAGGAGCCTCTTCCCCTCTGACAACAGCAAGGATCAAGGAACACAAGCTGTGCCGTCCCGAGAGAAACCATCCGGACAGAAAATAGCACCAACGGACGGGAGAATGAGTCCAACCCGCGACTTGATCTTTTTGATCGATGGCTTCGTGCGGCTGGGCGGCAAACGTAGCAATCTTGCTGCCATCCGCCTGCAGACCCTCAGCCGCGGGACAAGATGCCCGCCTTTTGTTCCAAATTCCAGCTCGTGACTGGCCGAATAATATCGGCGGGTGAGACGCCCGCGTAACAATCGCCGAAGCTCGTCGTTCCTCACTGGTTCGCCCTCTGAGGCTCTGAGACATGCATCTGCTCTCATGCGTCTCTCCCCCGCTCATATGCGAAGTTGTCGTGAGGAGCATCGAGGCGTTCTGTCAGTCCCTCGAGATAGGGGTCTCCGCCATCTCTCCCATTGGCCGCTGGTCCCCGGCATTCGACAGACGTGCAGCAACTCAGTCTCGACATGGCAGCGATCAGCGCTTCTCAGCCGGCTTCATTCAGCCTCTCCCTCGCAGGATCTCCACACAGCCGAGTTGGGCGTAAGAGGTGCGTCCAGAGGCCGTCGCGACGTGCTTCGTGCGTCCAACGACTCATGATGCGAGAATCCAAGACAGAGCGTCGCAGCAGCATCCGTATTAGTCGTCCACGATGAGCCACCCTCATGATCAGAAAATGCTAATAATAAGCCGCGGGCGCACCCCCCGTGCTTATCCTTATTTCGAGTACGTACCCAGGCTTTCTCATTAGCTTTCTTGGCCAGGCACCGGGCATCCCCCCCTGGCTTCGCCTCATCCTTCCAATTGCCTGTTTGGTCAGCTGGAATTTAAAGAGCCCCCATATAATATCTCGCCATGGCTTCTGGGAGCATGCTTGACCCAAGTTCCGCTGAGCGTCCCAAGAGTCGCTCCAGCCTGGACTACATCACCGAAGCCATCATGGAGCGCCCAGCAAGTCCCGCGCCGAAAAACAGAATGCCAAGGAAGCTGATTCTTTGTTTCGATGGCACCGGGAACAAGTTCCATGGCGATGAGAGCGATAGCAACATCCTCAAAATATTCCGTATGCTCGATCGCACTGCGGATGATCAGTTTCACTACTACCAGCGTAAGTATGCGAAGACGCGTGCCAAGTTCGCGCCGAGTTCATGTTGTCGCTGCAGATGTGTTCAAAGACATGGCTAACTCTCTTCACAAGCTGGTATTGGCACTTACGTCGTGTCCAACTCACTTACACACACGGGCATGAAAGCGCGTTTTCGGTCCTGGTATCAGAAGGCCAAGGACTCAGCAGTCGGTTCCTCCTTCGATCAGCATGTCGTCGGCGGTTACCGCTTCCTCATGCGGTTTTACAATCCGGGGGATGAGATTTACATGTTCGGCTTCAGTCGCGGCTCGTACATTGCCCGCTTTCTGGCCGAGATGCTCGACTACATCGGCCTCTTGTCCCATGGCAACGAAGAAATGGTTTCTTTTGCCTGGAAGGCATTCGCCAACTGGCAGAGTCGCCGGGGCAGTGACAAAGACGACAAGGCGGAGGGTGAGGACGGAAAGAAGCACGAGATGTATCACTTCATGAAGGGCTTCCGCGAGACCTTTTCGCGACCCGTCGGCAGAATTCGATTCCTGGGCCTCTTCGACACAGTGAATTCTGTACCTCGGTTTGAAACAGCCTGGATGCAGCGCAGCAAGTTTCCATATACGGCGCGGAGCAGTGCTAGAGTCATCCGCCACGCCGTCAGTATCGATGAGCGACGGGCCAAGTTCCGGCAAGACTTGATGTATCAGCAGGGAAACAAGCGCCATCGCAACCAGCACAGCCACTGGAAGAGGGATTGGGAGCACATGATGGGCCACGGGCGAGATGGCGATTCCGGCGCAGAATCAGACAGCACCGAAAGAGCGTATAACGACGACAGAGGCAGACGGCCCAGTCAGCAGACGACAGCAGCGGACAGACCTACATCGGGGAAGCCACAAAACAGCAAGTATATGCCATACCGAGCCAGGTCGAAGTCTGCGACCCGGGGAGATCGCCGTTTGTCGGTGGGCTGCGACGCCTCGGAGCAGCTTTCTGTTGCTGAATATGAAGATAGCGGTAATGACCAAGACATTGACGAGGTGTGGTTTGCCGGTGGCCATGGCGACATTGGCGGTGGATGGCAGATGGAGTCTGACGGCAAGAACGCGAGCCATGTGCCCCTGATTTGGATGGTACGAGAAGCTATGCGTGCTGGCTTGATGTTCGATATGGACAAGGTCCGGGAACTAGACTGCTGCGACCTGTACAACGACTATGGCAGCGCCAGCTTCAACAAAGGCCAACGAGGCCGCGAGAGAGGGCCCGACATTCGGGTCAACCAGGAGGGTGGAGAGGAACAAGAACCTGTGATGCCTCCCAGTCCAGACACTGTCGCAGATGAAGATGAGGAGAAGAAGGTATTCCTCGACATGATGCACAAGGCTCATCTCGCCCGGATCCACGATTCCCTCGAATACGGCGGTGGTCTCCCTGGAACGGCCGTGACGGCATGGAAAATCATGGAGTGGATGCCATTTCGACGGATGGACCTTCAGTCGGACGGAACTTGGAAGCCCATCAACTGGCCGCTGCCGCGCGGCGAAGTGCGAGACATTCCCAACAATGTGCGCGTTCACGGCAGCGTCATCCGGCGCATGAAGATGGACCCGACGTATCGCCCCGGTAATCTGATCATAGGCGGAGGCGGTCGAGGGATCCGAGTTGCGCCTGAAGAGTACGGCATAGGAGAGTGGGTGTGCGTGCAGGAAGAGGGCGACCCGATTGGTGAGATTTGGATGCGCAAAGGCGATCCTCCGAAGCTGGACATTGATGTAAAGAAGATGAAAAAGAAGAGCAAGAAGGCGAAGAAGGAAAAGAGAAAGGAGAAGAAGGAGAAGGAAAATCAGGAGAAGCACAGCTGATTCGAGGCTGGTGATGATGGATCTTGGCGTTGCTTGTCTTTTGCATGAGTGATCGGAAACGCTTATACCGACCTGATACCTAGTAATTGTTAGTTCTGACGAGACGCCACGCCGCGATGTCTGTCCATACCTAGTTCATCATGATACCAATTTGAACTTCAAACGATGATAACAAGAATTTGCTCCAATAATTCTAATTGTCTCTGTTGTCATTTCCAGTGCAAGTTGTGTGTTGTGGAAGGATGGAAGCTGCGAGCCTTTGAGCTGGTGTGTCACGTGCAGCTCCCGAAGTGCTTCCTTTACCTCTGACACTCAGCCATCAACTGCTGACTCGACCGCTCATCCTCCAGCTTGTCAGCGATCTGGCCATTGCTACTGCTGCCAACAACTCGAAACGATGAACTGACCGACTTGAACCTCCTTTACCCGACTTTCATTTCCTCAGCTCTCTCTAAACGGCCGATCCCTCACGATGCCCGTACCGACTATCTTCTACCTCCTGGAGAACGGCTTCCCCCCCGTCATCCGCGACAATGCCCGGCCCATCCTGCTCACCATCGGCACTATCGCCTTCCTCGTCCTGCTGAAGCTCTACACCTCCGGCCGGACGAACACCTCTGAGCGCAACCTCCATGGAAGGGTCATTATGGTCACTGGCGGAACGAGCGGCATAGGGGCCCAAGTGACGCAGGAGCTGGCAGCTCGCGGTGCTCAGCTCGTCCTGCTGACGCAGGTCCCGGCCTCGGACCCGTTCCTCGTCGAGTTCATACAAGATATCCGGGACAACACGGGCAACCATCTGATCTACGCGGAACAAGTCGACCTCTCGAGCCTGTACAGCATCAGGAAGTTTGCTACTAAATGGGTAGACAACGCCCCGCCGCGGAGACTGGACATGATTGTGCTGTGCGCATCGACCCTGACGCCACCGGGAGGAAAGAGAACCGTTACCGAAGATGGCATTGAAGAGATGTGGATGGTCAATTACCTCGCCAATTTCCACTTGCTGAGCATCCTCAGTCCTGCCCTCAAGGCACAGCCCTTTGACAGAGACGTGCGCGTGATCATTGCGACATGCTCTTCGTACATTGGCTCTCCCTCTTTGAAAGACGGTCTTGGAAACGTTGAAAAGGGCTGGTCTGCCGGGTCTGCCTACGCACGCAGCAAACTTGCCCTCAACGTGTTCGGCTCCTATTTTCAGAAGCACCTGGACTCGTACAAACGTCCCGACCAGCTGCCCATGAACACCCGCGTCATCTTTGTCGATCCAGGTCTCAGTCGAACGCCGGGCACACGGCGATGGCTCACTCGAGGCTCTCTCTTTGGTCTTGCGCTTTACCTGATTTTCTACGCCATCCCGTGGTTCTTGCTCAAGTCGCCCAGAAAAGGTGCCCAATCGATTCTCCACGCCGCAATGGATGAGAACCTCGGACGCGGCAGCGGTGGCAAGCTGATCAAGGAGTGCATGGAGGTGGACTTTGCGCGGAGGGAGATTACAGACGACGAGGTGGCCAAGAAGCTGTGGGAGGAGAGCGACGCCCTGATTGAAAAGACGGAGAAGATCGCGGCCAAGAAGAGGTTGCAGAAGAAGGAGGAGCAGAAGGAGAAGGAAAAGGTAGAAGAGGTAGAGAGCTTGGTGGAGGCCATTAAAAAGGGAAAAGAGAAGCAGAAGGAAAAGGAAAAGCAGCAGAAGGGAAACGGCAAGGGCGGCAAAAAGAGTAAATGATTTGTTTAATAACCTTATAGCTGGCGCATATAGAGCATTATATAGACTTGGGAATATCATCAATTGCTGATAGCATGGCTTTGATTCTGGCGCTGAGCATCTTTGGCTTCTGCCGAGATACTTCGTCCCTGTGATGATGATCGATGAACCTCGGCTTAGGTAAGACACACTGCAATATCATCATAGCGACTTCATGCAGCTAACTCGGGACATCCAAACTTCCCTGTCTCGACAATGCTCATTCAACACTGAACTGATATCCAGTATAATCAATCCATCGTCACATGGATTCGGCTTGACTCGTCTATCTCACGCTCTAGCATCGCCACCAGCATCATCATCACCATCACCGCCCATTTTCCCCATCTCTACTCAACCAGTCCAACCAAACAATGACGCTCCAGCAGCCCCTCCCAACACCAGCCCAGCTCCAAGCAATCTGGGCCAGACACGCCCACAACGCATCGACGACACACCCGGTATTTTTCACTGAGCGGCTGCGCAAGCCTAAACCGTCCCTCGGGTCTGCGGCAGCGGCGGCGACGGGGTCCAGCAGTCCCGTGGCGCATGGGTATGTCTATCAGGAGGCGCGGAGTGGGAAGCTGTGAAAGCGGCGCGCATTTACCTTGTTTGTTTTAAGTTACGTGCATGGTAAGTCGCTGTTAATGTCGGCGGTGGTTTAACAAGTGGTGATTCTGATGGGATTCTAGGTGGCGGCGTGCGCAGCGTTTACATCTGTAGATACCTACTCATTTAGCTGGTCTGGCGATGATTAAGATACGAGATACCATGGAGACTTCATGACAAGCTGCGCATTGGCTGGTTCAATGAAAGAAAAGGCTATACTATACTGCTGATACCATTAAACCATCTACTCGCAAAACGAAAAGAAGCATCGCGTTGATTAATTCCAAAGTACTTTCAGCCTTGGGTCCCGTTTGACCGCACATTAACCCAGAATTCCTCGCAAGGCCCTGTGACGCCCGATAAAATAATCAAATCCCGACTATGAATACAAGTTACAGCATCTAGGCTTTGGCGCTCCAGCCGAATCAATAAGGCAAAAACAAAGGAAAGGGTAAAGAACATGCTCCGCGACTTGGCAGTCTAGGACTTGACCGAAATGACAATGATCATAATGATGAGAGCCACGACCATCGTCAGCAGCGCCATGAGCTTGACATTCTTCCACCACATCTGCCTCTTCAAGCCCCGGCTCCGCACCCGAAAGTCGCGCGCGCTGCTCCCCAGCCTGTCCGTCTTGTCGACGAGCAGGTCGATCCTCTCGCCGCGCTCGAGCAGGCTCTCAATGTTCTTGGTCATGATGCCTCTAACATCGTCGATCTCGCGCTTCGCGTTGCCAATCGCGTCGTTCATGCCGCCGCTCGTCGTGCCAAACTCCACCATCAGGCTCTTCATCTCGGCGTTGAACGAGGCGGCGCCGTAGTTGGGCATGTCGGCGAAGTCGGTGTGCTCGGGGAACTTTTCAAAGAAGCGCTTGCGGATCTCGAGGAGGTAGCCAAAGGGCACGCGGCGGCCCAGCGAGGCGTCCGCGATGACGAGGAACGTCAGGCCGCCGGCGGCCGGATGGTCGGGGTGGTCAGAGGGCGCCTCGGCGACATAGTGGATCTGGTGCTGGCCGTGGGTGTAGGTCAACTTTTGGGGCGTCGAGTGCTCGATCTTGGGCAGGATGAGGGAGGCGAGCGAGGAGGTTTGTGACGAGGCGGAGGTGGTGCATTCGGAGAGGATCGTATTCTGGTGGGCGATGCAGGAGCTGTGCTTTGTTAGCAATCATCAACAGACCCCTAACGCGAACGGGATGGAAAATAGAAAAGGAAAAGGAGTCGCTCACTAGAGGAGAGGAGTCGCACTTGATGAAGACGCCATTCTGGCGGTAGAGGCTGGACTGGTCGAGAAAGATGCTGTTTGGATCCCAGGTTCTGGTGTTTTGGTGAGGCAGAGGGCGACAGGAGGGCACGTCAGAGCGGAAGGTTGTCAGAGTGTAAGAGCTGGGCGCAATTGAGGAATTGGTTGGTTTGGTAGGACTCCGGCGCCGAAGCTACGCTATGACGAAACGGCACCCACTGTTTGCCGCCTTGGTGCAGCGTCGCGGCCAAACGCTAATCCGGGCTCCGGCCAGCTTCCGTAACTCGCCTCCAAAAAAGTTTTGTAAAATCTGGGTATCTTATGGCTGGCCATCGTGTAAGATAGAGGGTACATACAAGGTGTGGCAATCTTTTATCTTTTATTTCCTTCTCATTCTTTGTTCCCCTTTTCAAAGAAGTCATCATCTTCCCGGTTTTCCTGCTTTTCACTATCGACAATATCATGATACTTGCGCCGTCATGACAGCCCTGGCCCAAACCGGCGCCTTCAGAGGCCAGCTCGGAGCGGCATGTCTGCGTCTGCGCCATCTCTCGACCTCGTCTCCCCTCTCACGACTCCCTTCCAAAGCCACCCACAGCAAGCCAAAGCCCGTGAAACACAAACCACCGAATTACGCAGCAAAACTAGAGAAAAAATTGGACATAAAACTCGCGGAAACAAAAACAAGATTAGGGCCTCACTCTCGGGTCGACTCGGTAAGCTCACTCACTCACTCACTCACTCACAAGATGCCATGAAGAAAATCTCATCTCACATATACATGCAGGTTAGCCAGGGCCATGACCCGAATGCCAGGTTACGGCGCGACCATGGCCAGTACACCGGGCGGCACAAGATATTCCGCTCGACTGTCCTTGCTCGCTTCCAAGGTGTGCTCAGCCGCCTCGGCGCGGCCCAGTTTGGCGTCACTCTGGGCGAGGATGAGCTGAGTCGGCATGCAGCGCTCTTCATGGATGCCATCGACCGTGCCTTTGCCTTGGCGGAGAAGGGCGTCACCCGTCGAGACAGGAATCCTTTGTTTTGGAATCTGCGCGATGCCTTCATCAACAAGGACCTCAAGGGCCTGACCAAGGAGGTTCAGTACTCATTTCAATCATTTATCGTTGGCCAGCGGTTCTCCAAGAACATCGAGGAGAGCCACAAGCGCCTTCTAGACTTCCGATTTCCTCACGAGTGGTTTCCTGCAACACGGATGATGCAGCGCACGATCCATGTGCACGTTGGGCCTACCAACTCTGGCAAGACTTACAACGCACTCAAGGCGCTCGAGAACTCCAAGTGCGGAATCTACGCCGGCCCTCTTCGACTGCTCGCCACGGAGGTGTACCAGCGCTTCAAAGCAAAGAACATGCCGTGTGCGCTTATCACGGGCGAGGAAGTACGGATTCCCGAGGACGCCGACCAGTACTTTTCGAGCTGCACCGTGGAGATGATTCCCCTCAACAGCCGCTTCGACGTGGCCGTCATCGACGAGATCCAGATGATTGCCGATCCCGATCGAGGAAACGCGTGGACGACCGCGGTGCTCGGAGTGCAGGCCAAGGAGGTCCATGTATGCGGCGAGGAGCGGGCTGTCAAGGTGATCAAGGCCATGTGCGCCAGCATTGGAGACAAGTGCGTCATTCACCGATACGAGCGCCTGAGCCCTCTCAAAACGATGGACAAGGCGCTGGATGGGGACTACAGCAGCCTGCAGAAAGGAGATGCCATTGTGGCATTCAGCCGTCTCAGCCTTCACTCGCTGAAGCAGAGAATCGAAGAGAAGACTGGCAGGCGTTGCGCTATTATTTACGGATCTTTGCCACCCGAAGTCCGTGCCCAGCAGGCTGCCCTGTTCAACGACCCCAACAACGACTATGATTTCGTCGTCGCCAGTGATGCGATTGGCATGGGCTTGAACTTGGAGATTCGACGAGTCGTTCTCGAATCGGTTACAAAGTTTGACGGCAGCCAAAATCGACTGCTGACGTTCCCCGAGATCAAGCAGATCGGAGGCCGAGCGGGACGATACAGATCAGCGCAGAACCCCGATGGTTCGACGGACGAGACAGAAAAGGTTGGCCTTGTCACCACCATGGACAAGGCTGACCTGCGAAGCGTACAACGGGCCTTTCAAAGGACTGTCGATGATATCGAGGCGGCCTGTATCCAGCCTCCGGCAGGAATCGTGGAGCGATTTGCCTCGTATTTCCCACCAGACACACCTCTATCCTACATTCTCAAGAAAATCCAGGAGACGGCAACGGTCAGCTCTCTGTACCGGATCGGCCTGGGATCCGACATTCTGGAGATTGCCGACATCATCCAGGACATTCCCCTCACCATTCACGACAGGATGACCTTTTGCTATCTGCCCGTAGCGCTCCGGGCCGAGAGGGCCGTGGAGGTGCTCCGAGCCCTCGCCAAAATCGTCGCCACCAACGCCAAGGGCGATCTCCTCGACATTGAGGAGATACCGCTCGAGTTCCTCGATATGAGCTTTGAGGATTTTGCAGGCAGCGGGCAGCAGTACCTCTCGAAGCTGGAGTCGCTGCACGTTGCCGTGAACCAGTACGTGTGGCTGTCGTACCGGTACGCGGGCGTCTTCCGCAGCCAGGCGCTGGCCTTCCACGTGCGGACGCTGGTGGAGGAGAAGCTCATGGAGACTCTGGAGCGCCTGAATTTCAGCGACGAGCAACTGGAGCACAAGCGCAAGAGCAAGCGGTTGGCGGCCAAGTCTCGAAACGCCAACAGGACGGCGTTGGGCGAGGAGGAGCGCGCGGAGGTGGCGGAGAGGCTTCCTGATGAGGACCTGGTTGTGGACGAGGTGATTGATGAGAAGCAGGAGCTCCCTGCTGCGTCGTGAACTGTCTTGTCTTGATGCATTTTGGAGGGTGTCTCCGAGTATATAAGAGTTGGTATCATCTGGTTTCTGGCTGGGTACATGTAGACATGGGATGATGACGGACCTGGATCGCATGGAAGAGATGGCATACGGCATACACTATTTTGCATTGGAAAGAGAGAAGCAGAGTCGAAACGGGCTCGGACACATTGTACGACTATGGGTATAAAAGAGAAAAAGCTGTATGATTAGAGGGGAAACTTTGAACACAGTTCATGAGGATCAAAAGGCGTTACGGGGCTTTGCGAGAAAGCAAATCACAATGATACAGCGGAAAAGCTACTGATAGATGGACTACGTTGTTGCTATTGTGATGGAGTCGGGTGCTTACTGGTGAGCATGACAAGCAATACATGCCTCGAATATTACGATAGCTGGTGCTTTGCCTACTAGGAATCGCTGGAACATGTACTCAGACATACATGGCCAATGATGTCAAGAATGATGATGAGGCTGGCAATTGTTTCAAAATAGCACACGTTGATCGATGGAGAGCTGTTGATGTGACTCTGTTCACTCATGCCAAGGCTGCACTGAGCAAACAAGCCTCCTCGTTTGACGCCACTCTCCCAACAACTTCAGTCCGCCACTCGATTTTCTCTTCATTCGAAAGTGTGAGACAGATTGAGAGCGACATGCACTTTGATGTGAGCTTTATATAAAGCACCACTTTCTTTGGCAGTTTCAGGATGTTAATACTCAACAAAGGCAGCGTTGAAAGCGAGCTTGTCGCAACCTCACCAACATCTACCATCTTAGGTACCCTAGAAATACATTATAGTGCACTTGTCAATCGCAACACCGACTCTTCACAACAAAAGACAACCTAGAGAGAAAGACCCCCCGGACAAGGTAGCATCCCAGCATTCCGGCAAACCAGAGACTCCACCATCCCGCATGCCCGCTCATTCAGCTGAGCATCGTGTCTCCGTACAATCCCGGCAACATGTCACTTGTCACTTGAGTCCTCGTCCCCTGTCGGCTGCGCCCGCCAAGACCCGATTGGCCGATTGCCTGAAGTGTCCCTGTTGTCCCTTGTCAGGTTGTCTTGTCTTGCTTGTTGCAGCCTGAATGGAAGCTGTACAGTAGTAGTAGCCATTGCCTGGATGCAGTGCTGCCTGCTTCTCTCTGTCTGGCCTATCTCATAGAGTAATACCCAATACCTAGTATTCTCAAAAGAATCGTACCCTTTTCATCTCAATTAAAATGCTCTGCTCTACGCCATCATCATCATCATCATCATCATTATTATCATCAGTGCTATCGCTGTATCTGGGCAATTCGTACCAGTGACTTGATCTCTGCCCATCTGACGTCTGTTTGGGCCCTGCCACTGCACCGTCCCGAGAGCTTCAGACAACCTAACTTGGAAGTACCGGTACCTGAAGTGGCCGCTGTGCTCGGATGCATCGCCTGCGGCAGTCGCTCCACCGCCTTCCATCTCTCATCGCTTCCACCTTCAAGCCGCATCTCCTTGCCTTAAGCCTCTTTCATCAATAGACTTCAGCAACCATTCCTTTTTCTCCCAACAATTTCTCCAGCGTCTTGCTCTGATCTACCAGGAACTTCTCTTCCGCATCTCTACAACGTTTCCGGACGCAGTTATTATCTTATTCTCCCCGAACACTCCGGCATCTTTCTTCGTTATTAGTACTTCCTTCCCTTCCCGCTCTCTCACATCTTCTTCTTCTTCTTCTTCTTCTTCTCCTTCTGCCCAGTCTCTCTTCTCATCGATTCGACGCTCGACCACAAAAACCGGATCGCTCTTCTTCATCCCAAAGCAGCCCATCTCACGGCCTCTGGACCTTCGATCCCTCCATCGTCGTCATGGACGACAGGCCAACCCGCAGCGCCGTCGTTGCCTCGGCGGCATACAGCTACCGCGCGCCCAGCCCGCCCATCATTAGCGTGCCAGTCAAGAACCGCGACGACCTCAAGATCGTCCTCGAGCCCCTGCACGGCCGGGTCAACCCGAACCTGGTTTCCAGGGAGAACCTCGCTATCATCACTGGCAACAGGAAGCAGGTCTCGGTCGACAACACTTGGCTGTGGAGGTATGAGCAGCGCAGGGAGGCCCAGCGCATCCTCGACTACCTCTACCTGGGCCCTGCCAGCGTCGTCCGCGACCATGAATTCCTGCGCCGGGAGGGAATTACCATGGTTGTCGTCGCTCGTGACTCTCGGGCTCCCATGGTCCTCGGCAGCTTGGACAGGGCAGTGGCAGCACTTGGCATTTCCGCTTGCTACATCGACATCGACCTCAATCACATACTGGCCGCCTTTTACAAAATCGTTTCCGTCATCAACAACCATCTCCTTTCCAACCATTCTTCTAGAATGGAGGTGATGGACAGCTCTGATGGACTGGGCAAGGTTCTGGTCGTTTGTGATTCGGGCACCGAGCGCGGCCCTCCCCTCGTGGCGGCATATATCATGGCCGTTTTCGGGCAGGACCTTGTGACGGCACTTCAGTTTGTCAACATTCAGCGCTTCTGCTGCAACTTCACCGAGGAGGCCAAGCGAGCGTTGTTGACGTGGGAAGGCTTGCTCAAGGCTGGCGCCTTCGTGGCCATGCACTCTGGCTACGACGAGATGGGCTCTTGCTCTGACGATGCTGTTCATTACAAGACCAGCGCCAAGCGAGCCAAGCGCGCCGCCGATGATATGATGGAGGATGCTGAAATGGCGGGATATGATGCCCCTGCCGACAGCGATCGCTTCGAAGGCCGCGACATTTTCGTGCCGTTTCAGGAAGTTAACTATTGATAAGAAGCGGGTTCCTGCGTCCCAAGCAGAGGACAACTATAGAACGAAAGGGGCATTTGATTTGAGACGAGCATGAGGGCGTTGGCATACACGACCATGGGCGTTATACGGAACAGTTATGATTAGAGATACCAATTTGCTGCACACTTGGCTGTCCGACTTGCGAAGAGCATGTCTCCATGGCAAAAGCACTGTATTCGGACAATTGCTGGGTACAGAGGGACTGAAGGCGAACAAGGATGATAAGGACAACGTCGAGATTCAGGTACAGGATGGGCAAGGCAACGGCGTCTGCAGGGTTGATTTTCTTGAAAAGGGAATTGTTCTTTCATAGGTAGTGTTTATTACTTGCTGCCTTTATTGTGACTTTAACAATGAGTATGATTGGTCTTGATGCTATCATCTTTGCTGTATCTCATGATGGGTGTTGACTTCTTTCGTCTGAATGCTACCTTGGATGAACTCTGGAAACGTGGCCGAGGAGTGTGCTCTATCTCGCATTCTCGGCGTCCATGAACAAGGAAGGATAGTTCCATGTTTGTTCCGCCTTTTGAACTCTTCAGAACGAGTTCCTTCGATCTCGTCTCGCATCCCGCCTAATCCCATGACCTCCTTTTATCCCAACTTTCAACCCCAATAACACCACATATACACCCACAAACACATCATATTTTCTCATCAACAGCACCTACGATATTTTAGTAACGTACGCCCATCGGCATGAAGCCAGAAAACAAAATCGCGAAACGCGAAATGGCCAGTCCTGCCACCTGGCACGACTGCCAGTCCAGTCACCATCAACCCTCACCCCATCCGCCAGCTGGCGAGAAGATCTCGACGCGTCGTCCAGGAGTTTTCATCTGATGTTCGTTTGTTGTTTTTTTTTTTCCTTCGCTTCGCGAGGTTTATCTGGTTGCCCTGTTCCTGTCACGCACAACTTGCCAACTTTCGAAAAACAACCACCATCTGCTTTCTTCCTGTTTCTTGTGGTTGACAACCTTCTGACAACCTCAACCTCAACCTCCTTTCTTCGATCAAATATCTTCTTGTTGCCTACTGCCTTTTATCTGATTATCATCATTCATCTGTTCTCTCGGAGAGTATCCCGTCGCCGTTTGTGCACCTTGGGTAAACTCTCTCCCCTTCCGCGTTCGTTACTGCTCAGATCGCCAGCAGTCCTTCTGAGAGTGAGAGGCTTTGCCCAAGCACCAATTCACTTTGTATTCACTGCGATCCTGCTCCTTCGTCTGGCTCACCAAGCCACAGCTGTACAGTACGTGCCTCCCATCCCTTGTTCCAACAGATGCTGACCAGCCAGCTCAACAGACTGTATCGTTTCATCTGAAGCTTCAGCCCATCTGAGCAACCCGTCAACACGTCTCGTGGCAGTCATCGTCCCTCTCCTGAGAGGAACAGTGACCATGTCGTACGACGACACCCCGGATGTCGTCTTCAATCCGCAGGATGAGTCTCTGCCTGATCCATCTGGATTCTTCGCGGAGCTCAACTTGGTGCCGCGTTACTATGACTTGCCTCACGGTGATCCACGCTTCGACCAAGTGCCCGGCCAGCAGATCAGTGATCCCATGCAAATCGACGGTAAGTAACCAGTGATGCCCTTCATTCTTCCTCACAGTCTCAGCTAACGACTCTGTAGGCACCCCGCCTTCTGATGCTGGCTTCCTGGCACAAAGCCACAGGGCCCGCGTGGCTCATCTCCCCCAGCCGGCCCAAGACCAGCAGCCTACTCAGCCCCAGGCAGAGGAAGCAGTCGACATGGAAGCCGCGGAGTTTGAGATTCCTTCACTGTTCCCAAACTGGGCTGAGCGAGACATTGCGGAGGTGCTCCTGACTCCCGAGACGTTTTACTGGTGGAAGTCTCAGGACGCGCTGGCTGAGCAAGGTCTGCTTCCTGATATCCCCCAGATCTATCCTTCTGGACACCCAAACAACCGTCCCACTGAGTCCTTTGCAACGGACGGAAGAATCATCGAGTGGGAGGACCTCCACTTGGGCGTCCGCTGGCTCCTCCTTCTCCGCCTCAGCGAACAACACTCTTTTGCCGTCGCCATTGTCTCGCAGCTCAAGCTCTCCCACCACCAAGTCCATGAGTTCGTCACCAGCTACGTCAATCACTGCGATCAGTGGAATGCCTTCGAAAAGACCGTCATGGAGAGAGCCATGGGCCTTGAAGGCTGGAACGAAGAGGGAGAGAGAGCGCTCCTCAACTGGCTTCACGAGAAGCGCCCCCTTCTGCCCTATGACAGCCTCACCAACGAGGATATCCAGCTGGGCCTTCGCTTTCTCTATGAGCGCTGCATCATGGATGATGGCGTCGACTTGGTCGCGTGGTTTGAGGAGAAAGACAAGAAAGACTTTGCTCACATCAAGATTGAGGTCCCCATCATGAGAGATTGCATGGACCACAGACTCATTCGGCGCGCTGCAGCCGCCAAGATGTTCTCCATCAAGAAAATTGAAAATACCGTCAAAGAGTTTGGAAGAGAGAAACGTCGCAGAGCTCAGTTTGCCCAGATGGACAACTCCGTGAGGAGCGATGCCTTTCTTGGAAGACGTCAGGGCCGCGTGCCGTGGGGAGACAATCTGGAGCAGGACAATGGCGAAATGTCCGCCGAGGCGCAGACTGTCCTGAGCACCATCTCGACTGATCTGCACAGTGGCGAGCCAATGCCGATGCCAATCCCGCCCTATCAAAGACAGCAGAAGGCACAAGAGGCCCATGGGGCACTGAGGCGCGTCGTTCCAGAGCTACAGCCCTATTCAGCTCCAGGAGGACTTGCCAAGACTCAGTGGGAGATCGAAAATGGATATCCCTACGGATTTGTGAGTGTCATTCTGCCGCCTAATGATGAGAACTTGAGTCGACTAACGCAACATCGTCTCTGCAGGACTGGGAATACACACCTCTTCATTGGGGCGTAGATGCAGAAGATATGGAGACTGACCCTCTCCCGGAGGAGCTGGTGAAGCCGCAGCCTTCTCGTGTGGCCGCTCTGCGAGAGACTCTTACCCAGCGACAAGAGGTTTACGCCGCTGCCGCCGCTGCTTCCTCTGCCCAAGCATCTTCTGCTCAGACATCTGCCGACGACTCCACAGGCCAAGAGGCCGAAAGGTATGAACAATCTTCCTCCACTCCATCTGGTGCTGCACTGCTTCACAATAACGCGCCAAGGTCTCGGATCGGAACTGCTCGTGGGCGCTTCATGACAAGCAATGAGAGAGGGGAACTGATGGTTGGCATCGTGCCGGACTTTTCTTTGGAGGCTGGTCAAGACTTCCAGAACCCTAGTTTTGCCACACAGCTTGCCGACCCTAGTTTTGCCACACAGCTTGCCGAAGAAGGAGTTCAAGGCCAGCCAGAGTTGCCGATAGGAGCAGTGGAAGAAGAACCCGCATCAAGTCTTCCAGATCTGGATCTCGCAGAGGACCTTGAGCCTGGCGACAACGTCGTCGTGCCGAACCAACGAAGCAGGCGGGCACGCCGGCCCAGTGCCCGTGCCCGCGAGTCTTTGCAACTTGCTTTGGAACTGGAACTGAATGCTGAAACAACCACCGGAAAGCCCAAAGGAAGGAAAAAAGGCCGCACGTCAAGGAAAAGACAGCAAGGAGCCCAAGCCGAAGGCTCCCAAAGCCCCCAAAGCTCCCCAGGCCCCGAAAGCGACGAAAGCACCGAAGACTCCCCAGGTGACGACGGAGTCGCAGAGGTTGTCCGAGTCGCCCCCGTCGCCCAAGGCGGGCCCGAGCCAGCCCAAGAAGTCGGCGTCCAAGCCGAAGCGGCAGCAACAGGAGCCGCAGCACCAACAGCGCCAATAGTTGTGCCTCGCATGCAAGCGCGAGGCAGCTTGGTTCGACCGAGGGCCACCGCACGGGTGAGTACCTATCTTGCGTTATAAGCAAACCGTTGCATGTCCAGCAGCATTAACCTTGGTGTAGTCTATCACGTCACTGCCAACCGTGGATGAAGTTCCGACTGGAGCAGCTGACGGACGGCCTCAGCTGGCTGTGGGAGAACCGAGCCCATCCGGATCAGAGGCCCCGGCAGCCCCTGATGCTCAACGGATATCAGCCGCAAAACGACGAACGCAGAGAATCTTTGGCATCTCCAGGACCCAGGAGCTCAACTCGTGTCCACCCCCTGTTTCCGAAACCCACTCTGCTTGGACTGCAGAAGTGGCCCAGTTTGCTGTCGAAGCTATCCAGGCCTCGTATGCTCTCAAGGCAGACCGAATCATTCCGGATTTGCTGGTTGCACCTCAGTACCAGATGGATGAAGACACTATCAAGGCGACCATTACCTCTATGGAAGCCCAGTATGCACGTATTGAGTCCATGAGCCGATCAGAGAATGGGCCTGTCGCCCAGACAGCTGAGTTCGCCGGTGTTACTGACATGGCGACTTTTGCCATCCATGCTGCTGAAGCTGCTTTCGCCTTTGAAGAGGAGCAGGTCATGCAGCACTTTGAGAATGCCACTGGATCGGAAGAGCCGCAACCACAGCCCGAGGTATAACAGTCTGCTTGCTTTTCCCGTCGACGAATTTCACAAAAAGAGAGAAAAGGAGAAAAAAAGAGTTGCGTTTCCTGTTCTTTACTTGATTTCCTTCCTGTCCTACTATCTCCTTTGTCTTTTCTTTTGTTTTCTTCCACGATATGTCGGACACATTATGGACTTGCCCTTGGAAAGGGACTGTATCAACGTGAAAAGTTGTGAATTTGAACGCACTGCATGTTCATTCTTGAGGCGAAAGGGGGCGACGATCTGGCTGGACATACATGTCGAGCTGACGAAATTATTCTGAGGATTCTGGAAGTATCAGCTTTGGTATGCTTTGGCAAACTCGGATCTGCTTTGGCAATGTCGACATCTTGTTTCGCAGGGGAGGATGGTTTTGATTTGGTTTGGTAGGCATATGCCTGGATTTGTCCGCAACAAGCACCTGTTTGCTTTCTACGTTGCGAAGGGGGTCGCACAGGACCCAGAAATTCATGTTAGAGTTGATTGTACGAATACGACACAGGATTCATGGACTCAATGGAAGTTTCGCTGCTTTGTAAAGGATCGTATTCCATACTTGACATGTAGCCCGGTGACTGCTGAGCCCTTATCGAAGTGACTCTGTCGTAAGCGAACGGCAGCATCCAGTACATGTAATGAAGGTATCACAGACTTGACGGTGTGTGCCAAATAGCTGCAAACAATGTGCTGTCAAGGAAAGGCGCAGATTGTGATGCGTCTATCCGGCGTCCGCACGAGTTGTAGAGCCTGCACGTGCCTCGCCTGCCTTCCTCACGAGCAAAATGGTCTTCAGCCTCGCCTACTCCGGCAGCCTTCACCGCCCTCAGAATCTTTCATTTTATGCATTCCTTCCTCAACCTTCGTAGCCTTTCCACTCCTCTTTTGTCTCTGCTTCTTCTTCTTCTTTCTCTTCTTCTACCACCTTCTCGTTATCAAGGCCAGATTGCAAAAGAGCTGCGCATATCTGTGTGAAGGCTGAACCGAGCAAGCTCTGCAGCTATTCATTCTTTCTCTTTTCAGATTGTTCCGATCCATCTTTTTCACGGAAGCTGTCCTTCTTGCCGAGCTTCACTATCCAGTATAAACAGAGCCTTCTAGGCAACACTCATTCAGGTACCGTCCATCCACTTGAACACCTGGTCAACGAAACCCTACTACAGATGTGTAGTGTGCTCACTTATCACGTTCATGTAGATGAATGAAACTGCTGCTTATCCTCCTACGCGCGGAGGAGATACCGCTACGAAACCTCCAGAGATTGTTGTACCAGAAAGGCCGAAAGATCCAGCCGAGGGATCTCACGAGAACTCACAACTCACGATCAACACAGAAGATTCTGAACATGTTGAGCCCGAGGCTGGCACCGACGATGGCGACCAGTCAAACGAGGCATCTCGCGCTGAGAAAGCACCCGTAGCTAAGAAGAGAAAGCAAAACCTGGCTTTCCAGGACTGGTTGCAGAACAACCAGCGGGAGATCACCGCCGCGTCACAGGAAGACCTCAGTCGCCATCTGGACAAGATATCGGTGGCACGACTCGTCAGGGTCGGCATAGACCAGAAGATCATTGCCAGTCCTCGCGAGTTCCAGGTCGATTTGTACGAGCGGGCCAAACAGGAGAACACTATTGTAGTTCTTGATACAGGTGCGAATCCCTATTCCTCATAGACTCACTCTCCTTTCATTTTGGCGGCTGACGTGATGGCCTATATACAGGTTCTGGTAAAACATTGATCGCTGCTCTTCTCATGCGACACATTCTCGAAAAGGAATTGCAGTATCGAGCCGACGGCCACAAGCCCCAGTATGCCTTTTTCCTCGTTGAAAAGGTCGCCTTGTGCTTCCAGCAGCATGCCGTTCTGACATGTAACCTCGAGTTTCCCATCGGCAAGTTCTACGGCGAAATGACAGGCATCGTTCGAACACAAGATTTTTGGGATAAGCAGTTTGCGGAGCACATGGCCTTTGTGTGTACCGCGCAGATCTTGCTTGACCTTCTCGCTTGTGGATTCATCTCCATGAGCCAGATTAACCTGATTGTCTTTGACGAGGCGCACCACGCAAAGAAGAGTCATCCCTATGCCCGTATTATCAAAGATCACTATCTCCGTGCCGGCAACGAGCGTCCGCGTATACTGGGTATGACTGCATCACCAGTTGACGCGTTGACGAGGGATGTCCGGTATGCTGCCGCCGAATTGGAGAGCATGCTGTGCAGCAAGATTGCCACCATCACAGACGACGCCATGATGGCAAGCCAGGCGCACCGTCAGCAGGTCGAGGTCAAAGAATTCTATGACAGGCTAGAAGATCCTGAAAACTCGAAAACGCAACTTTGGGGCATGATTTCCCAGCATGTCCGCGGCAATACACAGTTCAAGGGCCATCTAGAGTTTGCTTTCAACGCATCGTCAACTCTAGGGACATGGTGCGCCGACCGTTACTGGAAGCTCCTCACTACAGATGCTGAGATGATCAAATTGGAGGCAAGGACTGGACGTGATAGCTTTGACATCGATGTCACCGCTGGCGATAAGGCGATGGCGGCTGTGCGTCGAGTGAGGGACATGATTCGGGACTACAACCTCGGGCCCATCATGAGCGGTTCCCCGGAACTGTCATCCAAGGTCAAACTGCTGCACGAAGTCCTCGAGGATGCCTTCTGTAGGCGCCAAACAAAGAGATGCATAGTGTTCGTGCAAGCAAGATCGACCGCCTTCATCCTAGCGGATCTATTTCAGCAGCCGGGAATGCTGATTCCGGGAATGATGGCTGGATACATGGTAAGCCTGATCCTATTCAAGCTTTCACTTGGACATTTTACTCATCTTTGATACCAGATCGGTTCTCAATCCTCAACCTCCAGCGCTGCATACATGTCCTACAGGGAGCAGATAGTATCCCTACAAAAGTTTCGATATGGTGAAACAAACTGTCTGTTTGCCACATCCGTCGCGGAAGAGGGAATAGACGTGCCAGAGTGCGATGTCATTGTCAGGTTTGATCTCTACTCATCTGCAATCCAGTACATCCAGTCCAAAGGCCGAGCGCGGCAGAAGTCGTCTCTTTACATCAGCATGATGGAGGTAGGGAATTTAGACCATATGCGCAAACTCCGGCGTGCAGTCAGGGATGCTCATGCGCTGCGGCAATTCTGCTCTGCTCTGCCTGAAGACCGCAAGGTGCAGGATTTCGTCCTTAGTCCAGAGCTCCTGGTTGCTCACGAGCAAGCCACGCAGAGAACGTTTGTCATTGCCGAAACGGGTGCTCAGCTCACATTCATCACAAGCTTGGATGTGCTGGCTAAGTTTGCTTCGTCCTTCCCGAACGAGGCTGAAGACGGAATAATGCCCTTGGAATACATTGTCAACACTGTTGGCAGAAGGTTCATTGCTCGAGTTGTCTTACCGGAAGGTTCGCCCATCAAGACGATCACCGGAGAGGCCCAGCAAAGCAAGCAGTTGGCACGATGCTCAGCTGCGTTCGAAGCCTGTGTACAGCTGATCCAGAAGAAATACATCAACGGAAACTTGCAGCCCGCCTTCGCCAAGAAGCTGCCAGAGATGCGCAATGCAAGACTGGCCCTTTCATCAGACAAAAAGTCCGAATACGAAATGAGAATCAAACCGGACTTCTGGTCCTCTTGCCTTGGCCCAGAGCCTCCAACGAGTCTGTATCAGACTATCATCACCCTCGATCAGCCAGATGCTCTTGGAAGAGCATCTAGGCCCCTGATACTTCTGACCAGGAAGCCTTTGCCTGACATACCAAGCGCTCCGCTGTACTTCGGTAGCGGCAGGACATCCAACGTTTGCCTTGCGAATGCGCAAACTTCATTCGAAGTCCTGCCCTGTCAGACAGAGGCCCTTGCGAGTTTTACGCTGAGACTTTTTGCCGACGTTTTCAGCAAGGAGTATGAGGCCAAGTCGCATGAGATTCCATACTTCATTGCCCCTGGAAGGATCCTGCCAAACGGTGAGAGGGTAGTGGAAATAGATTGGGAAGCCATGCAGTTTGTCCATGAGAACGAGCGCCTTGAGTGGAAAGATGCCCCTGAGGAATTTTTCAAGGACAAACTGGCCGTAGATCCGTGGGACGGATCTCGAAAATACATCTTGCATGGCACTAATGGGGATCTGAAGCCGTCTGATCCAACACCAGAGGGCGTCCCACAACCAAAGAGTCTGGCATACAAAAGAGTTGAGCACAATATCAAGGAATACAGCAACAGCCTCTCCTTCAACTCCAGAAACCGAATGAATTGGACGGATGACCAACCAGTCGTCAATGCGGAGCTTCTTCCCATTCGCCGAAATTTCCTAGACGAATTCTTTGTGGATGACGAGGGTGATCGTACTTGCTATATCATCCTCGAACCGCTTCGTGTGTCGCCGGTAAGTATAGGCACTTCCCTTTTGAGTTGCTCAGGACATGAAAACATTGACCTTTCACCAGATCCCTATAGATGCTGTCGGCATGGCGTTGGTCCTGCCTGTGGTGATGTACCGAGTCGACTCGGTCTTGATCGCTCACGAAGCATGTTCCCTCGTCGGTCTGACTATTCGGTCCGATCTTGCCCTTGAGGCAGTGACAAAGGACAGCTTCAACACAGAAGAACACGGCGAACATCAATTCGATTTCCAACCTGGGATGGGTCGAAACTATGAACGCCTGGAGTTTCTCGGAGACACATTCCTCAAAATGGCCACGACTATCTCCGTCTTCACGCTTTTCCCCAATGCAGACGAGTTCGAGTACCACGTCACGCGAATGCTCATGCTGTGCAACCAGAATCTATTCAAGCATGCCGTGGAAAAGGACATGCCTGCCTACATCCGGACCAAGGCATTTGACCGCCGGACGTGGTATCCGAGTAACATGACGCTGAAGAGAGGCAAAGCGTACAAAACCGAATCGAAGCACTGTCTGTCGCACAAGTCGATTGCGGACGTTTGTGAGGCGCTCATTGGTGCGGCTTATATGTCAAGTCCAACGGGGGATATGGACATGGCGGTGAAAGCAGTCGCGGCCATGGTCTGCTCGATCAACCACACGATGACCAGTTACAAAGACTACCTTGCAACGTTTACAGCTCCGGGGTGGTACAGCCAGCAGGCAACCGCCGCACAGCGCCTCACCGTGGACAAAGTGGCCGAAATCACGGGCTACCGCTTCAAGGCGGCACCACTCGCTCGCAGCGCTTTTCGACACCCCTCTTATGTGTTTGAGAACAACATCCGAGATTACCAGCGGCTCGAGTTCCTGGGAGACGGACTTTTAGACATGGCCATTGTGGACTTTCTATTCAAAAGGTTTCCTGAAGCGGACCCAAAGTGGCTCACGGAACACAAGACGGCCATGGTGTCGAACCAATTCCTCGGCTGTCTCTGCGTCAAACTCGGCCTTCACAAGCATATCCTGTTGGCCACATCTTCTCTGCTCGGCGACATTGGGCGGTACGCAGCGCAACTCGAGCAAGCTGAGGAAATGGCTCGGCAAAAAATACTTGGTGACAGCGCAGAAACTGCTCTCTCCGAAAGCCCTCAAGACGAATCACAGTCTATCCTCCAGAATTTCTGGGTCGAGGTGCCGCAGCCGCCAAAGGTTCTAGCCGATGTTGTTGAAGCTCTGGTGGGGGCCATGTTTGTTGACTCGGGATATTCCTTCTCTGTGGTACTGGACTTTTTCACAAAGTTCATCCAACCATTCTTTGAAGACATGGCACTCTATTCGTCGTTTGCTTCGAACCATCCGGTCACGACGCTGGCACACAAGCTGGAAGCCGACTTCTGTTGCACCCAGTGGAAGCTTCATGTGGCCAGTGTGCCGGCACCCGTAGAGGCGGGCATCGCGGTGGTGTCGGCCAGCGAGATCCTCTGCGCACTCATGGTCCACGGCAAGGTGATTGCCCATGCGACTTCGTCAAAGAGCGGCACCGAAGCCAAGGTGGCGGCTGCAAAGCTAGCGCTGGAGAAGCTCGCACCCATCCAAGACGTGGACCAGTTCAGAAGGGAAATGGAGTGTGATTGTGGCGGCGCAGCAACCGCCTCGAACTAGGTCAGGGCCGTCCAACTTCTGAAGAGCGTCGGGCCGCATTCAGGAGAAAGACCAAGAGGGGTATGACGGATGAGTCCAGCTGAGCTGTCACATAGCACAGGGCGATATAGTAACGGTTTTCTTGTCTCTCTTTCTCTTGTCCTCTCTTCATGCCGCTGAACCTCGGCTCGCCGCAGCAGCTGCACTATCTGCTGGAAATGGCGAACTGAAACATTTCCAGCGTCGGCGCAAAGCCCACTTGGATCGTCGACAGACAAGCAACCCTGGGCGTCGTTGGTTCGGTGGATACTCGTATCTGGTGGGTTTACGGGCCAGGAGCCAGGAGCTGACGAGATCTATCGAACGGGGTCGATGGACTAGCTCAGGTACAAGATGGAGAGGGGGGACAAGGGTGTGGGGGGTCGTTGATTTGAGGAGGGACTGCAAGACATGACGTGACGTCTTGTGCTGATGGACGGAGGGTGCCGGATGGACCCTGTCATTTGCTCTCATTTTTGACCCGGTGATTCGGAGCGACTCGATTGTCAGGGACTCCCCTTGTTTCGCGATGAAGAATCGACGCGGGTTCAGCAGATAACGCAATTCTTTTTGCTCATGTATTCGAGTCAGCTACCAAGCTATGAAATCTTTAGCACCTTCCCCTCCCTTCTTTTTACGCTGTGTTTGTGATCAATTTTAATTTGGCACCACATGGGCACCAGTGAGACGAAGCTGAAGTGCTCACGACTCAGTTACTTGTAGTACTAGTTTATCAAAGCTGTCAATAAGCCAGCTTGGTAGCATTTCTTTTTTTCTACGGAGTTGTAGGTACTATTACACAATGCTTAATGCCTAGCTAATCGAGCAATTATATGTGAGTACAAATGAATGGGTAAAAGGAACTGATGCAATAGATAAACAAACAATTGCTGGCTAAACTCGCCCATCATACTCCTATGCCATTCGCCAAGCCGCATAAAAAAAATGGCCACCCATATGCCGTACCATATCACCCGGAGCGCCGTACATCAGATGCCTCTGCCTTCCAAAAATGCAATGAAGAAATTACAAACGAAAAGTCCTCGCCTTCAATGGCGTCGGTGGCCCGAGAAGAGAAACATGAGTTTTGCAGCACATGTCTTGATTCAACGCCCCAACCTTCAGGTATTCTTATTCTGCAACCGTAACTCTCAGGGTCGTGGCTGCTATCTCGCTGTTTTGCTTCCTGGGGGACTTGCCCCCCTTTCGAGCCTCGAGCATTCTTCTCCTCTTGATATCCTTGCGTAACTTGGCAATCGTCTTCTCGTCGAGATGTTGTCCATTTTTTCCCTCCGCAGATGTAGTGCCTTTTATGAGGCTGGAGATGAGCTCGAGAGCCCGCTCCTCGGTGAGCTCGTCGGTACGCGCAGAATCCTCGGTATCGGAGTCGGAGTCGTAGTCGTAGCCCAGAGCCAGCAGTCGTTCGCGCTGGGTAAGAGGCCTTGAGGGCATCGATTGCAGTTTCTGAAGGGCCAGAGGCATTCCCACGACAGACGCTTCGTCATCGCCCATTTCGGACGCATCTGTCGGAGTCATGGGCATATCTGGCCACTTGGGAGTGGGGAGATTATCAGAGTCGTTAAATAACCCTGGCAGACTCTTGCCATTATCGCCGAATCCCTCGTCCCTGAACAAAAGAGCTTCGCCGTCACGACCAGTGTGTAGATGTTTGTTGCAGAAAGAATCGACGTCCGAGTCGGAGATGCTGGTGGCGTCATAGCTGCTTACGCTGAGGCCTCGGTGACATGGAGAGAGGAAATTGCGGATGGGTTGATCCTCGACGGGGGTCGCGGGCGAGATGAAGATGGATTCGCCGCAGGATTCATCTTCCCTACCAGTGACGTCGGGGGCGATACAGCTATCACCACCTCTAGATCGAAGATTGCGGGAAGAGCCACCACCGAACGACATCTTATTGAACAGCGAGGTGTGAGGTATGTCAATAGATGTATCGGCAGTGCCGACACTGCGACCGCCAGGGAACTGGTGACTGGAGTAATCGGAATGAGCAAACGAAGACACAGATCCACGCTTGCCAAAGGTCCGCACGGAAGGCTGTCTGTCCGTATTCTCCAGCTGAAGATTGCCCGTGCTGCCAAAGGTGAATGAAGGTGCATAGTCCGAGGGCGACGACGCAGCGTCATCCCAGTGCGGCACAGTCGGTTGAAGATGCTCGCTCGCGTATCTGTTGAACCGGCTCCAATCGCTTTCAACCCTGTGCCGAAAGCTATGCAGCTGGTTCGGAGAAGTCGGCGTCTTGCATCGCTGTTGATATAGTTGCTTAGACCGGTCGAAATGAGGCGGCAAAAGAGACTTGTTGAGAGTTTCTCGTGCTGAACGAACCGACCCTGGTGCAGACCCGGAAAGAAGCTTACTACTAGGCAAGCTGTATTGTCGAGGCTTGTAGCGAGGAATGCCGGGCGGCGAGGCAGAACGCTCTAGGAGAGGTGAGCTGCCCTCATCTCGCATGTAACGGCCGTCTGCCGTCCTTGGAGCCTGCTGGGGGGTGGATGCTCGGCTACCAGTAACGGAAATCTGTCCGTAGGAGCTCCTTGACTGAAGACGGTAGCTAAGGAACTCATGGCCGCTGAAGCATTCTTCCCTATCAAAACTTTCTACGGCAGGACTAAGCCTGCTCCTTGACCTTGGCCGACCCCCTATGGAGGCTTGCCGGGACGTAGGACGGTCAGTAGGCTCAATTCTAGGGGAAGAAATGCTCTTATAGCGACCAGGAATTGCCGGCAGGGCGTAGACGTGCTTGGAGGAGCTGGCCGTGGAAGCACTGCCCCGTGAACCGGGTAAAGGCGTCGACCCGGCCACGGCAGGCTGGATGTTTCTGTCGGCCACATCTTCGCCGTAGTCACGAGAGCCGGACGCTTGGACTCTTGACCTAAAATCATATGACTTAAGCTCACCCTGAGCATCCAGAATATCGATAAACGCTGAAGAGCGTCGGCGTGGAAGAGAGAAGTTTGGCGTCAGAGGGGTGAGCCGATCCATCGCACCACGACTGTGAGGCCTTTCATGGTTGTCGTATCTAGGAATACTATTCAAAGAAAGGTCGGGTTTGGAATCCTTCTTGCTGCATCCGATGTCCTTGAGTTGTTGTGGTTGGGCTTTTGCGCTCTTGGAACCTTTCGTGCTTGTTCTAGGTGATCCGTCGCTTATACCCACGAGTCGAGGCTTGAGCAATTTCTGCGATGGATCTGGTGTCCTCGTTTCATTCTCACGACTGGCCAATACGCCTATGAGTATGGTCAGAAAGCCTGCGCAGAGCCTCTAAACTGGAACAGCTATCGGCAACGACAAACCTCGAGCATCTGAAGAGATGGCCTGAGTCCTCGGCGAGGAAGTTGTGTCCCCCGAAGGTCGTTTGCTTAAGAAATCGAGAAACCCCATGATGGCGAAAACCTAGCATGGGGAGGCTACGCCATACGGCAGAACCAGGATGGAATCCGTCCACGTGTCCCCGTAAGCAGCGATGATGTGCTGCTGTCCCTCCTCTGCGCCAAGTGGTTTTGGTGTTGAGGGGAATGACTCCGTCCTGAGCTGCCGTCTGTAAAACGAGTGTTGGCCACGATAGAGTGTTGTAAGTAAAAGATCAGGGCTTCAGGATTGGAAAGCAAAGAAATAGAGAAACGCAACGTGGGGGCAAAAGATGATATGAGAGAAGAGAGAAAGGAAGGAAAAACACAAGAAGAGAGAAGTGAGCCAAGGCCGTCTAAAGATATCTGGGGGAGACTAGCAGGTAAGCAGCTGGACCCCAAGTAGTACTTGTAGATGATACAGGCATAGATGAGCTCTGCATCCAGCACCCCACTGGCGTGTGTGGTAGGGGTGTGTGCAAGCTGTCTGTGTCCTCCGTACGCCTTACTTTATTCCGTACAGCAATAGCAAGCACAGAGTTGCACAAAGCCGCGAGCCCAGCAGCTACAGCTTGGAGGAAGCCACACGGCTCTCCTGAATGGTGTGGATGGCCGCTTTGGCCCCCTCGAGCATCCGTCGGACATCCGATCTGGCTCGATGATGCCACAGAAGAGGCTGGCGAGCTGGCCTTGCAGACACTGAGATGTTTGTTCGCTGTATCACACCGTACCTGTCCGCAGGTATGGGTGTCCTTGCTCGGGGAGGGGACGGCGAGAGATAGAGCCGAACATTCTGCCACCGTCAGCTGTTAGCAAACCTCTGCACCGCTGCGTCATGGCCGGAGGCAGTGGAACATGGAGAAGCGGGACACGGCTCTGGGTGCACCTACAGACCACTCGGGAGCGCAGCAGTACAGGTACACGCACGTAGTTGTACACACCCGCTGCAGAGCCCAATCTTCGTCATGTTACCCCTGGCAAGTCAAGCAGAGCGGCAGACAAAGGCGCCGTCGCCGCCACAAGGAACGGCCATTGGGAGCCAGCAACCCGCACTACCAACTAGTAGATGCTACTCCAGACCCCATCCCGAGGGCGGGAGCTCGCCAGAACTGCATAGAGACTCATGGCTCGTCCGTAGTAAGCTGGCAGCATCTGTGATGCTCCAAACAGAGCAGAGGTCCGGGTCCAGGGGAGTTGCTGCTAGCCGAGATCAGCAGTGATGGGACACGCAAGGCTGGGCCGAGAGAACGAGACAGCTGAGGGGTGAAGAAGAAGGGGAGGAGGCAGGCAGGGAATCCCGCCATGGCCAAGGGCGTCTGGCGAGATGGAGCCGAGGCGAGAAAGAATTGACAGGGTTGGCCTGATGAGGAAGAGGTAAATCTTCATGTTGTTGGGACGATGGCACGATGGCCAGGGGCTTGGACGAGATGAGCGCAGTAGCGTGCGTCTGGCAGTGGAGTACATGCAGGTACGGGCAGTTGAGGCAATAGGGCCGTTGATGGGTGGTGCAGGCACTGGAAGCAGTCGAGTTAGTGGATGTCGGCGCCTTGCAAGCCCCGCAACCTCAGCTGGCCGGAGTACATGGATCTATGGGCTTTGAAAGGGCAGATGCCCTGCTGAGGTTCCCATCATCTGGACAGAGAGCACAAAGGCAATCCCTGCAAGCAATTTTGCGTACGAGATGAGATGGCGATTCTCTGTTAAGTCATTTTATCAAGACATGAAATTACATACGGGCCAAGTCTCTGTGCATCTGCAGATGCAGACAGTAGGGAGTTGTTATCAATGGATGGCTCCATTGCTCGTATCTGGGACCACTTCGCTCGATCGTCAATAGATTCAACAATGACTCGAGTCTCTAGAAACTCTCTACATACTGTACGACAACTTGAGTCCATGCCTCGACTCAATCAGACGAAGATGTTCATGCCAGTTCATTGGGATTCTTGCATCGAATTGCCAGGTTCTTCAGTTTGACGCAGCTATCAATCATTGTCACCAGCACAGCGGCCGAATGCCCCAACAGCGCCCTATGAACCCAAATCTGGGGCATCTTAGGGCTCTCGTCAGCGGGGCACGGCGATCCCATCCCACTGAAGGCGCAGCGGTGCTCGGCTAAACTGCCAGCTGGAGAAGAGCGAGCTCCATCGTCGACTGGACCCATCCATGATCAACTCGTACAAGCACCCGCAGTCCGCACAAACATCAGCTTCACTAGCAAGTCATCGTCACGGCTTCCTTTTCGCTTCCTTCCAGGGATCCCGTCTGTGGCGTTTCTGGACAAACGAACAAACCTTGGCAGGTCAGCTCCAATCCTGCCCTATATCGGCCATGGCGATGCCGACAGTTGCTTGGCTCGAAATGGCTTGATGGCAGTTTGCACTCCAAGTTTGCACATCCAAGACCGAGAGCCGCACGGAAAGCTGAGGTGCTTGCGGGAACTAATAGTGTGCTTGTTTGACTAGGATGCTAGCAATCGAACCGCCCGTCGGCCGAGCTTTCGAAGGCGTAGGTACATCCGCCGATAACGATGCAGCTTCCACTCAAATCGGCCCCCCGATCAGACAATCCCTGTGTATTCCGGCCTCGTACAGTCTCCCCTCATCAAAAGAACACGATCTTCGCATGCTTGTCAGACATGACAACCAACTGCGACCGGTGGTACTACTAGTTTCAGTTCTCAATCTGTTCGCTGGCCACCGGACGGCTAATAGGAACCATGCGGCCGATCTGGACATCCACTTGGTGAAGTCGGCGCCCGATCCCAGGAGCAATCAGCAGTCAGGTGCCATCAGGTGGGACCAAGGAAGATGAAGGCTTCCAAACATACGTCCAATCGGGCGCCATATTCGAAATTGGCGTGCAGAGATATGAAGATTTCCTGCCTAATCTGTCCATGTTCAGGTGAGGCTTGCTCCCCGGACTACTCTGATTCTGCAGTGACTCAGACCTGTCAGTAACGACGGTGGAGTGGTCACGTAAAGAGACTCGACAACTTCAATCCATGGGAGACTGTGCTAAGGCGACACCTCCGCCATGGGTCGGATGCACAGACTTGGCTATCAGCCTTGGAGCCTTGCCAGACGCCATGGAAGGTCATGCGAGCCAACGACATCAAACAATTGCCGAGATTGTCGATGAAGTAGCTCCCAGGTTGGAATCTCCAATATCTCGCTGGTCAGGTACTAGCAGTGAAGTATTTCCAAAGGGAGGAAGACTTCAAGAGTGCAGAATGCTGCTCCTGGACGCTGTGCCCTCGGCCAAAGCATTACAGCCCGCTCTGAGACAGAATACCAAGCAGCTTTGTTCGCGGTTCAACGTGTTGTCTCTCTCGCTCCACGCGCATAGTCTCGGCATGGCATACTCTCCGGATGGCTATCTCCCATGTTCGCCAAAGGCCTAGGAAACACCCCCTAAGTGCGAAGCAGAACAAGGATTCAACAACTACGGAATGCTTTGGGCTTTGCGCCAGCTTGCGGAGGACTGCCATTTCAGAACCCTGTTAGGAGCCGTCACATTTCGCTAAATCGATGCCGAGATTTATAGTCGGTCGCTGCGAATCTATACTTCATGCGAATGCCTGTTTGATCAAGCCACCTTGTACAGGGATCCACGTCACGATCATAATTCCATCCGAACTGGCCTTGAGATCGAGTTCAGCACCAAGTGCCAACTGTGGGCCGATCTAGAAGCATTGTTTCTTTCTAGCACATGCTTTATTCCTCTGGAATCATATGCCCAGGCATAGAACAGCCCAGCCCTACCAAGGAAAGGGAAATTTGCTACCGACATTCACCAGCAGGGTACATCCCTTGGCTTCAGGATACTCCCAGACGAGAACAGCATTAACCGGTGAACTTTCAGGAAATGAGATACATAACGACGGCAGATGGACGCTCCTGTTTTCCTTCTCTGGACTGAACATGCCAGAGATGCCTTCGGGTGAACAGCTAATGTATATACGTTACGTAACTACGCACGCTTTGCCCTGGAGCGCGATCGCTTGATTTACAGCTTGCCAGGAGCTACAAGCGAACGTTCTCTCACGGTTGCAGTGTGCGGGTGCCAACAGTCAAGACATGCAGAGATATAGGTAGGCCATTGTTGAGACACCGGTAGCAAAAAGACGAACCAACAAGCAGTGTCTGGTTATTACGTTGGGATCGCGAAAGCAGCTCACACCCGGGAGAAGCAAGGGGTCCTCCTTACCAGCGTGTACAGATGTGTCGCTTGTCGGAGGGCCCGACAACCAGGTTTCGATGCTTTTTCTTTGGCTACAAAGGGACATTGTTGTTCAAGTCAGAAGCCTCGTCATGCAGGGGTTCTCACCTTGTGGTTTCTGTTCGGAGCCTTGACAAGCTTTGAGACCAAGCCGATCAACGATACACCAAACCTCTGCATGGTGTGGCTACATGATACACCAAACCTCTGCATGGTGTGGCTACATACCTATACGATGGTCGCGCTCGATCAAATCAAGACGCTCTATTTGGCGCGTGGTGGTCCAAGGCAATCAAACGCTGTCTCTGAGCTATTGCGGCATAACCCACTCTTCTGTGACGAAATTTGTCATTTGACATATGGGCGCTGCTTCTGCCAGATGAGTTGCCATGCTGTGTCACTGAGGCTGAAATGGTTCACGGTGGCAGATGCAAGACGAGTGTACGAGGTTGCGATAGCCGGGGTGTTCCTTTCACGTCAACTTCAATTTAATGCCGATCAACTGGTGTTTCGGACCTTCATTGGACAATTTTGAGCCTCACCTCTCGTTGCCCGACGAGGAATGTCAGACAAGAGAGGAACTCAATCTCTCTCACCGATCCTGCCTGGCTGCGATTCGTTGATCGAAGCGTTGGGATTATGAGCTTGGCGGCGAGGCTTTGGCCCATCAGCCGGTTCCTGGGAGCTGGATCATGTGCTACCCCAGGTTTGTGATGGGTTTCATTGACCAGACCATCGGGTCTCGGATTGTGATGCGCTCATATCAACCAGATAATACCTATCACCGATATTATCCTGCAGCACAGGTCAGCTAACACCGAACACCGATACTCCTGCAGCACAAGACGCGCTGTAGCGCCTCAAGCACGAATCCCACTTCAGGGCTCGAGACAGAGGTGCCATCAACTGATGCTTGTTTTGCTGTCGCTTTTGGCACAAATGAATCAGCTGGTTTTGTGAATCTAGTCAGCGTGCTGTCTCGGTTCATTCAGAGCTTACTGCGGTGATGCGGAGCAGTAGTTGTGGCACTCTTTGTTGCTGATACCTGTTGCAGCATTAGATCAAGCAATGTGCTGCGTTATCTGCACTTACAAGCACACGAACCCACACCCAAGTTGTGTTGACAGCGGCTAAACGGGGCTTTCGTCTGGCGGCTTAGGAGTATCCAAACTTGAATCTGACACACACACCGTAGTCTCGTCCGGAGCCGAACCGCGCTTCCAACCCGCCCCGCGACTGAGGCAGAGAATCGACCTTTGTTTCGTTTGAGTGCTGATATTCATCGATCATTGCGAGGCGATATAACTTTAGCGATCAGCGGCAGCATGTTGTCAGCTGCGGTGCTACTGGGCGGCTTGTCGAGCCTGGCGCTGGCGCAATTCCCGCCAAAGCCAGAGGGCGTCACAGTGCTCAGATCCAAGTTCCACGAGAATGTCACCATTTCCTTTAAGGAGGTGCGTTTCTGACTTTTACCCTTCTACGCTATAGATGCTTTGTTGCTGACTGGAGTGACACGACCCAGCCGGGCATTTGCGAGACAACCCCAGGCGTCAAGTCGTATGCTGGCCACGTCCATCTTCCTCCGCGGCTGCTTGAAGATGCGGACGGCGAGCCCCAGAACTATCCCGTCAACACGTAAGTGCATGCATCCTCCTCTGGTACTTGCAAGCAAAGTCCTCGTGTCTCATTGCCATGCCCAGTTTCTTCTGGTTCTTTGAAGCTCGCGAGAACCCTTCCACCGCTCCGCTCGCCATCTGGCTCAATGGAGGACCAGGGGCTTCATCCCTGCTGGGCCTGCTGATGGAAAACGGCCCGTGCTTCGTGAATGAAGATTCAAAGTCGACGATGCTGAATCCGTGGAGCTGGAACAACGAGGTCAACATGCTGTACATTGACGAGCCTAACCAGGTTGGCTTTTCATACGACACGCCCACCAACTGCACGGCCAACCTCTCACCGGACGGTCTGATCCTCAACCCTGCCGACTTCTCTGCCCAGCTGCCCGAGCTCAACCTAACGTCCATGGTTGGCACCTTTAGCAGCCAGAAGCCGACGCACACGACCAACAGCACCGCCCAGGCTGCTCACGCCTTGTGGCACTTTGCCCAGGCCTGGTTCTCCGAATTTCCGCACTACAAGCCCAGTGACGATCGCATCAGCATCTGGGCCGAGAGCTACGGAGGCCACTACGGCCCAGGATTTATGCGATTCTTTCAGCAGCAGAACGAAAAGATTGCCGACGGCACAATCAAGGATGAACACGCCCACTATCTTCACCTGGACACCCTCGGCATCGTCAATGGTTGGCTTGACTCTCTCATTCAGGAGGAGGCGTACATTGACTTTCCGTACAACAATGTGAGTATAAATGACACGAGTCGAAGGGAGGTGGGAAAACGGATTGCTAATGGTGCATCAGACGTACGGAATCCAAGTCTTTAACCAGTCCATCTATGAGGAGCTGAAGCACAACTTCACAAAGCCCAAGGGCTGCAGAGAGCAGATCGAAAGATGCCAAAAGAGTCTCAGCCTCTTCGACGTGGCCACCGTCAATGCCCAGAGAGTGAACTTCGTCGACCTTTGCGAGATGGAGAGTTGGTGCAAGTCCCCAGCCGCCAGCACGTATCTCAGCCTCGACAGCGGTTGGTTCGACATCAGCCATCCTGTCCGGGATCCTTTCCCGCCGAGCCATGCGTACGGCTACCTGACCGAAGAGAGCGTTCTGGGGGCCCTCGGATCGCCGGTCAACTTCACTGCCGTCTCGGCTGCCGTGAGCAACAACTTTATCAGCTCCTACGACGAGTTTCACGGCGATTTCATCGACGCAGTGGGTTACTTGCTTGACCACGGCGTCAAAGTCCACATGATGTACGGCGACCGCGACTATGCCTGCAACTGGATCGGCGGCGAAAGGGCCTCGTTGGCGGTGCCTTATTCGCACGCCGACGATTTTGCCCGCGCAGGTTACGCACCGCTGATTACAGACAAGGGCGTCGCTGGCTTGACCCGGCAGTACGGCAACTATAGCTTCTCCAGAGTTTTCCAGGCGGGCCACATGGTCCCATCGTATCAGCCGGAAGCTGCCTACGAGATATTCATGCGCGCCACGTTCAATCGCGATATCCCAACGGGACTGCTGCCGGTCAGGGACGACCTGTCAACCGACGGGCCCAGCGACACTTGGCACGTCAGGCATGAGCCGCCCGAGGCACCTGCTCCTAGATGCTACATTCTGGCTCCCCAGACTTGTGTGTCTGAACTGTGGGAGAAGGTTGTTGCCGGCACCGCTCGGGTCAAGGATTGGTATGCGGAGGAGGAGGCCGAGGAGGAGCAATTTTCAGAGGAGCTGTAGTAGCTACGCCATGTCAAGCGGTATGTTGTTCGTTTCTTCGTTGATGTTTGGGTATCAGGTGTTTTGAGGAGCAGCATTCTATACATACGATAATACAAGAGATGTCGGCGCTGCTATCTTGTCCGACTTTTGAAAGTCCTGGCAACAGAACGGTCCCCTTTACGAAAGAACGGGAAGAGACACAGACAAGAACATCCAAAACTTGCTCAGGGAGGCAGTGTCCCCAACACTTCCGTCCCGCCAGGGCTGAGATCTATCAGCGATGTATTAGTACAACGCATCTACAGGTCCGCAAAACAAGGTGAAGCAAGGGGACAAGGGGAAATAATAGCGTGGCCAAGCTCGCCACGTGAATGCAGGGAGAGTTGGGAGATTGGCCCTGAAAAGCAAGGGAGGCGCTTTGCACTACGGTGTAAGATTGAAACAAGGGATGTCGAAAACGGTTGACTCATCTGCAGACAGTCCACGACTAATATCCTTTTGTTTCGAAAAGATCAAGAGAGGCTGAACAGCGCTGTTGTAAGGGTGTGCTGAGCACAAAACATCAATTATATCCATTAATGTGGTATGAAAAAAGGGGGTGTGTATAACGAAGTGAAGCCATTTGATCCCTCCCTCCCGACTCCTCATTCTCCCCACTCCTGGTCCTTCTATCCGTCGTTTGAACCAAGAAGCCGGCACATAATTTATTGACACATTACTAACAGGGATAGGAATCTTAATGTACAAAGCCTATCGAGTTTTTGGATAGGCCCGGCATTTCGACCATGAGCTGGGGGGCTGGTGAACTGCTTAAAAAGCGGGAGGGGCGGCGTCGGTGCAGAGAAGAGCTTGGCCGGCCTGGATGGGGGAGGGATTCAGTATACTACTTGATTTGGGTAGGGAGGTTGGTGGGAAGGGGGGAACTTACGATGGGGGCGACGCAACACTTGGGTTGGCGGCCGATGGAGGCGCAGACGCTGCCGAAGGACTTGCAACTAGAGGGCTTGGAGGGGGCTGTTCCTTGTGTTAATGGGCTGCCTCGAGACTTTGGGAGGAGGAGGAGGGCATTACTCACGAACAACGCAGCCGAGGTCGGCAACGCCGAGGACGTCGACGTCACAGCACTGGGGGTTCGCATAGAGGCCCCTGGGGCACCAGACGTTGGCACGACGGACGATTCCGCTGGGGTCGGAGGATGGGGCCGCGAGGGCGGTGGTGAAGAGGAGAGCGGCGACGGCGAGGAACTGCATTTTGGATTATGGTGGTGGATATGGAGAATTAAAAAGAGTGGATTTGTTAAGTGAGAAGAAGAGAGAAGAGATGAAAGAGTGTGTGTTGGAAGTGAGTGAATGAGGAGGTTGAAGAGAAGAGAGAGAAGAAAGATGGAAGAAACGGGGGAGGAGAAGGGGAGGATAGACATGCTATTTATCTCTGTCTGTGTTTATTGGGGGGAGTGAGATGTAGAGAGGGAAGCTGATCGATGGATAGTACTACTACTGCTGCTACTTCCAAGGAAATTGGCTGTGTATCTTGAGATGCGAGGCCATGGAGTCTTGTCGCTCTCCCTGCATGAAAGGGGCGGGTTGAGATGGCAATAGTCTGGAGCTACTTTGTCTCCCTCTCTACTAGACGGCATAGTAGTAGTAGTTATTCTTGGAAGAAAAAAAATCAGGGAACAAGAGATAGAAGGATCAAGGTACTACTATTGTCTTGAATTCATTTTGGATGACTATCCGGCGGTTTGGAAAGACAATGGGGGGGGTGTGAATTGGCTGGTTGAGGGAGCGAGACATTTCGGCCGTGGCTTTGTTTGTGGCGGCGAGGCTGGGTTATGAAAGTACATGTACTAAGAGCGGCTGGGATAAGTTGCTGCATGAAGTGTTTATTGCTACGGAGTAAGATCGTGCTTGATACTGATTTAATATTGACTTGATGTTGGTTCTACTAGTGGGAAGATGTTGAGAGTGCTTTGGATAGTACAGAGAAGGCTGCAGAGGTAGGAAAAGGCTGGGGGTCGGGATGCCTCACTGTTGGAAATTGACATGTGCCACAAGGCCATGCATGTCTCACCTCTCTTTTTTTCCAGCGGGGAACGGGTTCCGGGGGCGAGGGAGAGAGACAGACACGGGAGAGGCTCTATTGGCGCAGGGTTTGATTGGGAGTGATGTGCTCGGACGGTCTTTGAAGGCTGCCTTGTTTTTTGTTCGTGCTGTTTTGGTTGACAAGGGCGGTGGGCTTGTCGGATGCAGAGCGCGGATGGAGGGTTGTGCTTGTCTGGCTGGGGTTTGTGTAAGTGAGCCGGGGAGGCAGGACTCGGTGAGATACCAGCCGGTGATATGTGCTTTCGCTGGATAGACTTACTGAGTGTGTAATAGTAGTACTTAGATCCATAGATCGGTTTGCACAGATCGGCATTTCAAGCAGATGAAATGCATTAGAGACTGGCGTCGGAGATTTATTTACATTGACTGATCATCAGGTCTGACTGGGGTTGATGATGCTTGATGCAGTGACGGCCACAGCCCAACGGCAAACTCTGATGATTTTCTGCCTTTGTTTACTCTTTCTGCTTCGATTATAGCTCTACTTCCATGAATTACACATATGCAGGGGTTCACCCACGACTGACCGAGAGTCCAGGCCTCAGCCGCACATGCAAGCCCCTGTCTCGCAGCTCTTGGTCGACGCTGCTCCTGCATGGACGATGCGACGCGACTTGGTCCCTTGCCTTACAGGCAGACAAGCAAAACATGTGAATAGAGAAAGCTTGAGACTTGACTGTGTCTTGTTTGTGAATGCTGGCTGGCCACCCAACTTCGACGGTTCATCAAAGTTGCCTCTCTACCTCTCAACGTGAGATTAGAGGACTCCAATGGCATTGCTTATACAATGCCTTGAACAGCAATCAATTACTTCCAACACAATTACTATGCTTAATTGACCGTCAGATCGAGATGGGGTGACCGATGCTTGCTGGTGGTTTGCTGCTGGTCATTGGCTGGACGCGTGCCTCCGCGTCTCTTGGCGTGAGATTCGATCAGCGCCTATTCATGCAAGGTACGAGTTTGTTGATCACGATCTTGATAGGCTGGAGTTGTAATACTAGTACTCGTATTGCACTGATCTGGACTACCTAGGTACTGATATGACATGCAGTAGGACAGTAGGGCTTATTCTTGGCTTCATTCGCAGTGGTAGATGCTTCTCGAGGTGAGAAACACAGCATGAGATAAAGAGGTACCTAAGATACATGTACTTGGGATCCATCATCAGTAAGAGCGGTGAGAGACAGAAACACAGTAACAGGGAAGGCACGTTGTTGCTCCCCGACATCTTGCCTTGATCCTACAGTCTCCCTGTTCCTCAGGCATCAACCGCCATCTCCATGTCCATCTCCACCTCCATCTCCGTCTGCATCGTCATCACAAGTGCAGCTCAGCTCCCCTCTCTTACACCAGATATCCCCCTGCTCAGCATCTCTCGCATATCTCTCTCATTGTATACGCAGTCCAGCCTCTCCTCATGGACGCTCCCGCGCCCATTGCTCTATCATCACCACTGAGACCGGACCCGACGCCGCGCAGGTTCATCTACCACGAAGCGCCGTATGTGATGCGCGAGATCTAGAGGCTCGTCATCCCCGAGCGCCGCCCCAGCGTGCAAATCTTTACGCTTGAGCCGCCGCCGCCATGGTATCAAGACGATCCTCGGTGCAGGCCGTACGCACCGCGGTGGCAGACGCTCCAGGCCCCGCGAGTCGCGCCCAGGGACAGCGACGTGGGTTGGTGGTACTTCCGGGCTGCTCACACCGTCGCTCCCTCGTGGGACGCCAACAACCCGTCGGCGTATCTCGTCGCCAGCGGCTTGTGGACCGCCTGCAAACAGTCGCGCCAGGTGATGCAGGAGACGTACGAGACGGTGATCTGGGACGCGTATCGACACATGTTCCCTGACCAAGTCAAGTTCGCTCCGGACACTGAACGGGACGAGCTGGCGCGCATGCCGGCGACGCTCCACGTCCGGGACCGGGGCAAGGACCGCTACTTCACCGTCTTCCCAAACGACGACCTGTTCTACTTCCAGTCGATGCACCTCGGCTCTTGCCCCTGGACCTTTCCCACGCCTATCGGAGTGCCCATCAAGCTGCGCCACATCGCGCTTCAGTTGAACCCGGCCTAGGCAGACGGGCTATTTCCAACGTCGCCCGCAGAGGTTGGAGTCGCCCGTGCCGTGCGTGTGTTTTCCCAGCTGGCAGTCCATGTGCCGCCCGATGGCTTCATCTGGTTCATCGACTACAGGCTCCGGCGGCGGCCCTATGTGCCCACCCGCGCCGAGCGAGACGCGGACGAGTCGCGGTTCGCCTTTTACGGCAGCGACCGCCGCTACGTCGAGGTCATGGGCGTCATGCCGCCGGCCTTTGACCAGTATTACATGCTACTACAACTGACGCTGCTCCCCATGCTTGACCCTCCGCCTCTGTCGCCCTTTGCTCCCGGTCTTGGACAGAATTGGAGATGGGTCGAGGATAGGCGCCGAGGGGCCGGGTTGAAGCTCAATGGCGCCTATTAAGCATCCGGAGGTTTCTCAGGTACGCCACCGACAATCAACCTGAAGGCATCCGCATTCTCAATGGCACCGAGGGCGACCGCTTCGGCGTGCTGGCGTGTGAATTCTTTTGAGTCCTGGCTATTGGCTCCATGATGGCTTGGCCAGCTTTTATGGTGAATTGATATATCTGCATTATCGCTTTTTGACTATAGAGCCTGGGTCTACAACAATTGATATTAAGTTTACAAAAGAAGGTTCCGGCCCTTCATGAAATTGATTAGAGCATCATACGACTTTTGCCGAAGCTCCAAGTCCCTGTGCCAGCTGCGTTGTTCAACCAAGGCCCGTTTGGGAACTTGGTAGATTCTGTCGACGCGCAAGTAGGATGCTACTGGAAGTCCCCTGTCTCCATACGGATCATCAGACAAGTGCAGCTGCATCTCTGTGAAGGGATGTCTCGGCGTCGGCGCAATCGGGACGAAGAGATTATAATCTGCGTCGGGGGGGAGGGTCGTTGTTATCTAAGTAGCCCGTGTTAGGTAGATTTGCTTCTCCAAGGAGCACTACAGAAGGAGGTTTACGGTCACAACGAGCCAGTCCCTGTGTAATGGTGACTCCCCGACAACGATGACCATGTGCTGTCGAACAGCTTTGGGAACATGACAATGGACTCGGGTCTCATTGTCCCATTTTTTGTAAGGCTTGAAGCGGTAGACTTTGCCTGCGGGTGAATTTAGGTCTCTCATATTTCCCAAGTAGTAGAAGATATCAATACGGCATAGAGTCTTGGTGAGAATGGAAAAGGCAGTCGAGGCGAATTATGATTGATGTAGTAGTAGTAGTAGGGTAGGTAGCCAGCTGGAGGTTATTCAAGCTCCAGTGCATCCGAATGGCGACGTCAGGAATAGCTTTGCCCCACCTTCTGTAAAAGGAAAGTCTTCGAGTGGGGCAGCTGAGAATACGAGGATGCAAAAAATAGAGTCATATAGTAAAATAGTTTAGTAGTCAGCATACAACAAGGCAAGGTGCCAGAGTGGTTAATGGGTATGACTCGAAATCATATGGCTTCGGCCGCACAGGTTCGAATCCTGTTCTTGTCGCGTTTCTTTTTTTGTTGCTTTTTGCGAATCATTGCTTTTACTTTTCTAACACCCTGTTCTTCCTTAGACAGTTGCTTTTTTTTCATGCCAGGACCTGAATAGTCGTCCAACGCTTATACATCAATCAGGTCCTCACTCTTATGGATTGAGTGTCAACGAACGGATGCGTACATGATCGCATGAGTGACTTGATGAAAGATGGAGTGAATGCGAGAGCGCTTGATAGGTTGAGTGAGTGATCCAACTGGGCAAAATGACTTGTAGCACTCCGAGGTGCCGAACCACCGAAATTGATACGCCGATAACTTGAGGTTTGGCTACTTTGAATGATCAAGAGCCGCGAAACGGTGAAATTCCATCTTCCAAGGCCGACGTCACTGAGTAGTTGGATGACGATTCTTCAAAACTCGTCAACTGCCTCATACGGCGCTGCATCACATCAGCGTTGTTCCTGCAACAAACCGAGCAATCGCACTCACCTTTCATAATCGAGTCGAGATACATTAGCGGCGACAGTCCCGACATTTCCCAGGGGTCCATGGAGCCATCCATTGGCAAGCTTTGAAACGATCAGTACGGTTGTTCTTCTCTTCCCTCCAGAGCGTCAGATGGAGATGAACGTACCCATCACCCAGCAGTGCGGTAAAATTATAGCCCATGGCGCTCTCCATCATCGGGTCTACCGCAGCTGCGTCTTGTATCCTCGGCAAGACCTCATTCTGCGAGACCAAATTCTCTGCCTGCTGTCGCTCAGGAGATGGCGACGGGCTGGCATCCAACGCGGGAGCCTTCTGTAAGGCGGCTTGTAGAGCCACCAAAGCTCTTGTGTGGTTCATAGACAGCCAGTGATTGGTGCCGGATGCATCAACCATCATGCCCGTCTCATCGTCCGCCTGTGCTGCCCGTGAGAATATTTCTATTACCCTCTGCAGCACATCCCGGCTTTCTTGGTCGCATCGCGTTTCCTCCCACAGGCAGAGTAGTATGGTGGCACTCAGGACCGCATGGATCAGAGACCATGTGCGAATGGGGATGTTGCTGATGGCCTGGAACTCGATGAATGCCTTTGCTGTATCCATCAAGCTTTCCTTGGCCCGAGATTTGAGAAGTCGAAGAGCATCAGCTTGGTCATTGCTCGTGGCAGCAGACGTCGTCAGCACGGGCCGGCATAAGACGGTGGCTGCCCAAGACAGTTGAACCTGGATGGTGAGGGCCTCGTAGCGCTGCTGGATGTTCGCACACTTCTCTCGGCCCTGCAGATAGGGCAAAGCTCGCGACTTGTATCCTTCCAGCTCGGTCAGTAGCATCATCGATGATTCAAGGCTTGGCTGTTCCACTTCCAAGATGCCGGTGCACACGGAGACCATGCCGTACAGGCACTCTGTAAAGTTCAGCGGGCGGTTAGGGTCGGAGAGAATCTTCCTAGTCGCAAGCGACTGAGGCGAGGCACTATGCGGTCGGCCGTGGCACAGGCTGAGCAAGCAGTCCTGTCTGCAGATGGTGTCCCTTTAAAGAGGATGTGAGTCAGTTGCCGCCTCGGGTGAGTGTCTCAGGATACTACCAACCAGAGAGCCCGCTTCCTCTTGACCCCATCTTCCGACTGCTCAGAAACACATTGCAGGTGCAAGCCCAAGGCCTGTGCTACCCGGACAGTGGTGCCCATCATCACCCAGGCGCCATCTGACTGTCCGACGTCTTGGAGAACAGCGCCAATGATGAGAAGAGTCTGGACCGCGTCGAGGGAGGGATGCAGGACGTAGTTGGCCAGACATAGAGCGTCAAAGGCGCGTTGTACTAAAGACGACATGCTTTAGCTTTGCCATATAAAAGCGGCTTCATCCTCAGACTTACAAAAGTCTAGTGAATGCTCAGCACGCTTCCTCGGAGACTGCATCACAGAATAGTGGGCGCTGGTGGCGAGGGCTGCCAGCAACAGAGCAATTCGTGATATCCAAGCCTTGCAGACCCATTTCGGCGACAAGACGTCGGGGCTACGAAGCTCGCCAGCGTCCAAGGCAGAGAGATAGTCACAAAAGGCCGACTCCAGATCATCAGGATCCAGTAAGACGGGGTTGGGGGGATACATCGTCGCACCCTGGGATGGAAAGTACCTGACAGTAATGATGAGTTCAAAGTTCATTGAGGGATCCTGAGTATCAACACATACCTCAACACTTCTTGCCGCTGAGGAATGAGCTTCAACAGCGCCGCCCACCTCTCCTGCAGCGTCTTGAGCTTCATAAAGGGATAAAACTCCAGGGTGTTGTGCAGCCCCAGAACCGGACCGGCCTTGCGCCTCATCTCCACGGCGGGAGAATCGGCCGAGCCGTGCAACATGGTGAGCACGGAGCTGCCGCCCTGGTAGAGCTCCTTTCGGACGGGATGCCAGTCTGCCGTCTCTGTGTCTTGCCGCCGGAAGAGAGTCGAGTGTGACGTCTGCGGGGTGGCGAGAGAAGAAGGAGTATCGGCGGTGTTTTGGGTGGGAGTGGCAGATGACTCGGTTTCAGAGCCATTGGCACCGGTTCCCGGACGACTCTGTCGAGACCGACGTGACGACGCAAGCCTCGGCTCTTCCTCCGAGTCCACGCCTGGTGCTTCTTCCCTCCTACGGCCAGCCCTCGAAGGCACCGCGCCCGCAGCAGCTCCGCCGGCACGCCTCCCGCGCCTCTTCTCGGGACTCACGCCCACGTCGTACGAGCAGATCTCGGGATGCCCTCGTTTCTGGCACGTCTGGCAGGGATGTTCATGATCGCACTTGACCTTGCGCTGGCGACACGGGTAGCAGGACCGGGCCTGTGAGAGGCGGCGGAGACGGAGCACGCGGTCGATTTCGGCTTGCCGCGCAGACGGTTCAGACTGCTGCTGACGCTGGAGATCCATTGCGATGGACGCCGGGAGGATATGATGGGACGTTCAGGATCGGGCATGAGATAAGAAGGGGGAGGTCCGAGGTTCCGAGCTGAATGTTGAATACCTATGTACATACCTACATGTAATACTGCCGCTGAGGGAGGGCGGCGGTAAGTCGGACCCTCGGAGCTTTTTATCCGTCGCTCGGCGCTGGATCAAGCTCAGTGTTCAGCATCATCCTGAGCAACGAGATAAGCATTAGGGCCATATGGGCAGTCTGATTAGGTACAAGCCTTACTGATTGGGAATGAACATGTATCTGGATACCCTACCTCAACGAGGTGTTGTTCCGCGAGGATGCGATTCCACCCGTGTCCGCCTGCGGCTGTCTACCAGGCGGGCATATGAGTGGCTTCTCTCCCCCTTTATGTATCTGTCCCTCCACATGAACCCCCCATCATTATACTGGGCACTCGTTGATGGCTTTCTGCCTGTCCAAACAAGCATACATTGTGTTCTGTTACTGTGGCATTGCGTAAACACAACTCCGTAAATCTGCTTTTCTTCTCCATAGCCGTCCCATCCATCATCAACGCCGCATTCCCAAGACCTCACGCCACCCATCTATCCTGCCCCATGCCCCTATTACTACAAGAACCCCTATCAGCCCTCTGTGTCCCTTTCCCCATCTTTTCTCGCTTTCCATGCATCATACGTCGTCCAGTTTCCGTGTCCCCAGCCATCTCGGTCAATTATCAGTACAAAACAGCCCCGCCCATCACCCTCCCCTCAACTCTAGTAGATCGTTCTATGATGTGCTCAATGTGTTGATACATACATTCGGTGATATTTATAAATACAATGCCTTCATCTTCACCCTTACTCGTCCTTTCTCGACGCTTTTTCAGCCTGTTGGCCCTTGCTTGAAGGCTCTGGTTTGCTGCCGGAAGCCTTCTCAGCTCTGCCCTTCTGCCACTTGGCGATCTTTTCGCCCAGGTACCGCCACGACTTCTTGAAGCCACCCATCAGCAGTCCCTTGATGCTCTGCGCAGTGCTTGGCCAGTTGACCGTCTGCTTGATGACCTGCCGAGTGATTCGTCGTAGCTCCTCGGGGTCGTCTGCAGCGATCCGCTTCTCAAACTCTCCCGCTTGCCGGCGCTTCACGGCCCCATCTTGGTCAGAGGTTGCCGCCATCATGGCCTTGAACTCGTCCTGGGGAATGCCAAACTTCTTGCGGTACTGGAAGTAGAGCCGAGACCTGAAGCTTCCGGGCAGGCGCCTGACCATGTTGCCGCGCTTCACCAAGTCCATGTCCTGCTGCAGCCTGGCGTTGGCGTCCGGGTTCAGGATCCAATTCTCGTCGTCTAGTCGAACCGGGTCAACAAAGGCCACATTGGGAAGAGTCCTGATGAGTGGAGCATAGAGTCGGCGGAAGTGAACCATGTTGTTGGAGACAATATTGTCCACTTTGCTCTTATTCTCAGTGGGGAGGGCCATTCGCGGATCGCCGAGGTAGCTGAGACCGGCAATGGTGCTGTAGAGATCCGCCTCCGTAAAGTTGGGCGGCAACAGGAGAAGGGCGGTTCGCACGGCAGCAATGAGGTTGATCTGATTTGCCAGGCGGACCCGCGGATGATCCCGCAGAATCTTAACAGGCTTCTGCAGGCGCCCTGCCAAGTAGAGGTTTTCCCAAGTCGACAGGTCGTTTACCAAGTTGTCAATGCTTGTAACCCCGTACTTGATCAGCATGCCGTTCATCTCGATGTAGGGGTTGAAGTACACGCCGGCACCCCAGTTCTGGACCCTCGAAACGAAGCCCGAGCCGAGCGACGCGATGCCCGAGTAGTGATCCCGATGCTGCTTCATGTTGATCGAATGCCAGTGCTCTGTGTGCGTGACTCCGAAGATGAAGTCAATCATTTTGGGCGATCCTTTTTGGGCCTTGACCAGCGCCTCGGGCGGCTTGGGATGGACAGCGCGGAATTCGGCTTCGCTAATGCTACGGCCGGCCTTTTCCTGGGGGAAGACGCCGGAGCCGTAGGCGAAACAGTAGACAATGGGCGCATTGAACTGGCGCAGCATGACGCGCAAGGCCTCTTTGAGCTCATAGTTGATGATCATGTGCTGGTTGACGCCAAAGAGGCGATGCGGGAGCTCATCGAAGCGCTGGATGGCAAAGTCGACGGTATCCTCCCACTCGTCACCATAGAGGTTGAACTTGCCCCCGGCGGATTCTTTGCGGCGGGGATTTGCTGGTGGTGATGATGACGATGATGTTGACGATGTTGGTGTCGAGGACGGGGTCGCTGCGGATGATGTCGTCGTTGATGGCGACGATGCCTGATCATGGCTCTGATTATGTACTTGTCGGCTCTGGAGGAGAGCTGTCGGTCTGGATGGCCATCGCTGTTGAGGTGAAGCAGATGATGATGACGACAGTAGAGATGAGGAGGACGAGGAGGAGGATGATAATCGTCTGTAGCCGTATAGCGCTTCTGGAATGGGCGAGAGGAACAGCGACGGTAGCCGAGGCGCAACTGTCGTGGACAGAGAGCTTCTCGTTGCCTATCGAGGGATTGCATGTCAGTCAAGATGTGCGCACCAGGGGCTTGCCATGAGGCAGGTTGTATCATTTACCCCGATGCTTCTCCCAAGGGCGACCATTGCGAATGAAGACGGCGAACCGGATTAGTCTAATGGTTGGGAGCTGAGCAGTGTCTGGTTCGAGGCGAAGGGAGGTTTTATCCGATTGTAAGCAGGAGCGGGAGCAGCGGCAGAGGCCTCGGGTTGACGCTCAAGCGGTGTGATCCATGTACGTGATGATCGGGGTCTTGATTATGTGCGAGATTGGGCGCGATGCATGTCCAATGGCTTCGGTTGGTGTTTTGGCTGCGTTGGTGGGATGGGAGAGAAGCTGCAAGAGAGCTCGTCGAGGTACAAGGGACTTCAAGCTGGTAACTCCGGGTGGGTCACCGGGCCGTTGAACTGCGTCATGGCTTGTACTCCAGCGATCGGTACCTGGTTGTACGTGCGGCTGAGGGTGCTGTAATTGGCAAGATTGGCTGCAGATTAGACAAACTTGTTTATGTATGGTTATGCCTTCTTTTATCTGTATCACGTTCTTGCATTCTTTTACAACAGTTGTAGGTTAAACGCACTGAGGTACAAGGAATGAATAGGCGTGTGTACGAGTACCAGGTACGAGATCAGGGTATCCTGACGATGAGCCGAGTGCCGATTGGCTGCCGAGATCTAATCTGATGCCGCGAGCTGTTGTCCCTGGTTGGACATGCAGCTTCAGTTCTTGCTCGAATATCTACTGAATGCGTCCCCTTTTTAAACAGTTTCTGTGGCATTGCTGAGAATTGATCAAGTTCTGATACGATTTGTAGTGATTTTTGCCGTTTCCACCATCACAATGCCATCAATTGACGCTCAGTTTGTGGCAGCTTCAAACGTGCCTAAAGCTTTGGTACCTTGATATGTCTCTAAGCTCCAGTGCCTTGTTTACGCCTCGACGGTCATCCAGTGAATCTATAGAAGCCATCTACCCTATCCGTCCCTTTATCTACAGTTAACGACAGATATCATCTCCAATTGGCTCTTCATCCATCATCGTCTCTCGAGGTTTAGCAGCTAGGTCCAGCGAACGTCATCCAGGCACCTACCCTAAGCCTCCCATCACGTGACCTCTCATACTTGTATTGCATCTCAGACGCGAAGCAGCGCGTTTCTCATCAGATGGAAAAGTAAAGAAAACCAACAACAATCGTCATCAACAGCCTCCAGGCTTCAGTCAGTCGAGATGCGCGGCCGCGCAACGCAGGACGCCGGAGGCTCTGCCAGTCGGCCAACCTCGCGCTCGACCAGCAGGTTGCGGACCCCAAGCACCTCGAGAGTGCCGCGGCCGAATCTGTCACTGCGGGATTCGAGGGTGAGTTGGCGATGGTCTGAAGCCAGAGTTGTGTCTGATATGCTGACATTTGCCTCGTTTGCCGTCTCTAGATAGCGTCATTTCGAGCAACTCAGCCCACGTCCACGCCCAACAGCCAGTCCGGAGACGCAAACGCCGACAGACCCCCCTCAAGACAGAGCGTTGCCGCCGCCTCTGTTCGCAGTTCGCTCGAGCATTCGAGGTCAAAGGAAAACCTCGCACCGCCCGACGCAGACGAACATGAAAAGCTTCGAAAGGAGATTGAGGCCCTCAAGGCCGAGGTCGGAACCCTGCAGTACCGCATCCAGACCGCCGAGCAAGAAAAGGATATCGCCCTGTCACAGCAGAACAACAAGATAGAACAAGCCCGGCGGCGCGAGCAGGAAGAGACCCAGCAGCGCCAATCAGCCGAAGCGGAAAAGGCCAAGGCGGACACCAGGATGGATTCGCTCAGGCAGGAGCTGGAGCAGCTGAGGGAAGCCTCGGAGAACGACAAGCGACAGCTCGAGTCCAAGCTTCGAGCAGCCGAGGATGAATCTCGCCTGGTACAGGAGCAGCTCGAGGAAGTGACCAGCGCCAAAGACGAAGCGGCGAGACGAGCCGACAAGAAGGTCAGCGACCTGCAGATGCAAATCACCGCCGCAAATAGCACAATACAAGAGATGCAGCAGGAGGGCGAAGCGCGCGAGTCGGCGCTGCGCCAGTACCAGGAGCAAACGCTGGAGAAGGACAAGCTGATTGGCAAGCTGGAGGCAGACGTGCTGCGACTCAAGGCGCAGAGCGGCGACGCAGAGACTATGGACGCGATCAAGAGGGAGCTGTCGGAACAGGTGTCTCACATGCGGGCTCTCGAAGCTGCAAACCGCGATCAGCTTGCCGAGCTGAAACGACTCCGAGCCGTCAACAAGGCTGTGGAAATCGTCGAGGAGGAAAAGAGGACGCTGATGCGCAAGGTCGAGGCGGCGGAGAGGCTGGAAGCGGAGCTGGCTGAGGCGAGGATACAGCGCCAGAGACTGGAGGATGAGCGTCTGGCGTGGTCGGCCTACCTGGAGAAGCTGTCGGAATCCGGCCAGGCCGAGTTTGACTCTCCTGAAGCAATTGCTCGCGCTCTCGTCCAGGAGAGGCTGACCAGCGCCTCCTACGTTGAGCAGCTTGGAGCTGTCCAAGCCGAAGTCACAGCACTACAGGGGCAGCTGCAGGCCCTAGAGGAGGAAAACGCCCAGCTCAAGAGCCAGGTCGAGAACGCCACGACAACTGCGCAGGCGGCCAACACCGACAAGGTCCGCATGCGCCTGGAGCGCCAGCGTGCTCTGGCCCTGAAGGAAGTCGAGTACCTGCGCGCGCAGCTCAAGGCATTTGACACCGAAGAACACACGATGCAGCCGGACGGCTTTGACGAGGCGCGGGCGGCGCGCATCCAGGAACTGGAGGACATGGTGGACAACTACAAGATGGAGGTGCAGCGGCTACATGCCGAGCTGTCATCGATCGATCAGTCGACGTCGCAGCAAGCATCGTCACCACTGCCGCAGCTGCTGTCCGCGGGAACCAAGCGAAGCCGCGCCGACGACGACGCCGTCCACGAGCAGATGGGCCAGCTTACGCGTAAGAACCGCAAGCTCCAGGAAGAGCTGACGAGCGCGCAGACGCAGGTGGCGATGCTCGAAAAGGACCTGTCGACGACGCGCGAGCAGCTGGCGGCGGCCAAGGAGCAGACCAAGACGCGCATCCTGTCGCTGCGGAGCAACCCGACGTCGGACCACGAGGCCATCAAGCGGGCGACGCTGGAGGCGCTGCAGAAGGAGAACCGGGAGCTGCTGGCGACGCTGCGGTCGCGGGAGGTGGACCCCTCGATCCCGCTGATCCCGACGTCGGTGCTGGGCGCCATGGAGCGCGAGATCGCGGCGGCCAAGGCGGAGACGGCGAGCGCGCAGAAGTCGGCGCGGCGGCTCAAGGAGGTCTGGGGCTCCAAGTCGCACGAGTTCAAGGAGGCCATTTTCTCGACGCTCGGCTGGACCGTGACGTTTATCCCCAACGGCAAGATGCGCGTCGAGAGCACCTTTTACCCGTCGCAGACGGACGAGCACGAGAACTCGATTGTCTTTGACGGTGAGAGGGGCACGATGAAGGTGGGCGGCGGGCCGAAGAGCGCGTTCGCGCGCAAGATTGCGGATCACATTGCCTTCTGGGTGAGGGAGAAGGGGTGCATCCCTGGGTTTCTGGCGGCGCTGACGCTCGAGTTTTATGAGGAGCATGCGAGGGCCTCTTCAGGGGAGTAAATGATGGAACTTGAAGGGAAGGGGGGATGAGAAGAGAAAGGCAATGACATCGAATTTCTTACGCAAGCGCTGCCCGATATCGAGTCCTTGTTTTGGGGGTTGTTGATCGTTGTTGATGTTATGAGTGCATTGCATGGATTTGGGTTCACCAGCTTTTTTAGGGGTAATGATATCTCGGAAGGATCGGGAGAGAGCAAGGGCATCATGCCATCAATATTTAAACGAATTAGAAAAGAAAAGACGAATCTCTGAGCTGTATATCTACCCCAACATTGTGTGACAACAGGAATAGTCAGGGAAAACTTCATTCTATACGCAGTTTAAGTTCTCTACAACATATGAGTGTGATTCAAGGCATCAACGAAAAAAAGAGAAGCATGCTTCATCCATCCATCTGTCTGTCTAGCCGGCAAAGAAAAGAGAAAACTATTACTATACATCCGTACAACTTTGGAACGACCACCGCCTGCTCTTCTTTCCCCCTTTTCCAGCACACAAGGATCACACAAACACAAACACAAAGAAAAGATGTAAAGAAAATTGAAAGGGGTCTGAAACGAGAGATTTTCGAACAAGCGTCATGTAAAAGGAAAGTATTAGTCGATAGAAACGATTGGAATGAGCGTGTGTACACATCAACAGGGAGGCTTCCTCTTCGGCCGTCCAAGGCAAGAAAATGTAAAGGAAATTGAAACCTCTTGATATCACGAGTGGTAGATGAAAAAGAGACTAAAAGGAAGAAAAAATCAAAAAGGTCGGTGTACCGTCGTTCGTATGAAACTTTTCTTTTCTCTGCCCCAGACAAAGCATAAAGAGAGAAGAAGAAAAAATGATTAGAAATAGGAAAAAGGAAAAGAGTAAAACGATCGCTCAAGAGTGTCATCTCTTCAGAACCTAGTGGCGCCCCGTTAGGTCAAACATGATTAGCAGCAAGCTTTACCGCATACATCTATATAGCAATAGACGTATACAGAGTAAGGTATAATAAGGCAGATATATAGATATCTCATCCCAGTCCCCCAGAACGCAAAACGCTGTCCAATTTTCAGACAAAAAGCCCCCCCGGTCACTTGGCCTCATACTTGCCGCTCACAAGCTTCCTCGTCACAGGCACGTCGACCCATGTCTGCTCCACGAGCGACGGGTTCGAGCTGGCAGGGTTCTCATCTGCAAACGGGTCGTCGCTCTCGACGGCCTCCCTGCTCGGCGCCGTCTCCAGCCGCGAGATGGAGATGCCGCTGCCCACGGCGTCGTCGCCCGTCACGGAATACTCCCACCGGGCTTCGACGTGGCCCGGCTGCGGCTCAACGCCATCTGCGCCGACAATGCGGCAGACAATCTTCTGCACGGCGTCGGTGAGAGTCACGTCTCCCAGTCGCCAGTACACCAGGTGCTTATCCTTCAGGTGGGTGCCGCTGGGCTTCGTCTGGGCCCCGGTCGCCCTGCCCTCGTACGACACCACGAAAACGACGTTGTGCAGCGTCACGGGGGCTGTCCATTTGCAATCGGGGTTGAGCTGATACTGCAGCAGGAGACCCAGCTTGTCGCCCTGGGGCTTCCATGCCGGGGTGAGGAGGAGAGGAGCGTGTCGGCCCAGGGAGGGGGTCTCGCCGCCTTCTTCGGAGAAGACACGGTACGAGAAGGCGGTGGCCGTCTTGGAGAGATGGGAGACGTCGAGCGAGAACTGATCGGGCTGGTCGGGCGAGGCGTTGTGGACAAAGATTCGGTTGGGGCCGATGCGTTCCAGGTTGGCAAAGTTGTTGATGCGAATGGTTTCATGCGCTGGTGGAAGTCAATATCAATAACTTACATAAAATCAGACGAAAAGAAGGCCAAGGGCTTACTCTTGGTAGGATCGGCATCAGGGGTGGGATTGTTGGCAAAGGCAATCTCGCCCGCAACCGCCGCACTCTTCAGCACGCCGCCCTCAAAGAGCACCGAGACCGTCTCGATGATGGACGCGTTCAGCCCAGGCGCCGTCAGCTCCGGATGCTTGGGGTGCGCGCTGCTGAGCGAATTGCCGGACCGCACGGACTGGGTGTCAGAGGCGGCGCTAGCCTCAGAAGCAAGCGCGGCAATGGCGGCCGGCCGGGAAGAGGGAGGTCGAGGGGGAGAGGCCGGGGAGGCGGGCGATGCGGGAATGGCCGGCATGGCGGGAATGGAGCCCTCGGAGTAGCTCTCGGGGAATTGCAACACTGGCGCATAGATGGTGTTGCGCACGTCGCGGCGGCCTCGCACCGTCATCGAGCGCCGATTGGCTGCCGAGCCCAGCTTGAGCGTGTTGGCCACGCTGGAGAGAGCCGCCTGGGCCGCCTCAGGGTCCTCTTCCTCGATGGGCTTGTTCTGGATGTTGAGCTTGAAGAGCTGGTCGTTTTCTTCGTTGGCAGCCTCCCGCTGGGCTTCCGAGATGGGGTCGTTCATGGGCGCTCGTATCGTGAAGCCCTCGTCGTCCTTGGAAGTTGGCTGAGGCGCGGGCTCCGGCTGCTGGCTCTGCTGCGATGGTGGCGGCTCTGCCGGACCCGCGGCTTCGGGCTGCTGATGGTGCTGCTGCTCGACGTTGAGATTGCCATTGACGCTGCTCGAAGGTGGCATCGCCGGCACTTGACTATCCAAAAGACTCTCGCCAGCCCCAAAGCCATTCGTGTTTCCGTTCCCGTTCGTCGACAACTCGCCCTCGCGTTCCCGATCCCTGTGCATGGCGTCTGACGATGACTGCGGCCTGCGAGCTGCGTCGGGCATCTCGGGGAGGATGGATAGCCGGTTGTTTTCGTGGAGGTTGCTGGAGGATCCCATTGGCGAGGCACCGCGGCCATGGCTGCTGCCGAGCCGCCCAAAGGTAGCTCCCTGCGACTTCTGGGGAGAGAGGGAGCCGAAGCCCGCATGGACACTCTGGCGCCGTCGACCACCAAACATGGTTCCCAGTCTTCGCAGCTTGGATTCTAGCAGGAATCGAGTCCATTGGTCAGTTCAAAGGTACTCTTATTGGCTCTCATCGTCAGGTCATGATTTGGGCAGCTACTCACCCGGCTTGGCCTCGTTGTTAGGCAGCGAATTGTGTTCGCTCACGTCGTCATCGGGGGGCGGCTGAGAGGGATTCGGCGTCGAGGGAACGCTGGGCTGGCTGGCCGAGTTCTGCGACATGGCTGAGCGTCTGGTGGCCGTTCTGGGCGGCGGCAGCTGAGCCTTGCCGGCCGTCACCTTTTGCACAAAGGCCTGGATCTCCCGCTCGGTGCTGATCTCGAGCATCATAGCCAGCGTCTCGACGGCAATGTCGCTGTCGCGTTGGGCACGATCGGACTCGTGGGTTTCGAACTGGGTTAGCAGGTCGCGCAGCAGGTCGACGCGCGACTCGTCGAGCACCTGCAGGGTCTCGAAGATGAAGGGCGCCTGCGACTCCCACTGCTGCGTGGCCGACTCCAGCTTGGACGACGCGGCGTCGACCTTTTGCGCGCTGGCCTTGCCGCCCTTCTTGGTCAGCTTGTCGGAGCGGTCGCGCGCCTCGTCGAGCTCGCGGGCCATGGTGGTCAGGTTGTTGGAGATGTTGGTCATGTTCATGACGTCCTGGCGCTGGTGGAAGTTCCTGAGCGGCTGCTCGACATCGTTGCCGAGGCGATCGGCGAAGAGCTGGTGGGACTGGGCAATGCGTTCGACGGACTCGATGATTCGGGACCAGGGAAGCTGGAAGACACTGCATGCCACGGGACGGCCTCGTTAGCAGTCGACCTTTGGGCAGAGGGGAGACAGGCATTGACGCGGCTTCTCGTGAAAGACGTCGGCAGACTCACCCCAGCTCCGACTGCGCATTGGGCGCCTTGAACTGGGCCAGCTTGCGCATTCCCTGGACATACTGCTCCTCGACGCGACGGCGCTCCTACAGCAACTGGATCAGCTTTCTGGCGAGCGTTGGGGTGTGTGATGTCATCGTCTGCGTACCTGGAGCCAGTCGGCGATCTCGAGGTTGATCTTGTTGATGCGCTTCATGCGGTCGTTGAGCGTCTGCACGGCCTGGCCGGGCTGCAGGAGAGCCTGGAGGCAGCGGCGCCACGGGGGGCAGCCTGTCAGTGCCATTGCGCCTGGGGAAGCACGGGATCCGGGGCCGGAGGAGTCGACATCGGGCTTACCAGCATGGCCGGATACTCTGTCCTCGCCGTCTCGTCCATGGCTGCGGCTGCGTGTCGTCGGCCGGATGTTGCGGGTGGTGTAGCTGTAGCTCGAGCCGGGAGAGGCTGGGTCGACTCAAGGGAAGAGGCGGAATCGGGAGGAAGTTGGGCGGAATGACGGACTGCAATCGGGGCTCCGTGTCCTAGTCGGATGCGCGCATGGCGAGCTGCTGCGAGGATGGAGAGATCCGGATGCTCTCGGGGTTGGTGGTGGCGATGGTGGTTTGGCCGGTTGTGTATGTCGTATGCAAGGTGGACTGAGGTGAGGTTGACGACGAAGAGATCAAATGCAGGTTGGTGGAAGACGCAAGAAGCTCCAGAAGGGCTGCAGTGGTGCCAGAACCCAATTACTGCTCGAGGTATCCACCTGGGCAGGTGTCCCAGCGCTCCCTCGTACCCTGCCGGTGGGCCCAGCCTCGCTGTGACATTAGCCAGAAGCCCCCCCGGTGGCGGCCAATTACAGGCGCCGAGTGCGCTGTGGCCCCAGCCTCGTCAGCGCCAAAACAGCCAGCCGAGCGCCAGAGGCATGAGATGAGGCATGAGGCACATGAACCTCCTCCACCGGCTTGGGGGTCAAATTGCGTCGGAAGAGGCCGGGGGGTTTGACTTGCTGATGCTGAGGAATATATCCATCCACCACGTGCTGATACTAATGATTGCTGTATTCTTCTACTCGTACTACTCAACTACCTTTTCCTTCTAGTGATGCTATATAGGGGACAAGAGCGTAATTAGCTGATTACATGTGTTCGGCCAAATTGGGCACCCGGAGAAGCCTCGGGCCATTGCACCTCCATTTCCGTGCAGCTTCACAGACAGCTTCAACTGAACCTCAATCCACCGCATTCCCAGCATGGATCCCGGTCCGTTTCAATCAAAATGGAGCCCAGTCCTCAAATGACGTGTCGCATGATCGAGAGGGGGAATCAAGTGCGACGACATGCATAATTAATCGACCGCTCAGTCAATCGCCGGTTGTGCATGCATCCATTTATATCCTTCAATTAAAGCATCTCGTGCATGTGATTTCAGGAGCTCACCTCAGCCTCAACACCAGCATTACCATCACCATCAGCCAAGCATGGCCTCATCCGCGTGGAAGGCGTCCGTCTCGTCGGTGGACCGCTATGACACCATCTCCAAGATGTGCGTTACCAAGACCCATCCCCCCTTTGTCACCATTCAACTGACCAAAAGTTTGCATAGCATGGAAGCCCTTCCCTCGCGGGACATGAGTGAAGCCATCGCCATCGAACAAGCCGCATACGACAACTCTTCCTCTCTGGTACCTCCTCTCTACCAAACATTACCTCATTCACTCTCAACTAACATTTACCCAGGAAGAATACACCGCCGCCTGCCAGCCCTCCAAGCACCAAAACCCACCACCCTCATCCTCCCCCTTATCCGCAGCCTCACCCCAACCCCCATCCCCAACGCCGTCCAACTCTGGCATCCGCATCGGCTCATACACCAACTGCACGCCCATCTCAGACGGCGTCACGTCCGAGGTCTTCCGCTCCGGCGCCACCGCCCTCAAGGTCATCGTCCACAGCACCCTCGAGCCGCACAACCCCCTCCGCGAGGTCAAGATCCTGCAGATGCTCCATCCGCCGTGCATCCCCTTGCTCGACTCCTTCCGCGACCATGAGCAGCGCCTCGTCCTCGCATTTCCGTACATGCCGCTGACCCTCGACGACGTGCTCTACCGCAGCAACACCTCCTCCCTCTCCTCCTCCTCCTCATCTGCGTTGGACCCCTTCCTCATCCGCTCCCTCTTCCGCGACATCCTCGAGGCTCTGCGCGAGATCCACGGCCAGGGCATCGTCCACCGTGACATCAAGCCCTCGGCCATCCTCCTCGCGTCACCCTCCGGCCCGGCCTACCTCTCCGACTTCGGCACCGCCTGGCACCCGACCCTCTCCGCAACCACCGAGCCCCCGGACAACAAGATCCTCGACATCGGCACCGGCCCGTACCGCGCGCCCGAGGTCCTCTTCGGCAACAAGGCCTACGGCCCGCCCGTCGACATGTGGGCTCTCGGCACCGTCCTGGCCGAGTGCATCCGCAGCCCTCCCGCGCCGCTCTTCGACTCGCGCCCCGCCCACGAGGACGGCAACCAGCTCGGGCTCATCCTCAGCATCTTCAAGACCTTGGGCACGCCCACGCCCGAGACGTGGCCCGAGGCCAAGAGCTTCAAGGTCACCCCCTTTGAGCTGTGGACTGTGTTTCCGCAGAGGAGCTGGGAGGAGATTCTGCCGGGTGTGGATGAGGGCTTCAGGGAGGCTGTGGGGAGATTGGTGAGATATGATGGCAGCAGGGCTACGGCCGAAGAGGTGAGTTTATGTTTCTGATTTTGCAAAAGGATATGATATACATATATACGCATTGATGGGTTGCCGACTTACTGACGGCTCTTCCTCGCAGGCTCTAACATACAAGTGCTTTACAAAAAATGATATCACAGAATCATGATGACTCCCCTCCGCCCGCCCCTGCAACCGTCATATACCGTCTTCCATACATACATAACTCATGATACAACATATATGTACAGCATTCAAGAATATATCACCTCCAGGAGTCCTAGTCGAAGCAAATCCAATCCAATCCAATCCAATCCGACACCGGTATCAAAAATCATCCCTCTCCCTCTGCGCACGCCTCCTCTTCTGCCCATCGGAACCCAGATAGTCAATCGGGTTCCTGCACAGCGGACACGTATTCTGGCTGCTGCTCTGGAACCACTTGTACAAGCACGTCCGGTGGAACAGGTTCTTGCACGTCGAGCACCGCTTGTCCGGCATGCGCTTGTCGGCCGCGATCACGCTGTAGCAGATGGCGCACTCCGTCTGGCCCTTGAGCGCGCCCACGATGTTGCGCTTGAGGATCTGCAGCCCGTCAATCACGCTGCCGCCCGAGAAGGTGATGACGCCCTGCGTCGTCATGATCCAGCTGTTCCACGTGCGCTCCTTGACGGCGACGGCTTCTTGGCCCGTCACCGTCACGGCCTCGATCGGGTAGTTGGGCGACACCTTGATCACGATGGACGCTTGCGTCTCGTCCACCTCGTAGCCCACGAGCACCTCGCGCGCGTTCTTGGAGATCCGCACGACCACCTCCTGCTCGTCAGGCCCGGGAGGCTCCTGCTGGTCTACCCACGCCTGCACGTCGTCCAGCGTCTCGGAAATGATGAGCGGCGAAAAGTACTTTGTCGTCCAGGCCTCGACCGCGATGCGCGTCTGCTTGGAGCGACAGGCCAGGTACCATGCCTTGAAGAGGCCGGGGATGTACTTGAGCGTCAGGTAAAACAGGTGCACCAGCAGCCACTGCATGCTCCGTTCTTCCGGCTCCGACCGGGCGACCTTGATGTCGTAGTTCTGGATATGCTCCGTCGTGAGCTGTTCTCTCTCGAGGTTCAGCGGATGTGCCGCCGAGTGGCCGAGGACGTCAAACATGAAGTCCAAAAAGGGTGAAATGTAATCGTCCGTCTTTAGGTTTTCTGTAAAGTCGCTCCTCAGCTTAAACGACGACGCCGAGTATGCGTCAAAGACAAGCTTCCATGATAGCAAGTAGCTGCGGATGGGGGACGGGAACTGCGCCAGCATCTCGTCGGAATACCGCTCCAGAGTAGGGGCGTCGAGGAGCAGAGACAGTAGTTCATCAGGGAGACGAGCATCTTTCATGCATGTTAGCCTTTGCATTCGACCTCGGCCAAATAGACAATAAAAGACGTAGAAAAGAACTCACCAGTCTTGTCCAGAACGGTGTCAATGGACCGCTGCTCCTGAATCGCCGGCAATGCCCTGTGCAGCAGATCAAAGGCCGCCGTCTGAATATCCTGCGATTCTGAAGCAACCAGCTCGTAGATATCCGAGACGTCCTTCAAGTTCTTGATAGACACCTTCTCCACCTCCCGGCAAAGCATGGCGTCTACAATCTCCAGGGGCTGGCTGCTGGCTCCGCGCGGCAGCTTCAGCAGCTCAATCAGCGACTTGGACCTCTTGCTCGCCGATTCTCGGAGTGCGTCCTGCAAATCGTCGTTTGGATCCTCAATGTTCTCCAGCGTCTTGACAAGCTTGAGCGAGGAGTGGATGAAGGGCAGGGCGTCGGGAAGAGGGTAGCTGGCCGCCTGCTCCCACAGATCGAGACTGAACTCAATGGCCTTTTCCCAGTACGAGCCAAAGACGTCGCTCATGCAGGGCAGCAGCTGGTTCAGCACTCGGCAGATCTCGGCCGAGAGAGGCGCGCTCAATGGCTCGCCGTCTTCTAGCCACGACGTAATCTGTCTGACGGCGAACACGATGCGGTTGTTGGCCACCGGAAGCTCTCCACCGTCATACACCTGCGCCGACAGAGAAAGCAGAACGAGAATCATCATGGTTTTACTGTCATCTGCAGAAGCTCCTGCAATGTCGCTGACGAGCCGGTTGCAAAAGTTGCTCGCCAGTTTGGAAGACTTGATCGTCTCCCCAAATCCGGAAATCGAGGCAGCAGCGAGAAGAGCAGTCTCTGGGGCAGCCTTCGTCAGCACTGGCTTGAGCAGTGTCTCCTCCAGACTGGGCAGCAGGCCGTGTGCCTCGGCCACGGCCTGGATGATGTCGCTCAGAGCCCGGGCACTGTAGACACCTCTGGACGTCAGCTCCCTGGACTCTTCCTTGAGAAGGTCGACAAGTCCGCGGAATATGTGAGCCTGCTCTTCGTCCACCGAGTTATCCCACCACTGAGACGCCAGCGAGCTCTTGTTGATGATAGAGGTCCTCAGAGTCGTCACCAGGGATTCTGCCTCCGACACGGCCTCGGCGGTGTCCAAGGTGAGCCATAGCCCGTTTTCGTCTCTCGAAGTGATCTGGTCGGTAACAAGCTGGATAGTGAGGCACTGAATGTAGAGCAGCTCAACCTGAAACTCGCGTGGGAGCTTGGCAACATCCACCCCTTCTTCGAGGAGACGCGCAGAATAAAGAGACATTCTCAGTGGCACTGAACGGCCCTTCCTGTCTCTGGGCACGCGGATCTCATTCGGCTGAGCCGTCACATTGGCCAGCGTGGCAGCACCGCCCAGGCTGTTGGTGATTGACAGAGACGGGTTGATGGGCTGTTCCAAGAAGGGCGCCAGCTTCTGCATCCAGGCATTCGTGCCGGGAAAGATTTCCTCAACGGCGATGCCGGCAGCGTGTGCCTGTTGAGCCTGCTTGGAGAGCGTCTCGATATCCAACGACTGAGGGCCTGCTCCCTCGAGGTTGTCTTGTATGATTTCAATGACCGGCTGAGTGCCGGCACCTCCCTCGCCCTGCAGAATAGCGCGGATCGCAATGGCCTTTGATGAGACGACATTGCTGCTGATTTCAGAGAGACTCAATAGCTGTGCAACCAAAGCTGTATGAAGAGAGTCGTTTTCGGTAAAGAGCTGTGGCCTGCCCTTGGCAATAATCTCTAATGCTCTCAGTGCCGGTTCTGCCAATGCCTGTTCCTTGTCTAAGATGTCTAATAGCTTTTCGGAAAGTTGTTTGCAGCTCTCGTCAGAGAGGCCTTTCTCGTTCATGGCAGCCTCTAGCAGCTCCCATCCAGGTGCCTGGCCCTTGACAGCCTCGATAGCTTCTGAAATGATGTACGCCTGGAGCTTAGCATTCCCTTGCGTGGGCTCGGATGCCTTTTCTTCGGAAATGAGGGAGGCGAGGGCCGAGTTGCGAGTGGCGCGGTCAGGGAACTCCAAGACCGCCTCGATCCACGAGTTCCAAATGGTGCGGTACGTTTGTTCTCGGGAGGGGATTGCCCCCAACAGGTTAAGGCAGGACAACAGCGGTCTGCTTGAGGCCGACTGTATGACCTTTTCCGCCGAGTCTCGTGCAGCGGTAGATAAGAACTCCGCGACCTTGTCTCCGGTCTCGCCGTCGAAGAGGTGCTGGGCGGTGCTCAGTGCGTATTCGAGGGCAACTGCAGCCCCAAACGGCTTCATATTCCGATTCTGCAGAATGGATACGCACTGGTCGATGACAGTCTTGGATGGAGCGGCTGTCTGGTCAGGCAGAGATTCTCCGATGCTGGCCAACTTCCGGTGGATCTCTCCGACAAGGCCGAACCACCGGCGGCCCTCCTCGCCAATCTTTTCCTGTGACGACTGGTACTCGCGAGACACCTCCGGCAAAGAATTTGAGATTCTGGTGCACAGCAACTGACCTAGCCGTTCCCACTCCTCTGCTGATGCCGCAACGACGACTGAAGGGCCCCGAAGAATTGTAAGATGGGCTTCCACCAAGATGCTCATGGCATTGGGTCCCAAGGGAATGGCCACCGGCTTGTCGGACACGGTGAGAAGCGAATGTTCAAAGAGTGGGAATACTTGCTCGCGGGCGAAGACAAGCTTCTCGTCGTCGGAAAGGTTCTTGATTAAGCGCTTGAGGGTATCGATATAGCACTTCCAGGCCATGGAGGTGTTTGTCCGGGGCTCTTCGCGATTTGTGACACCGGCTTTGACAGCTTCCAGGAACTCAGAGGCCGTCTCCAGCTTCTTCATCTGGGCCTCTGGCAGGACGGATATCAGCTCGTCAAGATGCTCCCAGAACTTTGCGGGACAGCCCTGTGATCCCTTTTCGATAAACTGCCGCAATCGTGAAAGCGCGGGCTTCTTTTCTTTGGGTGCAGGTGTCCAAAGATCAGGGACGGCCCGTGACAGCCTCGTCAGGGCGCGGACATAGTCAAGCGCTGACCCGGTCTGGTTGGTCTTGAGGCCGCCCGTGACCATGGCCTGCCTCGCTTGTGTGGATTCGGCATAAGGGAGCTTGCGGTTGAGGCAAGTGATGAGGAGGTGGCACACCGTTTTCCGCACGGCGGCGTCGTTGAAGGTAATGGCGCGCCAGACGGCGTCCTCGGAGAAGAAGTCGTCCAGCTTGTCGCCTAGGCCGGCGATTTCCTCGTCGGTAAGCCGCTGCAGCAGGCTGAGCACCAGCGACAAGCTGCCGGCCACGACGCGGATATATTTGGCCTCGGCGTCGTCCTTGGTCGTCGACCGGTCATCGCTGAGGGTGTCGGGGGTCTCACGGATGGCATCGATGGCGTAGTCGAGGATCTGCGCCTGGCACTTGCGCCAGAAGGCGGCGACCTTATCCGGGGTGTTGATGAGCGACGACAGGCCTTCGCTGGCGGCGCGCGCAACGCCGCGGTCGCGGTCGTACAGCCCGGCCAGCCAGGCACCCACGATCTTGGGGATGTGCCGCTCGGCCCGCCGCCGCGCCGACTTGATGAGCTCGAACTGCAGGCTGTGCGCCAGCTCGCGGACGCGGCGGGCGTTATCGATGCTGAGGCGGGGGTAGACGGCGGTCCAGACGTCCAGCAGCGCATCCTCGACGCCGCCGTTGCGCTCGTGGGGCCAGGCCTGGACGTGGGCCAGCAGGTCCTCGAGCGCCTTGGTCTTGGTGGTGCTGTCCTTCTTGAGCAGGTTCTTGAGGCTGACGACAACGTTCGGATCCGACACGGCGCTAAACGACGGCGGCTCGGCCAGGTACGACAGGGTGCCCGTCCCGCCCGGAGCGCCGAAGGCCCCGAACGTCGCTCCCGGGGCGCGGCTGGGGCGCTTCATGGTCGGTCTGGCGGGTTGAGTTTTGCGCGGGAGGAGAGGCGAGGAGGGATGAGGAGAGGCGAGGCTGAGACGATGGTGGACGAGCTGCGTTGCGCAAGGCTCCAGAGACTGGTGGGCGAAGGTTTGATGGAGAGGGACCGCCTCAGTCGGGAAAATTACTAATGGAGCTCAAGCTGCAAAAAGGCGCCTGTGATGTCAGCTCCGCCTGGCCAGAAGCGCTGTAGCTGGCCCCGGAGCGCTGAAGAGTCACGCCGGTCACAGCGGGGTGGCTGCTGAAGTAAGCGTGGATAAGGTAAGCGTGGATAAGGTAAGCGTGGATAAGGTAAGCAGCGCCGCACCTTGGAATTGGAACTGGCTCCAGCCGAGGTGAAGCAGAGAAGAGCATGAAGTACTGAACGGGAATGGCTACGCCGTATCAATTCCAAGCTTATAAATACATGTACAGAGCAAAGGCTAGCCTTTATACTTGACCTCTATTCATTTCGCAGGACTAGAAGAATATAGTACTAGTATCTTTAGCAGAGCAAAGTCACCTTGGTGAGTTTAGACGGTAGCAGTAGTAGTAGAGACATAGATTTGCTGTATGTAGATACTGAGTTGATGGGAGAGTGTTCGACAGCCACTCCTAATATAAACACAGAATCAATCACTTCACGCTTCTGAACAGACAGGTTAAAGAGCCTTCAATAACAGACATCAAACGCGATACGAAGTAGTTGTGCAAAAGTTTTGCAAGGGTGGCTTGAAGATTCGACTTCTCGGGCAAACTCCAGTCAAACTTGGATTAGATCGTCCAGTGAACAAATGCAGGTTGAACCATTTAACGAAGTGAACTACCATACCAGGCATGTACCTGGGATTCAGCTTCAAGAAACATTGGAGTATAAGTATCTACCCGCCGTGCTGCCGTAGTACCAACACCACGGCTCGAGATCCGGACTCTGCAGCATTCTTTCACGTAACGCGAGACCTGCAGTGCAATCCAGTTCAGCCTGCCACCATCCAAAACATGCTGCACCTGTGCTCTCCTGGCCCGCCGTTTGTCCTACACTGACTGACTCGCTGGCTTGACGTCTTTCCAGTCACATCACGACACGCTGGCAGACATCAGCCTCACTCGCCAACCAGCGGCGGGCGACCTGGCCGTCCGGTGAGGAGAAAAAGCCCGGTGACCAGCTGCAGCGGCCCCTTGCATAGGTACATACGCTTTGACGAGAGAGCGCCGCTCGGCTCCCGACGCTCTGCCTGTATGCTATCTAAATATTGCCAGATTGCATCTTCATCCGATCTTCGACTCGTGTGTTCAGACCACTTTCAGCTCGAGAAGGCGGCGTGATTCACGATGCACTTGTACGCATCACGTAAACAGAACTGAGGGAATTACCATGCCCAACCTGAACTTCACACGCCTCCTGATAGTCCGTCCCATCTGCGTTGCTCCGTGCATCCGCCCGTTCGCCACTGGCCCGCCCAAGGCCGCCTTTGCTTGCTGCGCTGCCACACCAACAGCAGATTCGAGGGGGGAAATGGGATCATCGCAGGTCCTCGCACTGTCTCCTCTGCTGACCGCATCCGCATAAGTGCAGCGCTGATCTGCGGCTGTACTCGTACGAGCACTGTGGCTCTCCCGGACACACACACGGTAGTGAGCCAGAACCGGAGCTGCACTGCACATCTTGGACGCTGAACAAAGAATACCTCAAAGTCGTTCACGTCAATTGCATCTCCCTCTCGTGAAGCTGAATCCCCAGGTTTGCGATCTCCCGGCAAGCGTGCTTGCTAGGTACAAGCATCAGGTTGTCGGTGGACCCTGTTTGCATGAGACCCCGGATGCCGCCATCGCCAGCTGCGCCCTGATTCGCCCCAGCGGCGGCTTGGCTCGGTCAATTCGGGATAAAGCCCCACAGTGACGTCGACACGGCCTACCCCAGGCCGTCCCTGCGCCTGTGAGAATCGTCGAACGAAGCGACAAGTCTGGGGGCCCTGCATAGCGCATCAGGCTGCGGCCTTGGGGGTGCCGGTGCCTGATTGGTGCTGAAAGTTGCTGATAGTGTGCGTGCGTCGTAATTGTGCGTTTGCGTGCAGGCGCTCATATCTGCGCTCCATGATATCGTACAAATACTGTACATACATACAGTATCTGTACACATACGGCCGAGTCAAGCAGCATCGGATAAATCCCACCGCCCCGAACAGGCAGTTCCGGCGCCAGCACTAGACATTAGCCACCCGACCCGACTGGCAGCGTGCCCTCGGTGACACCTCGCAGCGGCCGTGGCTCCCTGACAGGCCCGCCGAGCGGACCCTCAGCGCTCTCGTTAGTGGGCTCCCCCAGTGGGCTCAGTGGGCTCTCCTGGGGGCTACCCCGCAAGCGTACGACAGTCGAGTGGACACTCCAGCGCGGTGAACCGACTGGGCTCACCTTCAGACGAGCCAAAAAGCGGCGCGCCGCTGATGCTCCCCTTCATTCCTCGCTGCTGCTTCGTCTCTTCTTTCTTTCTTCTTCATCTCGTCACCCTCCTCCTTTTCAAACCTCTGCCTACCGCCTCCAGCTCCTCTCCTCCACCATCTTCCACCACAACAATTTCCCTCCTTTCCACCGCAGCAACTCCTCGCTCGTCGGCATCGGTATCGTGAGATCTGGATATTCTTCGCATCGTCCGTCTCGTCCGATCTGGCCTTCCCCGCACAACCCGGTTCTGCCCGAGTTCCATGTCACATGCAATTGCTGCTGCTGGGGTGATTCAGCTTGACGTTTGCCTGGTAAGTCGTGAGCTTCTGCTGCTGCTTTTTGACACCACATGGCTTCATCGTGGTGTTGTCAATTCCGTGATTGAGAATGGTCTGTTGACCGTTGATTTCGTCGTCAGACTCGGTAGTGCATCTCGCCCAGCCATTGGCTCGACATCTCCAAAATGCTCTCGACTTCGCAACTTGCCTCGCCTCGTGCAAGGCTGCTCCTCGCCCGCAATGCCCTCAACTCCAGCCCCTCGACAGCCGCTCAGCAGAGCCGACAGTTCTGCGGCTTCGACTTGGGACGTCGCCGCCACCGCGTCTATGCCTTCAAGTACCTCGTCTCCCTCAACAGACGCCTAGCATGGGAGAATCCCAAGTCGGGGAGCCTCAAGGCGGCTGCCTCCTCCACTGGTTCTCCTAGTTCTACTGGGAAATATACCGACCTCAAGGACGTCAAGTCGTGGTCGGATGACCTGTCGGGGGCCCGTCCCGGCCGCAGCATCGAGGACGTTGAACGAGACGCCATCAACCATCTGTTCCACAAGGACGACAATGTCTGGACGCCATTGCAAAACATTCGAAACTACTTGCACTCGAGCCTCCACTCTGATAAGGTCACTGCGGAGAGCGTGTTGAGAGCCACAACCGACGACAGCCTCAACTTCATTGATCCCATCACCAACCGTCGAGTGTCACCCGCAGAGCACGGCAAGTACTCGGCTACCAAGTTCGATGATCCCAACGCGCCTCGAAAGTTGACACCCGAGGAAGAGTCCAAGCAGTACACCGATCTCGGCGACTACAAACCCTCCAAGTGGAACGAGCCGGACGGGCTGCCTCAGCTGACTCCCGAGGAGCGTTCCAAGATATACGGAGACTTGCCCGAGTACTCGAAAATGAAGATTGACAACCCGAATGCGCCCCGAAAGCTGACGCCCGAGGAAGAGTCCAAGAACTACGATGACTTGGACAAGTACAAATCCGTAACCTGGAATGAGCCGGACGGGCTTCCACAGCTCACTCCCGAAGAGAAGTCGAAGCTGTACGAAGATCTGGACCGATACGGTCCGGTCCAGTGGAACGAGCCGAATGGCCTGCAAGAGAGGTCGCAGGAGGAAAAGTCCAAGGACTACCAGGACCTACACAAGTATGGCCCGGCAACTTTTGACGAACCCGACGGCCTTCGGCGCCTGACGCCAGAGGAAAAGTCGAAGAACTACACAGACCTTCACGCATACGGCGGCCCCTTTACCTGCAGGGAATCCGTGCTCAAGGACTACGAGGCCCTCCAGAACGACCCCACGCCCAAGGCTGAGCCGATTCCCGCCAAGGTCCAGGTGCGGGACACCGCCACGGCTCAATATGACGACCTGGACCAGTATGGCCCTGTGCGTTGGCATGAGCCCGATGGTCTCCGCCCATTGACCGCCGAGGAGCTTTCCAAGGACTACGAGGACCTCCACATGTACTCGCAATTCCCCAACGCCGGCCCCAAGACTGCTCGCGTGCATCCAGAAGAGGCATCAAAGGCATACCAAGACCTGCCCCAATACTCGGCGTTCCCGAATGCTGGGCCAAAGGTTGAGAGAGTGCACCCCGAAGAAGCGTCCAAGAACTACAAGGACCTTCCTGGCTATGCCGTTGACGGGTTCGTAGAGCCGGCGAAGACGCGTCACATCCACCCCGAGGAGCTTACCAAGAACTACGCCGACTTGGGCACGTATGAGCCGCAGAGCTTTGAGTCTCCCGACAAGCCATACCCCATGCACCCCGAGCAGGCGTCCAAGGCATACAAGGATCTCCATGGCTACAATGCAAGCTCTCCGGACGTGGAGATTGAGGAGGCTTCGGATGTCGTTGCTGCCAGCCTGCGAGAGTATGACGCCAAGGAGAAGCTGCAGGCGGATATGGCAGCTTCTGGTGCTATCCATCACGGAAGCAGCATGGAGGAGGTGGAGAGAGCTCTGGAGTCACTGACAGCGGATGATATCCGAAGCCAGGTGCTGAGCAGGGTCGCCATGGCTGCCAAGGAAGAGGAAGAAGCGCCCGAGATGGAGATGAGTTCCATGGATGAGAGTTTTCCCAGTGAGTTGTCGAAGTCCGAATCCGAGCCGATCGAAGGCATCACCCGCAAGCTGGCCGAACTGCGCGCCGAGAAGGACCCGTACTCTAACGATCCAAAGGGACTAGAAACAAGCTATTCTGAGGAGTGTGGTGACGTGACACCGGAGATCCTGGCCAAGCATTACGAGTCCATACCCCCCACGGCGACGTTGACGGTGAGATATCCAGGCCAGCCGGTCCAGTACAAGATCCTCGCCTACGACGCGTCCACCCAGTCTGTCAGCGTTGCCGAGACCACATCCGACGATGCTGACGCTTCTGCGCCTCCCAAGCTGACGGACGTGCTGCTGCAGCTGTCGCACGCGGCCAAGTTTCTCCCTTACTTCAAGCCCCTGCAGGAGCAAGGCTACGACATTGTATCGGGCGGAGGCGACGTGCTCATTTTCCGTAAGACGCGGCCGGCCGTGGCCAACGCCAGTGATCTCCCCTGCGATGCTCCCAGCAACCCGGCCCGCGTCAACCCCGTGGACATGATGGGACAGTCCGTGGCGGGCAACTTTGCCAGTCCCACCGGCTTCGTTAACTACGACAGCCTCGAGGACAGCCACGTGAAGCCGGCACCGCCCCTGGGCACCAGCCAGCAGACGCGCAGAGACGAGGCAGAGCGGATGAGACCGGCCTCTCCAGAGAAGAAGAGGAGGAGCTTTGGCAAGAAGGTGGTGATGGGCACGGTCTGGGTGGGCGGAGCGGCGTATGCCGTGGGAGCGTTGGCGGAACACTTCTCCGCTGCTGGCAAATAGGCGAACGTCTTGATTTCTTTTCGCTTCTTTTTCTTTCATTTTCTGTCTTTTTTGTTTTCTCTTCTTTTTCCGCTCCGGTAGCATAGGGATACGATACTTCCACGACGACATGTGCATGGGTTTGGGAGTAGGAGTTGTTTGTTTCTTCTTTCCCTTCTATATCCTCCCCCTCATCTTCTTACCCTCCTGTTTTCTGTTGCTTTTTTTACCATGGGATCAAGTCTGGAATACCCATTGACGGCGAATGCGGGCTGGGAGCGACACGAACACGTCGCGAATCTGATTTGCATTGAAGGCTATTGTTCACCTTTGTGTCTCGCTCGTTTAGGCTGTGTACAGTATAGTATATCTGGGAGCTAGCAGTTTCTGGCCGAGGCCGCTTCAATTGGAATCTACCAGTTGCGTGTTAGATCATGACGTGTCCGTAGTTGAAGGCTCACCCTGCTGAAGAAATAATGATTGTGCTGCCACGCGTAATATAATTACAGTAAGATTTATTTGCTGGCTAAAGTCCCACGAGACAGTCATTGATGTCCGTTTCCCGCATTCTGTTGCTCAATTTTGGCATGCTCTCATAGGTATGCTTTTATCCCTCACTCCTTGCCATGCAAACCGAATGCTATCCCAGCATTATCCCATATAAAGAAAAACCAATTCCCAATGCTTTTTGTGTAGGTGTTTTTGTTTTTCTGGGTTTCTTGTTTTTTGTTTGATCAATTTACAACACCCTCACGATATATCCTGCCCCGGGGGAATTCATCACGTCCGCTCGGTGAAACCCTGGTGGCCGGACCGCACGCCGTCGATGCCGCTCATCTGCAGCGCGTGCTTCTGGTCCTGGGAGCTCCAGCTCTGGCGGCGGTCGAGCGAGCTGGGCTTCCAGGAGGAGGTGTGCTGGATGGCGGAGCGGCAGGCGGGGGAGTCGACTTGGGCGTGGTGCGGGGGGAAGGACATTTGCCGCTGTGGTTGTTGTGGCTGTTGTTGTTGTTGGTGGGCTGTGTGTTGTTTTGACATGTTAGGTAGACTGCAAGATGATAGAGGGAATTTGATGGATGGAGGATGGGGTTCACTGACTTTGTGTTGAAGAATCCATTTTGGTCGGTTTGTTGGAGGTTGAATGAGGCGGAGGTTTGATTTGAAGTGGTGATTTGTAGGTGATGCTGTTTTTCTACTGCTGCAGAGAATAGTCAGTATACATGAGAACCGCAGTTGAATCGACACAAACCAACAGAAGCAACTCACCCGATATGACAGTTTCGATAGGATCAGATATTGATATTGAAGTTGTAATCTTTCAATGGTTCAAGGTTATAGTTGATGAGAATTAATAAAAGAGAAACACGAACCAAACAGCACCCCAACCAACCCTTATATAGAAAGAAGCTCCCCCAAATCCACCCCATCATAACGAGAGCTTCCTTCCCCAAGATCTCCCGATCGCATAACAGAATGCAAAGTTGCGTCAGCAGCTCCTTCCGTAGCTTGCCTCCTTCCGTCAACACCTCGCCACCCAAAAACGAACCCCCGAAAAAAAGGCGGGGTCGGCCAATCGAACATCATTGGAGGGCGGGCTTGTTATCGTATGATGCGATGGTGTTACACTGGAAATCTTAATTCAAGTTAAATAATGGAAATGAAGACCCTAGTGGTTTCTGGTTTTTTGGTTTGTTTTTATTCCGATGGTATCGAGATTGATATCGAGATTTTCGGTTACATCACGGCATTTGGTTGATTGGGTTGGACCAGTTGTTTCTTGAAATACCTGTGATTTGCCTCTTTTCTTTTTTATTCTCTAGATTGCTATTGTGGTGTTTTCTTTCTTGGGTTGTGTTAGATGTGATGTGATGTAATGTGATGTTTGCTGTGACGGTTGTGATGTATCAAGTTATATGGCTATATACGTACATGTTGGTGTGAGGCAAGGCAAGGTGAGTCGAGGCGAGGCAAGGCGGGCAGGGTAAAACAGGACAAGGGTAATGATTCAACAAGGTGCAGCAGCCTGCAGCGACGCTCGTCACGCAGGGCAATCAATCGCCTCCCGTGGCATTTTTCCTCCATCCATCCAGTCAGTCTCTCGCCGTCCGTGTTTCTCTTCTCTTCCGATCTCTTCTTCTTCTTCTTCTTTCCTCTTATCGATCCCCCTTCGTCTCTCCCACCCTCCCCACCGCAGTGAAATAGTCCAAAAGAAAAACAAGATGGAATAACCGAAACTCCTCCAGACGTGGATGACGATGCATTGGCGTTACGAGCAGCATGGACATAGAAAACTCCAGTCCTCCTAGGCGGCCCCATCGTCTTCAACCCAGAACCCCGGACAATTCCCACCTAATTGACTCCCCTGCAGGCCAAAGAGCGACCATGAAAGAGGCAGCAAAAAGGGAGATAAAAAGTAACAGAAAGAAGCTGAGAAGAAAACAGAATACCAGGTGAGGGAAGGGGATGCAAAACACACTTATTTTTTCCTCTCATCCATCGTGACCAGTCTTTTCAAGGGACCAAAAAAGCAGAACCAGACGCAAAAAACCCATCAAAACCATCTTACATATCTCATCCGCAGCAATCAACAGGAGAGAGCCGTCCAGCCAGCCAACACGCCCGGGTGTGCCTCGAGAGCGGGTATTTGATGTCTTTATATGCGAGCCCACAACAATCAACCCGTCAATCGTTCCTCCGTAATTCTTTCTTTTTCTTTCATAATCCCTTTTTCTCCTCCACGCTTTCAACAATTTCTCCCATCTGTGCTCGTCTCCTCGTAAATGGCGTTGGTAACGCGGCTCTAAGGCGTCTTGGGGCGCTTCCAGTAGTATTGCTGTGAAAGAAAAAGAACACTTGTTAGTCACCGGATCCAAAATGCGAGCTAGACCAAGCCCAAACTTAAAAATATCTCTCAATAAACCAACCTTGTGTTGTTTTCGACACGCCCGCAAGCTGGGCTTCCGGAGTCCATCAACCACCGCCGCCCTGCGCTGCATGTCAGTGTCGTCCTCGGGGATGTAATAGTACTCGCTCTCCAGGGGCTTGCCGGCGGCGTCCTTGCCCTGGCGCTTGATGATGCCAATGCAGGGCGTCGTCTCGATCAGGAGCCTCAGGGCGTCGCGGGAAATGTCCTTGATTTGCTCGGCGGGCAGGTTGTGCATGATGGTCGACAGCGGCGTCGAGGACAGCCGGGAGAAGGCGAGCTGGTTGACGACGTGGTTGGAGATGGCAGCGTCTGCCTCCGACGGGATCCTCGTCGGCTCCTCATCCTCGTCATTGTCCTCGTTCCCTTCCCCTTCCCCTTCCCCTTCCCTTTCCTTGGCTTCGACTACCTCCTTTTCTTCTCTTTCTTCTTCTTCTTCTTCTTCTTCTTCTCCCTCCTCGTCCTTTGGCTGATGGCGTTTTCCGTCAACAGACACCTTCTTCGACCTAGACTTCTGGGGACTGCTCTCGACGTCGGCGGCGCTTTGACCCGACTTGCTCGGCCGAGGCGTCTCAGACGAGCCCTTCTTCAGGGATCGCTTCGTGACGCGAGGCGACTTTGTCGTGATGGACGCGAGACGCGTCGAGATGTTGGCGCCGTACGGGCCAAAGGAGAGGACGACGGGGTCGTTCTCCTCATCGGGGTCGCTCTCGTCGTCCTCGCCGGAGCCCTCGTCGCTGGAGAAGCTGGCGGTGGCCTCGGTGCGCATGCTGACGGCGACGTCCGGGTCCTCGCGGTCGTCAGAGTCCGGCATGTAGTCGTCGTCGTCGTCGTCCTCGTAGATCTGGATGCCGGCGTCCTCGTCTGCTGCTACCACAGACCGCCGGCGTGGGGCAGGCGTGGGACTGTCGGGCGACTGGATACGCGCGGCTCTCCGCAAGGGGGACGCCTGCAGCATCGCGGCGGCCGAGGCGCGCGCGCTTGCGGGGGGCGGCGAGTCCTCCCAGCTTGCATCGGACAGCAGGCCGTTGGCGTCGGCGGCCGAGGAGCTGCGCTTGGGCCACTGGATCAGCACGCGGGCGTCGTGGACGTCAACCATGATCTCGGTGCCCTCGGTCTCGCTGGTGAAGCTGTCGCCCTTGAGCAGCTCCCAGGTGCGGCCCTGGCAATGCAGCTTTAGGCCGTTCCAGCCGTTGCAGGTGATTTCGATCTTGCTGGCCTCGAGCGGCGTGGCGGCCTGCACGTAGCGCGCGCGGACGTGGACGCGCGAGATGAGACGGTTGGCCGACAGCTGGAAGTGCGACGAGTTGGACGAGCGGCCCATGAGCAGCGTCTCGCCGTTCTCGTTGAGCTCAATCGACGGCACGGCCGACAGCGGCGCCCGTTCCAGCAGCCCGATGCTCATCTTCTCGCGCAGCGGCGAGCTGGACAAGATGCCGGTGCTGGACGTGGGCACGGGCGTGGGATACCGCAGATGGGCGCCTGTGCCCGAGCCGGTGCCGACATTCTGGCGTTTGGACGGCCGGGGCAGGCCGGGGGAGGACGAGAGAGGCTCAAAGGGCGGCAGCAGAGACGGGGCCGGGCGTTTGAGGGGGGAGCCCGATGCCGATGCTGACGATGATGAGGATGCTGATGCTGTTGTTGACGTTGATGCTGTTTTGGTTTCGGCCGTCGAGGCCGTGGCCGGAGCGGGAGCTGACGAGGATGCAGACGCGGACGCTGTTGACGAAGTCGATGCCGATGCCGATGCCGATGAGGCGGACGAGGCTGACGAGGTCGACGAAGCTGCTGCTAGTGTCGGGGCGGGGAGCGCTGGTTCGGCCGCCGGCCCTCGCGTCGAGTCCATGGTCTCCAGAGTTGAAATGAGGCCTCACGCGATCATTCCCCAGCGCCAAATCCAGCGGCTGTCTGTTGTTTTTCCGTGTCCTCCTCCGCCGGCAGATGCTCGTGTCTCGCCAGAGCCGCTGTGCAGCTTGCAAGAGTCAAGAGTCGCGTCGACTGTCGGTGTTTTGGTCTCCTCTTTTTCTCTCTTCGTGCACTGCTGCACCTCTCGGCTGCCCTCCCCACTTACAACACGCCCGATCCAAACACTGGATATGCTGCTATGCTGATTGGCAGTACACAATTGGCCGGCGGTGGTGGTTGGCTTGGCCTGTCTTGGTCTCTTTCTTGCTCAATGCCTTGTGGTTTCTGCGTGTTTACTTTTTCTGTATCTCAGCTACCTTGTCCTTTTGGTCGACCGAAAGGGGGCTTTGTCGTGGGAAAGAAGAGGAAGAGAGCAGGCGAGGAAGAAGAGAAAAAGAGTGACTCGAGGACCTGCTGCTTTTTGCACACACATGCACACACACCAGACGCACACACAAGAGACCGGACGTGGGTTCGAGTGTTGGGAAGGGGTGAGAGCGAGACCAGGGCTTGGGTCGAGGCGGTATTTAAACGAGCGGAGAAGGGGACGAGAAAAAAAAGGCCCAGAAACACGAACCTTGAACGCGCGCGACTGGAGACGCATCGCATCGCGCGTTGGCGTTGGCTGGCGTTTGGCAGCGCACTGGCTTCCCGAGGCGTACCCCGGAGGTACCGCTGGAGCACCGCTGGAGCAGTTGCGCTGCAGCGGCCCTTCAGCGGTGCTCCAGCGCCGGGGACGTGCTGCGGACGCTGTAGCAACGGCGGTCGGGGCGCTGAAGGGGGACGGTGCTACAGGGAGCTGGAGCTCTGGGGGGGGCGCTGCTATGGCGACCTGGGCGATTGGGGCGGGCTGGCGGAGGGGGGCATGGACAGGGGCTGTACATTCGCGATACATTAGATCCGGGTGATGTCGTACATTTCAGACCACGAACCAGCGCTGCTACTAATCCTGCTTCTAATAAGCCGAGGTGCTCAAGCTCGCTCTCTTTTTTTTCTCTTTTCTCTCTCAATTTCACCCAAGAGGCGCATTGCATGAGCTAGCTTGCGTCTTTGCCGGGCTTTGTATCGGTCGGACTGGTGCATGGGGGTGGGAATTTGTGGGCAATGGAGCCAGACTGCTGCAGGTTTCTCGCTTCAGAGGGCCCATGTTTGTGCATTGGTTGTGCCGTGTCCACGATGCAATTGACTTGCACGAACTGGACTGGACTGGATCACGCACAGGTACGACATGTCAGGTTTGCGAATCGGTGATGGAGTGCTTCCATTCTGCTCTTGCTGTGTTGTTCTACCTCACTGCCTTACCTATTGCCATGTGCGTCTACAGGGAGCGCTATTATCAAATACATGACCTTGGATGTGCTTCTGGTATCATATAAGCTACATGTAGGTGGTGACCAACTCCCTTGATGACGCCAAATCGTATCCGCACGACCGCGGCTCGCTCACAGCATCCCATCCCTCTCCCATGCCATCCATTCCTTTCTCACCTGCACAAAAGGTCAAGACTCGGCAGGGCAATCAGCCACTCACCCCATTGGGCGCTTCGTTACACGTATCGACACGCCATAGGGGCAATCGTCGTGCCGCCTGCTTCAACGGTGCAAGCACACGTGCTTGGATGAACATGTACTTGCATTACACGTACTCGTACGTTGCGTGTACATTAGCACGTTCAGTTGCTCCATCTCCCTCTCTCCGTCTCCAGATAAGTACATACCTGCATGTACTGCAAAGCATCCGTCCCATCGTTGGCATAATGAAAAACACGCCAAAAACGCTCGTCCTCGGTCTTGCAATACGAAAAGCAGCCAATTACGTCCTTTGGAATAGGTAATTTCATCAGGGCAAAAAAGGCGCTGCGCTTGTCCAGCCAGCCAGCCTCCTCCTCCGGCCGGGTCCCAGCCCAGCCCAGTCCCGTCACGTCTCCACCTGCACCTGGACCGCGTTCCTCAACATGAAATGCAAGCTGTTTAAAATTTTCATCAAGGCTGCTCTCTCTTCTTTTCCAATCGTCTAGTCTTTTCGAGCCATTTCTTCCTTCTACTATCCTAGAAAGTAGCTGCCGAAAAGACACGACGCCGGCGCAGGTGGGATAGTGAGAGGGGGATCCCTGTCCGACAGTCAGGAAGAGCAACTCCGGCGATATGCAGGCCGTCCGGGTACGACTCTGAGCTTGGCTGATGGCACGGATATTATGTCCGTACTTGTAGCACTACATTAAAAGGTCGTGATTCAGTTCTCTTTTGCCGTCATCGTTGTAAAATTACCATGGTAGACTTGGACTAGTATGCTTGTGTGGAATTAGTAGTCCTACTACGGGTCAATAGCACCGAAACACCAAACACTTTGATCGCGTTCCATCCTCGGCCGGCCCACGCGACACATCTTTGGCCGGCCTCTTTTGCAGCAATTGTCCACGTCAAGCTGCCTCTTCATCATCGTGCACGCTCCTGGTGCTCCCTACATAGACTTGACATGAGACGCCTGCGCGCTCATGAAAAGTCTCCAGCGCTACTCGTACAAATACGCCGTACATTCCCGGCATGTGCATAACTACATATAAGGTTATCATGTCACATATCATGGCGCAGTCTTACTCGCTGCTCGCGGCCGCGGCCTTTGTTCCCCCGGTCTGAATCGGCCTGCAACACCGAGAAAAATCAGGCAGACATGCATTGCCACCAGCGCGTGACGGGCTTGTGCGCACGGGGAGCGGTGCATGGGTTGCTTCGTACATTGGGCAAGCATATGCGATGTTTCTGGTGGTGGTTATAGGTTAGCAGGTTGTCGCGAGGACGCAGGACGTGCAGACGCAACACGCCATACACCGTGGCCTAAGGGATGGGCGGTTTGAAATAACTGTGAAAGAGATGCTCTCTGGGTGAAATTTGAGTTGATATGATGATGAAAAAATTTCCTTGTTGCGGAGAGTTGTAGCAGATATTAATGGACGTAGAATAAGCAGAGCATTGAATCTTTGGCCGCTTACATGATGTCGGAGCTGTAACACAACAGTTGTAAGGTAACTACCTGGGTATGCTTGGATTGAACATCGCTTTCTTGTGACGAGAGAGGTACTATATACCTGGAGCAGACCAATTGAACCAATTGACAGGTTTCCCGACCAATTGCATCAATATACATGCCATCTCCCGCCTTAACTCTCAATCAATCTTGCAGCATCACAAACATGATGCCTTGAAGCCATTCGATGCACTCCCCCAAAAAGGTGGGTCCTGCGAATCTTCCGCTCCGGCCGCCGTCCGCCTTCCGTGCCAAGACCGGCAACCGGGACTTGCATATTCCGAACGCCGCACCCTTCTTTTGGCACCTTACCGGAAAAAGTTCGCTTCCGGGGCATTTTTTTTTTTTTTCTGTTTGGGACGTTCAAAGATCTTATCGCAGCCCGTTGAAGTGGTGATAATACTTTGCAAACACCATCACGACAACAGCCACAGCGATTCTCTCTCTTCCTTTATTGTCGTTTCAAACTGCCTCAGAGACGAATCAAGATGGCTCCTTCAAAAGAAGTCGCCGCGGCCGGCTCTGATGCCGCGGTCACCATCGATCACGCCCAGGTTTGTCCAGCGCCCCTCGAAACCTTGATGCCGACAATAAGAAAATTCAAACAATCTTCGAAACCAAAACCCCGAGAGAAACCAAAATTGCTCACAGCTAACCACACTCTCTGGATCCAAACAGACGCTTAAAGCCTCCAAAGCCCTCCTCGCACACATCAAAAAGGCCGCCAAGGAAAAGGCCGAGGCCTCGTCCAAGCGCAACCTCCTCGAAGACGACGACGGCGAGTCGGAAAAGACCATCTGGCTGACGCTCACCACCAAGCGCCACGTCTCCGACAAGGCCCGCCTGCAGCCCGGCAAGATCCCGCTGCCGCACAGCCTCAACGCGTCGCCCGAGACGACCGTCTGCCTCATCACCGCCGACCCGCAGCGCGCGTACAAGAACATTGTCGCCTCGGACGAGTTCCCCGCCGAGCTGCGCAAGAAGGTCACGCGCGTCATCGACGTCACCAAGCTCAAGGCAAAGTACAGCCAGTACGAGGCCCAGCGCAAGCTCTTCGCCGAGCACGACGTCTTCCTCGGCGACGACCGCATCATCAACCGCCTGCCCAAGATCCTGGGCAAGACCTTCTACAAGACGACGCTCAAGCGCCCTGTCCCCGTCGTGCTCAAGCCAAAGGCCCGCAAGGTCGACGGCAAGCGCGCCAAGCCCCAGAAGAAGCAGCAGGAGGGCGAGGTCAACGCCGGCTCGGCCGCCGAGATTGCAAAGGAGATTGAAAAGGCCCTCGGCTCCGCCCTCGTCAGCCTGTCCCCGAGCACAAACACCGCCGTCCGCGTCGGCTTCTCCGACTGGACCGCCGAGCAGCTGGCCGCCAACGTCGAGGCCGTCGCCGGCACCATTGTCGACAAGTGGGTGCCGCAGCAGTGGCGCAACGTCAAGGGCATCTACATCAAGGGGCCCGAGACGGCCGCCCTGCCCATCTGGCTGACCGACGAGCTCTGGCTGGACGGCAAGGACGTCATCGCCGACGCCGAGGGCGAGGCCCGCGCCCTCAAGGCCGCCGAGAAGGCCAACATTGGCAAGAAGCGCAAGACGGTCGATGGCGAGCAGGCCGAGGAGGCCCCCGCGGCCAAGAAGGCCAAGAAGGCCACCAAGGAGGACAAGCCCAGCGCCGCCAAGGCGGAGAGCAACGACGACAAGCTGGACAAGCAGATCTCGGTTCGCAAGCTGAGGCTACGCAAGGCCAAGGCCACGGCCAAGAAGGCAGCGGAAGAGTAAAAAGCGGGAAACAAAAAAAAGACAACCAACCAGGGAGGGACGAAGGGTTGGGGGGGAACTTGCATTCTTTTTTTTTTTTCTTTCGACATGGAGAGATTCCTTTTACATCATTGATCTGTGTGTATATGCGCATAATAGGATGATTAGGTAGATATCTGGCACCGGCGTTGCGGCGTATTCGATGGCTAAGAAGAGAGAAGAACAAAATCTGAGATAGAGAGAATGGCCATCTTCATTATGGACACGACACCATGTTGCATCTCCCAGCTGCTTCATTGATACTTACACCATGTGCCAGCAGGGACCTTGCTCAATAGAATCCATCCGTTACATCACATTGCGCCCCCCTCGAGTAAAGCCAGTAGTATCATGTCGTCAAAAGCATGTACGATTGCCTGCAAGGGAGGCCATATCTTGCGGAGTTTAAAGTAAAGACAACGCGTCAAGAGATATAAAATAACCAGGAAGCCCAGCAGAGAAACGGAAGAGCACACGAAGAGAAAGGGGATGGCGACGGCGAACATGGAGAGGTAGAGTGACAAAAAGTCTATCGACAACACAATCACGACCTCGACCGCGGAGAAGTCGGCGGATTGGCTCCACTAGAGCTCCTGTGACGACAAGTTTGGCACAGCCTCGCGCTCTGGGGCAAATGTCCTGTTCATGGGGCCTAGGAAATCCGACATGGCCTCCTTGAGGACTTGGGCTGTGATTTGCATGTGCTCGCCCGTGATGGATCGGAAACGGAGGCCGCCTTTCTCGTCCAGCTGGCGAAGGCCGAGCCAATCCTCCTTGTACTGGGTTTGTTTGCGCAAAGGCGTGATCTCCGTGCCGTTGACCTCGGTGAACCACGAAGTCTGCTTGGGAATGACGGTCGTATCGTCCTCGAACATGTACATGACAAAGTTTGCGAGGCTCGCAATGTTCTTCTTGTACTGTTCGTTCTTGACCGGCCGCTCGTTGTTGACGTCGGCCAAGAAGTTGGAGCTTTGAAGATACGAGTCGTAGTTGGTCAGGTCGCGGTAGTACTGCGCAGGCACCAGGCGGCTCTGGACGAAGTTGCTCCAGGTGTTGAACCTGAGCAGGGCCATGGCCGCCTTGCACAGGTAGTCTGTGTTGCCGCACGTCTTGAACTCGGAGATGCCGTTGTGCTGGCTGCCAAAGGTGATCAGGCTTCGGATGGGAGGCTTGTTGCACCGCTCGACGTAGCCGCGGAGGAACTGGCCGCCCTGCGAGAAGCCGATCGCATCGATGGCGGGTGCGGTGGAAAGAATGGGGTGTGCGGCGAGGGTGTCACAGACAAACTGGAGCTGTTCGGTCACGTTGCCGAAGAATGTTGCTGACCGGTCTGCGTTTGCATCTGCGCCGATGGCGATTGCGTAGGTAAACGTGCCGGGATGGATCTTGTCTGCGAGCACGCCAACATCCTGGATGCCTTCGGAGTTGTACGTGTCGCCTAAACCATGCCAAATAACCAATGGCAACGGGGTATCGTCCTCTGGATCCTCTGTGAAAGCGTGCGGAAGTTGCCAGGCAATTGTGGAATGGGCCAAAAGAGCCGTTGCTAACAGAGAGGGAGCCGGACGCATTGTATCGGGGGCCTCGGGAGGTGGAAGTGACTGTTGATCGACGAGGGAGATGCTTGTATGGATTGTATGAGCTGAGGCTTGGAGAAGGGAGGAATGAAGACGAGGAAGCAGAGAAACGATGAAACCGGAGAGGATGGAATACACCAGACAGGTGTTGATGACAGGATGAAGCTGTCGCGGCTTCCTCGCATGCACTCGCGTCGTAATCGCTGCTGACTAACACCCGCTGGAGCCAGTTCCCCAGACTTCAGGGTCCAGGTCCGGGGCAGCTGAAGAGCGCTATCATGAGCCGCGTGTGCCTCCACTGAAGGTTCGACGGCCAATGGACTCCAACCAACTGCATCGAACGAGACGAGTTGAGGACATGGACGCATATTCTATTTCTTTTGTTGAACCAGAAGACCAACTAAAACAATATGGATGAGATGGATCGTTAACCGCTCCGGCAGACGAATCACTTGCAGAGAAAACGCCCCTCGTCGTGATGGCTGAAACCCGGGTTTCAAGTCTCCTGTGCCGGCCATTCAGCGTGCAGCCCGACCGCATGAAACTCAGCCTTGTAGCGTCTGCATGTGCATAGAGCAATCGGCAACTAGTAGCACATCCATGAATGTTTCAAGAAGCAGCCAAACTGACCAAGTCTAGGCCTGGTGTTTGTTCATCAGCCACGCTGGACCCCTGAATCGCTGCAGCTCGAACAGCTTAAATGAGGGCCTCGCCCACCGTGGTGATGTCTGTGACTTCTTCCGCTCTGTTCTTCATCCATTCTTTACAAGTTCATTCTCGCGAGCCACTAGCAACATATCATACTTCTTCTTCTCATTGATCTTCATATAATTCTGCGCTGGACCGCACCAATCTCCTTTCTCTCCCAGTGTATCTATCTATATCCATCTACAGATCCTCAAGCCCAAGCTTGATCCGTCCCTCGCGAACAAATCTCGATTCAGATCAACTCGACTCAAGGCATCATGCAACCTTGTACTCTCTTCCTGGCCGCCCTCGCCTCTGCTTCTGTGGCCGTGGGTCTCCCGTTCAACCTCTTCCGACCAAGCTTTTCTGGCGGCTCAGCGCCCGTGAGCGATGCGCCAGCAGTACCGCAGCTCACTCCATCCAGCTAAGAGTTGGGCGACATTTCTCGGCAGTGGGCATCCAGCATCTAAAATCTAGCGAATCCATGTCTTGATTACGGCTCCTGTTTAAACTCAAGGACACATTCTGCTTTCTGATACCATTGCGATCTTCTCTGCGCCTCTATTTTCAGTAAATAGAGTGTATATCAGAAGGGCTCATCTGGTGTATCTATGGACTTATAGTCCTGGGGGCCACTCCTTCTTCTACGCTTGCTAAGGTAGTAAACGGGAGGCTGTCAAACGCTTCTTTTTCGGCAGCTGGTTCGCATGTGAGCTTGAAGGGTTCTGATTTGGTTTGGTGGAAAACAACATGAACGAAAATCATCTTTGACACGAATCTCGAAATGTGTATAAGGCGGCAGCAAAATATGAAGTTAAATACCTATATAATACATACATACCCTCGTATGCAATCGCTGTATTTCTTGTGTCCGTTTCTTGGGCTGGCAGAAACTCATTGTTCGATATGGTGGTACAGCGCCGACCTGCGTCACCACGCGGAGCCAATCCGCGCCCTAGCGGATTGATTGCGCGCCGGAAAAGCTGGTGCACGTACGAAGTACTCTGTGCTCCTGCCACAGCCATGATACCAACCTTGAACATCATCACCACTCTTTGACGATTCAGCCTCTCAATGGCAGCGCTCTAGCCACCTTGTAGGCGAGCTGTGGACGACAATTACCTTACAGTGGGAGCCAATCGCGCCCGACGAAGCTGCACGCCCTCTCTCGAGCTCGAATCTCACGACCACCAGCTACCCATCAACGGCTGGCAGGGCCATGAACAGCTCTCGTCCTCTCCCTCTCCATCTATTCCTCCCTTTCCGAGCCAACCAGTCATAGACCATGTCCCCTACAGACCCCGAAGCACCGCCAACGGCCTCAAATGGCGACGCAGCAGCTCGAATCGGGCCGCACCCCGGCTACATCTCCAGCTCGAACCAGTACGCCTCGGAGCTCAAGATACGGCGCATGCTCCGGGAGAACGACTGCGACCCCGCGCGAGAGGATAACTACCGCTTGCAGGGCGTCCAGCTCATAGACACCGTGAGGCAGCATCTGAACCTGTGCGTTTTGCGTGCCTGCGCTCTTTCGAGGCCTCTGGACAGAACTAACCATTGGGTGGAAAAGCCAGGCCGGTGCGGACGTTTGACACCGCGTGCACGTACTTCCACAAGTTCCGACTCAACTTCCGAGACGCCGAGTACAACTACCAGGACGCAGCTTTGGCGTCGTTGTTTGTCGCCTGCAAGGTCGAGGACACGATCAAGAAGTCCAAGGACATCCTCGCCGCAGCTTACAATGTTAAGAACCCTGACAAGCCTGCGGCTTCGGATGACAAGGTGCGTGGAGGCTGAGTCCTCGTATCCTGTTACGTTGTTCGCCCCAGAAGACCAATAATGGAATGCAGATTTTCGAGTCACCCGGCAAAATCATCATTGGACTCGAGCGCCTGATCCTCGAAACGATCGGCTTCGACTTTCGCACTCGGTACCCCCAGAAGCTGCTGGTAAAAGTCGTGCGCAGCATTCTTGGCCGCGAGGCAGGGGAATCCTTCTTCAAGATTGCCTACGCCATGAGCATTGACATGTACAAGACGTTTGTGCCCATTAAGCGCACCACATTCTCCATGGTAATGGCTCTGGTGGAACTCACAGCTCGCATGACGGGCCAGCACCTGGACGCGGTCAAGGAGTTTGCGGCACGGCGGCCACAATACCATCGACCGGCCGTGCTCGAGACCATGCTCGATATACTGGACCTCTATATCCAATACCACAAGTCGACCAAAGTGGGCACGCAATTTGACCTGAACCGCTTCATGGACGTCAAGATTGCCCTCAACACGGAGCTCGAGAAAGATTTCATCTCCCGACACATGTACCACTGCAGTCGTTGCGAGAATGAGGACCCGACCACCGCCACCCCCGGCTCTACCACCTCGCCCACGGCAACATCATCTTCATGGCCCGGCGACTTGTCCATGCGAAGAACAGCTCGTGGCCAGGATGGCACCATGCGCTTCGTCTTTGATCCCGAGGCTGCACGAGAAGAGCAAGACACAGTGGCGCCCTTTTTCAATGAAGAGTATGAGGAATACGAGGTCGAGGTGGAAGAGCCCATACCCGCACCCAGGCACGAGCACGAAGGGGGCGGGCGAGGGGGATACCGCGGACACGGCCATGGACCACGAGATCGGAGTGACTACAGGCGGGGAGGCTCCTATGGAGGAGGATACAGAGGGGCGGACAGGCATTACCGGGGGAGGAGGTATCATTGAATGGGCATGACTTGTTGAGGGGACTCAATGTCGGTTAGCCTGGCTGGACGTGGTTGGCGGGTAATTATGTCGAAGCTATATGTGATACGACCGATGTCTTTAGCATGCTCCCCAGCAGACATGAAACTTTTGCCCACACACATCAAACAAAGCCGAGACTTCTTTTGTAAGATATAAACAGTGACCATGATACCGATGGACGACATACAGTAAAAAAGAAAGTGTATGTCGAAAAAAAAGGGCCAAAAAAGACAATAAAAAAAGAACCACCCGAATCTCAATCGAATGACTTGGATATAGGAAAAGCCCGATGCGGGGGTCGAACCCGCAACCTTGAGATTGCATCAGAACGTGTTCTCGATTAAGAGTCTCACGCTCTACCGATTGAGCTAACCGGGCGCTCACGTGCTTGGTCATTGACCAATAACGAGTCACCGATTGAGCTCGAGGCGGCTTGTTGAAAGGGAAGGTGGAATTTAATCTTATGACCTATTGGCCAGGAGCTAAATGTCGTGCCACTTCATTGGTTGGGAGTGTGCGGCTCTACCGATTGAGCTATCGAGCTGCGGTAGGTTTGTGACGGGGGTGGTTTGGGGACTCTATTTACAGATGGAAGCTCTGGGGTTTTGTTGCGGTATGTATGAGTAGAAGTAATTGAGTTGGATATTTTGCCGAGCTCGAACAGTGTCCCCCGGCAGCCCAGATCAGAAACGAGTAATAGGACTGGGTAAGATTCTATATTTGACCCCAGATCAGAAACGAGTAATAGGACTGGGTAAGATTCTATATTTGACCCCAGATCCAAATGCGCATGGAAGTATGTAGAGAATGAGAAAGATGGAGGTGGAGGGAGATACCTTACCTGTATGATGAATTTCAAGTTGGCATAACCCTCCTGACACTAGACGACTCAGTTGGAGAGACCTTGGCGATTTCATCCATGGCATGGTCTTTGGTACACTCTCAGAGCCAAAAGCTGGTAGGTTTACCAAAGGGAGCGATATGCGGTTGTGGTGGGTGGCTTACGTTCATCACGAACCCCTGCCTGAATTCGAGTCAAGTTGTTGAAAGATAGATTGGAACATATCAATTTGTAAGTGTTCGCATCTACAGAATCGCATGCCTACTCCTGGATTTGTGACCAATACGCCCGAAGAGATATTGATAATATGAACTGACGAATCGAATCCGTCAGGCCTGAATATTCGCGGGGCACATGTAATAAGCCTGCTCTAATATTGTACGCTCTGCCTTAAGTCTTTAATGACATGTATATAATAAATAAGTACATGTATTCATTCCCTCTGCCTTAAGTCTTTGATGAAAAATTAAAATACATAAGTACATGTATTCATTTCCAGCCTTCTTGCTCGCTTTCTCTTGCTTCTTCAGTCGTTGGTGTCAACACGGGCAGAAGAGCATCCGCACCATACAGCGATGCCTCCGCACGAGCGACACCGTATAGCTGGCCGAGGCCAGAAGGCAGTGCGGCCTCCTGTCTCAAAATCTGGCGTCGAGAAAGCAGTTTCTCTCTCCTCTATCACATTGTCGTAGGAAAAGTCAGATGGAACAGGTGTCGCTGGCCTTTCACTCTCGGGCGTGGTATAGATCTCTTCCCCATCGGGAGAAGCTGGGACCAGGGCAGCGTCTAATTGCTCTGGTATATAGGAAGCTCCAGGCTCATCTGGCGGGCTGCTGTTCGGCAGAGGCGGGTCCTTCTCCGCTGCCGGCTTTGCGCTTGCAGTCCATTTATCGCTGATGCTCGTCTCACCAGTGCCAGCAGGCTCACAAGAGGGACTTCGTGTGGTGGCTGGCTCGCTGTGAACTGATTCGGGGGCTGTCGAAGGGCAGGAATAAGCGGTGCCACGGTGAGACGCTGAATGCTGTGCCGGCATATCCCAGGATGAGCGACCGGCGACACGGCTGATGAGGCGATCAATGACTTGCTGAGTGACTTGCTCGGCCAACTCCTCAACTGGCACGGGGTGATACCTGGGATAAGGGTAAGTATACTGCTCCTCGGGTATTCTATGGTCGTTATTGGTGGGATATGATCTGCTGTCCCTGGTTGATTTGCCTGAAAACCGATTGCTGCCGCCACCTCCGCCACTACTGATGCTTCCGGGATTGCAATCACTTCTGGGACCAACTCCTGGAACTTCTGGTGCGTGCGGGGGCGCCTGCGGCCAAGGAGGCTCACTGTCTGTAACGATGGAGCGAGAAGTGAAAGAGCCTGTTGGAACGCCGTTGAACCCACAAGATGACCCTTTCCCCTCCATATCCCCGAATAAGTGCTCGTGTTCTTCTGCACCTCGATCTGGAGCCGCCCTCCGATGTCTGAAGGGATTTTCGTGATACTGTGTCCATGATTGTGAACTCATCGTGGTGTCAGTTCGCTCTGACGACGATCCAGCATAAGAAGTCTGTTGCCAGACTCCTGATTCTTCAATTGTTGAGCCGCATGTCTGGACGTTGTCTACTCCCATATTTTGTGGCATCTGTGCAGCCTCCTTTCCCATTCCTAGGTCAGCCATGAGCTTCCCCTTGGCCATGTCCGTGAGCTCCTCCAAATTCTGGAGCATCTTCTCCCTGATCACCTTCTCAAATTCCTCTCTCTGTCTCTCCCTAGCCTCTTTCGCTGCCTCCTCAGCCAACCTTTCCGCCTCTATTTTCGCCCTCAACTCCTTCTCGAATCGTCGTGCTTGCTGCGCCGCGAGTCGCTCACGCTCAGCCTCTGCACTTCGCTCAGCCAACAACTTTGCCCTCGTAGCCCTCTCTACCTCGACTCGAACATTTTCAATTTCTTGCCTGCTTTGTTCTTGTGCTCTCTTCGCGACCTCGAGCTGTCGTCTGAACTCTTCCTCGACGTCTTGCCGGATTCTTGATTCGAGTTCTTTCTCTCTCCTTGCCCTGAAGGCGGCTTCTAGCCGTATCCTTTCAATATCTGAACCTGGTGCATCTTGAGGCGATTGAGTGAAAGGGTGGCGTGAAGCTGGCGGCGCTTGGTAATATGATGAAGACTGGGTATATTGCGGATGGTACATGCCGGTACTGCCATGACCCGGGTAATTATATGAGGCGGGATAGTTGTAGTGGCCCATTTGGGGGTTTGAGTACCAATACGGATACCCGGAGGAGTGGTTCATAGGGTAGAATGATGCCGGCTGTTGGTGCTGTCGATGCTCCTGGTACGGCGGTGTTCCTACTCGTGGAGTAGTGTCTGGGTAGCTTGGAGCTGATGTCGGATAGGATGTCGGGGGTCTCGGTGTGGTGGCCTGATCTCGAGAACCTCGGAATTGTTGAGGAGGGGGAGGACGGGTAGGAGGAGGAGGACGGGTAGGAGGAGGAGGACGGGTAGGAGGGGGAGGACGGGAAGGAGGGGGAGGGCGGGAAGGAGGGGGACCAGGAGAAGGCGAAGGAGAGGGAGATGGGAAATAATGGCCGCGGGTCAGTATTATGGGATGAGCGTTCTGTCCGCCAGATCTTGAGAAATGTTCTTGTCCTGATGCCCTGCCCCGGGGGAAGGTCTGAGGGCCATGATCATCGTCTGTTGACCTACTATGCTGGCGCTGCCGGGGAGCTTCAAGATCGGAGGTGGAATAGGTGACGGAGCCCGATTCGGAAGGAACACCTTCAAAAGACACCCCTCGCTGGCCTCTGGGCGGTGACCTCTCGCGTTGTCTGTATTGGCTAGACATTCTAAACGCAGGCTACAGGACTAAGCGAGCCAGAGTCGCCCGAATGCCTGTTGTCCTAGCATAGAAGCGGCCTTGATGAAGGAACGTCGGGATATATGAAAACGTGAGGCCGGAGCATGATCCTGCGTTTGATGCCGGGGAGGACAAGGCAGCAGTTGAGGTCGATGGTGGTCTATGCCTCTTCGAGGTGCAGCCAACATGTACAATGGCGAAGAAATAGGTCGGTGCTGCTACCCTCAGCATCTCGAGAATTGAGCCAATGATACCCCATTTCGATGTGATGAAGGCAGCTTCTTGCAGAGCTGAATCCCGCAGGTGGCGTTGCTGCTCTGAATATCCCAAGCGGCTGAGCCAATGGATGCTAGGTTCGGTGTGATATAGTTCTAAGGTTGCACGGTTTATGGTGCAGCGAGCTTGGTATGGGGTCCAAATTGCCTACGTGGACGTGCAGCTTACAGGCAACCGTCTGACGCAAGGGCAGATGCAACAACACGTGTACATGTAGATTATAAGTAACCCTTGTCAACAAGTTGTATCGATGAGGCTCCGCCCTTGAATGTAACTCACAAGCACTGGAGCATTAGTTTATACCTCTACGAACGCATTCTGCTGGATTTCTATGACCCCGGCTATTCTGGCTCGCTGCTCCGAATGGGACGTGCCTAGAGGTTGGACAGCTGAACTACATGTACTCTACTTTCTATCAGGTATGTCTGCATGTGCTGAAGGCACATGTAAGTACATGCACCTAAGGTACCTATGCAATGCAAAGAGCAGCCTTGCGCCGTGCTACTTCAGCCATGGAGGGAGGGCCAGGCCCCCCTCGGGCATACAGTACATGTACTATGCCAGTCAATCAATGCTGGCTTGGGGCTGTGTTGTTTAACAGTCAAAACGGTGTCTCGGGGATTGAAATCTGCAAGTCGTATTGAGCGTTTAACTTAACTACTTATATGTAGCCACATGCTTTGTCCAGTTTGTTTGAACTCACGAGAATACGTATCATGGCAGACGACATGGCGTCAGGCAACAAATTCATCCACGGCAGCACAGGAAATCAAAATGTGGTCTTTGGAAATGGATTTCAGTACAATGATAGCCGTGAATTTACGAGTGAGTTCAGCATCCTAGTACCATATTGCAGTCTCAGCGGAGATACCGTCTACTAACAACATATATTGATAGTCAACCTGCCAGGCATGTCATCGGTGTTATACCTGGCGGAAACCATCAAAGGCGAAACCAGCCCAAGTGAACGAAAGAGTACGTTGGTCGATCGTTGGTATGGAGCTTCTACCTGACCTGCCTGTGCTGACATGTGATTATAAGGGACTACCATAATGGAATGGCTGCAACGTCAACCTAATTGGTGTCCCTTTGACAGTCGCCGCCGACTGGGCGAGCTCTCAAGTCAGGCGATGCCGGGTATTGGAGAATGGGCTTTGAAGAGCAATGATTTCCAAGCATGGAAGGATCCATCGAATCCAGTGCGCATTATGCTGGTACATGGTATACGTAAGTGTAACGGAGTCCCCCAGCTCACATTCGACTCGACTGACAGCAGTGACCCCTTCAAAGTGGGATCCGGGAAGTCTATGCTTACGTAGGTAGGTACCTTAATCTTCCAAGAATCGTGTGGTTAGTGACACGCATCGCTACCTAGTTCTCTCTTCATACAAACGATCATACAAGAAGTCGAAGCACGAAGCAGCACTGCATGCATCTACTTCTACCCCCCGGAAGAAGATGAGAACCCATCGCCCGCACGAATCTGGGCTACCTTACTCGAACAACTTATACAACATGAAAAATCCGAGACGATCTCGCCCGCATTGCTATCCAGATTTAACGCATCGCTTACAGGTTGTTCGCAGCTCCACCCCTTCGAATACTGGGGTTTGTTCAAAGCGCAGGCCGAAACATTCGAGACGGTCTACCTGATTATGGACGAGCCAGAGAGCTATATTGGCCATCATGAGCATATGGTGCAGAGTTTGAGGAATCTGCCATCCAATGTCAAGTTCCTCTTCACTTGCAGAACGGAAACGCTTGCTAGCCATCTCAAAGTGGACTGCAAGCTGCGCGTCATACTGCAAGCATCCGAGTTGACTCTTTACGTAAGGAGGCGGCTTGAGGACGATGTGAACCTGAGTGGACTGCTTGACAAAAGCCATGACAGGGAGGATGTAGTGGAGAAGGTTACCGAATTAACCTCCCAGAGCGGCATGTTTGTCTCACCGATACATGCATTTCCTGACTTTCGGACGACGCTGACTCTCCTCAGGTTCCTACTAGCTCGGCTTCACATGGACAATCTCAGCAGATGTAGCACTCTAGCCAGTATCAAAGATGCCCTCTCCGACCTTCCCAAGGATGGGGGCCACATGCAAGCATTCAGAGCCTCGATCAGGCAAATCACCGAGAAACATAGCGATTTCGACAAACGTCTCGCCAAACATGTCCTGACGTGGGTTGTGTACGCAAAAATCGGCCTCACCGTTGATCAAGTACTGGACAGCTTTGCTTTTCAGCACTGCGAGAGAGGGAAGTACTGGAAATCTCGCCCTTCGAAGGAAAAGCTGATATCTGCAGTCGCCGGCTTGGCTGTCCTAGACTCAGATGAGAAGACTTGCACTCTTCGCCTAGTCCACGAATCGGTAAAGCAGTTACTACACGAAGATAACCTAATCCTTCAAGACCCTGATTTACTGATGGCCAAAACTTGCCTGAAATGCCTGCTGATCGATGAGTCGGAAATTCACGAGCAGAATGTTCCCTTGCTGCCATACGCTGCAAGGCACTGGAGCTCACACCTCGGAAGGAAATGGAAAGGAGCTGACCGGGATGCGAAAATACTCATCAGCTTTTTCTTTGGCGAGAGCACAAAGCTCACCAGAGCATTCAAGGCAATGCCCGAGACCCTGGGCTCGGACGTGAGCGGCATGACTGGGCTACATGCTGCCGTCCACTTCAACCTCATCTCTTACGCTGACGAGCTGATCAAGACGGGCATTGATGTCAATGCTCAGTGCGCCGACGGCCAGACAGCTCTTCACTGGGCTGTGAGGCTGCGCAGGCGCCGTCTGCTACAGACTTTGGCGTGCAAATCAGATGCCAACATACTTGATAGGAGTAAGAACACGCCGCTTCACCGAGCTCTTGTGGTGCCAGTGACAGACGGCGTGGGGATTGTCCAGTCTCTGATACATGGCGGCGCCAGACTTGACGTACGCGGTGCGAAGGGGTTGACGGCTTTGTCCTCAGCCGTCAAATATGGACCTACGGCCATTGCCGAAATATTATTGAAAAGTCAAGACAATGCCAATGAAGAAATCACGCCGGGATGGACTTCACTGAGAGAACTCTTCTATCACGACTACATGGCAGAGATGCTGGGTGCCTCAGCAGATACCTGGAAGCCGTTGCAACATGCCGCCGAGGACCATGTACGATACCTCATAGACGTCGTGCTTGATCGAGGCATCGACCTTAATCGGCCCACGAGCGATAATTGGCTACCTTTGATACACGCAGTCCAGACGGAAAACCTGCCCAGAATCAGACGCCTGCTCGAGAGAGAGCCATTCCCGGCGGACGTCAACAAGAAGGATCCGACGTACCATTGGGCACCGCTCCGATGGGCAATTACTTACAAGAGAAAGCCTGAAGTCATACGGATGCTGATCGAGCATAGAGCCCACATTAACGAAATATACGATGGCGATTGGGCGCCGCTTATTGAAGCTATCAAGAATAATGATGAAGAGCTCGTCTGGCTGCTTCTGAAATGGGGTGCTCAGCCAGATCTTTTGGACAGAAACAAATGGTCAGCGCTGCTCCACGCCATCAAAGGCGGCAACAGCAATATTGTTTGGCTGCTAGTCTCCAACAAGGCAGACGTTCAGAGTCATAGCAGCAAAGCCCTCGAGCTAGCTCTGGAGAGGAGTGATTACTCCCTTGCCTGGCTACTGTGTGAACACGGAGCTGACCCCAACATCACCGACGACGAAGGCATGACGCCGCTGCATTGGGCCTCCTGCCGTGGGAACCTGAAAGACGTCTGCTTTCTCCTTGACCGGGGTGCAGATATCGGCCGCATAGACAAAGAAGGGTCTACTCCTCTACACCTGGCTGTGAATGAAGGGTTTGACAAAGTCGTGGCGCAGTTGGCATTGCGAGCGTTTGGGCAGAGGCACCTGGAGATGAAAAACGCCCACGGGAACACAGCCCTCACACTGGCATCATTGAAATTCTCCAAGCCGATGGTGCAGATATTGCTCAGGATGAAGGCCTCATGCGGCACACAAGATCCCGGCGGCTTGACCGCGCTTCATCACGCAGCGTTGTTGGGGTTCAACGACGGTCTGCAGCTGATGTTGCTCAGCTCTACAGGCAGACGCCATGTCAACCGGGTCGATAAGAAGGGCTATTCTCCATTGCATGCTGCCCTGATCAGTTCCAAAGCTGACATCTTGACTATACACATCCTCGTGACGAGCGGGGCAGATCTTGGTGCCGAGGTGAAAGACGGCGCGTTGACGCCGTTGATGCTCGCTGTGCATCTCAACAAAGAGGCGTTTGTTCGCCAGCTCCTACACGAAGGTGCCAAAGCTGGTGCGCTCAACAGTAAAGGGAAGACAGTCTGGGACTGGATCACACCAGAGACGACCGTTGGCATACACAATCTCATCAATAAGGCAATGAAAAAGAAGCGATAGAAGTCTGCTTTGCATACATACATGCAGCTTCTTGATAGGTAGACTCCTGTAATGACTTCCTGATGAAGTAGTCCGGCAGCAGTCCCGTGGACAATATGGTTTTATACACATGCATCTTACAATGTATCTTGTTTCGGTGGTCGAAGTTTGCTACGGGACAACTTCAGCGTATGACCTTGAACTTGAACCTCATGAATGCCCTCTCTCTTAACACCTCGATCCCAGCTTGTTCACAGAGCTTGATTCACCTCGCGCGGGCATTGGATTATTCTTATGATCCTATATACATGTAGTCACATGGTCGAATCTGCACTCGGCTAGATATTCCTTCATAGGGCTACCGCCCAGTCTTGTGACTACCTAGTGAATTGATACAACCTTGGCCTCCTCGGGACTACATACATTAAACCTGGCTGAAATTGAAAGTGCCGCCTTGAAATGTCCCATTGACTTGGGTTGCTCTGTCGCTCGCGATGTTTTGGTTGCCTGCCCCTGTATGGACATACTGCAACCCTGATCCTTTGTCCCACATATTTGGGGCTCCTCCGCGGCCCTCCTGCGCCGGCTTGACCTCCTCTTTCTTGTTGATGTCCGCTGCCAACGCCGCAATCTGAGTCCGGGTGGCTGCCTTGAAGGCGTGATTTGCTGTCAGGACTTGTAGGTCTCCTGCAATGCCGTCCACTAGACCACCCACTTTGGACGCCTTGGCCATCATCTTCAGCGCCTTGAGACGCCTTATGGCCGGCGATGCGTCGGCTGGTGGGATAACGGACTGAAAGACGTCGCGGAGGGAGGCAGCCCTCGCTTTGCAGGATTCAAGGACCTGCTTAAGCGCCGCGTGGGGCTTGCCGGACAGGGAATCAGCCTCGAGACCTTCGCCAGCCAACATGAGGCTCTCTTGGATGAGGGGGAGGCGCGCCGCAATGTCGCGAAACGAGGGGGGCAGGCCGGATGCGTCCTCGGCGGCTTTGTAAATCTTGACCGACGCGTCAATGAGAGTGATGATGCCGGTAATGAGGCCCAGGAGTTCTACTCCTGACATTGTGAGCGCTTTGCTTTCACTGTTATTTTTCTGTCCGCTTCTTTGATTCAGGGATGACTGAGGCAATGGAGATCCGACGATGGTATAGTCTCAGCTTGTAAATGGAAAAGTTGATGCTGTTGCCATAACTGAATTGGATGTTCGTTGGGTGTTAAGTGCGTTGCCACATCCTTGTGCGAATATCAGGCTTCGGAATTGTGTGTGTCAGACGACATGATGGGCGCCTGTTGAGGTAGTTCTTCTGGGCCACTGAGAATACTGAGCGTGTAGGAGTCAGATGCCTTTTTATCAGACGTTGCATTGCTGCCTGAACCAGGGACTGCAGGGCGTGCGTGGACACCCTGTAGGCATGCGAAGAGAGGGCGGAATAGATATCGACCATGCGATTGATGTGTTGTACCAGTCGTGTGCAGATTTGACGCAGAAATTTTGTGGCTATGCTGTATCAATATTATTGAGTTGGGCAGCCCAATCGCCCTGCCTGCAAGCCACTCCACGAATGCAGCCCTTCGGTGTCAAGGCAACCTATCATACATGTACTTGAGATGGTTGTTCAGCCGCTTCCGCCCACGTCTGAGGCAAGGCGGCCTCTCCGTACACTACTGATTGCTGCCTTGGTCATTGCGGATGTATATTCTGGCCATCTATCTGTATTACGTAGCGTGGAAGTCAGGCAAACGTGCCTGTCCATATAATGTCTGTTAGGACAATGATATTCCTCTTCAGTCTCCATCCACCAAACGTAACGAGCGGCTGACACTGCCGTTCGCGCTTTAATCACCGGACGCTGTACCGTTTCCTTGTCGGACGAAGAGGAATAAGTCGTCGTCATCGATCATCAAAATGACTGCCACAGATATGACGAAGTCTCAGGTCACCAGGTGCCTTCGCGATGCCAAGTCTGCCCTCGAGAATGCCGCCAACTTCTGTTGCGAAGTCGACACAGTCACCGATCTTCCACAGGCCTTCACCGTCGTGGCAAAGCACATCTCTACGATGCTTGAAACCTTCACCTCTATCGACAACTACTTCAGATCCATGGGAGATGGCGAAGAAGAGCAGGAGCTGATGGACATGTACCCCGACATCAGGGAGGTCACAAGGGCCTGCTGCAATGATATCAAATACCTGGAAGACCTGTTTGACACTGTCAAATCGAATGGAAAAGACGATACCCGAGTTAAGATGAAGAGGTACCGGCTGGCCGTGCAGGACAATGACGGCAAGAAGGTGGAAAAGGTCATGCTCGACTTGCTGAAGGGTGCGCTTCTTGTGGCGCTGAAGCCTCTTGTGAGCGATGCGCATATACAGGAGCTGGAAGAAGCGATAAGGGAAATAAAGGACTTGCCGCCGTCCCTGGAGGATGAATCCATGGGAGGCTTCGTCATGAACAACAGTGGCCCGGGAAATATGTTTTACCACGGCGGCAAAGGGCATCAGAATATCTGCACTGGCGGATTTCAGGTCACTGGAAACAATGAGCATGCTGTATATCGCTTTGCTGTGAAGGAAGAAGAGGGCATCAAATCCTGAGTTACTTCACTTGGTTCAGGTAGAATATCCCGTAGCAATACTACACCTTGTCCGTGGACGAGTTCTTTGACAGCCGCATCGGTATATATAGTTGTCACCAGAAGGGAGAACCCTGCCCATAAAGTGAAAGAAAGACCTAACGTAGAAATAGAAAGCCCAATATTTACAAGAAAGACGATACGTGCAACCCCACCTGCATGCGTCCGTATATGCGTCACATACGACCTTATCTCCACTACCCATGGCAGAAGGATTCTTCATGGAGATGTTTGAGTGCTTCTGTTCGTGGCTGATGGATGACCTCGCCGTCCATAATCCAGTGAGCATGACTGCATAGAAGCATGCGTGTGAGCACGGTAGAACGAAGATGGAAATTCGCGTATTTTACTTACCATTCACCCATGATCTGGTGCCACTCGACATCTCTTATGACAAAGGGAGCTCTACTGTCATAGAGCGCCACGACGTCGTCTCCCTCTTTGGCAGGAGCTTGACCTTAAGCCAAACATGCCAAGTTACGACTATGCCCCTGAGGACACACAGATAGAGGAGCCGACAGTCCGACTGGAACCGAGAGTGTCTGCCGCGTACATGAATTGGAGACATTAATTGGAGCTTATAGATACTCGGTGCCGGTCTTTGTGAATGCCATCGAGAAGTCGCTACGTCTCTTCTAATTTTGCTATACTATCTCTGCTGTATCCAGTCAATGAAGTACAAAAGGTTTGCCTTTAATCTCTATCAAAACCCTTAGGATGCTGGATAGCCAAGTTGTTGATCGCTGTTTAGTTGCTCTTTCATTGCACTTGACCACTACTCCCTGGAGGCATGTGCAAAATTAAGAGGCGATGGCTCAGAGTCGCGCGATCAGCCTTTTGACACCGCTGTTCGTCTAAGTGAGGTGGAATTGTTCGCCCTCGACACGAGATAGCTTGAAGTCCGAGCCTGCCGTCTGATACCCTTGGCCTCCTGCCCTCTGCCCGCCCCTCTGCCGGCTACAAGCTACGGCTTCAGACACAGCACATGAAAGTTGGACTTGGATTATGATCGAATACTGTGGCTTGTTTAATGCCGTGGATCTCTGATGCTGCATGAGCTCAGAAGCCTTGAGAGGCCGTTGAATGGGGCTTATCCAGCCGTTGAACGAATCCCCAGTAGGACAAGAAGAGCAGGCCCAAATCGGGCAACCCAAGAGGCGTCTGGCTTATATTATTGGGTCAGAAGAAATCTGAGTATCACTAGAAACCTGTACGATTGTGTTGTTAGCAATCATTATGCTGTCATGGTTGCATAAGATCTCGGAGAGCAAGCAGAGTCAGCTGTTTCCCTTAGTCCAAATTACGTCACGCCTATAGATCTATAATATATAACAGCTGAATGAACCGAGTGTTTCGATAAGATTATTGTTCGTTATTTTCCCCAAGATCGTTGAAACCATCAACTACATACTATCAACTACTACAACACAATGGGTTGCGATTGCGGATCAACTTGCGGATGCAGCGGCCCCAGCTCTTGTAGCTGTGGACAAAACTGCCAATGCAAGAACTGCGGTGTAAGTTACCAAGTCGACCATCATCACAAAGAACGAAACGTTGACTCAAGATACTGCAGCATTAATACACAATTGGAAGGCGGCAGGCTATCATATGGACATCTGTGAATGAAGACACCGCCTCTACGTTCTCCTATACCGACGAGACGGGGCTGATGTATTCGTTACGAGATATCTGCGATCTAGTCACCTATGATGGCTATCGCGTATTCGCCAAAGCAATGTAAAAAGATGTAGCTTGAATACTTTCGTGCAGCGTGTTTATCTTTGTAAGATGCTTATTGGAACCAAGCTTCCACAAGGTGAGTTACATAGATCACTGTACGTAGACCAAGTTCCCCACGTAGATCGCGTCTGGGAAAAGGTGCAACCGATGCTTGCGATCATCCTTGTAGGCGATTGGAGGAGTCTATATTACTGTTGCAAGCATCATTACGTTCCTGTTTGCCTGATTCGGTTCGTTTGCCCGAAGGATAGGACTGACGGAGATAAGGTATGGAGTATCTCTCCTCTTTATGTCAAAGACCTATTGGTGACAGCAGGTCTCTATTTTGAATCTACGGCTAGAACGTTAGCGGATGGCCACCATGATGTCTGCATAATATCAGATTTGGCAAGCTTCATTCTTAACATTAGTTGATCGAGGCAAGCGAGGATCAGATACTCTGATTCGATCGTAAGCATTGGATATCGTACATCCGCGAAGTACTTGTAAATGGAGATAGATTCCGATCCTGTACCCGAGTGATATGTGGGATGAATTGTTGGAATAGGATGGAAATAAATTGGCCGCTGCAGGATGTCAAAGATAAGGCGCAAGAGCAGGCGTCCGCGAGCCCCTAAATGTACATGTACATCTATACATACAATTATCGTGCACCGATGATGTGCCTGACGTCGGTAATGAGGTTCTATGAGTGAGTCATGTTCTTCCTCCGCCATCGGCTCATGGACGACACCCACCTCGTCTCCAGTTACAGCCTCGGACGGACCTGAGCGGCTCCTCCATGAGGCTGTCTAGTTGTGGGATATTCGCCGCCATGGTGCTTTCAACAGTTAGATACTAGATGTGGACCCGGGTCTCGAGTCCTCTCTCATGGCGGCGGGTCAGCGCAACTTAAGACGATTGAAGAAGTGGTATAGATATGGAGCTGCTGGGACACTGCATCAACACTCGTCTAGACTACATAACGTCTATTATACAATGCAAAGTCTTTCGCATGGTTTTGCAATAACTGCCCCGTCAACTTCAATCCTCTCTCTTCGTCCAGGGGCTCATGGCGTCCAAAAACCTGATATGCGCCTCTGCATCCCCGGTCCTCTTCAGCACTTCCTCATACTCTTCTACTCCCAGGCGCTTATAGAAGAGCAAGATGCCGGCCCACATCAGATCGGTGTAGCTGATGGTATCGCCCATGAAGAAAGGCCCGGAGGGAGTCTCGTTGAGCAGCGCCGTGATCTGACGCGCAAACGGCTCTGCCCTGTCAAAAGCGCCGGGGCCGTGCGTCTTGCCGTACTCTTCCAGCGACATGCCCACGTCCTCCTCACGAGTGGCGTGGAAGTAAGCGATGCTTCCCTGGCCGAGGAGGCGCTGCGCCACGCGCGGGACAAACATTGGCCTGAGCTGGGTCTGAAACTCGATGAGGAGAGGCGTGAACCTGAGCTGCACGGGCGTGTTCAGCGGGAGCTTGGGCTCTGGGTGCTTCTCATCGATGACGCCGGCAATCTTGTACGAGTCCATCACGTAGGAGCCATCGGGCAGTTGTATGGCTGGGAGTTGATACCGGCGGCCTTGGCTTGGTTCGTTGGGAGGTACACTTGACGTTGCCAATGCATTAGCCATCATCATGTAGACTTCACTGACGCTCAGATCTAGCGTAGTACGTACTGCGGTTTGAGTCGCGGCTCGATATCAGGATATTCGACCTGGCGTTATGAGCATTACTTGTCCAGCACGTCTCTCCTGGCCCGACTCACCCATTCCGTCTTGTAATCGAGCCCCTTGTAGTTCAACAGTAGTCTCGCTTTAAAATGCTGGTAAGCACTTGGAGTTTATGGGCATTCCTTGATTGGCTTACTCCTCCAGGTGTTCATTGACCAGCAAACCCGGGGTTCCTTGGTGGGGATGTCGAGGAGTGTGTAAGTGCCGGACGACATATTGCAGGCTGCTGTTATTTACGCAAAAAAGATGCGAGAAGCATGCGGTTTCGCACCAAGACGAGGCTTACAATGACATATTAATATGATAACAGGACATCAATTGATGGTCGATAAACCCCTCGCATGCGCATGGCCGTGAATCCTTGCATGATTTAGGCATGGTAGGCCCATGACTTGTGCATATTCGCGATCCTACCGTACTCTTCCCCTCACTTTTGGCTCCGAACATGGAGCGAGCTAAGGGGAAGAATGGAGTAGCCCGAGTGGCCTGATTGATCGACAGAATCCGAGTTGTGTTTCTGGAAGTGTCTAATTGAAGAGCTTACAAATGTCTAGGAGCGACTTTATCTTTTGTGAGGTCCTAAGAGTTTGACTCGAGGCACAAGAACGTGTTTTAGTTGCCGCTTACATACTTAGATAGTATCAGTCAATTCCTGCCCCTATTGCTGTCTTGAAGCTACTGATCACATGCGTACTACGCGTGTAAGCCCGATTCTCAGTTCCCTCTTTGGCATCCAAATGGTCGGTGTCACCCATTTGGCCACAGGGCTGTCGCATGTTCTCAATCATTGAGGCCATTCAGCCTGCTGCTTCATCGTCACTCCGTCATCGCCATCTACCCACCATGTCTTTCAGGACACGGTGGACAACCCACACTCCTGCACAGAAACCTGCGTAGCCACAGCGTCCACATGCCCCCATTCGGCGGCATGGCCGTCAGTGAGGTTGTTCAAAGCATCCAAGGCAACGTTGTAGCCGCCGTCATAAGCGGCGTCGATTGCTAGCATATGGATGCTGCGGCCTCCGTAGTCCAATCTGTGGCAAGAACCGCACATGGTAGAGTTCCATTCGATGCCTTGAACGCCGCCAATATATGGGAAACTGGGCACTTGCCCCTGAGTCTGCCAATGGTACCTTGTTATGAGGCCATTGACACCGTCGGAGCACGATACGTCACCCAAAGGACGAGAGGCATCGTCGTAGCCAGTGTCGTACGAAACTGGGGTTGTTGTTAGTTTAACGTTGAGAGTCAAGTGCCGAGACGTTTCTTCATACCACGAGTGGCAGTGGTAGGGGCGGCCAAAATAAGAGCCGTCAAGACCTGTGCCAGTTGCATGTTGGCGATGTTGTAATCTGTGGTAAAAATGCCGATGAAGATGCAGACGAGTCTAGAAAGCTGGGCGCCTTAAGACGGTGAGAATCAGAGAGGACCGCTATCCCTTTATAGATGGCCAATTCTTTACAAGGGATTCTTTCCTGCCTCACAAATGTTACTGCTACAAAGGGAGAGAGATCGCTACTATAGCTCGAGGCCTTCCTCCGGTCTTGTGATCCCAGTCAATGAAAGATTGCGAGTCATGCTGATCTGATCCTTAAGGCTTTCCCAAGCCCAAGAGGTGTCTGGCAAAGACGGGAACGATGCTATAATATCGTCACAAACCATCAGTGCTGGTGCTTCTTCATGAGTAAACGTGGGCTATATCTCTATTTGAAAGCTTGCCCTTGTGGTGAAGAAGCAAGACTAGGCTCCTGAGGTCATGCGAGGGCGGCATAACAAGAACAGATGCACGAAAGATGGGGTGAACTGCTGGGAAGACGATCATGTCGAGGGTAGGAATGTGAGACACTGGGTTGCCCTGCATGAGACTTGCATACGATGTAGTAAGTGTAATGCAAGGGTACAAAAGAAGGAGGCGGCTATATAGGCACCTTATGAGCATATATGTATCTGTATTGCTGCCACTACTGAGAATAGGAGAAGAAAATTATTGCTATCTGCTACTAGGACTATCTTCCCTTTCTAGTTATGCTCTATGCTATTAGCTCTATAGGTAGTATGTAACAGTTGTCAGTCTATGAAGATTAGGCTTCGGATCCATGTCTATGAAATGGGTGACGGGTAGCCGTTCCTCGAAATTCGTCTGGGAGCTCACGCAAACGCAGGGTCGGGTCCCTTCGCAAGTCCGATGTAAGTTTCCATCTGGAATCGCCACCATTCGACGTCTTCCCGCCTGCTCATGAAAGTGATGTACCCGCTCGGCTGAGTGTTGTTCGCCATGAACACGTTGTTGGTGCCAGTCAAAGAGGTTCGAACAGAGGGGCCTCCCGACGTCGTAAGCGTTGACTGATACTCATTGCTCAACAGAAACGACATGAACAGCTTGGAACTCTCGGGGCGAGGCGTCGAGGCAAAGATGGCCGCCTGCTGAGCCCAGGTCATGAACTGATCCGGTGCCTGGGGCTGTGAGACCTGCAGAAACGACGTCGATGGTGTGAATCCTCCCAGGGCAGTGAACGTCAAGACCCTCGAGCCATTGCCAGCGGAGTGATTGCTGATGATTGCGTTTGCAGAGTTGGAGGCACCGCGCACCCACATGACATCTTGTTTGAGAAGGGAGTCCAGCCACTGGAATCCGTAGCGCTCAATGATGAGGGAGAAGAGGTACAGGACGCCGTCGTCGTCGTTGGGATAAGTGAGGACGAGCTTGCCTTTCCAAAAGGGATCCAGGACGTCGGCATACGTCTTTGGCACTTGGTTCGGCTTTACGATGGTTGAATCGTAGTAGAAAGGGCCAAATTGGTCTGAAGAATAACATCGTTGTTAGCATGCCCTATTCGAAGATGTTTTCCTCCCGAAAAAAGACGCACTGTAGTTGACAGGAACATAGGCCCCGTCAATATGTTTGATGGCCAGGTTGATGTCGCTGAAGTTGGCTGGCTTGTAATGCAAAAGACGCTGCTGCTTGTCCCAGCGAGGGAAGTCGTGCACCGTCTGCAAGAGCGCAACGTCAATGAACGGCTTGCCCTCGATGTAGCTTCGATCGATGCGTGAATCGGCATATTTGGACAAGTCGGCCGTGATGTTGATGGGAACATCGGGGAACCGTTGACGAAATGCATTGAGCATTGGCGCAGCCGCTGCTTGAGCTTTTCACCATTGATGTTAGTTCACAGTCTCAGCTTCAGGGGGGAAACATTGGAATAAGCTCTTACAGCTACCGCCAAAGTAGACATTCAAAGTGCCGCTTTCATTCTTTGCAGCTTCATAAATTTCATCCAGAGACCTCGTCTCGATTGCTGTGCCGTGTGAAAGCACACCGGTCGAGTAGAAGAGGCAAGCGCCCAAGAGGGCAGACTGCAATTGCTTCAAGGAGAGCATGGCGGAGGAGGAGGAGGATGATTATGATGATGATAAACAAAGAGACGGAGACCTCTGCGGTTGTTCAACAGCCCTCCAAGCCAACGAGGCATTGGTGATATTTATTCGTCCTCGACATCAATCTACAACACGACGCGTCGATGTCGTCTGAATGTGTCAGAAATTATTCACGAGGCCGTTGCGGCTCCAATTTGTCATCTGCACGCGGGCGTGGATCTCATGGGCTTCCGAATTACCCGATCTGGCTCTTTGTAAGAGCTGTATAAGCCCGAGACAGGGGGTTCCTATATGCGCTTGATGGATAGTGCAAGGGTTCCAAGTAAGCAGAAAACTCCATCTTTCTATAGATCGATGCCGAGTACGAACGTCTCGACTGCGGGCATACAGCGTTGGTCCAAAGTGCCTCGACTATGGATACGAGCTTTACACTTGGTATTGGAATATACAGTCCATTTGGCGTCTATATCGATCAGATGCGGCTACAGCCCGTACAAACAGGGAATGATAATAGCGATCGATTTGTCGAACATGAAAACAGAGTGTTTCTACTTGAAAATATGAAGTACTTCTTGATACTTGGTCTTCTATAGTAGAGGAGCAAAAGTCTCTTTGCTTGGGTAGCTGGGTGCCTGGGTAGGAGTGTAAGGTAGCGTAACCAGCTCTACGGAATTGGTCAAGTAGTTTCAATTCCTTGCCTGTGGACTTGGTCAGGTAGGCTCACTCGTAGGGCATAGACCGTATTCCTACGAGCCCTTGCAAACGCTGGCTTGGAAGATGTATCACACTTTTCTTTTGCTATACTCTCATATCATGGGCCGCGTAATGGCAAGATTGCTTTGTATCCATGCCATGCCGATTATTGACTGATATGGCCACGTCATCTTGAGCCCGTATTCATATGGAATCCCGAAGTTGGCTAGAAAACATCAGAGTAGTCTCCATACAACAAGGGAGTGGCCAACTGGCACCCCGACTTAGCTATCTTGTATCCTAAGTCTATGAAGCCAGAAGTGAGGAAGCTGGGTTTTTATACTCTAATGACAATCATTTAAACATGAGCAAAACCGGAAATATGTAGCAAAAGTAGCAGAAAGTAAGGGCCTTCTCCCTATCGAGGTCAGTAGTAATACTAGTAGCAGTAATCAAAGACATCGATCGATTTGCTGGGATGCTATGTAGGGGTACCAAACTACATACGCACAGCATGATATCATGGTAGCTTATTAATAGAACAGTCCTACAACCTCTTTGTTCATTCAAAGACTTCGACAGGAGTTGTTGAGGAGCTACATTTTCCCAGTCGGGAACCGGATCGCTTATGTCGCTGCGATCGCCTGTCAAGGATGCCGGCAGCAACTACCGATGACTGACCACTCCAAGATTACGGTGCGCCGGCGGGTCCAGCTTGCCCCTGCATGATTGTCAGGGGTACATGATGGAGAAGGAAGCAGAAATATCACGTTTTCTGTGATCTTATCAGATCTTACGAGTGTGCTCCGAGAGATGATGATCCCGGAGCTCGGATGTGACGGCCCATAAGGAATGCTCCAGTAGCAGTAAGAAAGCTATAAATAGCATTCGAGACCTTGATCGAATGAATGATGATCATCGATTCCACATGAATGTCTTCAGATCACTAGCCGAAGCCTGACGTTGGCATATCCACACTCCCGGCTTCATGCATTAACTCCTTGTATCCGTCCAGCAAACGTGGCATTTCCCTGACCCGCCTCTTCCTGCGGGAAATGTTCCTTCAGCCGTGTTACTTGGAGTAGGTTGAAAGAGGTGGGACTTGAACTTCTTTCTCTCCCAGGACACTCTCTGCCGCCTCGACATTTTCAACCTCTCTCAGTGTGTCTTTGTCGTCTTCCGGGTCTTAGAACTTCGAGTCACCTTGGATATTATCGACGGCTTCAACGCCTTCGGTACCCTCAATATCTTGAGCAATCTTGACACCGTCAAACATTTTGAGCTTCTCTGGTTTCCTGTTAACCCTGGGCACATTTAATACCGTTGGTGTCTTCCATGCTGTTCCAAGCATCGCCAGCATTCAAGAGCTCGACTATCTCGGTATGTCCCTGTCCAGCAGCCGCTTTGACCGGCGTCGTCCCAGAATCGTCGGCAATCCTTGTGTCTGCTCCACGCTCTAGTAGAAGCTTGACCAGTTCTACATAGCCCATTTCAAATCTAGCGTACAACGGTATCAATCCATCATTTTCGTGCCCGTCAACGGTGATACTCTTTCCAACCAGAAGTTCTGCCACATCCAAATGGCCGTTTAGTCCCGCTGCGAGGAGTAGAGACCACCAACTGTTACCGATGAATGTGAGATCAGCTCCAGCCTCCTTGATCAAATGCTCGCCCATGCCAAAGTGGCCGCTATAACATTCTTCGTATATTGACTTAACTACAGTCGCAGCTCTTTCTAGCAGAACGAAAGCAGAGATCAAGGGATCGGCCTGATAAGCTACGTATAAAGCTGTTTTCCCGCTCCCACCGGGCTCATCTGCACCAACACCACGATTGGTAAAGAGGCTGGCAGTCTTTCTGTGTCTGTTCATGGCGGACGCAGCGAGAGAGCTCCAGCCATAGTCGTTGCGCTCGGTGACCTCGGTGCCTTTGAGAACGAGATGCTTCGCTATGATCGTATAGCCTTTGAAAGCTGCCGGGTAGAACAGTGAGAGACCATTGTCAACAAGATTGACGTTCAGACCCCGCCTAAGCAACGGCTTCGCCGGCTTGACGTAGCCAAGCCGGCATGCTTCGAGAAGAGGTGCACGACCGTTGGTCCCCAGCACAGTTACATCAGCTCCCAACATCATCGGGCCGGAGAACGTTGAATTGGCCATGCAGACTCTTGTATGTGCCATGGTTGCCATCAGGGCATTGACGTATGCGGCATGGTCGGTGAGACATGTGCACTTTGCTAGTTCGAGATGGTTGTCTGAATATGCTGCGAAGATTGCCGTTGGCTCTTTGCTTCGGTTTCCGTGATATCAGCGCCTCCCTCGAGCAGTAACTTGACCGGCTGAGATGGCCATTCTAGCTTGCGACGAAGCAAGCTGATTGCCCATGGCCAGTCCATTCCGTATGTTTGGCACCATGGAATGAGGGCTTGGATACACGTAGTCAGCTCAACGCAACAGGGGGGACGCAGAATGACGTTATGGGTAATGGCTACAGTTCTCCGAGTTGGGGTATTCCGGACCTGTCAGTTTCAATTCGAAATGAGGGCGCCTACGGCTGTCCAGTAAAAGTATGGCTCATGGTTGTTGCTATCAATCGACAACGTTCAGTAAGAATGTCGCAAGGTTGATATACGCAGTAGGCTATCATTTCCCTCTATAGGAAGCTCATTGAGCAGTTCGTAAAAACTGCTGCCAAGACCAATCCCGCCTCATTACAACAGAGATCGGAGTGAGAGATGCCTCATACGCAGTTGAGCACTAGGGACCTGGGTAATGCAACCCTGTCGTGGCTGAGTAGCGACTATCGGCTTACTGTATGCAGGGAGCACGACCAGTCCTACAGCTGAAGCCCATAATGCCTATCAACATGCACTCTGATTCGCTTAGGTAGGCGTCCGGAGTAGGAAATTAAGTCTTCACACAGGATTCTACTCCGCATTGACAAGATATGGAGCAAGACTAGAAGAATGATATAGCAATTGTAACAGGAAGTAGTCGTCTTTCTTTCTCATAAGAAAGAAATTGACCTAAATATGCTACAATGCCAGATAGTTCAAGTTGCTAGACAGCCTCTCCCCGTGTAGAATATATATGCGAAGTGAATGGCATCAAGATAATTGTCTGCGGTCTTTATCAATACTACGTTCTGTAATGCTCAAAGCGCATGGGTGCCTAAATCCACGTAGCACCTGCATATGTAAAGAACGAGGCTGTGGGATTTAGTTTGCATGGGGTAAACCTCTGATGATCACGCCTTGCCCGCGGTCCAACTGTTATTATTTACGGTCTATCCTTTTCTATCTCATCACCAGCTGGCTGGCTTGTTCCATGCCATTTCTTCGTTAATTACAATGGAGAATACTGTGGAAGAGCATCTAAGCAAAATCATTGATACTTCGCCAGCACAGCCTCTCGACCAGCTAATTTCCGATCAGAGGCTGATTCTTGGACTACTTCAGAAGAGATTCGAGTATCTCTCTGACATACCACAAATCGCCGAAAGGTTGTGGCACTCGACGGACAATGCTTGGGCTGGTTCTGATCAAGAGCCGATAGCACCCAGAGATCAGTCTCTTGGGACTGAGTTCTTGAACACACTTATTCCATGCGGACGCTCGGTCACGAGCATCCACGCAAATGTCAGAGCCCGAGGGACGAGGTTCAGTTTCGATCAAGACACATTGATGGAATGGATTACAGAAGAGAATCTTGTCATCTCTCGTCAAATTCTTGAAGACTGGATTCGAGAATTCAACAGATACTCCTCGCCATGGGACGAAGACCCCTCAAGCAAATCCCTCGACAAGAGGGAAATCGACCGAGAGCCCTGGTTAAACCAGGTCTGTGAGAGGTGGCCCAAGGTTTGGGAGTTTTCACCCCTCGGTGAGCCGGATCGCAACTATGGAAACACAACAAGAGTCTATTATGCCTGTCCGAGCATGAGCAGAATGAGCGATCCCATCAGCTACACTCCCATGGAGTCCCCGATTCAGGTATAAAGATCATTCGCGCAGTATAAGAGCAGCCTGACATATTCTGTTATACAGAGGCTTCCTGAGGCGCCAGAAGAATCGTCCATCTGTGGGATTATATGGTCTGTACACCTCACCTCCCGTCCGGATTGGCTTTGTACAGGGAGCACTGACATGCAAATCACAGTCGAGTCTCTGTAAACCGTTCAACCGCGATAATCGACTACGAGACAATGGCAACTACCATTTGCTTTAGCAAAGGCACTCAGCTGCGGCCTGAATGCAAACATGACTTTCTCGATGCACATGTTTCCGAATGGCGCGAGAGATCAGTACACCAGAGGTGTGGGCTCAGAGACTTCCAAAGCTCCCAGCATGCTATAACGCGAGACCATAGACTGCCCGGCTCTCACAAGTATGGAGTCTTCATGCACTACATGAGGTCCTTTACTATCATGGACTTTGAGGAAACGCCAATCATCAAAGGCAGCCCAGCTACGGGGCTCAAGTGCAAAAGAGAAAATATTGGTTTCAAGGCTTTCTACAGCGAGGACACGGAATGCCTGGTTGAGCGACGATACTCGACGGCGCTCAACATCTTCCCCATACACTCGCCTAGCGGGCATTATGTGTTACTGTCGCTGATTGATGCCGGAGAGCACGAATACGGCGTGTGGAGTCACAGTCCCACGAACGACATTACGAGTTACAACAGATGGAAGCCTTGGAAGCGCTACGGGATATATCCCGCGGCCATCTACAGCGGAGTCTCGGTCTTCCAGCTCCAGATCTGTTCATTTATCGAATCGTGGGAGAGTGACTGGAATAACACTCTCACTCGAATTAACCAAATGGTTTCTGTCAAGGTGAGAAGCAGTCGCATACATAGCTTGGCGAAACGGCAAAAGAGCTAGAACTGACTCGACCAGCTTGACGTACTCAACGATGACCGGCGTTTGCGAGAGCTGGTGCTGGATACGAACCCTACCGACCTGGTATTATACTTCAAGGTCCTCCAGATGCTCGGGAGGATCGATGACATTATCCAAGCGGATACTGCACGTCTAGAGTCCCTGTCCTTGAACGTTCGAAATCCCGTCATTTCAGACCACTGGTGGCAAAAGACCTACAAGCACAACGAAGATACACAGCGGATCCTCGAATACAACTGGGATCTTGTGCGGAAACGCCAGCAACGAGCCACCGACAGGCTATGCAGCATGATCAAGCAGACAAAGGAGGAGGTCAAGGGGCTCATGGATAGCGTGAGTTTTACCGCAAGCCATAATTGCAATATTCCTGCTAACTGCGGCTCCAACAGCTGTACAATGTTCAGTCAGTTACAGAGGCCCAGAAAACTAGGGTTCTCAGCAAATACCTCATGGTGTTTACGATTGTCACCGTCATTTTTCTTCCTCCCACTTTTGCTGCAGTAAGTTGCAATGTCTAACTTACCACCATGAGCCTGTTCAAAGGATTAACCCGCCTCTAGACTTTTTTTGGGATGGATGCTTTCCAATCAGTTGAGACCGCTTCCACCCAGAGGACGTTCTGGACAGTCCTGGGGATACTGTCGGGTCTCACATATGTCATTGCAGGAATCGGACTATTTGGGGCCAAGGCTTCCACTCAGTTGAGAGAGGAGAGGAAGAAAAAGTCCAAGTCACATGGAAGAAGAGACACCTTGCAAGCTAGGCAGCAAGAGGAGATCTTCTCGGAAGTCAGAATAGCAAGCCTATGGTTTGAGAAGCTGAAGGGAGTTTGGATTTTTGAAATGTTTGGTAAAGTGTCTAGCTCAAAGTATAGCACAGAGGAGGACTTTGAGAGGGTTTAGTGTGATTGGGCGGATACCGCTCTGTAGAAGTCTCAGGGGTCAAAATGGCAAACTGGGCTACAGAAACTATGGGTATCAACGCACATATTTTCTATCTTTGTAGAGGCCGCTGTAAACAAGTTCTGATGATTCCGTGGCTTCACTGCTCAGATCCCGCAGCCTCCGGACCTGGACCGGACCCGGAAGCCGAGTCTCCACTATTATCCCGGTGTCCGCTCCTTAGGCACCGCGGCTCACTGTAGCTAAGTGGAAGTTGATTAGCAGGATAGAAAAGCCGCGAGGGAGTTGTAGTCAACAGTAATGGCAGTCGTGGAACTATGCTAAGTCCTTGCATCGCTGTTACGGCGGGCTTTCTTCCAGTTGGGCGCAGAGACTGGGCTTCCGCCTAGTTGTCCTTGTCTTCAACCACCAAGTCAAGTCCCCTTGGGCCATTATCATTTCATCTACACAATACAGTAAGATGCTCGTGGGATATTGATCAGCCTCTTTCGGTTCTATACGTGCTACAATCCACGACGTTGGATGAACGAAGACTGTATCTTAATGACGTTGCGTCTCCATATAACTGTCCGGATGCTCATACAGTACAAAGTCCACACTAGCCGCCAGCCTCCCCGCTATAGCCGCCTCGAATGCGCACTCCAACGTCTCCAACATTTCCATTCTTTCTCCTTCACATCATCACGCGCCCATCACCAACCTCCGCCATGCCTCGAAAACTCACCTTTCCAACCTCCTCCTCCAGCCTCTCCCTCGCCTCTTCTGGAGGCGGCACGCCCATCACCCCGACCTTTAGCACGACGCCCTCGTCCCTCTCCTTCTCGACCCTCCCATCCTCATCCACAAACTCTCCCTTCCCGCGCCTCGACCTCCCCGCCTCCTTGTCCGATCCCTCGCTGCCGTTCCCGCGCCTCATCGTCTTCGACCTCGACTACACGCTCTGGCCCTTCTGGGTCGACACCCACGTCACGCCTCCGCTCAAGATCAACCCCGCACACACCGGCGCGACGGATCGCACGGGCGAGGAATTCGCCTTCTACGACCAGGTCCCCGAGATCCTGGCCGTGCTGCCGTACCTCAACAGCCCGAACAAGATCAAGCTGGGCGTTGCGTCGCGGACGAGCGCGCCGAGTCTGGCCCGCGAACTGCTCAAAGGCCTCCACATCCCGCCGACAGCCTCCTTCTCGGACGAAGACGGCAGTAGTAATAATAATAATAATAAGAAATCATCGTCTGCGACGAAGAAAAAGATTGCGATTGACGTGTTTGACGGAGGGCTGGAGATATACCCGGGAAGCAAGATTAAGCATTTCGAGGCGCTGCAGAAGCGGACGGGGATCCGGTTCGAGGATATGCTCTTCTTCGACGACGAGGCGAGGAATAGGGAGACGGAGCGGCTGGGCTTGACGATGAAGCTGGTGTTGGACGGCGTGACGTGGGACGAGGTTGGGAAGGGGGTTGAGCTGTGGAGGAGCAGGAGGCATAGAGGTTGATTGTAGAACGCCCGCATAGAAGTTGCTTGAGCGAACATAGACGGAAACACAACACACAAGATATCATTTAGAGCGAAAACATGCACCGAGCAATCAACGATCATAATATCGAGCACAGATTCCTGTGAGGAAAGCATCGCCAACAGCATGCGTGTCTGTATATCAAAGAGCAAAAATGAACAGCTAGATATTTGGTATATTCCAAGTCCCATTACATTCCCCAACCTGGACGATGAATACGCCCTCCCATTTCCCATACACGTCTCATCTCGTCACGTCAACGTCTTTGTCTCATCCAGTTTCCCTCCTCTTCCGACTCCTCGATATGAGCAACCTCCCGCAAACCCAGCCAAATCCGCAATGCAAATAGTATAGTCCATCCTCCCCATCCTTTCCACGAAAGGAAAAAAAGAATAGCATCAAAAGGGAGTCGCAAACCGGTGAACAAAGAGGCATTCTGTATGCACATATGCAATGACTTGGATGACTCTAGAACCAGGATATTAAGTTGAAAAACATAGAAGTTGATATAAACGGCAGAATCATGGGGCTCATTCATGCAGCGGCAGTGGCGGCAGGTATAGGCGTCACTTCGGGCGTCTTGGCCTTGTCGTCGCCGTCGTCAATAGCCAGCTTCTCGATGGCTTCGGCAGGCCCGTCGGTCTGAGTGGCGTCGTCCAGGGTGTATTCCGACGTCTGAGTGCCCTCGGAGGCGTCGTTGATCGTCGTGGCGGCGGTGTTGGTCGAGGCAGTGGCCGAGCTGTCGGTTCCCGTCGACTCGTCCGCATTCTTCTCCGGAGGGCTCCATGTCCTGGGCAGCGTGCAGATGACCTCTCTGACCAGCTTGCCGTTTTCCGCACCCAGTCGCACGCACGCCAGCCTGTCCTCGCCCGGAACGTCCTCCCACAGCAGCGGTCCGCTGGGGAACGAGCTGTATCCCTTCTCCCACCGGACCACGCCCTCCCAGGCGGGATCGGGAATGCCCAGCTGGCCGAATGTGTAGTCGAGCTCGCCGCCGTACTTCTTGGGGATGTTCCGGGGCTCGATAAAGGCCTCGAGCGTGGGCTTGACCTCGTGAGGCGCAAGCACGAAGATCTTGGACACCGTGATGGGGTCGAACCAGCGCTTCACCCACCCCCAAACGGTGCTGAAGAAGACGGGCGCGCCAATGATGAAGATGCGGTCCAGCGTCTCGGGGTAGTGCGCCGTGGCCAGCTGCGACGCCGCCTGCATGTGGCCCTTGAGGTTCCAGAACTGCTTCAGCCCGACGCCCGAGATATCGACAATGTTGGTGCTCATGGTCACGGGCACGTCCGGGTGTTCGCGGTCCGTCAGCTGCGTGCAAAAGGGCTGGTTGAAGCGCGTCAGGTTCTCGTACAGGGCAAAGAGCCGCAGCAGGCCGGGGGGCGTCTTGCCGTCGGTCTTGGCCTGTGAAAAGGTGCTGTTGGCGCCCTGCTTCTCGTAGTTTGCGATGGTTTTGGAGTCGAGGGTGCGGATTTCAAAGACGTATAGGGGGATGCCTCGGCGGTCTCGGCGGCCCGTCCATTGGGGATACTATATCGCAAAGTTCTGCGGTCAGTTTGACATCCGGTGACAACAAACATCTCTGTAGCAATCAACCACCCACCAAGCGCCGGCTCTGCTCGTACGCGTCGAGCTCAATCGTCCGGTACAGCGTGTCGATGTTGTTCGCCGCCCGCCACTCCTCCGTGTCCTTGAACTGGGCCAGCGCATCGTCCACGATCCAGCGCCTGGCCCGCAGATACCGCAGCAGCGTCTGGTCGTCGTGCGACGGCGGCGGGCCCGGGCGCCACAGCTTCTTGTCCTGCAGCGCGGCCTTGAAGCGCTCCAGAGCCTCCTCCTGGGCGGCGCTCAGGTGGCCCAGGTGGCCGTTGGGGAACGTTCCTGCCTGCTGGCTGGCCGAGCTCGACGACTGAACCCGGCCGGCCGGCGCGGAACCTTCGTACTCGGCCGTCATGATGGGGGGGTTTCGTGAATCTTTCGCCTCGTTCCGTGTAAATCCACCGCGTGCAAGACGGGACAGCAAACAAGGAGGATGGAGGATGTAACCCGACTCGACCAACAGTATAAGTAGGTGGTGCAGGTACTGCGGTAAATCTTTGGTTCCTGAAGGATCGAAAGAGGCGTTGCGGATGAAAAACAGGAAACAGAAAAAATTAAGAGGACAAAGAAATAGGCGTTCCTAGTTCCTGTTTCCGGGTGATCAAAATCACAAAGTCCGCTCGACACGCAAAGAAAGGCGGCTAAAGGGGAGGCTAGCGGAGCAGACAGGGAGCAAAAAGTAAGCCAGCAGGCCGATTAGACTCGGGCTTCTCAAAAAGTAGAGCAAAGCTGGCAGGGCCAAGAATCGATGGGTATTATATGGATGGGGGTGTGTGTGGAGAAGCCAGACAACAGATCCGAGAGGCGGCAAACGGCAGCTTCGGAGGCCGATAGAAGGCCGTCCTGAAAGAAGGAGGATCCAGACAGTCGGAGCAGTGAAAAAAAAAGGGGGGAGGGTCCGGTTGGTTGACAGCCGCGAATAGTAATGAGGGCGGATGGAGAGCTTGTCTTGTGCCTGATGCTGCTGTCAAGGCACTTGTTGGGCAGCTGTCGTTGATTCCAGATGCAGTCTTGTTGCTTACAGCTTCCCTTTGGCGCCGGCGGAAGGGGCCTGGTGTTTCTTATATCATCGCGCAGCGGCGAGGGCCAGGATGGGACAACATTTGGCATCTCATTACTAAGAGCTACTAATCCTTGATTCACAGGCGACAGCACGGTCGAAGGAATTAGCAACAGCATGTGGCAGAACCGTGATGCTCCGGCCAGGCCACATGTTCTGGCTGCTTCCACATGGCCTGCCCGTTGTCGTGGCGGCGGCCTGTGACGGCAATGACAGCATGCTTGGGGCTTATTGTTCGCTCTGGCTGCCGTGATCCGTGCTGGATTTGCACGCGCGGGCACACAGCTATTACCACATGTGGCCCTTCCCGTCGTCCATCATACGTGTAGTCATAGCACCGTTGTGGTTACTACTATATCATACTATATATATCCCCCGGCCGGGTTGTGGTGCGGAAGCCTCGGAAGGAAGCAAATCTCCGGCACGCCCGACAGCTGCTTATCGATCGATCAGAGGCCCAGCAAGCCGGTTTGGCCCATGCAACTCAATCTGGGGAACAAACGCTGTAATGGGTGACTCTATTGATGGACTAGAGAGTATTTAAAGTAGCCTGATGCCGGCAGGTCAGGCCTAAAATCCGCCGTCAGACCGGGAGGCGACAGAATTCAAGCTCTCTGGACGGCCGTCCATATGACCTCCCGTCATCTTGCAGAGTGCTTCAACTCATTGGCTGAACGGCTCGAATAGCGCGGAAATCGTCAGGACGCCAAGGTCCTTGTCAGACGGCATGAGGAGGAGAGAATCCGGGGCTGATGGGCTTGATGCAGACGGCACAGACAGGATCGGAGCACGGTGCTCGGAGGACTGCAGAGAAGCAACACAGCCAAATAGGAAGAATCCGGATGAAGAGTGATTCCAGGGGACTGACACTTTCTCTTCGTCCCGGCTTGATCGAGAAAAGCCCAGCGATCTTGGTTGACCTGTTCCAGGGTAGCAGACGAATAGCCTCCAGAGTTGAGTTTCTTTTGTCAGCAACGCGTCCGTGGCGCATAGCGATGGAGACATTCGCCGATTCGCCACTTGAATGTGACGTTTTCCTCTCTTGAAGATCGCCGGCTATTGACCATCATGGACAATCCATTGCCCTTTAGGGGGAGGTCCAGCAGCGGCTGGTTCTCATGTGGTTGTGTGTCGACATTTGCTCTTGGTCTATCGCGGGACCTTCTGCGCTTTATACTAGGAGTCGCAGTCTCAATCCCTGTTCCAGTTCCCCCAACATAGATCCTTCTCTTCCCCAGCCATGACTGTCAGACGTGGGAATGGATATAACAAGTATGAGGGTAACCCAACACGACGTGGCAGCAACAATCCTTTCACTCTGACAATGACTGCACGCGCGAATTGGCTCCCCTTTCGATCTCTCGGTCTGGCCCAGCCCTGCGAATCCCGCCTCTCGGTACTCCATGGATGCGCGTATTGGTGCAGAGCCCTTCAGAAACAGATGCATATAAGACGGAGCACGACAACCAAACCGATCCTTCCACTCCTTTGTCAAGCCCCTTGAACACCGAACACCACACAATACCGCCTACGACAAGTACCTCCTTTCTCCTGAGTCCTCCTCACCACCTGTCGGTCACCTTGGTTGAGATCCAGCCCCCAAGCACAGGAAGAGAGGCGTCCCCCCACCGAGAGCCCCCCCCAAGGGTATCTCGCATAGCCGTCGGTCCGATCATACCTAGGCGCTCGTACATACATACTGTATCCACGGACTGATCAGAAGAAAACAAGGGCCTGTAGCCTGTGACAGCCCGCGGAGGGTCGATCCGCCGTAGCGCTTCCGCGAGCAGCGGCAGTCGGCTGCTATGTTTAGCGCGAGAGCAAAGGGCCAGGTCGAGGCGGGTGCATTCTAGGCGCCGTCTGGATGCGTTCTGTGCAGTTGATGCTACATGTACTTGAAGCCAGCATGATTGAGCGGGTGAGGCCGCCTTTGCTAGGTAATACTTGCTACTACTACTACTGACATGCCTTCGCTTCGTGTAAGTACTACTGCAGGCCATCGGGGCGCTTCCAAGCACCCATCCGCTGTAGAAGAGGATTGCAAACAAAAAGCCCCCCGAGCCAGTCAGTCGTACAGGTGGTACCAACGGCAAAGTAGAGTGTTAAATAAGGCAGAGAGAGGCCCCGGGAGATGTCAGGCTCGAGTGAGTTGGCTGCCCTCACTGAAGCAAGTTGAAGAGTCATTGCGGCCATGGGCCTCGGACAAAGGGGAACAACTCCATCCTCTATTGGCCCCGCAGCCGAGGATGGAGTTTGTTGGTTGTCCGAGTTTCACGTCGACTACAGTAATTGCCTTTCGGGGCTCAGTTGACACATTTGTGGCCTTGTATTACTACCTGAATCTGCGCTTGAGGCGATTCTGGGTTTGCACCACAACCACGAACCAACAAGGGGGGCAACTCAGTTCGGCCTGGAGGGTCATATCTCATATGGTTGATCTGATTCGACGGCATACGAGGAAGCACGAGCATAGTAGTAGTACCAGCAACCAGGCAGCGCAGAGTGGGATTGTCCCGGCCCCCCGAACTGACTGACTGACTGATGGCATCGCATCATACCATACCATACATATCGTCCCATCCTAATCCAACCGCCTTTATTCCCCAACTCCCTGATTCCATCTTGTCTTGCCTATTCGGTGCCTCTGCACTTTGTGACCTCAACCGAACCCTGCCTTTCACTGCTATTCCCCCTTTATCTCCGCAACCTCGAAGCCATTTTCTTTCAGCCCCTCGCAGTTGATTTGCCCCGAGCGACCGACCCCGAGCCCGGCTCTGCTTTGTGATCTCGACGCCGTCTATTCCTCCGTAGAAGCGCCCTTTTCGGCCCCCCCTTGCCCCCTCGTTGCTCGTTGGCCCTCTGTCGGTACTCCGCGAAAAGAGCTTCCATCTCGCTGATTGCCCGACTGGGACGGAGGCCAATCCGCAAGTGCATTCAGGAAGCTGGGGCTAAAGCAAGCAAGCAACCAGGCAGACGCTACACACTCACACACTCACACACACACACACCCCGGCGACGACAATCTGAGATCGAATCGGAAAGTGTTTTGACGATGACTGATTGACAGTTGATTACCTACGCTCTTTTTGGGGGGTGACTGATTTTAAATAACAAAACGAGGCTGAGGCTCTAGACAGAAGAACAAAACAAACAACATAAGACCAGACATAAGACGGCTGATTCATTCTTTCACAACTCTATACGCTCTCCCATCTATCCATTTCTTTCAAAACCCTCTGCTTGCCACCGCGCCCTCTTTTCTGTCCAAACAGCAATGAAGCACAACCGGCGCCCACGATGACGTCGAAAAGGCCGCAATGCTGGGAATGCCAGCGCCGCAGCTCGCCGTGCGACGGCAAGATCCCCGTCTGCGGCAACTGCAGCGCCGCCGGCATGGTCTGCCCCGGCTACAACAACGCCCGGCCGCTGACGTGGCTGCCCACGGGCAAGGTGTCGCGGCTGCAGAAGCCAAAGGCTAACAAGGGCCGGGGCTACGGGGCGAAACCGGCGGCGGCGGCAGGCAGACGGCAGCAGCAGCAGGCCAGGCCGGGTCCGGGTCCGGGTCCGCGTCCCGGCGCAACGGGGAGGTTGTTGTCGAGCAGCACGCTGGAGCGAGGGGCGTCAGGGTCGGGGTCGTCGACGAGATGGCGGAGGAGGAGGGAGGAGGAGGAGGTCAGGACTGATGGCCGCGGCGTGAACAACGACAGCTACATCACCGAGAATGGCGCCAGCAACAACAATAACAGCGACATGGAGAGCATCACCACCACCACCAACACCGTCACAAACAGCACCGCCAGCAGCAGCGGCAGTGACCGGAGCAGCGACGCCGGCATCTTCTCCGACGCTTCGCCCGGCGACTCGACATCGCTGGTGGCGATTGTCCGCAGTGACCAGGGTCATCGGGAAGACGACAACATGAATAGCAGCAGCATCGACGTCTGCTCCGACGGGAATGAGAACATGAGCACGACGAGTCTTCAGGTGGTCGCCAGCAGACAGCTGCAGCAATGGGGCTCTACCAACAGCTCCAGGCAGATGCAGGTGTCTGTTCCGCCGGACCTGAGGCCCGAGCAGTGGGACTTTGTCGACGCAATACAGTACTGTATGTTTGCCTGTCTCCTTTCTTTCTCGTTTCTACCAACTTGTATTATATATACACACTATACGAATCACAAAAGCATCGTACACATGTATCTGACCCATCATTCCACAGACAACAACCTCCTCCTCCCCAAGCTCCGCGCAAGACAAATCGTCCAGAACCCCGCCTGGGGAGGCGAGCTCAACGGCAAGGCCCTGCAGGCCCTCACGGCGGCCAACCGGCACTGCATCCTCGCCATCGCCGTCGGCTACCGCATCATGTGCGTCTCCATCATCCACGGGCTGGACCTGGAGCCGTCGACGTCCGGCCCTGCGTCCCACCTGTGGCTCGAGTTTTACCGGCACATGGGCAAGTCGATTCGGGCTCTGAACGACGAGATCCAGCGCAGCGGCAACGTGTTTAACATCTTCTCCAGCATGGCTCACTTGATGAGCGCAGAGGTGAGATTGAACCCATACATGATGATCACTTGAACTTTCAAAGATGAACGTGTACTGAACTGAAATTCTTCTTGTCTTTGAAAAGGTCCTCGTCTCCAACTCGCTATCATGGCGTCTTCATGCCGACGGCTACCTCATGCTCATCAGGCACTGCGGCGGCCTCCGCAAACTGATGAACACTTCCGCAACCCCCCTATTGATGCAAAGCTTCGTCATGTACGTGACAACCTCCCCTCTCCCCCCTTTAACACCAAACTATCAAGCTAACCATCCCCCTCACCAGCGGCATCACCGTCTTCAACACCACAAGCCCCAGCCACGCCCAACTCGTCGACGCCTGCAACTTCGACGTCGACGATGTCATGGCCCTCTACGAGATCGGGAGCAGCCCCCTCTTCTACTGCCCCGCGCCTCTCTTCCGCGAAATCTTCCTCATCAACCGCCTCCGCCTCGAAGCCGCTCTCTCGTCTCCCGACCCCCTTTCTGATCCCAGCAGCAGCAACAGCAGCAGCAGCAGCTCTTCCTGTGACATCCTCGCGCGGATTGACGCGTATTCCGTGCCGCCTGTGCCGACGGAATCGCTCGATATTGACGACCAAAAGGCTCACAACCTGCTCTCCGTCTCGCTGCTGTTCAAATCCGCCGTGGCGGTCTTCGCCTCGTTGACACTCCCATGCACGTCCCGCTGCTGCTGCTGCTCCTCCTCCTCCCCGCGCAAGCCCAGCTGCGCAGAACTGCACGAGATGCACCGAGCCAAGCTCTTCCAGCTCCTCGACACGACGTCCGAGTTCCTGCCGCTGCTGGACCACATCCTCTGGCCGGTGGTCGTCGCGGGGACGGCCGCCGCGACGGGCGGCGTCGGGGACAGGATGCTGGTGGAGATGTACCTGCTCAACGGCGCGCGGGATCCCTTCACGGGCGGGTGTACGGGCTCGGCGCTGGCGACGATGAGGAGGTTCTGGGGGTCGGGGAAGACGGCGTGGGACGAGTGCTTTGATCAGCCGCATGCGTGGATGATTTGAAGGAGAGGAGCGCTGATACTAGCTGGTGGGATTCTTCATCTCTTTGCTGGACCATGGAGGATCGATCTCTGGCTTGATGCAGAGTGTCTGACGGCTTACATCGAGTTCTTTGCGACACGATCGTCGAGAATAGTCGCTGTTCTGGAAACACTGCGATGATCTGGATTCAACGATATCTCTTCTCTCAGACTCGGTCTAGATCTACTCTCTTCTCGCGACAAAAACGTACCTCACAACTCGCCTACCTCCTCTCCGAAGGAATACAAATCTCTCTCTCCAATATATTCTACGCGTACAACACACTACGTTCTACTTGGACTTGGCTACTAATCACGAACTCATCTAAGCATCTCAGCGGTGGATTTTTGCTTTTTTTCTTTTTTCAAATATCTGATCTGTACTTATCATCTCTGTTTCTTTCATAATGGCTCATGTTGCTCCTGGGATAGCAATGGAAACGTTCGGTCGCGTGTGTATTCGTTCTGCATCAAGACGGCGTCACATGTATAGTAGACATCATCTGGAGGAACATCCGTGTACCCTAAAGTTTATAACTGCGTTTAGACGTTGACAAACAAAAACAAGACTCCTGAATGCTGGTATCAAAGCTGCTGTACGATATTCGCCTACCACAACCACACGCCGTATATTCTCCCACAAATCATCTCCTAAGCAACCCCCTCAAAGCGATCGTGTCTGCAACATTTCCCTCGTCTTGGCACTTCACGCAGTCTTCTCCTCTCCTTGGTCAAAGTCTTCCCCCGATGGCCCACTGCGCTTCAAGCCTTTCGACACCTCGTCCGCATTCACCCCCTCGTTCTGGCCCTGGCCCTGGCCCTGACTCGCGACTCCTTCGGCGCTCTTGATGCTGCTCGCCCTGCTGATGTCCACACTCATCGGGCTCTGCTGACGCAGTCCCAGATCCTTTTCCGCGGCCGCGGATTTGGGACTGTGGGTGCCTTTCCAATCGGCTGCCTTGCTCTGCGGCACCGGTTCGCCCTCCTTGGGCTCAACAATTTGCTCTCCCGCCGTGGGCTCGCCGCTGTCGGGAAATCGCCACACGACCGTCATGCGGTCAAACGCCCTCATCCCCTTCCTGCTGGACCCCTTGACGCCGTCCATGGCATCCCATTCAATCTCAAAGGTGCCGTGGCTGTCCGCTATGCCCTGCTGCTCGGGACCATTGCCCTCGAAGAAGGCATTGAACCACACGTAAGCGACGGCCGTGACCATGGTGAGCCCCATGGACTTGTGCGTTCTGTTTCGCCGCTCGACAGAGATGTTGACGTCGCTGTTGGGGACCCGAACAGGCTGCTTCGGTTTGAAGATGACGGCCTTGCCGCCCGGCTCCGTCTCGTCGGGAGCCTCCGTACGGACCTCAGGCGGGCCGGTAGTTGGGGTTGGGGCTGGCGGCTCGACAGAGAGCATGGCCCGCAGCTTGTCAACCTTGGAATGTGATCCAGGCGGTGATACTTTTCCTATGAGTTTGGCACTCTTCCGCCGGATCAGAGACTCCATGGAAGATTCCGAAGGCCGCGGTGAAGGGGTAGGATCAAAGGAATCCTTCTTCTTGACCTCGTTGTTGGCGGCGTCGGCGAACTCTGCCGCCTCGGGCGCCTTCTCCCTCTGGGTCGAGTATCCCGCAAGATCCCAGATGATTTCAGACAGACCGCCGCCTTCGGGTGCGTCACCCTCGACGACGACCCTCTCGTCCTTTGTAAAGGTGTGAAGGCTCTCAATCCTCTTGCCCTCGTCCGCAAAGGCCTCGACGTCCATCTTGACGCCATTGCGCAGCCCCCAGACGTGGATCTCGACAATCTCGACCGGACGATCAACATACTTCTTGCCGCCCTTTGTCCAGCGGTCGACGTAGCCAACGTACCGCAGCTGCGAGGGGATCGACACGCCGGCGCCAAACTGCGGCCTCATGCGGCGCTGGGTGAAGCGCGCCAGGGCGTCCTCTGCCTTCCAGCCCTCCTCTGCAATGAGATAGCTGCAGCTGGCGGTGCCGCTTCGTCCCTTGCCAGCTTTGCAATGGACTACCACGACCCTGTTTGGGTTCCGCTGCGACTTGGCTGGTGTTGTGGCGGCGGCCTCCGTGTTGCTTCCAGTAGCCGGGGTGGAAGACGATGATGGCTGCTCCGTTTCGCTTTGCTCCGTCTTTCCTTGCTCGGTCATGTCTTGTCCCGTCTTGTCCTGCTCCTTGTGCGCATTCTGCGGGTCGCCGCCATGCAGCCAATTCCTCATGCTCGCCATGATCATGGGAATCAACCGAAATGGCGGCGGATGGTGGTCCGGCCATGGATAGTGCCATATCCGATTGTACACGGCTTCATCCGGGTATCCCGTCCCTTCGGCGCGAAACTCCCAGATGGCCCAGTCCTTGCCGTGTTTCGCGTCGAGGAAGGCGACGAGCTGGTCGAGCGGGTTTCGGTAGGCGAGCTGGGGATACGTCTGCGAGGGGCCGGATCTGCGAGACACATGACTGCGGTTAGAGACACGGGGCGCTCTCTGGGAAGAAGCCGAAGTCTTGCATGTATGCATGTCTGGGTACTCACGTTGCAATGATAAAGTCGGTCACGTAGCAGAGGTCCAGCCCTGCCTCTGGATGCCGCGCCCGCGGACTGGCAATGATCTGCCGCAGCAGCGAGGCCATGGCTGTGTCTTGAAAGAGGGGGAGGGGAAGAGGCGGATCAAGGAGAGGCCGGAGAGAGACACTTGCTGGCTCTGGTGATGCTATAAGACGATTGTCAAGTCCGTAGTGAATCGGGGGAGAATTCAGGACAGAGACAATAGTGCAGGCGTTGGAGATGCAAAGCCCAAGGCTACAAGTCACATTGGTAGCCTGCTGATCGATTCCAGGTTGGTGACGGGGGTGACATGCAGCCTCGAATCAAGATTGGATGGAAGTGAATTCAGGTTACAATCAATCCATTGCTGACGCTAGCATCGGCCAGCGCACATGGCCAGAGAGTCAATGCAAGAGTCCACTGTGGCTACAGCGGCTCCAGTGGCCACGGCGGCCGTTGCTTCAGTGGCTTCCGGTGCCTGTGCAGCGCCTCAGCCCGGATCGTTGGGCGCCTTGACGTCATCCGCGGAACTGCCCCACGAGAGCACTTGAGCTGGCTGATGGCATTGGATTGGTTCAATAGGAGAGCTTCATTCATGGCATCGACCATGACACGTCGGGAGCAAGCATACCTTATATCTACAGTAACACAATGGGTAGCTTATTAAATATGCCCTTTGCATAGGTACATCTCAGCAGAAATTAATAGGGACTGACTAAAATGCCTCCATACTATGCATAGAATGCCTTTATGTTATATGGCTTGTGTGGCTAGAAGTCTAATTACAGCGCCGCTATATAAAATTAGCTGTAAATTAAGTAGTCATGTTTTCTTATATAAAAATGCCGCACACACTAGGATCTATAAAAAGGCAAGGACTTAAAGCTCGCAATATTATTAAATTAGCTATTTCTTAGTGTTTTCCTTTATATCTCTTAGGCATCTTTATTATCTAGGTCTAAGGCCTTATAGGCTTCTGCCTTAGCTAAGGCTAAAGCCTTATCTATTATATCTTTAAAATCTGCGTTAATCTTATATTCCTCGCCTAGGGCATCTGTATTTAACCACTAAGACTCCTGCTCTTTAAAAAGAAGCTACTGGCCTTCCTAAATAGGAAGCTGTAATATATTTTATAGTGTTTTCTTACCCTTAGACTTATAGTTATTAAGGACTTAGACTAATTATTAATATAATCTCTGCATTATAGTGCCTAGCTTATACATATTAAATGTCTTTAAGAAGCAGCGCCTGGCGGCGGTTATTAAAGGCATTATTATTAAATTAATAGCTAAGGCTAATGCGGCTGGTGCTGTTAACAGCAGCGGCCGCTATTACTAGAGTTAATAATCCTCCCTTACCTTATTATCTTTAATTGCGATAATTATCTTAAAGAGACTTAGGTCCTGTATAGTTATTCTATCTTTCTTAATATTTAGACTTCCTTTTAAATAACCTTTTCCCTTAATTACTAAGGGATTAAGCAGTATAGAAGAGGTCGGCCTATTATTATTCTAGTTAACTCTTTTCTATTACTAGAACAGGTGTATTTCTTTAATCTAAATTAGCTCTTATTCTATAAGTCTCCTAGATATAATATAATAGCATAGGAGGCTATAGATTGTCTTAAAGGCATAAGGATTATAAAGAGTTATAATGTCTTAGTTATTTAATTAGTCTAGGGTCTAGTGTTTTATCTGCATTAAATGTAAAGCCTGAGGAGCAACTTGGCTGCATATAGCGATATATAACAGTTAATAGAATAAATTTAGGATCTTATTTATCCTTATAGCTTAGAGATTCTTAATCTCTTAGTGTTAATTGCTCTAGAAGCCCTTAAGCCGGCAAAATACAGTTAAGAGATTACTATAGCTACTGACTATATGTTTTTTTATTACTAAATATAATAACTTAATAACTAATGTTATTATATGCCTAAAGTGCTGTAGCTAATTAACCTAGCAGCGTATAATCTTCTTTTTCTAAGGATATAGCTATATACTGTAAATATAGTTAACAGCACCTGTAAGGTAGACTGTCTAACTGGCCCTAGGCTTTATAATAGCGTTAAGGCAAGACTTATAGTCTCTCTTAGTTAGACTGGCGATAAGGTTATTCTAGGACTTTAAGAAGGCCTAGAACTATACTGCCCTCTTTATCCGTTTAGTGGTTAGGTTATATTAAGCTTTAGGGAAAAAAGACTTTATTTTAGCCAGTATATTTATATTAATATGCCACTAGTAAAGAATATATGCAGCTATGTTTATTAATAGGTAATTTTCTAAGGCATTTATAAGGGAAAGCTCCTAGTCTATAATAATAACCTAAGGCTATAGGATATTATATTCTTATAGTAGATTATAAAGAATACTAATAGCCTAATTATAGTAATATTCCCTCTTACTAGATAGGAAGATAGTAATAACCTAGAAGGTCTTCTTAGTTAAGGTGATGCTGCAGATATTAAATAACAGCATATTAAATTAATTAGTCTTGTAAGTAGAGTCTATTAATAAAACTAAAGGATACTGCTATAGAAGGTAAATTAACGGCCTAGGAGTTATAAATAACAAGTTTAGACGATTCTCCTTGTTATAATAATACTAAAAGTAATAGCAGTAGTTATTATAAAGCTTATTAAAAAGCCATTGCATTTCTAACTGTCTACTAAGTTTAAGTTTATAATGCTTTTAAATAACATTATAGACGTTATAACAGCTTAACCCCTAGATATTATAATAACCTTTAGACTAAAGTTTATTCAGGATTTAGCAAGGTCTAACTTTATAATTATATATAAAGATAATATTAACCTGCCTCTCTTTAATAGTTATTTTTTAATAGTAAGAGAAGGCTGTTTATAAGAGATATTTATAATTATATTTAATGGCTATGTCGTTCTTAGATTTCTATATTTTCTAGGCCATGTTATTTTATAGCTTTATAATTATAAGTTTAAAAGGACAGCCTATTATCTAAGAGCTTATACTGCGCCAGCAAGACTTAGCAAGCTAGGGATTTAATTATGACTTAAATTTCCTTCCTTTACTATAGCGAAGTTTAATTATACCTGGCCTTTTATAGTATACTGTCAGACTAAAGCCAACCTCCTTGCCGACAGCGTTAACAGCAGCCCTGGCCTTATTAACAGTCTTGAATTCCTTATAAAAAAGCGACTTTATTAAGTTAACTGGTTATATGTAAAATTAGGTTGCAGATAGCTTTAAGTTGCAGCAGCAGGTAATAACTATATAGCCAAGAGGTTAATACAGTAATTATTAGTAAATAAAGAACTAAAGAAGATAGTGTATATCTAATTTAGTATGCAAAACCCTAGCATTTTCCAGCATTAGCTATGCTAGTTAGTTAGTGCAGTACCTAGCCATAACATAGAGGCATTCTATGCATAGTATGGAGGCATTTTAGTCAGTCCTAATTAATATGCCACGCTGAGTTGCTGTAACCACCAAGTCCCAGACATATCCGATGCTACAACTTAAAGTCAGCTTAGACCTAGCTCGATTCCCTAGCGCCAACAGTGGCGTCACCAGAGTGCATGACATCAAGCGTTCAATGACATCAACGCCAGCGGCGTCCTATCGAAAAGTGAAGCTATTCACAATACAGCTGCAAAACCACGAGCAAAATGCCGGAAACGCAACCAATCACATGTTCATCGATAGCACTTTGTATTGTCGCAAGAATAATCCTCAACATCACAAAACTTCCACAACCACCAGCACAAACAACAACAGATAGAGTGTTCCCACTGCGCGCCCATTGCATGTCCTGCTCCCTCATCCATATAGCTTCATCCACCCATATAATATACCCACGACAAGTATTCTCTCTCCACCAGGTCCTCCCGTTGCTCCAACAGTTCGATCGAAGTTCATCCTCGAGTGGACCAAAGTCAGTTCGAAATGATAAAATGGCCGATACTCCATTCCGGTCAATCAGTCTTGCCTTAAACGTCCAAGGGTAACGGCTCGTCAAGCACTTTGTCGTCAAGGGGCAAGCAGCCACCATAGGCACAGTCACCGGCTCGTCTTCCAACGGCCGTAATGACTGCTATGCCCGTTCCAATCTCCCCCGATGCTAAAGGTATCGCATATAGCACGCTACAAGCGCATCGTTTCGTTTTGACAAAGCTATCGCAGAGGAAATTGTCGCAAGAATAGTGTCCTGACATTTATGAAGTCTTCTTGGCAGGGCCAGCACCCGTGTACCTGCTAATCTCGGTGGCATCGTGGAACTTGCTAGCAATGCCCTTGACAATGTCCCAAGCTTGCTTGAGCTGAGGCGGGGTTCCCTGGGCGGAAACAAAGTGGTCGGCCCGGGAAGCGACGTGAGCAAAGGAGGACTGGACGTGGGTGCTCTGGGCGTAGCGAGCTCGGATGAAGATGGTGTACAGTCCAAGCAGGATCCAGGACCTACGCTGGAAAAGGATGGCTGACAGCAAGACTCGGGTCCACAGGCTAATCTCAAGGTACGCGACCACCGTCATAGAGAAGTCGTAGTACTCCTTGACAAAGTTTCCAATCTTATTCGCGAGCGGGTTGTTGACCTTGGGCTGCGACACGCCATCGGTGGCGGGCGGAGGGGGGTGGAAGACTGGGATCAGGTTCTGGCGGGAGTACGTGGCCACGTGGAAGACGGAGTAGACCGAGTAAGGAAGCAGAGCGAGGGGATACTGAGGAGAGAAGAGCCAGACGAGGGCCATAGCTAGCACAGAGTGTCAGCCAGAGACACGAACGAGGCACCAGACCCGGCGACGAAACTTACCCAGATACTGGACGTTCTCATCAGCGAGGAGGCCGATGACACCGTTGGGCGCCTTGGTTCCCGTCTTTGCGCGGGCGCGCTGTGTCTTGTACACGACGATGCCATACGTGAGAGCTGCGGCCACAAACGATGTCCGGTAGGAGAATTGGGCCATGCCGCTGTAGTAGTTCATGAATATCCATGACAGGGCATATCGAGTGGTAGTGAGCAGAAGGGTCAGGTGCCTGAGTGGACGAAACGTCAGTCGCGTGTCTCTTCATATGGTCGTGTCTACCCGATCAAATGCCGGCCCCCAAAGTCGTCGCCCTCCGTGCTTCCGAAACGTGTCGAGTTCTTGCGTCTTGGGGAGATTCGGCGGGAAGCTGCGGAAGAGGCGAGGCAAAGCTCAGAAGGGGAGGACATCGGGGCCGGGATGAAGTGCAGTCAAGTCAGAGATGGTTGGAGGTCTTACCCGACAAACCAGGCGACTATGCAACAAGAAAAGACCAGGTTAGCAACTGTGCACGTGCAAATCTGACCACAAAGAAAAGAAACATTCAAGGAGCTTGCAAACATACACTGCAGAGTCTGGGCCAGAGCCAAGAATCGCTCCTTGAGCGGAAGATTGGGGTTTGGCGGAGGAGGAGCCATGTCGTAGGATCAACTGCTATCGAGCAGCAGACAGTCGCCAGCTGAGGGGTTGTGACGTTGGGCAAACACGGGCGATGACGAGGACGTGAAGCTTCAAGACGGCGCGCAGAACAACTTGCAGAGCTGATGAGGGGTAGCTTCGGCAAGGGGGGGACAAAGAGCTGAGCTGGTGGTGATGATGCGAGAGACGAGAGCGTGTGTCAAAGTCGAGGTTCTCTTCGGAGAAGAAGAGCAGCGGAATGTATGCAGAATAGCAGAGATGGTCTGGAGCTGGGAAAAGGGAAGAGAGTGGGAGGGAAGAAGAAGAAGAAGCCGGAGCTGGAGCTGAAGCCAGCTTGTTTAGTCGCAGGCGCCTCAGGTGGTTGGTGGCGCTGGAGCCTTGCTGTGTCCGGCTTCTATTGGCTTCTCTAGCGGCAGCAAACCGGGTCACAGAAAAAAAAAAGCAAGCAAGTGGATGCGTCACTGATGGAGATGAAGAAAAGGAGATGCACGCGTATCAAAGGCGATTTTATCAGCTGCAATGAGGACAGCTTTCGTTGGAGGCCATTCTGCTGCCTGATGAGCTTTTTGTTCGCGTTCAGGGGCCACGAGCTGAAGCCGGAGCTGGGCATGTGCTTCGCCGACGAGGATGACGACGTCTCATGACCGAGGCTCAACAGCTGCCAGCTTTCTCTTGTCCTCTGTCGTCGAGGTCTTTCTTGAAAATGAATCCTCTTGCTTCCGAGTTGCCTGCATGATGCATTGATCGCGATATCTCTACATAGGATTCATTCTGGTAACTATCTATCCAATATCAAATCAGCATCTAAAGTTGTATGATCAGCATTCAAGGATTCTCCAGATCTGCCGATTCATGATGAGGGATGACGACAGAGCTGCCACCGCCAATGACGAAATTAAATGCCTTGCTTGGCCACACAAAAACTTGTAGTGCTGCTCTTGTCTCCCGTCAACTAATTGCCAGTGCACCCACGCGAGCAGTTTACACTAACTACCAATAAAGCTGAGCTCGCGGCATGTGAAAGAAGATGATGAATATGCAGTTGGACGCTGCAGTCCAGCACCGGTGCAAGAAAGATGAAGGGATGAGGTACCAGTACGGACGGAGTACGCGAGTTGCACCTGGTTCTTGTTCAAATCCGACTCCTTTGTGCTTCATCAATCACTCCATCCAGGTTCTTATGCCGGCATGGACATCCACCACCAAAATAAAGAAAGAAAAAAAAAAAAAAAACGGTAAAAGAAGAGCACGAGATGACGATGCTGAATTTCGCGTTATTGAAGTTTCCTATACATACAGCATGACTAGGTGATAAGCAAAAAAGACAAAAAAATCAGTGGGCAACTGGGACTTTTGCTCCCGGCAGGGCTTGAACCTGCGACCTTCGCATTACCAACACTTGGCGCAAGGCCGGAAGTATTAGTACGAAGCTCTAACCAACTGAGCTACGGAAGCCCTGAATTGAGATCTGAGCTTCTTCATTACACCCATCAACCTTGCTGGCTATTCTAGGGTAGCCTCGCCCAGGGCCTCGCCAATTTTGCCCTTCGATCCGTTTCCCGACATTCATTGGATTAATCAACCTAACAGAAAAGGACATCACCAGGCTGGACATTGGAATTTGAATTGCAGCTACAACAAAGCTTCGGCAAGAGTCTTCACTTTCTGCGTTGTCGTCACCGCCGCCATGCGTATGGTAATCGTCAAGGTAAGATATCTTAACCTTGAATGTTGCTCACTTGAATGACGTGCTGTTGTATAAATAACTGCCCGAGACATTCTCCAACATGTCTTGCCTTGCCGGAGCTTTTCTCCTCTCTCTGAGTATAATTTTCACCTTGACGGCGCGGAACAGCATCCAGTTGTCGTGCGAGCTAAATACAGTTACAAAGGCACATAGGGTATGTTGATGTAAGTGAATCCTGGACGCAGGCGGGCCTTGTTCTACGTCCGCATCCGCAGCTTTCAGGCAACACGAATCGGTTGAGATCGGTTGCAGTTGGTTCACCGCATTCTTCCTCAATCTGCTGCAGATTCGGATCTCGATTGAGGAGTCTCCCTTTCGCCTGGGCGGAATCTCAGAGGCATCCCTTGCATACAACTTGGTTGCATCTCGAACCACTCATTAGACGTGGAGAATATCTACTGGCTTGAAGGCGGCCTCAAACTCTCATCAGTATTACTGAACTTTAGGCTGAGGAATGTTGCAGAACGGATGAAGATGACGACTCACATATTCCTCCACATACGAGCCCACTCGCACGTGTTCCCTGGGACATGTTCGCGTATGTGTTCCAAACTGCTGGACCGTATTGCTTGCCCCGACCAAACCCTATTCCGTGGCATTTCTACAGGTCTTGGAGTAGACCGAGAAGTTATGTTGATGAGATGCTGTGACGGCGAGGACCAACGTCCCTATCAACAGATGATGGCGTCTTGTGAAGTCTTCGGGCTCCCTACTACTCAGGTACAAGGCCGCAACGATCGGACATCCTACGAAGACCAAGTACGTAACGACAACTCTGAAACCTTCAGCACCGGTTTATGGGTTGCCAGTACTCCGTATATCCACTTCATGTCTCTCATGGCAGCTGATCTCTCAACTCTTTCCTCGTCTTCGTGGCTTGCCCCTTAATGAGGAGCAGTATCATCCCTCTCTGAACATCATAGTACCACTACCCACTACCCCGGACCAACGCTTTGTCTCATATAATATCTCCTCCTTTTTAGAAATCTGACCGCCCATTTCTCACAGTCCCTTTACAATCGAAGCTGTGGTTGAGGCCGTTTCTGTCATTGCAAGCTATCCAGAGGCAGTTCTGGTGTATATAGCTCTAACCAGCCTACCCAAAGCTCACTACAGCTGCGACAGACGGAATCATGGCTTCCAAAGAGACTGAAGCGCGGCAGCGTATGGAAAAGGAGCTTTTGAAAGATGAAGCTCTCAAGCAGGTCAAGATCCTGGACTTGGCTCTGCAGAATGAAGAGCCACAGTGGACAGTGGTCATCAGCCTGACTGGGTCAGAAGGACATGACCAGGCCGATCCCTCCATAGTCATCAAGAGAGCTCGCAAAGCTCTTAGGAAGATGAAAGACCGCGGTGCGGATGGCGCCTTTCCAGTTCCCAAGAAGTGGACTGTTCTCGACGAGCTTCCCACGACCTCGGACGGGCAAGTGGACGAAAAAGCACTCTTCCGCCTGCTGACGGCTTGGGCATCTACTGATCCTAGCCTTTCACCGAAAGAAAAGAGGGCGCGTTTGGCTGCTCATGCGGCACGTCCCGATAGTCAGCACCTCCCCCAGGAGGAGGTCCCGACCCAAGAGACGGAGCTGGTTTTGCGAGAGTTCTGGGGCAGGGTTCTCAACATCGAACCTCGGGGTATCGGGATCAAGGACAGTTTTCTGAGTCTTGGTGGAGATTCGATCAATGCCATAGAGCTCGTTGCATTGGCTGAACAGTATGGGATCGGGCTGACCGTCACCGCGATCATGGGCAACCCTCGACTGCCGGATATGGCTGCCGTCGCAGTCCTGGACGAGCCGCATAGCGAAGCATACAATGCAGAGCCGCTGAGCTTACTGCCGGAGACGGAAGTTGATGCCATTCTGAGTGAAGTTCGAGACAAGTGTGGCCTCGGAAACGACGATGTTGTCGAGGATGCTTTCCCATGCACGGCGCTCCAGGCTGGCATCATGGCACTATCGGAGAAGCAGCCTGGATCGTACATGACGAGACAGATATATCAATTGCCGAGCAATGTTGACGTTCCCCGGTTCAAAGCGGCGTGGCGAGAGACTGTCGACCGCTGTGGAAATCTTCGCACCAGAGTGTTGCCCGTCAACGGTCAAGCTATTCAAGCAGTGATCAAAGGTGACGCAGCTTGGGAGGAAACAGCTGGTGAAACAATCGACTCGTTCGCAGAGAAAGTCAAAGACATGAAGATGACCTATGGAACACGTTTGTGTCGGTACGCACTCGTGACTGACGTAAAAGAGGGCAAGTCATACTTTGTCTGGACCATCCACCACTCGATATTCGACGGGTTGACCGCCCGCCTCGTTCTCGACAGCTTGTATCGGATATACCATGGTCAAGAGACAAACTACCTGCGACCATACTCAAGCTTCATCAAGTACATCACTGCTATCGATCAAGATGCGGCGGGCAGCTTCTGGAAGACACAGCTGCAAGACGCTCGTCGGGCCAACTTTCCTCGCGCCACAAACACCAAAGGTGAAATGGACAGCCGTGTGATGACGAGAGAGATTTCGTTTCCACGCCAGGCTGGATCCTCTGTCACAAAAGCGACGATATTGAGGGCTGCCTGGGCCATCATCTTGGCCAGGTACTGTGATACGGACGATGTTTGCTTTGGAACAACTGTTTCTGGGAGACAAGCCCCTGTCCCTGGCATCAATCAGATGGCTGGATTTGTCATTGCCACGGTTCCGATCCGGATTCGCCTCGGCGCCCAGTCTGTTGCTGCCTTCTTGAAGAGCATCCAGGACCAGGCGTCTGAAATGGTCGCCTTTGAGCAATATGGGATACAGAACATTGCAAAGCTTGGTGAGGATGCGAGAGATGCTTGCGATTTCTCGAACCTGCTCGTCATCCAACCGGCCAGGTCATTGGCCTCTGCGGCCGATTCTGGATCCAAGGACGCGATATTGTTGAGAGGCAGCGCTGCCGAGAAGGAATTGTCTGATGCCTCAACGCGGAATTACTTTAACTATCCACTTGTTCTCGAGGCTTTTCTTGACGATGATCGGGTCAGTCTGCAAGTCACGCATGATCAAAATTCCATCAGGAGCGACGCCCTGGAGGCGCTGTTCCATCACTTCGACCATGTCGTCCAGCAACTCCTACAAGCATCAGACCAGCCACTCAGTGCGATCAATGTTGCAGGAGATTGGGACTTGGAATGCGCAAAAAGGTTCAATGAGGAAGCCCCAGAGATTATAGACCTTTGCATTCACCAGATGTTCGAGAACCAAGCTCTAAGACGGCCGACAGACCTGGCAATCTGCGCATGGGACAAGAGTTTCACGTACAGTGAGCTTAACCAGGCATCGAACAGACTGGCTCATCACCTCGTGAACAAGCTCTCTATACAGAAAGAAGACTTGGTACATGTGTGTTTCGAAAAGTCCGCCTGGTACATCGTTGCAATATTGGCAATCAACAAGGCGGGCGCAGCTTGGGTCCCCTTGGATCCCTCCCATCCTGAGCAACGTTTGAAGCAAGTCGTTTCGCAAACAAAGGCAAAGGTTGCTTTGGCTTCATCGACGTACTCGTCGTTGTGTGCTCGTATCGTTGACTTTGTCGTCGAAGTATGCCCTGCTTTGGACGAGAAGCTGGTCCACAACGAATGCAGTGCACAAGGACCAATGGTAGAGGTATCACCGCGAAACGCTGCCTATGTCTTGTTTACGTCTGGGAGCACAGGAACCCCGAAAGGTCTGGTTATGGAACATGGCGCTGTTTGCACAAGCCAAGTGGCCATTGCCAAACGCCTTGGAATGACGCCTTGCGTGAGGTTGCTGCAGTTCTCAGCGTACGTTTTCGACGTCTCTGTGGGCGAAATTGTACAGCCGCTTATTACAGGCGCGTGTTGCTGTGTGCCCTCGGAAGCGTCTCGCATGAACAATCTTGTCGAGTTCATTCGCGATCAGCACGTTACCTGGACGTATTTTACGCCGTCATTTGCGAGAACAATCAACCCAGTGGAGGTTCCAAATTTGGAGCTGGTGCTGCTTATAGGGGAAGCTGTTCCGCGCGATGTCTTTGACATGTGGGTTCAAGTTGGGAGGACACGGCTCATCAACGCCTGGGGGCCTGCTGAAACCTGCGTCTTTAGCAGTATCCAAGAATGCCGCTCATCGAAGGAATCCAATCTGGACATCGGACGGCCCGTGGGTGCGTTTTGTTGGATCGTTGATGCCACTGATCCTCAGCGGCTTGCGCCTATTGGAACCGTGGGCGAAATCGTCGTGCAAGGCCCGACTGTCCTGCGAGAGTATCTTGGTAACCCGGAAAAGACAAGCGAAGCAGTTATCACTGCTCCAGAATGGGCACCCCATTGCCAGTCAAAGTACTGGAACCGGTTCTATAAGACGGGAGACTTGGCCTACTACAACCCTGGTGGGACTATGGAGTTCCTCAGCCGCAAGGATACGCAAGTCAAGATCCGTGGCCTTCGTATCGAGCTCGGTGACATTGAGCACCACATACAGAATACCCTGAAGAGTGTGTGCCAAACAACGGTGGACGTCTTCAAGTCTGATACGGGCTCTCATTTGGTGGCGTACATCTGCTTTACAAAGGAAAGGCGAGCCACAAGCAAAGCTGGTCCTGAAAACGACGCCCTTTTCTTGCCCTTGACGGAAGAAGTGAGATTGCAAATCACCGAACTCATCGGCGAGCTCAGCATTTTGCTCCCTCACTACATGATTCCTAGGATATTCATCCCCTGCCGATATATGCCAGTTGTCTCTTCGGCGAAACTGGACAGGAACAGACTACGCGATTTTACGCAGAGACTCACCAAACAGGAGTTGGCGCAATACTCCCTGGCTTCTCTCAACACCAGGAAACCAGAAACTGCCTCTGAAGTTCGCATGCAGCGGCTATGGGCCGGAGAGCTGAAAGTTCCGGCAGAGTCGATAGGACGAGACGACAGCTTTCTTCATCTGGGCGGAGACTCGCTTGTGGCCATCCAACTGGTGACTGCAGCCCGTAACGAGGGCTTGTCACTTACAGTGAAGGACATCTTTGATGATCCGCGGTTGTGGGCGGTATCACTGAAGGCCATAGAGGTTGATACGAGTAAAAGTGTACTGCCTGAGATTCGCCCATTTTCTCTCTTGGATGGTCACATTGACACCGCTGGTATCGATGAGAAATTGCGAACACTGTGTGGTCTGCCAAGAGACACGACCATTGAGGATGCTTTCCCATGTACTTCCCTCCAAGAGGGACTTTTGGCATTGTCGACGACTCAGCCTGGCTCATACATTGCCAAGCAGATGTATCGACTACCCACAGACGTCGATATTGCGAGGTTCCGAGCTGCTTGGGAAGAAACTGTTAGGCGTTGCTCTAACTTGAGAACGAGAATTGTCTTAGTTGATGATATCGCTGTCCAGGTCGTGGTAAAAGACGACATTACATGGGACTCGGTTGAACCAACAAATCTTGATGCATATACAGAAGGTTGTCACAGTCTCACAATGGGCTACGGATCGCGTCTCAGCCGCTATTCCATCATTCGCGGAAATGGGGATGAAAAGGGCGTATACTTTGCCCTCTGTGCTCATCATTGTGTCTTCGATGGCTGGACCCTGCCGCTCATCTTCAGTACATTATCCGCCGTATATCACCGGACATCTGTGCCCAGGCTCGTTCCCTATGTCCAGTTTGTCAACTACACCATGGGACTTGATAAGGACGCTGCCAGCAGTTATTGGATCTCTCAGCTTCAAGGTGCCCAGCCAGCTTCGTTTCCGTCCATTGCAGAGACTCAATCGCAGGGCAAGGCCACACGTGTGAGGACCCATGGCGTGCGGTTTCCCCAACTAGATAACCTCTCGGTCACTAAAGCATCGATATTGCGCGCCGCTTGGGCACTCGTGCTGTCGAAATACAGCGATACCAGCGATATCTGCTTTGGTACAGTAGCCTCGGGCCGCAATGCTGATCTTCATGGCCTGGAATCGGTTGCTGGCTTGGTCATTGCTACTGTGCCCGTCCGAGTTAAGCTGGATCGTCAGAAGCCGATTGCTTCATTCCTTCAGGACATCCATAACCAAGCCATTGAGATGATACCGTATGAGCAATATGGCTTGCAGAACATTTCCAAGCTCAGCAAGGAAGCTCAGCAGGCGTGTGATTTCAGCAGTCTCTTCGTGGTGCAGCCGGCCAATACCGAGGATGTCGCCGAGTCTCTGCTGACCTCGGTCAATTCCGGAGGCAATCTCTATGAAAAGTCGCTGCAGAACTATCTCAGTTATCCCCTGGTGTTGCAATGCTATTTGCGAGAGGACCAAGTGGCCTTGGAATTCATCTATGATGAGAATGTCGTGTCTGAGTGGCGGATACAGGCATTATCTATACACTTGGATAATGTTATCCAACAGCTTTGCAAGCCAAAGGAAGATGTTCTTGGATCTATTACTATAGCCGGCTCGTGGGATCTCCAGCAAGCCAGGGACTGGAATGCTCCGTTCGACTTGGTAAGTAGATGCGTTGATGACTTGGTAGCCGAGCAGGTGTTTATGAGACCAAATCATGAAGCCATCTACTCAACAGAGCAAACCCTTACATATGCTGAGCTACACGAGCTGTCCAGCGCCTTGGCCTCTCACCTCTCAGAGTTGGGGGTAGGGCCCGAGGTCGTCGTTCCCTTGTGCATGGAAAAGTCGATTTGGGTCGTCGTTGCGATGCTCGCAATCATGCAAGCAGGCGGAGCCTATCTGCCTCTTGACCCTTCCCATCCGATCAATCGCAGACGGATGATTGTGGAAGAAGTCGGCGCCAGTGTTATTCTGGTATCGCCAACGACAGAGATTTCATGCAATGGGCTGGCAAGCAGCGTGATCGTGTTGTCGGCCTCCACGATGAACGGACTCTCTGAGCTAACAAAACATGAACCCAAGCCACCAAAGAGACACTCACCAAAAAACGCCGCGTACGTATTGTTCACTTCAGGTTCAACAGGAAAGCCAAAGGGTACAGTCATTGAACACTTTGCTGCCTGCACAAACATCCTGGGCATTGGAAAGGCCGTAGGATGGGATGACTCTTCACGATGTCTCCAATTCTCGTCTTACACTTTCGACGCCAGCGTGGCGGACATCTTCATCACACTCGCATTTGGTGGTACGATATGCATGCCATCCGAAATGGAGCGGTTGCAACACACGCACGAGTTCATCCGGAAAGCACATGTCAACATCGCGGTGTTCACTCCGTCGTTTGCCCAGCTTATGAACCCACGTGTGGTGCCTCAACTCCAGACTTTGGCCGTCATTGGCGAGCCCCCTACCGATGATACTCTAAAGGTCTGGTGTGAGCATGTTAGGCTATACAATATATACGGCCCAACAGAGATCACCATCTGCTGTACTACTCACCTTTTTAGTATACATGACAACCCCAGGAACATTGGTCGACCTTTCAACAGTGCCTGCTGGATCGTCGAGCCAGATAACTACAACGAGCTGACACCTATTGGTTGCGTTGGCGAACTTGTCCTCCAAGGGAATAGCATAGGCCGTGGGTACATAAACGAACCCGAGAAAACGAAGCAAGTGTTCCTCTCCGAGGTTCAATGTGCTTCATCTGGGCCTCGTCGGTTCTATTTGACTGGTGATTTAGTCAGGTATAACGCAAAGGGCGAAATCGAGTATCTCGGCCGCAAGGACAAGCAGGTCAAGATTCGCGGACAGCGCTTGGAGCTCGGCGAAATCGAGGCCAGCATCAAGCGGGTCATGCCAGAGATTGCTCAAGTCGGCGTTGAGCTGCTACGGAGAGAGGCTGGAGACTGCTTGGCTGCCTTTATATGCTTCAAAGAAGAGCATGATGACCGACCAGCCAACAATTTTGTTCCGTTGGAAGACGGGATGCGGGAGCGCCTTGTTGGGTTGGTTGATAAGCTCAAGGATGAACTGCCCAGTTACATGGTCCCCAAACTAACCATACCTCTGCGCAAACTGCCGTTTAATGCAGCGATGAAGCTTGACAGAGGCAAACTACTGGATTCGATCAAAGGCCTTACAACGGAGCAGTTGATGTCATATTCGTTGTCAGAGAGAGATAGGATCCCCCCAACAACCGAGATGGAGATCAGATTGCAAGGCTTATGGGCTCGCGTGCTGAAGCTTGAGCCGGACACCATCGGGAAGAACGACCACTTCTTCCAGACTGGAGGTGACTCGCTTTCGGCCATCAGGCTCTCTTCGCTTGCAAACCAGCAGGGCATCAAGCTGTCCGTCGCAACGATATTTGCGGAGCCAAAGCTTTCAGCAATGGCCGCTGCTGTCACCGCGGGAGAGGTCGAGGAGGAAGTTCAGTTGGAGCCTTTCAGCTTGCTTCCTTTCGAGGTGACTGACGATGTTATGAATACCGTTAGAAAAAAGTGTAACCTGTCTGGAAGTCAAGTTATCCAGGACATGTATCCCTGTACTGCTTTCCAGGAAGGGCTCATGGCTCTCGTCGTCACGCGGCCCGGCTCATACATTGCAAAGAACATCTACAAACTGCCTGCCGATCTGGATCTTGCAGTATTCAAGACAGCCTGGGAGCGGACAGTAGCGTTGTGCGACAGTCTTCGAACGAGGATTGTGTCCGTTGAAGGAACCTGTCTCCAAGTTGTGCTAGATCGGGATTTTTCATGGGATACAGCTTCGTCCTCCGACATTCAAACCTGTGTGTCTGCTTCATACCGCGTGGAAATGGACTATGGATCACGCCTTTCACGATATAGCATTGTGGAAGACAGGAACGGCGACAGATATTTCTTCTGGATAATCCATCACGCGATCTTCGACGGATGGAGCCTCGGAGTCATCATCAACACGTTGACTGCGCTCCTGAAGAACAGCGCTTTACCAACTTTGTCTCCTGTTCGGAAATTCATCAAGTACACGATAGATCTCAATACGGAAGCAGCAAATGAGTACTGGATGAAGCAGTTACAGGATGCCAAGAGAGCCTCATTTCCACCTCTAGGGCCGCGACACCAACCAACTTCTTCAAAGAAGAAAGCATGTGTCTTTGCCAGGGATATCAGGCTTCCCCCTTCGTCGCGCGGTTCCATCACACAAGCTACGATAATGAGGACTGCGTGGGCCATGGTTCTCGCAAGGTACTGCGACAGCAACGACGTGTGTTTTGCATCAACGGTATCTGGACGAACTGCCCCTGTCACCGGACTGGAGTCCATGCCAGGAGTGACGATTGCAACTGTACCTGTTCGCATCCGCATCAACCGTGGAGAGGAACTCACGTCGCTTCTTGACAGAGTCCAGCTCCAAGCGTCCGAAATGGTTGCATACGAGCAGTTTGGTCTTCAAAACATCACCAAGCTGAGCCCGCAAATTAAAGAAGCGTGTGACTTTTCCAGCTTGATGGTGGTGCAGCCTGCGGAAACCAGCGATCCTGACTCAATTCTCGTCTCTTTGAACTCGGATGAGAGGCTTGCGGAAGAGGTTTTGCAGAACTACTTTACCTACCCTCTGATTCTTCACTGCTTTCTTGGCGAAGGCACGGTGAAGTTGGTATTTATTTACGAGTCAGGCGTTTTGGCGGAGTCACAGATACGAGCCCTGTCGCGACAACTTGACAACGTTATCCAGCAGCTCACTGTATCCGAGGACAAGAGCGTTGGAGATGTCAATATTGCCGGGGAATTCGACCTAGAGTATGCCCTGGCGGCGAATGGCCAGCCTCCTGACACTGTTGAGGAGTGTATTCATGACCTTATCGGACGAGCTGTTACGGGGTTCTCGGACTTGCCCGCCGTGTCTGCCCGGGACGCTACATTTACCTACAAGGAACTTGACAAAGCCTCTGACAGGCTTGCCAATTATTTGGTTTCCTTTGGAGTCCAAGTAGGAGACATCGTCCATGTTTGTTTTGACAAGTTGGCCTGGTATGTGGTCGCCACTCTCGCAATTAGCAAAGCCGGCGGAACCTGGTCACCCCTTGATCCTTCTCATCCGCACGAGCGACATAAACAAGTCATCAGCCAAACTGGAGCTTCGCTCGCATTGGTCTCGCTAGGGAATGCGTTGAGACTTGCGGCTTTGGTTGAAAACACACTTGTAGTCGCAGAGGAACTCAACACTCGACTGATGGAAGAAGGCTGCTACGAGGGAAGGCCCCGTGTCGACGTGACGCCCCATCATGCCGCCTATATCCTTTTCACGTCAGGCAGCACAGGTACGCCAAAGGGCGTCATTATAGAGCACGGGGCTCTGTGTAGCGCCCAAACAGCTGCCAGCAAGAGGCTCGGATTCCGTCCAGGGGTCAGAATGCTGCAGTTTGCGTCTTATGTTTTTGATGCCTCAATTGCGGAGATTATCACACCTCTGATATCTGGTGCCTGCGTATGCATCCCCTCGTGGGATACACAGATGAACTCGCTCACCAGATATATCCAGCAAGAGCGGGTTAATCGGGCTTTGCTAACCCCTTCAATTGCTCGCACGATACACCCGGATGACGTGCCGAGTCTCGAATCGCTCATACTAGGAGGCGAAGCTGTGGGAAGAGATGTATTCGATATGTGGTATGGCAAGGTCCAGTTGCTGAACGCATGGGGGCCTACAGAGTCCTGCGTATTTGGAGCTGTGCATGCGTGGACGTCGGGAGACGAGTCACACTTGACGGTTGGGCGGCCGCTTGGAGGCTTCTGCTGGATTGTTGATTCAAACGATGCTCAGAGGCTGGCACCGATAGGGACTGTGGGCGAACTTGTTATTCAAGGGCCCAATCTGTATCGCGAATATTTGTCGGATGCAAAGAAAACGGCTTCGGCAACTGTACAGGCCCCTGATTGGGCACCTTACCGCGACTCGACACGATGGAATCGCTTCTACAAGACTGGAGACCTGGCCATGTATAATCCCGATGGAACACTTGAATACCAAGGTCGTAAGGATATGCAAGTCAAGATCCGTGGGCTTCGTGTGGAGTTGGGCGAGATTGAACACCATATACATACACGGTTGGACAGGGTCTGCCAAGTTGCCGTTGATGTCCTAAAGACGGAGTCTGCTTCCATTCTGGTTGCGTTCCTTTGTTTTGACGACGATACAATTCCTGCAGGGAGACAGATTCCAGAGGATCTAATCTCTCCTCTGACAGAAGATTTGAAGCGGTCTTTCCATGGCCTTCGTGAGCATCTCGGCTCTGCTCTACCGACCTACATGGTGCCAACGTTGTTCATTCCTTGCAAGGCTATGCCACTGGCTACTTCTGCGAAACTGGATCGAAAAATGCTGCTCCAGTTGACTGCTCAGCTTGGCCGGGAGAAACTGAATGAATTCGCCCTAGAGGATGGAAAAGAGACCAAAGAGATGCCCAAGTCAGATATGGAACGCCGTCTCCAGAAACTATGGAGCGACATTCTCAGTATCCCGCAGGATTCCATCTATCGCGACTCCAATTTCTTGAGCATTGGTGGCGATTCTGTGGCAGCTATCCGACTCGTGTCTTATGCTCGCACCGCAGGGATTCTGTTCACTGTGAGCGATGTGTTTGACGATCCCCGGCTGTTCTCCTTGGCAGCCAAAGTGAGATTGCTGGAAGCAAATCCTCACGAAGAGGACATTCGACCCTTTAGTCTACTGGAGAAACATCATCAAACGATGGCTACGAGCGACGCAACAAGGGCTCTTCTTGGGCTCCCCAGCAGCAATAGTATCGAAGATGCCTATCCTTGTTCAAGCCTTCAAGAAGGGCTCATGGCTCTAGCTGTAAAGCAACCTGGCTCGTATATCGCAAAGTTCATCTATCGCCTTTCTGACACTACCGAAGTTTCAAGATTCAAGGAAGCTTGGGAGCGGACAGTTCAGATTGCCAGCAATTTGAGAACTCGAATCATTCAACTAAGTGGCCAATCTCTCCAATTGGTCATCAAGGAGGAGGCTTCGTGGGATGATGCTCGCGACAAAACTCTAGAAGGCTATCTGAGTGAGCTTCAGGGTGTTCAAATGAACTATGGCTCTCGTCTGCGCCGTCATGCTATTCTACGAGATGATGAACGTCAAGAAACATACTTTGTCCTCATTCTTCATCATGCCATCTTTGACGGGTGGTCCGTGAGAAGCATCTTCAACATACTTCAGAACGTCTACCACGGTCTCAAGGATGTTAACATTGAGCCTTATTCGAGATTCATCAAGTACACCTTGCAGTCGAATCACCAAGCCGCTGTCGACTACTGGACGTCACAGCTTCAAGGAGCTAAGCCGGCTTCGTTCCCATCCAAGAAGAACCATTCGGATCCAGGTGTTGGCCACGCAGACCGCACTGGTATCGTGAACAAGATGATTGATGTCCCCACGATAGCCAGTCCCAGCATCACAATGGCGACGATTGTAAGGGCTGCCTGGTGTCTTGTGCTGTCTCGATACTGCGAAACTGACGACATCTGCTTCGGCGCAACTGTCTCCGGCAGACAAGCCCCAGTGCCCGGCCTCGTTGATATGCTGGGGCCTGTCATCGCAACTATACCCGTCAGGCTCCGTACAGACCACAAGAAATCGGTGTCGGAATATTTGCGCTATGTGCAAGGACACGCTACCGAGATGATTCCTTACGAACAGGTTGGCATCCAGAACATCTCCAAGATGAGTAACGACGCCAAAGATGTCTGTGACTTTTCGAGCCTTTTCGTCGTTCAGCCGATGCAGTCTCTTCTCGGTGATGGGAACGAGAGCATCATGGTCGCTATGGAAGAAGGCAAAAGTGCAGACGCTTTTCACAATTACTTCAACTACCCGTTGATCATCCAGGGACACTTGTACGAGAACCAGATCGAAATCGTGCTTATATACAATAGAGGAGTTATGCAAGAAGCGCAACTCATTGCCCTTGCGCATCAGCTCGAACATGCTGTTCAGCAGCTTGCTACACAGACGGACATGCTTCTTGGAGACGTGCCGAAGTCGTCGACCTGGGATATCCAGCAGGCGACCAAGTTCAACCCTGAACTGCCGAACATTGTCGAGTCATGTGTACATGAACTCTTCGAGAAGCAAGCCGCTACTCGCCCGGACTCACTAGCAGTGGATGCTTGGGATGGCCGCTTTACATATGATGCTTTGAATCGGGCTGCCAATCGCCTGGCGCACTACTTGATCCATGATCATAAAGTCAGGACGGGCGATCTTGTACACGCCGTTTTTGAGAAGAGTGCCTGGTACATCGTTTCCATATTAGCCATTAACAAGGCTGGGGCTACTTGGGTTCCCCTTGATCCAGCTCATCCGATCCAGCGGCTTGCTCAGATTGTCTCTCAAACAAAAGCAACTATTGCATTAACATCACCGACACACTCATCTTTGTGCAAGGCGCTCTTCGCTACGACGCTCGAAGTCACAGAAGCACTAGACAAGAAGCTGGCAGAAATCTCGAACAGCGTTGACAGAGACAACTTTAGAAGCAATGCATCCCCTCGTGACGGGGTCTACATGCTGTTCACGTCCGGCAGCACAGGGATCCCGAAAGGCTTCTTGATGGAGCACGGGGCTGTCTGCACCAGTCAGACTGCCATCGCCAAAAGACTTCGATTTACAGCCGAAGCTCGGGTTCTTCAATTTGCATCGCACGTGTTTGACATGTGCGTAGGCGAGACTATCCTGCCATTAATCTCTGGAGCTTGTGTATGCATACCTTCAGACCACACGAGGATGAACGGGTTGGCCGAGTTTATCCGTGATATGAAAGTGACATGGATGTGGTTCACACCTTCGTTTATCAAAACCATCAAGCCGCTTGATATACCAACTGTTGAGATTATTGTATTGGCTGGCGAGGCTATTCCGCGAGACGTTCTGCGTACCTGGTTTGGCAAAGTCCGCCTGGTCAATGCCTGGGGCCCTGCTGAGACTTGCTTATGCAGTACTCTCCATGAGTTCACTTCTGTTCACGAGTCGTCTTTGACGATTGGCAGAGCCGTTGGCGGTTTGTGCTGGATTGTAGATGTCCACGATTCCGCCAAGCTCGCCCCTATAGGTACTGTTGGCGAGATCATCATCCAAGGTCCAACTTTACTGCGGGAGTATCTTGGGGATTCAGACCGGACGAAGAAAACAATCATGACGTCCCTTCCCGATTGGGCTCCGTATCAAGACTCCAAATATTTCAGTCGGTGTTACAAGTCAGGCGACTTGGGTTTCTATAACCCAGACGGCACCATCGAGTTTTCAGCTCGAAAAGACACACAGGTCAAGATTCGAGGCCTTCGCGTGGAGCTTAGTGAAGTTGAGCATCACTTCCAGCTGGCCTTCCCGCAAGCGAAGCAGGTTGCCGTTGACGTGTTCAAGTCTGATGCTGGAGCAAATCTGGTTGCCTATTTCTGTCTAAGTGGCGACACGAGGGCCGACGATGACGATGGAAGAGGCGGTTCGCTGTTCCTCCCGATTGATGACTCGCTTCAGTCTAGCTTAACGCAGCTCGTTGGTGAGCTGTCTGTGGCATTGCCGCGATACATGGTTCCCACGCTCTTTATCCCGTGCAGCTATATGCCCGTCATCATTTCTACCAAGCTCGATCGGAAGAAGCTTCGCCAAATGACAGCTGAGCTGAAGCAGCAAGATCTTGCGTCCTACTCGCTGGTCGGAACTCAGAAGCGGCCCCCTGAAACACCCATGGAGGTGCTACTGCAAAAGATCTGGGCGGAAATCCTCAACATTCCGAGGGATGCCATCGGTCGCGACGACAGCTTTCTGGCACTTGGAGGCGACTCTATCGCGGCGATCCACCTGGCCAACACGGCTCGCGAAGACAAGATCCTGGTCACTGCCAAGAGCATCTTTGATGATCCCCGTTTGCTTGCCGTTGCCGCAGCAGCTAAGCACATAGAGGAAGTAGATGACGAGGCTTCTGACTTACTACCGTTCAGCCAGATCAATGAAGACGTACGTCGCTGGGCAACGGGAACATCTCTGGCGGCTCAACTTCAACTGTCGGCCAACCAGGCGGTTGAGGATGCTTACGGTTGCACAAAACTACAGGAGGGCCTCATGGCTCTCAGTCTGAAGCAACCGGGTTCGTACATTGCAAGATACGTGTACAGGCTCAGCAAAGAAGTAGACGTTTGTCGTTTCACGTCGGCATGGGATGAGACTATCAAATCTTGTGCCATATTACGATCACGGCTCGTACTTCTTGACGGAGTCTGTTACCAGGTCGTGATCAAAGATGACGACCTTTGGGATACTACCTCTTCAGACTTGAACGCTACCATGGAGACAATCAAATCTCTTCGAATGTCTTACGGATCGCGATTATCGCGTTTCTCAACCGCAACGGATGAACAGGGAAATAGCTACTTCTTGTGGACAGTCCATCATGCAATCCATGACGGGTGGACGATCCCGCTCATCCTCCAAACGTTCTGTCAAGCGTATCATGAGCGCATGCCTTTTGTTCCCCAGCCTTTCTCCAAGTTCATCCGCCATCTAGCACAGACGAGGGAGCCTGAAGCTCGCGCTTACTGGACGAAGCAGCTTGCAGATGCCAAGCAAGCTGACTTTCCACCGACAAAATCCGACAGCAGTTCTGCCGGTGCCACCAAAACCGGCACATTGAGTAGGAGGATCAACTTCCCAGAGTCATCCAACTCATTGATTACAAAGGCTACAATCCTTCGCGCGGCTTGGGCCATTGTCCTTGCGAGGTATTGCGACTCCGACGATATTTGCTTTGGTGCCACGATATCAGGCCGTCAAGCGTCTCTCAATGGTTTACTCGAGATTGCTGGACCAACGGTAGCTACGGTGCCTATCCGAATCCGCATTGATCGTGAACAGCTGGTATTGGATTTCCTGCAGGCTGTTCAGCATCAGGCTACCGACATGATACCGTATGAGCAGTTCGGCATACAGAACATCTCGAAATTGAGCCCCGAGGCAAAATTAGCTTGCGAATTCTCGAGCCTGATGTTGGTTCAGCCTATCCAGCAAGCTGTAGGCGACGATGACTTGAGTGGCGTTATGGTCGCTGCTGATACGGGGTTAAACACGCAAGAAAGCCTCGTGCAGAATTACTACACGTATCCGTTGGTCATCCAGGGACATGTCCATCACGATCGAGTGGAGCTTCTGGCCATCTTTGATACCGCAACACTTTCTCAGCCACAGGTAGAAGCCCTTGCACGTCAGTCCGACAGTGTGGTAGAGCAGCTGGTACTTAAACAGGGGCAAAGGGTTGACGAGATATCTGTCACCAGCCCGTGGGATCTGCAGTTGGCGACTCAAGCCAGTAGCAGTATTCCAGCTGTTATTGACAGCTGCGTCCATACTTTAATCTCACAGCAAGCCAGACAATCACCAGATGCCCCTGCTATCCATGCTTGGGATGGAGAGCTCACTTACAGCCAGTTAGAGAAGGCAACTGATAAACTAGCCGCGCATCTCTTACAAACATGCAATACAAGCATCGGAGACATCATACTTGTGTGCTTTGAGAAGTCCGTCTGGTACGTTGTGGCGATTATCGCAATCAACAAAGCTGGCGCGGCCTGGGCACCCATCGACCCGGCTCATCCCGTACAGCGACTACAGCAAGTAGCCCAGCAGACCGGCGCCAGACTGACGATATCGTCTGTCAGCCATGCTTCACTATGCAGGAAGCTGACCAATGAGGTTGTTGTGCTCGATCGCCATCTTCACGACGAGCTCAATACAAAGCAAGGCTGCAGTAAACCAAGCGTCAATGTTACCCCCGATGATGCCGCCTACGTCTTGTTTACCTCCGGCAGTACTGGTACGCCTAAGGGAATTGTCATGGAACACCGGGCTCTGTGTACAAGCCAGACGGACATCAGCAAGCGACTAAAGCTGACTGGTGACGTTCGGATGCTTCAGTTCTCCTCCTTCGTATTCGACGTTTCCGTTGGCGAGATCATGGCGCCTCTTATCCACGGTGCTTGCGTTTGTATACCGTCAGATGACATGAGATTGAATGGAAGCCTGAATGACTTTGTCCGTTCAGCTCGTGTTACATGGGCTTTTTTGACGCCGTCATTTGCGAGGACACTCCGGCCTGATGACTACCCGGGGCTAGAGCTTCTGCTTCTCGTTGGTGAGGCATTCCCACAGGAAGTACTCGATGCCTGGCATGGCAAGCTTCGGCTTATCAACGCCTGGGGGCCAGCAGAAACCTGCGTTTTCAGCTCTATCCATGAATGGACTGATCCTACGGAGGATATCACGACGATTGGACGCCCAGTCGGTTCCCATGTGTGGGTGGTTGACGCAGACAATCCTCGTCGTTTAGCACCTATCGGTTGTCACGGTGAAATCGTTGTCCAGGGACCAGCTCTTCTTCGCGAATATCTCTCTGATCCCGGCAAAACGTCAGCAGCGATAGTTACAAACCTCCCTAATTGGCTGCCAAACCACACAGCCAAGGGCTGGGATCGCTTTTACAGAACCGGCGACTTGGGCTACTACAGTCATGACGGTTATCTTCATTACCTTGGTCGCAAGGATACTCAGGTCAAGATTCGAGGTTTACGGGTTGAATTGGGCGAAGTTGAGCATCAGATTCGTGGTGCTCTCACCACCGCCCGTCAAGTTGCTGTTGACGTCTTCAAAAATGAATCCTCTGCTCATCTCGTGGCTTACATCTGCTTTACGGATAATACCAAGACGCCCCAACAGATGCTTGATCAGCATGAAGAGGATCTCCTCATGCATATGACTGCCGATTTGCGTGCCTCACTGAATAAGTTGACTGATGCCTTGAATGTGGCCCTTCCCAGATACATGATTCCAACGCTGTTTATCCCTCTCAACTACTTTCCTCTCATATCCTCCGCTAAGCTGGACAGAGTCAAATTGCGACAATTGATTGGTAGCTTTTCTTCCCAGCAGTGGAATGAACATGCGCTGCTTAACGACGTACAGAAGCGCGCTCCTGTAACGTCCATGGAAGTCCGTCTGCAGAAGATTTGGGCGACCGTTCTGAATATTCCCGCCGAGACGATTGGCCGTGATGACAGTTTCTTACGAATAGGCGGCGATTCGATTGGTGCCATTCGACTTGTTTCGTTGGCTCGCGATGCTGGCATAGATCTTGATGTCAGTCAAGTCTTTAGAGACTCACGCCTCTGCTACCTCGCTTCCAAGGCGACAGATACCGATGCTGCGTCAAGTGACGAGATTCGGCCATTCAGTATGCTGAGTGATTCTGTCAAGGCTCGAGTACTCGATCCCAGTCGCCGGGAGGAGTTTGGTCTCTCGGAGAGGGAAGTCATTGAGGATGCTTTCCCTTGCACCAAGCTTCAAGAAGGGCTCATGGCTATAGCAGCTAGACAAAAAGGCTCATACTCTGCAAAGCACTTGTTCAAGCTCCCGTCCCATGTGGACATACATCGATTTAGGTCAGCCTGGGAACAGACAGTTGCCACTTGCAGCAACCTACGGACAAAGATAGTTCTCGTCGACAACATTCCCATTCAAGTCCAGCTACAAGAAGGCCTTGCGTGGGAAAGCTCGTACGATGGTCTGGAATCGTACAAAGAGTCTTGCAAGAATCTTAGTATCAACTACAACTCAGCCCTCTGCAGTTACGCATTGTTTCATGACAAAGACGACAACTACTTTGCTCTCAACATGCACCACGCCATCTTCGACGGCTGGAGTTTATCGCTTGCTTTGCAGACGCTGTCAGCTGCCTATGAGGGAAGAGAATTACAAAAGCTTGAGCCATATTCAAGATTCGTCAGCTATGTGAGAGACATGGACGAAGACGCTGCTACCAACTACTGGCAGAAACAGCTGCATGAGGCGAAATCCGCAGGAATTCCACAACAGCCGGTCATCACTGGCGATCAACAAGGCACAGCGATATTAGAGCAGAAGATTCCTCTCCCACGCTCAAGGGATACCGCCATTACAAAAGCTACTGTCCTACGAGCTGCTTGGTCCATTGTGCTCGCCAGATATAGCGATCTAGATGATGTCTGCTTCGGCTCTGTTGTCTCGGGTCGCAACGCTCCTGTTCCCGGACTTGCCTCCATCCCGGGCCTCGTCACAGCCACAGTTCCCGTCCGAGTGAAGCTCGACCGGAAATGCCCCGTCAAGCAGTTCCTGCAAGATCTGCAGTCCCAAGCCACAGCAATGGTTCCCTACGAGCAGTTTGGGCTGCAAAGCATATCGAAAATCGATCAGCATACGAAAGAAGCCTGCAACTTTTCCAGCTTGATGGTGGTTCAGCCGGCGAAGCAAATGGGACTTGCAGATGTAGGCAGCGGATCAAGTCTCTTACAGCCGGCTCCTGAAGGTGATGATGTGCAGAAAATGATGCAAAGCTTCTTCAACTATCCGCTCGTCGTCCAGTGCAGTTTGTTCGACGATGAAGTCGACTTGATGCTCATGTACGACACAGCCATGTTTTCGCGCAATCAACTCATTGCCCTGTCGCATCAGTTCAACCATGTGGTTCAACAGCTGGTAACGCCGGATGAGCTACTGTTGGGGTATATTTCCCTGTCCAGTGCCTGGGATCTCGACCAAGCTGTTGGCTATAACAAGCAAAAGGTTGAGCTCGTCGATTCCTTCATCCATGACTTGGTCTCTGCACAGGCTCTGCGCGATCCTAATCACGAAGCTTTGTTCTCATCGGAGGCATCGTTGACATACGGCCAATTAGACCACCTATCAGCACTCCTGGCGAAGCATCTTTGCCTCCGAGGAGTAACGCCCAGATCGCTGGTTCCATTCTGCATGGAGAAATCCATATGGGCAATTGTTGCGATGCTCGGAATTCTCAAGTCTGGCGCTGCATTTGTTCCACTTGATCCCTCCCATCCGCGGGCTCGCTTGGAGACGATTGTCAAAGAGACAAACGCGAACCTGATGATCAATTCTCCTAGCTCGGCAAAACATTGCAAGGATCTTGTTCGGCAAACCGTGGAACTGTCCCCTTCGTTCATATCAGCGCTTGAAGCCACGGCCAGGCTAAAGTCTGATCACTCAATCACTATTCCCAGCCGGTCGACAAGCGATCTCGCCTACGTTATCTTCACATCTGGATCTACGGGCAAGCCCAAGGGCGTCGCCATCCAGCATTCGGCTCTGTCTACCACTATGATAGGCTTGGGTAAGGTGCTTCATTCTGGCCCTACTTCAAGGACCTTCCAGTTCGCCGGCTATGTCTTCGATGCTATGATTTACGAAGTCTTTGTACCGCTGATCTATGGCGGAACGGTGTGCGTTCCTTCAGATACTGAACGGCTTCAGGAGGCGCCAGCCTTTATCCGCAAGTCGCGGTCCAACGAAGCGCTTCTGACACCGTCTTTTGCCAGGACGATTGTGCCGTCTCAGGTCCCTACAATGAGGACGCTCATGGTCGGAGGTGAACCTGTGCCTAAGGACTTGCTGGAAATTTGGAGCGACAAAGTCCGTCTTATGAATGTATATGGCCCGACTGAGAGTTGTGTTGTGGTGACAACTCACGATGTTCGTTCACGCAACGATTCGCACAGGATCATCGGCCAAGGCTTTAATTCTGCTTGCTGGGTCGTTGATGCAGATGACCGCCGTGCCTTTACTCCCATTGGATGTGTTGGCGAGCTTGTGATTCAAGGTCATACACTATCTTGTGGCTATCTGAATGACTCCGAACGAACCGAGAAATCTTTCAGTAAACAGCTTGACTGCCTGGGCCCACTGCAGAATAACGGACCCCGGAGGTTCTATTTCACTGGAGACCTGGTCAGATACACTCCCGATGGTCTTATTGAGTACGTCGGACGAAAAGATCTGCAGGTGAAGCTGCGTGGTCAACGCATTGAACTTGGCGAGATCGAGTATCATTTCAAATGCTCGCTCGCGACGGTTGAACATGTTGTTGTAGACGTTCTTCATCACAAGTCCGGCATGGCTCTTGTAGCCTTCCTCAGTTTCACCGGAGGGGCTAATGATGGGGACCTTCTTCTACCTCTTGATGAAAGCCTACGTTCGTCGTTGGAGTTGGTTAGAGCGTATGTGAAGGCACGTGTTCCGCCCTACATGATGCCCAGCCTCATTCTACCTGTTCGAACCATGCCCTTTGTTACTTCGATGAAGATGGATCGCAGGAAATTGCTGGACTTGGCAGCGAGTCTGACAACCGATGAGATGGCGGGCTATTCACTTACGACACACAAGAGGGCCGAGCCAATTACAGATATGGAGAAGAGGATAATGGACCTGACAGCAAAAGTTCTCAAAATTCAGCCAGCTGAGATCAGTCGGCATGATAAATTCCTAGAGATTGGCGGCGACTCCATTACCGCCATTCAGCTCGTCAATCTGGCTCAGGCAGCTGATATTCCTCTGACTGTGGCGGACGTCTTCAAGGACTCACAGATCTCGGCTCTGTCTGCATTGGCAAGCAACCAGCAACTTGACAGGGTGACTGACCTTGAGCCATTTGCACTCTTGCCAGCTGATAACCGCGATATTTTGTTGGCCGAGATCTCAAAGTCGTGTGGAATCTCGAGCGTTGAGCACATTGAGGACGCGTATCCATGCACACAGCTGCAACAGGGGCTCATGGCGCTGTCTGTCAAGCAGCCGGGTTCGTATATCGCGAAGAATGTCTACAAGCTGCCACACCAGGTAGATGTTGGTCGGTTCAAATCCGCTTGGGAGCAAACCATGGAAACATGCAGCAATTTGCGGACCAGGATTGTGCTTGTAGATGGGAAGGCCATCCAAGTCATCCTACGAAATGCTCACCAATGGGATGATCTTGGCGGCGATGATCTCCCTACATATTCACAGAAGTTGTCTAGAATACAGATCAGCTACGGTTCCAGCCTTGTCCGGTACGCACTACTTCAGCATGGTGAAAGCCATTGTTTCAGTCTCACTATGCATCACAGCATATTTGATGGCTGGTCAATGAGCCGTATCATGGGTACGCTGGATGCCATCTATCGAAAGAATGAGCCTCCCCCATTAGCCCAATATGCCCGCTTTGTCAAGTACACCATGGATCTCAACCGGGATGCTGCTAAGAAATACTGGCTCGAGCAGCTTCATGAAGCCAAGCGGGCATCTTTCCCAGGAAACAACAACACCGCGGCATCTTCGAAGACTCAAATAACCTCCTATGTCAGCAAGAGAGTGGACTTTGCCAGCCCCAAGACAGCCGTGACAAAAGCATCCATCATCAGGGCTGCCTGGGCTATTGTGCTTGCGCGTTACTGCGATGCAAACGACATCTGCTTTGGCGCCACAGTTTCGGGCCGCAACGCCTCCCTCGTCGGCGCAGACTCTATGCCCGGAGTGATGCTTGCTACTGTGCCGGTTCGGGTCCATCTCGACGGCGACCAGACAGTGTCAGATTATCTGCTCAAGGTCCAGACACAAAGCAGCGAGATGGTTGCATACGAGCAGTTTGGCTTACAGAATATCTCGTCCCTTGGTGCGAACGCCAAAGATGCGTGCAATTTCTCGTCTATCCTGGTCGTTCAGCCCGCTGCCTTCTTCACGGAGAAAGGCCAATCTTCGGACGCCATTCTGATTGATGAGAGCTCTGAAGAAGCAATGGAAGATCGGATTCAGAATTTCATCAACTATCCCCTAGTCGTGCAAGGGCTACTGTTCAAGGACAAGGTCGAGATTGTTCTCATGTACGACACGAACTGCATGACCAAATCCCAAGCCGTTGCTGTATCAGAACAAATGCATCATGTCATCCAGCAATTGACAACTCAGAGCGAAAAGATGCTGGGAAGCATCTCCGTCGCGGGCCCGTGGGATTTAGAGCAGGCTATGCAATGGAATACGGCCAGCCTCGAACCTGCTGCCGAATGCCTCCACGATCTTGTATCTCAACATGCCAAGCGTCGACCGGAACATGAGGCCATCTACTCTACCAGCGGCAGCATGAGCTACTCCGAACTCGATCGTATCTCCTCCCAGCTCGCGGTTCTCCTAAGTGCGAAAGGTGTCGGCCCAGAGTCCTTGGTACCGATATGCTTTGAAAAATCGCCATGGGCCATTGTAGCCATGCTTGGTATAATAAAGGCCGGCGGTGCTTTTATTCCATTGGACCCAAGCCACCCTGTTGCCCGTCGCCAGGCACTTGTAAGCGAAGTCGGAGCTCAAGTCATGGTGGTTTCGCCCTCTGTTGCAACGGAATGTCTGCATATGGCCAAGGACGTTGTCGAACTATCGCCCAGTCTGCTTTCTTATTTCTCCGAGAGCTCAGATATTCATATCCAAAGCAAAGCTGGTCCGAGAAACGCAGCTTACATGCTCTTTACATCAGGCTCTACCGGCAAGCCCAAAGGTGTAGTGGTCGAGCACCAGGGCATTTGCACGTCTATACTGGGCGAACACAAGGCTTTCAACACTGACGAAAACTCGCGCTGGTTCCAGTTCGCCAACTATGTGTTTGACGCTTGCATCACCGAGATATTTGCCGCATTAACGGCCGGTGCTACTGTCTGCGTGCCGACTGAGACAGAACGGATGCATCACACGTCAAAGTTCATCACGGACGCCCAGGTTAACATCGCTCTGTTGACACCCACCTTTGTCAAGACTCTATCGCCCGACTCGGTGCCTTCATTGAAGACGCTCATCCTTGGTGGCGAAGCTGCGTCACAGGATATCCTTGAGACTTGGTATGGGTGCGTGGACTTGCGCAACGCGTACGGCCCTGCTGAAGCTTGCATTGCTTCTTCTGCCCATGTTTACACATCTTTGAATGTTTCTGCAACAACGATCGGTCGGGGATTTGCGCATCATTGCTGGATTGTTGATCCTGATGACCATCAGCAGCTGGCACCCATTGGCTGTACGGGAGAGCTTTTGGTGCAGGGCCCAGCTCTGGCAAGGGGCTACTTTGGTGACGAGAGCAAAACGAAGAGTTCATTCGTCGAAGATGTTACCTGGTTACCTACGGAACATGCGAAGGTGCGAAGGTTTTATAAAACGGGAGATTTGGTTCGGTATGGTGAAGAAGGTGTTATGGAGTATCTTGGACGAAAAGATACTCAGATCAAGATTCGAGGACAGCGGATAGAGGTAGGGGAGATTGAACATCAGATGAAGAAGCTGGAGACGACAATTCAACATGTTGCTGTGGACGTCATACAAGGGAAATCGCTCGCAGCATTCGTCAGCTTCGTCTTGAGCGACGGTGATGGCTTGAAGCGAGGCTTCGGCATCCTGGACAGAGACGAGGCGAATGGAGAAGTATTCTCTCAGCTCACGGCACACCTGAGCAGCATCTTACCCCAGCATATGGTGCCCTCATACATCATACCAGTTACATATATGCCTCACAACAGTGCCGGCAAGCTTGATCGTAAGCTACTTGTACAGACGGCTTCTCAGCTCGCTGCGGAGGAGCTCGCCCAACACTTGTCCAGCGAACGGACAGTCTTCCGCGACTGTTCCAACGAGACTGAGGCTTGGCTTCGGTCGCAGTGGGCGCATGTGCTCAATATGCCCGAGGAATCCATTAGTGTGGACGATAACTTTTACCGGCTGGGCGGTGATTCCATTCGCATTGTGACTCTTGCCAGGGCCATTCTTGATGAGTACGGTGTGAGCTTGGGTCTTTCCATTCTCAACAGCAAGCACACGACCATTGGCAGTATGGCGAGCTTCATCAAGGACAGTCGAGGAGATGCCACTGATAATGGAGCAGAAGTGGACCTCATGGGAAAGATACGCTCAATTACCGAGAGCATCTCCGCTTCTAGCTTGAACAACTTAGCCAAGCATCCGATTGTGAAGCTATCTCACAATTCGACGGTCCTTCTCACAGGCGCCACGGGGTTCTTGGGAACTGAGCTTCTCCGACAGCTGATTCTTGATACCTCGGTTCAATCAGTCGTCGCACTCGTTCGTGGCAAGTCACCGCGGCACGGACTTGAACGCATCATATCCACAGCCCAAACGGCCCGATGGTGGAATGACAGCTATGAACAAAAGATCGAAGTCTGGGTCGGTGATCTCGGTAAAAAGCATCTCGGTCTTGACGCCTCTCAATGGGAACGCCTTGCGGGAGTATCCAGGCAACAGAAGAACATCGACGCCATCGTTCATAACGGCGCCGTGGTTAACTGGCATGCGGACTACGATAAGCTGGCGGCGCCCAATGTCAGCTCTACCATGGAGTTGCTAAAGGCGGCTGCCTCTTCGCCGGTGAATCCTAGACTGGTGTTTGTCTCTGGGGGTTTGAAGACAGATCCGGAAGAAGATCCACAAAGAGTTGCCGTGCAGCTTGGTCGTCTGAATGGATATGTTCAGACCAAGTTTGTCTGCGAGAGCGTCATTCAAGAAGTTCTGAAGAGCCTGCCACGACCACAAAACAGGCTGTCCATTGTCAAGCCGGGACGTATCATCGGGTCTGAAAGCAACGGAGTCGCCAATGTCGATGACTTGATCTGGCGTGTCGTTGCGGGAGCTGCTGCTATTCACGCTTACCCGGTAGAACCGCCAGAGAACTGGATGTACATTGCTGATGTCCGCAGTGTTGCGTCCACAGTTCTTGGGCAAGTCTTCCGGGACACTGCCGTCAATTCCTTTGTCCATGTGACTGGCGGTATGCCCACTGTGACGTTCTGGAACAAGGTGAACGAGGAGCTTAAGATTAAGTGTAAGCCAGTATCATGGAGTGAGTGGACAGAGATGGCACAGGCTTCGATGGCCGAGGTTGGAGATCGGCATCCTCTCTGGCCTGTCCAACATTTCCTTGGGGCTCTCGGGGTGCCGCGGTCAGAAAAGGAGCTGGCAACGGAGTCTCTGGAGCATGAGCAATGGCATATGGCCGTGAGGAAGAATGTGCAGTATTTGGTCGAGATTGGGTTTATCGTGTCGTCTGTGGGCGAACTGGGCAATACGAAGGAGGAAGCAATGAAGCGGGTACACTAGGGCATCAATTACTCGACAAACTGGTAGCGCTTTTCAATTTGTTTATTCCGGAAGCATGTCTTTTTCATGAAGATGTTGTTTGTTCTCCTTTGTCTTGTTAGTTCTATGTTGCTACAGAGGGTCTTGGCCTAGGCCATCAATATATATGAAAATAACGCAAGCGCTTACGTGATCTGCTACAACAGGCGCCCAACGCCTGAAATCTTCCGTAGTATAGTGGTCAGTATGCAAGCTTGTCACGCTTGAGACCCGGGTTCAATTCCCGGCGGGAGAGATCCGCCAAACCTCTCAGAGGTTATAAGATTTTTTCTTTTCTTTTTTTTTCGCCTTCTTCTTGTAATCTTGGTCCTTTGAAATAATATTTTCTTATATTACGCCAAAAATACTGCGTCAACTGACCCATGTCTCTGTGTCTGTGCGATGTCTGTAATCTAGACAGATCCCAGAGAAAAGATTCAGTAGCAGCCAGAAAAGCAAAGAAGTGAGTTGCTGTTATACGACTCAGGAAACGGCCCAATTAGGCAGTTTCTAGTCTATGAAGCATGATTGTATGCATGCCATCATCACTGGTGCCAAGCCCCTCCTTAGCCATGTGGATGTGTAATTCTTGCATCTCTATGTAGCTTCACCTGCGTGTTGCTGCATCGCCACCACAGGCTGGGCATGAGCTGCAAAAGACGGTAGGAGGGGGACCACGACCGTCTTCAAAGGAAGCTTGCAGCTATAGTGTTCATAGCTGCCAGTTGCTCAGGCTGAACGTGATGGCTCAAAACACAACTGGAAGATGCAAGAGCAGAGCTTGGTGCTACAGATATTCATGATATTGACTAGACCCAAGAGACGAGGTTGTAAAGACCCATGTGTCGGCAGATGCCAATGGGATTGTTACCTTGAGTGAATAGGCGCGAGTAATGGACGGCAGCTCATTGGATCGTAGACCGGGGGCAAAGGTCCAGCTTTCTTGCAGGCATCGAGCTAAAGAAACCTGCTCAAAGTTGCTCATATTGGAAAGGACTATCTATGAGATATAGTCGCTATAGGCGCGCAGGCTGTGGAAGAAAGACACCAGACGAGTGGCTAGCCAGAAACCCAACTTGGGTATTCAGGATTCCAGCGAATCCATATATATCATTTATTATTACTGCTATTCTTACTGGTCTGAACAGAAGAGATAAAGCCTTTAATTTCTGGTGAAATAGCTATATAATCCTAGCCTTGCTATATGTTATAAAGGCTAGTAAACAGAGTATGAAATTCTAGCTCCCTTCCTTCAACCTTGATAGACTTGGGATACTGGACAGCTAAGTCAAAGTGTTAACATTATGATATGGAGGTCATTCTGGTGATTTCTTCCCCCCCCGCATGGAGCGTCAATGACTCGCATGAGGGACTCTCGCCGAACATGCTCTTCTCATGTCACTTTGATATGCTAGAAGAACGCAACAAAGATAACCATAAACATGAAAGCCATAGTATATGCAGCTATGTTATATCGGACGGCCGCTCGGACGGCAGCCTGGATACTGGCGTGAATAGATCCATCTGAAGCTCTGAAATACGCAATGCAACTATAAACAAATTCTTTGGTTTGCCAATAGTGAGTGCCCTGCCGTCCAATGGTTGCATTCCAAGTGCGCAGGTTTGAGGGGTATATTGCATGGCTAAACAAGTTTCTCTACCAACTTCGCAACGATGTGGAACGTCTCCCTCATCTGTTCAAGCTTCTCTTCCGGTGGATATATAAATTATGTTGGAATTCCTTCCGCAGCTTGATCAAGGCTGATGTTGGTCATCCTATTCCACATCGACCAGCACCAATTGCAAAGATGAGGTCCGCCTTGGCTGCGTGCGTCCTCTCGTCCTGGGCCCATGGCGCCTCCGCCCTGCTGGAAGGCTTCGGCCGTACGTCGTACGACCCTCTGTGCGCCGAGTCCTGTCTGCGGTCTTTCACTTCTCTCATGCTGCCATGTACGGAGATGGAGGGTGATAGCATGGGGATGATGGTCACCTCCCCGTCCTGCCGAGCCGAAAACACTCCTTTCCTCACATCAGTGGCATGGTGCATGAGTGACAAGTGCGTCAACGTTCCAGCATCCAAGCTCGAGGCGTACTGGGAAGATTGGGTCACAGGCGACAAAGCGATTCAGCCCAAATGGACCTTTTCTGAAGCTCTCTTCAAGGTCGACCCAAGGCCGCCTGTTCTCGAACTAAAGAGTTCCGATACGACTCTCAATGCCTCCTCGATTGTTGCGCCGACGACTTATCTTAGTCAATGGAACGTACTGGGAGAAGTCCGCGATGAGACGGCGATCGAATCAAAGTACAGGTAAGACCCTGCCCAAAGACCTGTCCGGTGTCGCCATTACATGCAACTTGGCTGACTTTTCCAGCGTTGCTCTGGTCGTTGTATCTGTCGGCTTGCCCGTCCTCACCACATGGCTTGGGTATCTACCTTGGATCCCGGACGCCTTCGATAAGCTGAAGCCATATGTGGTGTATCCAAGTACGATTGGTACATACTCCGTTCGCCCGCTGCCATTCCTACTTGGCAATGCCCCGACAACAGGCCAAGGGATATACATCACACTCTTCATCGTTCTCAATGTCGTCTTCACGGCCGTCGAGTACCATATCCGGCAGCCAAACGCTTGGTTTGCAAACGCTTGGCATGAGCTCATAGCATTCCTCTTGTACCGCACGGGGTCTTTTGCCTTTGCACTTCTTCCTGTCCTGATTCTCTTCGCGTCAAGGAACAATGTGCTCCTGTGGCTCGCAAACTGGTCTCACTCGACATACCTCCTCCTTCACAGATGGGTCGGCCGCATGTTCGCGCTCTATGCGGTGCTGCATTCGATATTTGGCCTTCTGACGTATAAGCAGTACGAGAATACGGTCTGGTGGAAATGGGGGGCGGCCGCAACCGTGTGCAGCGTAGCTCTATGGCTGGGAAGTGGGCTTTATGTCCGTCGCGCCAACTACGAGATCTTCCTCGTCTCTCACATTGTGCTGTCGGTTGTTGTCGTCGTTGGCTGCTGGTACCACTTGGTACTTTGGTATGAGTCCATGGGCATGCATCTTCCGGGCTATACATCTGGTTACGAAGATTGGCTGTACACCGCCATCGCCGTGTGGTTTGCAGATCGACTCGTGCGCGTGGTCCGGGTTCTCAGGTCGGGTATCAGGAGGTCGGTCGTCACTGACCTGGGCGCTGGCTATGTTCGCGTCGACATACCTGGGATCCGTTGGGGCGTGGAACCTGGGAAACATGTCTATGCCTACTTTCCCACACTCAGCCCTCTTCGACCATGGGAGAACCATCCTTTCTCCATTGTTCCGACGGCAATCTTTGGTCAAAGCAATCGGTCCAGCAACTCCAAGGAGCTCAGTGGATCGCCAAGTCCCAGTGCGCATCGAGATGAAGAGAGCCTCAAGCAAGCAGGTGTCTCATCAACAGTTGGCGCCTGCACGGACGAGCATGCCCAAGCAGGCGTGACATTGCTGATCAAGAAATCAGCTGGCATTACCAAACATCTCGAGCGTCACAGCGGCCTCCTCACTCTGCTCGAAGGCCCTTATGCCAGCGGAGATCCGAAAGACCTCCTACGATGCGATCGACTCGTTCTGATAGGTGGAGGAATAGGCATTACAAGCTTGCTTCCCTGGGCATACAACCACTGGAACGTCAGAGTCGTCTGGAGCGTCAAGGACTCTGCGGCTTGTCTCGTTGATGAGGTCAAGGGGGCCTTGGATACGTCGAGCATTACACAAAAGGACATACGCATTGGGAGCAGATTCAGTGTGGCCGAGGTCATTGAGGAAGAGGCAAGTCTCGGATGGCACAAGGTGGGCGTGATTGTGTCTGGACCTGGATCCCTTTGTGACGACGTGAGGGCAGCGGTATCGTTGACGGGCAGGGCTGGTCACACCAAGTTCCACCTTGAGGTTGATGCCTACTCGTGGTAGACGTTCTAGGATTGATAAAGTCACAATTCTTCTTCTGATAAAACGGATTACGGAAATGGGGAATAACAATGTCACAACATACTCACCTTTCAGTTATTAAAGCTCTTCCAGCGAGACATGAACAGTCGCGTCCTGTAGCGTTCAGAACTGAAACTGTCACAGACTCTCCATGTCATCAAGGCACATGTACTCGGCCACGGAGGCAGAGCAAGCTCATGTCTGTGCCAACTCACCCATGAAATGGCTCCTACAGCTTGTGGGTTCCTACATCTTGCGTACGCGTTTAGACAAACCTGTAGACAGGCAACCATCACCCAGACGATGAAATATAGCTTGCTGACCGGCTTGACGAGCGGTGGGAATGCCCTCAATCGCCATCTGAGACCAAGGCTGAACGCCTAAACGCGTATCCAAGTTGACCCTCGAGTCCCTACAACATGATTGGCCGAGCCTGCTTCCGATGATCAATCCGGGGAGTTTGCAATCTTCAGCAACCTCAGCATCTATTCAACCGGCCGGGTGCGGACGGAAAGGCGGGCCTCAGACGGGGTGAGATCTCACCCGCTCAGCAGCCCTGCGCACCTTATCATTGCCGAAGCTGACTTCTGACGACCAGCATCCGTCTGGCAGCTCTCCGTTTGGCTCGTCTAAAAGGATTGGCGGATACCGGTGGGTTGCCGTGGTCGGCGCGGCCAAGACTCGTCCACAGCGAGTCAGATGCACCCACAGACTCACTGCCGAGCAACTCAGCATCAGCCACAACAAACTCCCGACAGCTTCGTTGCGTCAACATGTTCGAGCAGCGCTGAAAGAAGCGATTGATGTTAGTCATCTCTCCCCGGACTGGCGGAGTTGAGCTTCAGCTCAGTAGTGTGGTGGCTTGTTCCAGGCCAAGACAGACTCGGCGTCGTTTAAGCCTCCCTTATATTACCGAAGTTCCTGCTTGACGTCTGGGGATTGGACGCCTCGAAGCTAGGTACTTTTGCCCGGGTCTCGTCGACTTGAATGTCCTACCAATGAGGGCGATGGTTGTAGTATCGACGACTCAGACTCTTGGTGCGGCTTCGTCCTAGATGGCTAAAGTTGTGGAATAGAGTTGACCCTAAATCGCGATGCCACCCACACCGGTGAAGTGGTTTAGGCTTGGGCTCGTCCCGGGGAAATATAATAAGCAAAGGAGCATGGCGTCGCGTGAGGTGGCTGTGACGACGGTCTCTCCTCATTCCCAACTGCTTTTGAATGACTTGAATTCTGTTCGAAGAATCGTCCAACTTAACCATGGGATGGCCATGAGAACCTCACGGTATCGCCCACAACCGTAACCGCCTATATGGTCTCGCTCATGTTTGCATTGAGCAGCATTCTTTCTGTTGCTGGTTCAAGATGGCGTCTCGTATACGACCTCGCAGCTTCGGCGCCGGCATTGATGGCATCGACGACACGGAGATGACCATCATCATCGTCTTTCTCTCGCTAGCCCTGTACAACGTCCTCGAGCTGTTTTGCATCATCTGGAGCACCTTCAAACGATATGCCGGGCTCTACTTCTGGTCCTTCTTGATGGCGACGGTTGGCATCGCCTTGTCCTGCGTCGGATTCTGCATCAAATACTTTGGGCCCGAATCGCTGGGCTACTTCTCTTGTACACTCAGCTTGACGGGATGGGTGTGTATGGTGACGGGTCAATCGCTGGTGCTGTGGTCTCGACTGCATCTCGTGCTGAGGAACCGGAAACGACTGAAGATTATCCTCTGGATCATCATCTTCAATGCCGTCGTCTGCCACGGCATGGTCATCCCGCTGGTATACGGATCGTTCTCGAACAGCCCGGAAATCTTTCAGCAGCCGTACAAGGTTACCGAACGGATAGAAATCGTCGTCTTCTTCCTGCAGGAGATGATGTTGTCTGGTCTCTACATCTACGAGACCATCAAACTGCTGCGGATGGGAGGCAGTCTGGGAAACAAGCAGTCCAGTCGTCGCGTGCTGAAGAACCTGATCCTCGTCAACGTCTTAGTGATGATTCTCGATGTAACGATTCTGGTTCTTGAGTTTGCGAACCTCTACGACTACCAGATCTCGTACAAGCCGTTCGCCTACAGCATCAAGCTGAAGCTCGAATTCACCGTCCTCAATCGCCTCGTTGAGCTGACGAGCGGGGGACGCGAGCATCATCCCAGCGACCACAGCAGGTCGTCGAGTGGCCGCAGCAACAGCACCGGCTCAGCCTTCATGGACACCTTGAGCAGCGGCAAGTCGATCAGCGGTGGCTCGTACCATGCATATGCAAAGGGCGGATGCACCGATCATCTGCACAAGCCGACGCCGTCGGAGGTCGAGAACGGGAATAGGGTCATGATGACGACCGCCATTACCGTGCATCATGAGAAGAGGTCGCCGGGCTGTGACGAGATGGGGCAGCCCAAGGATTCGTCTGAAGGGTCGACGAGTACAAGTAGCAGTTCGACGGCGGGGAGCTATGGGGGCGGAGAGAAATCATGATTAGCGAGGAGCAACCACTTTAAGGATTAGGGACTGCTGGAGTTTGGGCTTGGGGAAAAGGTATAGAACTTGTATATAAGAACGATTCGCGTACATACATACTATCATCATACCACCCTCGATAATGTAACACTTGGGTCGAACATGTTTAACTTGATCCGAGACTCCTCTGTCTCCCGCCAAGACAATCATTTCGCCAGGATCACAGTCGAGTTGCCGCTCAGTCTGAAACCAGCCTGTCAGATAATAAGAGCCGGCTGAAGGATCGTGGGCCCAGTCAACCAGTCATCCGATAACCCATGTCAAAAGGATCGGCTTGTGGGAGGGATCTTCGTCCTTCGCCTTAGAACTGGGTCTCGGTAGTTACTGAGCAAGGCTTCTATTGGATCAAAATTGCGATACCCCAGCTGTGCGACGTTGAGCAGCGCTTAAGCTTACGGCAAGGGTTGATGCCTCGTGGTTGCGCGCAACTCACAGACACAACAGCATCTTCAACAATGATGAATCCCACAAAGGCGTAAAAAAAGACGAGTCCTCCGTTGCTTCCTTACTCCATCTGAGAGAGAGCTTTACGATTTTTCAACCTCTAGTTTGATATGAAGATGTCGCTGCTCGCTTCTATCCTCGGCTATTGTTTGAGCAGCTCACCTTGATCATATGCCTGTCGCTCCCTGCATTAGCTCGAATCCTTCGACTTGCAGAGCCTCTCGAAATGAGCTCTTGCAAGGCAGTCTTCGGGCGTCGAACGAGATGCTATTTCTAGCTTGTCTTAGCCTGGCTGACTTGTTACACGTACGATGATGTAGGAAATGTGATTGTTAATCGCCGTTGTCGCATCCGTATTTCACGAGGCTGCCTGACGTCTCAGCTTCTTCGATTCTCTGCTCCTTCATGTTTTCTTCTTAGGTCGTTTGACCATCGTCTTGGCTGGCTCACCGTACGCCAACATGAAGACGCTCGTGTTCGTCGGCGCGTTCGTGCAGCTGCTGGTCCCCTGTTCAGCAGTCATCAAGCAATGCTATTACCCCGACGGCAGCCCGTCAAGCGATTTTCCATGCGATCCCAACGCGAAAGAGAGCGCGTGCTGCGGCTCCGGACTCGGGTCTACATGTCTCAGCAATCGGTTGTGTCAATCAAACAATGGGAACATAATTCGAGGGTCTTGCAGCGACAAGGACTGGTCATCGCCAGCATGTGCTCCTTTTTGCCTAGGTATGACACTCTGCTCTACGCCTGTGCCCCGAAGTTTTATCACAGGCCACAGGAAACTAAATGGCGATAACTTGTAGGTGCCGACACTGGAGGAACCGATCTGATATCGTGCTCCAACGTCACAAACGCCGACAACTCATTCTGCTGCGACCACACAAACGGCTGCTGCGACTCCGGCGCTGGCCGCTTCAACGTCCTGCCCAGAGACCCTGATGTATTCGCGACGTGGAATAACGAGGCGAGCTCATACCGCGTCGTTGGCACCGTGTACACCGGCAACCCGACAAGCACATCAAGTGCTCCCGCAAAAACGACATCGACAACAGCTGCTACAACAACAAGTTCCGCCCCGACGAACACGAGTCCTCCGAACGACTCGGACCAGTCATCCGGGCTGTCTAACGGAGCGAAAATCGGGATTGGCGTTGGCGTTGGCGTCGGAGTGGTTCTTCTCGCTGCGATTGCGTTTCTGGTGTGGAAGCTTCGGCAGAGGAAGGCGTCTGGTGCTGTTTTTGTTCCGGCACCTATGCAGGAGCTCGATGGCCGTGCGCATACACCCGCTGAGCTGGACGCTCGAGGGAAGAAGAACTCGGATCTGAGACCACCGGCGGAGTTGGCAGGATGAAGAAGCTGTTTCTGTACTGTAACATCAAGTGTACATTTATATCTGGACTGGACTGCTGAGTCGATTGTCAACATGAGCTCTCTATTACGGGCATGCAGGCAGAATTTTAATACCAACACAAATTAATAGGGAGACCGAAATCAACAACCGAGCGGGATATGTAAAGCAACACGCAGGCCGTCGCGATCTACAGGCACCAATGGCTCCTGTACAGCCACACAACGAACCGACCGGATGGTTATGCCAAGGCCCCGGAGACGTAACTGCGAGTCTCTTATAGGATCAAATGCGCCATGAAGAACCATCAACCGCCGTGGCGTTTGGATTCAGATAGGCGACGCAGGGCGAGGAGTAGCGGAGGTGCGAGTCCGAGATTTTGTTGGACGGTGTATTGACCCAGCAACTACCCCGATTATGATATCTCCTATTCTCCGCGTTTCTTTCCTGGATAAATTAGCCGTAAGAGAGACGGTTTATAGCCAGTTTGGAGTAGAATAGCATAATGAACTTTACTCAAAGTTGTGGCGTGGATGATCACCCATCATTCCGCTTGCTTACCATAGCCCTTGCCTGAGTCCAACATCCTCCAGGCTTGGAACTTCGTGACTTAGACATGTCTCTCAAGGTTCTGTTTCAAGCAACTACCTGATCTCGAGGTTAGTTTTCCGATCAAGCCGTTGCAAATCGAACAGTCAAATGGGGAAGCCGTTTACACGGACCAGAGATGCCCAGCTGTTATCCCAAAGCCGTTAGCTTTCCGACCTATTCATCGCCGTCAACAGACCACTTGTGTATAACTATTTGCTGGTGATGGGTACACTGAATTGCTATTGGCGAGCGTACTGTAATTGCAACTTCTAGGACAGGGCGGTTCTACGGACATTCGGAATACTTTCCTCTTCGATCATTTCAATACAATGTTGCAACATGCATATGAGCGACTCCAGGATCTTGCTCTATGCTCCGAGCACTCTGGGGCAGAATTCTCTGCACCCTCTGTAGAGAATATTTGTGATCTGACATACGATCTTGCCAGATCGAGAATTTGCTCTGCTGCATATGTCGGGTAGAGGCGGTGGTGGATGAATGTAGGTTGAAGCTCTTAGCCTTTGTTTGCGAGTACCGTTTAATCATGGAATCGTAGCCAGCTATAAGATAGGTGTTCTCGACAACACCTCCCTCTCGCCGCGTTCCAAAATCTCACTTTATAATCCAATTCCGATACTTCGTCCATCTCATAACCATAGCCAATCATGGCTCTTCACCCGGAAACTTTGGCCGTGCATGCCGACAATGAGTTGGATGTGAGCAACGACGTGTCACCGCCTCTTCACCCATCAAGTACATTTAGGTTTCCGTCCGACCCCGAACAACTCGTCCCTCTACGACACCGAAGTGTAGGTGATGCTCATCCAGCGCAAAGATATTACACTATAACTGACAGGATAAGTGCAGGCAGAAGACAAAAGCCATGTCTATTCTCGTCTGAGCAATCCAAACACAGCTCGCTTCGAAGCCCTCCTCACTTCCCTTATAAAAGCGCCATGCTTGACATATACATCTGGTCTTTCAGCCTTGCTGGGCATTCTTGTTTGCCTGAAGCCCCGCCAGATCGCTATTGCCAAGGGGTATCCTGGCTGCCACGGCACGATAGCACTGGTCAGCGGTCTGAACGGAATGAAGAAGATACCTCTGGACTGCCCAGCAGAAGACCTCGGCGCAGGAGACGTCGTCTTCCTGGAAACTCCCGTCAACCCTACAGGATTGGCTTCAAATATCCAAGATTATGCCGACAAAGCACACTCCAGAGGCGCCATCCTCGTCGTCGATGCCACGTTCGGTCCTCCGGGACTTCAAGATCCGTTCAAGCACGGCGCAGACATTGTTCTTCATTCAGGAACAAAGTATCTTGGGGGACATAGCGATATACTGTGTGGCGTGGTTGCAACAAATAACCAAGATTGGTTTGCGCAATTGAAAAAGGAGCGATTCTTCTTGGGCGGCGTGATGGGGAGTCTCGAGGGCTGGCTCGGTGTCCGCAGCATGAGGACTCTGCATCTTCGCGTGCTTCGGCAAAGTGAATCGGCGACCAAGCTTGTTCAATGGCTCAACTCTGCCTTGCAACTCAACGAGGCCTGTGGAGCGTCAACAGAGCCCGAATCTCGAATCATAAAGGCCGCCCTATCCAGTGTCACCCATGCATCTCTCCAGACAGCGGATCTAGAGCAAGGATGGCTCAAGGCTCAAATGCCCAACGGATTCGGGCCCGTCTTCTCAATATGCATGACATCTCGGGATATGGCGAACAGGTTTCCGAGCCAGCTGAAGCTGTTTGCTCACTGTACGAGCCTCGGCGGCGTTGAGAGCATGGTTGAGTGGAGGACGATGACGGATCTAGATGCGGACCCCACGCTGCTTCGTGTGAGCATCGGAGTGGAAAACTGGGAGGATCTCAAGTCGGACATTTTGCAGGCTTTTGAAGCTGTCTTGGACGATGAGAAGGTGGTTCAGTGAGACGTTGGGTATGAGCCGAGTGTTGTATGCGATTACACTGCATGGAGAGTCACTTTTGATGTCGAAAGCGAATACATTTGCAAGCACTACCGACGCTTGGTCTTCTATATAGCATCTTGACTGTGTAATGAGAAATACGACCATTGACTCAAGAATAGTATGTCAAAGCATGCCGCCCTTGTCCTAGGCTCGTCCATCTTCTTATCCAAGCCGTCTTTTGCTTTCCATACAACCACCTCAATTGCAGGCCACAGTCGTCGGCTCGGACACAAAAGTGTCCACCACAGCATACTTGCCATTCAGGTTGTCACTCACCACTTTTGGCGCGGCAAAGATGACGGAGCTACCCATGACCGGTGCGTACTTCTTGACAGCCACGGGACGAAGGCCAGCCTTATCGAGGATAGCATCCCATTGCGAGGCTGTGCGCTCAGAAGCCCCAAAGAGCGTGTACATCTGGAGATCAAGCCCAGCAGGCCAGACGTGAGCCCCCTGGTCTGCGATGACGACCTCGTCGATCAAGACCATGGAGTCGGCTGACATGGCCGGAACAATGTTGGCCAGGATCTGAGCAGCCTTGTCATCATCCCAGTTGTGAAGTATGGCTCGCAGATAGTAGTACTTTGCCCCTATAGGTGACGGTTAGTCAATGGACTCATGCAGCATTTTAAAGGTAGAACTTACCCTTCACGGGCTGGGGAGTGAAGAAATCATGCGCCATCAGTTGGAATCCCTTGGTGTCCGTCGCACTCTTGATTGTCTCCTCACGGTCTTGGACAACCACTCGACCAGCCAATTCAGGATACTTGGCCAGCAAGGTCTTTGCTTGATGACCAGTGTTGCCACCAATATCCACGAATACGGGACCCTGATGATCGCTAGTCGCGGAATAGTCAAGCGGGATCACATCGAGGCAGTTGCCTTCTTTGGGGATACCCATGAGGCTCTGGAAGTCTTTCAGAAGATCCGGGTGCTGCTTCAGCCAGGGGAAGAGACCCAGCTCTGTGTCAAGGCCCTTCTGAAGCGCAGAGGTCTGCGTCTGATTCTGGTATCCCGTCTCCTTGAGGAAGTCAGGAAGAGCCTGGAAGGCAGGGTTGCTGACGGCGTGGAAGAAGCGCATGGGACTCTCAATACGCGGGTCGGCCAGGGAGTGTGTAGCCTTTCTGGCAACGTACTGGTCTGGGGAGACCTCCGCAACAAGGCGGTTGGCAACCAGGTAGCGCATGATGCGGCTGACCAGCGACGGATCGGCCATGGTGGGCTTGGCCAGCTCGGTTGAGCTCAGGGGCGTCTTGCTTGCTGCGAGGGACTTGAAGATTCCGAGATCACCACCGATCTTGATGAGAGCAATCTGTCGGCCCTGTTTGGAAGCAACTATTAGTGACAAACGAAGGACGACGTCAGGTATGGAAGTCGGCACTTACAGAGTTGACAAAGCGCAGCATGGTGTCATATGGGGTCTCAAGCTCCTCTGCCGACTCCTGCAGCGACGAAATCAAGCGGTGTCTGCTTGCTTCGTCGAGAGACGCTGGCTTGAGGCTCTGTTCAGCAGCCGCAAGTTCTGCCACGAGGTTTGAAAGGGGCCGCTCCTCAACCGTGCTGTTTCCGTTCACAGGCTTGTCTCCATTGGCGGCGATGCTTCCATTGCCATTGGTCTCATCATGGCCGTTTTGCACCGTCTTCTTTGCTGCCTTCGATTCACCATTCAGATATGAAAGCGGATCATGGCGTGTAAAGTCAACCTTGGCCTTCTTAGCTGCGGCCAACCCCAGCTTTCCGCGCTCTAGACGAGGTGCGAGACCATCAATGGAATCCAGGGTAAAGTTGTCAATGTTGAGCGAATCCTCAGGTCGGACCATGCGGCGTCCCTTGAGGGTCTTCAAGATTGACTGCTCTTCAGGCGTCAGCTTTGCCTCAAGCTCATCGAGAGCCTTGCGGTTCTTCTCGTCGTAAGCATCGCCGTCGAGGCCGAGGTCCTTGAGCTTCTTCACCAAGGCCTCCTTCTCCTCAAACGAGACGTGGGCGAAAGCCTTGAAGCAGAATTCTACCGTCTTGGAGATTTCAGCTTGCGACAGCTTTCCTCTGGCGTCTGCATCGACTTGGCCTTGGATGACTAAAGACAGGAGGGTTAGAGTAGTGGTACAATGGAAAGAAGACGATATCTTCACGTACTAGGTCTGAACAGATCGAATGCTCGCTCAAAAGTCTTCTCGTCAAAGTCGCTGATGACGGGCTCATCTTGAGAGCGAATCTGTTTCAGTGCACTTGACACCACCACGAGGAAGCGGGTGTAGCTCTCAGCCGTCTTCTTGTCGTGCCACGAAGCTGCAGCCTCTTCATCGCAGTCGCCTCGAATAGCCGCCGAGATGGTGGTGGCTGCCGAAAGACCGCCTGAGAGGGCCAGGTGAACGCCTGAGGAGAAGAAAGGGTCGATAAAGGATCCAGCATCTCCGGCAATGCGGACACCAGGAAAGGCGTACTGAGAGGCGCTGTAGGACCAGTCAGAGGCCGACTTGATGTCTGACACGAGTTCAGCATTGGCGAGAAGCTCCTTGATGCCGGGCACAAGATCCAGAGATTGGATGTAGAATCCCTTGGATGAGGGCTCGGCCATCTCTCGCTTCTTCTTGGTAGCCATCTCCTGGTTCTGCACGATTCCTACAGAGTGACGGCCATTGTGGAGGGGGATGAACCAAACCCAGCCGCTGCCGTCTGTACAAGCCGCATCGTTAGTATGATGCGTTCCCAAACACTGTAAGACGTGAGCTTACCTTTGAGAGCTTCAAAATATGGGGCGCCCTCCTTGTGTGTTCCAACACCGTGGACGCCGCCATTCGTCCAGTAGCCCCAGCTCGCAACGTTCTTCAGACCCTGGTTATACGACCGGTTCTTCAGATACTTGGTGCTGATCAAGCCTGCTCGGCCAGAAGCATCCACAATGTAGTCGACGGCAATCGTGCCAGAGCTTCCATCTTTGCGAGTCCAGGTGGCAGAAACAGGACGGCCTGGGGTCTGGGAATCGGGGGCAGCTTGGGCAAACTCAATGGAGGCCACTTTGGTCTCGTCGAACGTCTTGACGCCGCACTCAGCTGCGTGCTTGAACAGCAGCTCGTCTGCTTCGGAACGGACCACGTTCCAGGCGTAACCACCGGGTCCACCAGCTGCGATGAAGTCGGTGTCTAGATAGGCTTGTTAACAGATGTGTCTTCAAGTAAGCATGGGTATATATGCGGTTAAACTCACAGGTTTCTGGCCGAGACCAGTTGAGACGGAAAGCACCTCCTTTCTGTACAAGATGTCAGCTGTCATCCAAGCCCGTAAAGACACTACTAATATAAGACGGGTTGCTTACCTTGATGTTGAAGCCATGGGCATCCCACTTCTCGTATGCGTCGATAAACTTGAGAAAGTGCCGCATGGAGGGAAGCATACTCTCGCCAATGTGATATCTATTTCCGTGTAAGTTGAGCTCCAATACATAACACCCGCCTTTCGCCCCACGGGGACACCAACCTGGGAAACTTGTCCGCTTCAAGAAGGACAACGTCAATGCCCTCACGAGCAAGGGCCGAGGCAGAGTAGGAGCCCGCCGGTCCGCCACCAATGACCAGCACAGTGCACTTTTCCGGGACGTTGGCCATTTTTGATGCTTTTCAAGTTGACCTTGAAATTCTGGGTATGCTTGTTGAAAGTGGGAAGATGGCGAGTAAGGCGTTTATGATGTGTTGATGTTGGTGTTTGCTGCCGAGAAGATGATGCTGGATAACCGGACGATGGAAAACATATATACTACTCTTGCCCGTCAAAGACCCCAACTCACTCCAAGCAGCACATCGAGGTGGCGATGGCTTCCATCTGCTGTCTCCATAATGGCTGATGCACAGGATTCAATCTGCATCCCGACGGGCTGCAACTTCTGCCAGCCTTGCCAGTGTCTTTCCGTTCTCCAGTAGATCTAATTCCACATCCTGTCGGAAGGATTTCGGGAGGTTAATCAATCTTCAGCCGTGCGAAGACCGCTGCTTACACTCGGAATCCGACCAGCAACTGCGACGCTGGGCAACCCCAATAATTGCCTATCTGCAGTAAAATCTGACAAGCAATAGATAGCTGCACGTTTTGCTTCCGAACAGAAATGGAATGGTATCCATGGATCACTGGGCATTGGACCGGACTGCGCCATGTTCGTCTCGGTAGTAAGGTAGACTAAGCTGATGGAATCCTCAGATGGCCATGGATGCTATAGGTTGACCAACGTCATTGTGATTAGATGGTTAGCTGCGCATGGCATGCAAAGAATGAAGAACATTGGCTTGACGATTTTGTGGAAGATGATGAGAAAGCCTTTCCAAGAACATTACCTTGGGAAACATTAACATACACACATACCCTGGAAAGCTGTGTCCTTCTTCACATCTGTACGTCTCATCATTACACCGAAACATCCATTCTCTTGACATTTCAATACAGTGAAATCTGCTCGTTGTCATAATAATATGGATTCAACTACCAAGCCCAGGGGATTCTACTCATCTGGCTTCTGGACGGAATATCTATCCACTCAGCGAACCAAGCTGCCTGGACTGCCCGATGTTGGCGATGTGTCTCCCTGCGTTGTGCGATTTCTCGGTGGCAATCCAGGCGATATGCAGCTTCAGGGTACCAACACGTATCTGATAGGGACAGGAAATAGCAGAATTCTCGTTGACACCGGCGAAGTAAGAGTCTGCCCCTATACTTGCATTGATGCATTGCATTTGACGCTGCATCTTCCATCGTGAAAGCCTTTAACTAATGGTAATCTGACAGGGATTCCCTCAATGGGCCGTGAACCTCACCCAGTACCTAGAGGATCACGACATATCAATTTCTCATGTCCTCCTAACGCACTGGCACGCGGACCACACAGGCGGAGTGGCAGATCTCCTCGCCCACGATCCCAGCATATCAGTACACAAGCACAAACCCAGCAAAGACCAGGAACCCATCGCAGACGGGCAAGTCTTTAGGACTCAGGGTGCAACTCTACGAGCGGTGTTGACACCCGGGCACACAGCAGATCATACCTGCTTCGTGTTGGAGGAGGAAAAGGCGTTGTTCACTGGAGACAACGTGCTGGGCCACGGTTACAGTGTAGCTGAGTGCTTGGGGGAGTACACAAAGAGTCTTCGTCTGATGGCGAGTTTGGGATGCGCCGTAGGCTATCCTGGGCACGGAGATGTGATACGCAATCTGCCACGGAAGATGGCGACGTATATCGCACAGCGAGATTCTAGAGAACAGCAGGTATACGCGGCATTGCTTGAAGAAGCCTCATCTGAGAGCGGCAGAAGTATTGGTGGCAGCACTAGTGGCAGTAGCTATAGCGGAAGTGACTCTGGCAGTGGCGATGATGAGGATGGCGAGGAGATGGGAACGGCAAAAGGCCTATCGACGACGGACATCAGTCTTCGCCTATACGGAGATGTGTCCAAAGATCCTGCCACATTTGAATCGGCCTTGAAGCCCCTACTGAACCAGGTTCTGTTCATGTTGGCGGATCACGGCAGGGTCGATTCTAAATTGGTAGGACCAGAGAAGACGCGGCAATGGTTCATCAAGGGCTCATCGTATTAGCTGCTGGACAATTACATCTCAATAAACGACTATTGACTTAATAACAACATTTGACGAAACTGAATCGGTATTCCAACAGGAGTTTTGAGGTGTGTATGGTCGACAACCTCCGTGATCCTCTTGGTGTAGTGTAACCAAGATGAAGAGTAGCATCAATCCCAACGCCAAGATCAATCGTATGTGGTCAATGGTTTCCGAACACCTCCTGTTGGAACTAATCTTGTTAGAGTGATCAGTGGTGAACTTCCGGATGACCCGTAGGATAACAGCAGAATACGCCGACTCGGGTTCCGAGCACACACTTGAGACTCTAGCAGTCCAGTGTGACAGAGTGCTGAATCCGAGGCTTCGTCTCAAGCCTCAACTGATTGCCTCTTGGTGATAAGCAATCATCACTGGCAAGATCTCCACCCGCTACTTTGGTTCGCTACATATATGTCGCTGGAATGCGATGAGGCAATGGAGGCACTTGACTCTGCATCGCCGCAAAGAATCTGCACTTATTAGCCTATCTCATCCCTGCGGCTGGTAATTCATCTCGTGCCTCGTCAAGTCCTCGTCTAGCTCTGGGGGACTCAACATATGCAGGCCTCTGTTTCGATATCAACTACTCAGCATCTACTTTCGCTCATACAGACCACCAAACTTCCACTCTCTACACGATGAACAAAGCCACCACGACTCCTTCCGAAACCAACACCACCCCATCAGAGATCAATGTTGAGGCGGAATCGACCTCCAGATTTATGTTCTTCAGTCACGAGTTCCCCAGTGGCGATGTTAAAGACTTGATACGGAGGCTCTCCAGACATGCCAAGCTGCCTCGATACTCTCAGCTCGCCCGCTTTCTGCAAGAGTGTGCTTCTGTGCTGAGACAAGAGGTCCAAAAGCTCCCACGGCCACTGCGTGATCAGGTTCCCCCGTTCAGCGATATCATTACACTGGCATCACACTGGGAGAGACTCAAGCAGAGCGATCTATGCGGAACGTGGGAGGGTGCTTTTCTATGCATCTATGAGATTGCTATGCTCATTGGGTAAGTCCTCCTTTCCTTAGCAAGTCAAGATATCGGAACTGACTGGGCGTTAGACATCATGAAGCACACGATCTTCCTTACGCCCTCGGAACAAGAAACACCAGTACAACCTGTCTGGCAGGAATCAGCGTCGGCCTCTTCTCAGCTGCAGCAGTGGCGGTTTCTTCATCTCTTGTAGACCTTGTCTACTACGGAGTGGAAAGCGTCCGCATTGCCTTTTCTTTCTGTGTTCACGTGGGCCGGGTCTCCCAGCTACTTGAGCCTACCGAGCGCACCAAGACAGCTTCGTCTGTTAGCTGGGCGTATGTCGTGATCGGCATTTCGGCCGAGGTTGTGCAGGCCGAATTGGATCGTTTCAACGGTCAAGATGAACCGACAGATACCTGTTCAAAAACGTCACGCCTGGCCCAGGTCAGCATTAGCCACGTCGACCAGGCTTCAGTAGGCGTCACCGGCCCTCCGGCTCAACTTGAACAGCTCTTTCGCCAATCGGAGGTACTTGGCTCATCTCGCCACTCCCCGTTGCCCATCTCGGGAGGGCTTTGTCATGTCCCCAACGTGTATGACCTTGACGACGTCCGTTCTATCCTCGAGACTGCCGAAGTCTGGGAAAGATGGGGCTCTCGACCTGTTCAGCTGCCTCTGCTCTCACCAAACCCAGGAGCTCCCTTTTCAGCATCTGATGCGTATCACCTGATAGAGGCCATTTGTACCGAAGCCCTTACAAAGCCGCTGTATTTCGACAACATTGCCGAGGGTGCTGCATTGCAACTTTCACGCCAACAGGAGCTGACGCCGTTGTCATGCCAAATCCTGCATTATCGGACGTCGCTGATCTCGGACACGATCCTCTCCGACGTGGCCAAGAAGCTGTCGGCTGCCAGTCTCTCGCGACAGGACCTGGTTGACTGGGCAATGCAGGATGAGGATACTTCTGTTCAACCTCATGGCAACTCAAGCCTACCACAGAACTCCAAGCTGGCTATAGTTGGCATGTCATGCCGTATGCCCGGAGGCGCCGACAGCCCTGAGCAATTCTGGGAGCTCTTGATGAATGGCGTCGACACTCTTACTATCGTCCCAGCGGACAGGTTTGATGTCGACGCGCATTTCGATCCCAGTGGGGAGATGGAGAACGATGTCGGAACGAAATTTGGCAACTTTATACATAATCCCGGACACTTTGATGCTGGTTTCTTCAACATGTCTCCGCGCGAGGTAAGCTTATACACGCTCCCGCTCCTGTGTGGCCTACAACTCTACTAATTTTACCCTTTGAAGGCTGAACAGACAGATCCAATGCAACGTTTGGCGCTTGTCACGGCCTACGAGGCGCTGGAAATGGCCGGCTTCGTGCCGAATCGAACGCCCTCCTCTCACGTATCCCGAGTAGGAACTTACTACGGCCAAGCCAGCGATGACTACCGTGAGGTGAACGCGAGTCAAAAGATTGGCACCTATGGCATTCCCGGCACCGAACGTGCCTTTGGCAACGGCCGCATTAACTACTTCTTCAACTTCCAGGGACCAAGCATCAACGTCGATACGGCGTGCTCGAGTGGTCTGGCTGCGGTCCATGCGGCTTGCTCTGCACTTTGGGCCGGTGACGCTGATACTGTCGTCGCCGGAGGTCTCAATGTTATCGTAAGTGGCAGAGGAAAACGTTGAGATAGCGGACTTATGCTGACCTGAGGCTATTGACAGACCAATCCTGACATTTACTGCATGCTTAGCAAGGGGCATTTCTTGTCCAAGACGGGCCAGTGCAAAGTGTGGGATTCTGGAGCTGACGGCTACTGCAGAGCTGATGGAATTGGTTCTGTGGTCATCAAGCGACTGGACGATGCCATTGCCGATAATGACAACATCTTGGCGACGATTGTGTCGGGGTCAACGAATCAGTCAGCCGAGAGCATTTCCATAACTCAACCACATGCTGGTGCGCAAAAGGACAACTACCGCCAGGTGATGGATAAGGCAGGCATCAACCCTCTGGATGTTAGTTATGTTGAACTGCACGGCACAGGAACTCAGGTTAGTCCATCCCTTCTGCTACTGTTGCATGTTGTGAGCTCTCCAGGCTGACTTATTTCTCAGGTCGGAGATGCCGTTGAGTCGGAATCGGTTCTCGACTTCTTCGCTCCCCTGGGCAGTCGTCAACGTTCCGAACAACGCCTGAGTCTAGGCGCAGTCAAATCAAATATCGGGCACGGTGAAGCTGCAGCGGGAATTGCTTCTTTGATGAAGGTTCTCTTGATGTATAAGCATGGGATGATTCCGCGTCACATCGGCATCAAAAAGACGATGAATCCCGTGGTGGCTCAACACCTGGCCAATCGAAACGCCGGCATCCTCACTGAGAACCGCTCCTGGCTTCCAAAGCCCGATGGGAAAAAACGTTACTCTATCGTCAATAGCTTTGGTGCTCATGGTGGAAATACGACGCTGTTGCTGGAAGATGCGCCGTTGTCACGCACCCAGAGAGAAGCCGACGACGTGCTTCCAGACACAACAGCTTGTCAGGTCATTTGCATCTCAGCCAAAAGCAAAGCTTCGCTTCGGGGCAACATCAGCGCTCTGCTCCGGCATCTGGATTCTCATCCAGAGACGGAACTGAGAGACTTGTCCTACACGACGTGTGCGCGAAGAATCCACCACCATATTCGCATTGCTACCTCCGTCTCCAGCACTGCCCAGCTTCGCAAGTTCCTTGAGGCGGCCTCTGAAAATGTCGATAACTACGCAAAGCACGTTTCCGCAGCGAAGAAGAAGACTGTTGTGTTTGCCTTCTCTGGCCAAGGATGTTTCTATCAAGGCGCTGCTGCACAATTGTTCCAACAGGCGCCCTCGTTCCGCGACCAGGTCCTCCAGCTCGATCGAGTCGTTCGCCAGCTGGGATTTCCCTCGGTCCTCGCTGCTATTATTGGCGATTCAGCAAGTAGCACGACGTCGCAAAGTTGCTCCAGCGCTGCCAGCGAAGTTGGCGATGAAAATGCAGCCTCAACTGACGGTACCAGCTCAGTCTCGTCGACGGTGACAGTTGAGAGTCCGCTTGTTATACAACTCTCTATGGTAGTCATGCAGATTGCCTTGGTGCAGTATTGGGGACTTTTGGGCATCAAGCCTGACGTTGTCATCGGCCACAGCCTTGGAGAGTATGCCGCCTTTGTTGCAGCTGGCGTCTTGTCTGTAGCAGATGCCATATATCTGGTGGGCAGACGGGCCAAACTCATGCTGGCCGCCTGCGAGCCGGGGAGTCATGGCATGTTGTCAGTCCGCGGTGCTTCAGTCGACCGCATCGCCGAGTTGTGCAAAGAGAGTGGCAAAGACTATCGCTATGAGGTATCCTGCATCAACGGAGTCACAGACATTGTTGTCAGCGGTTTGCGGGCAGATATCGTTGCTCTGCAAGACATGTTGCAAGGTGACGGCCTGAAATGCGTCTTACTTGATATCCCTTTTGCCTTTCATTCTGCTCAACTAGAGCCTATACTGGAAGACTATGAAGATGCAGCTCGGCATGCCACTTTCAAGGCCCCTGCGATTCCGGTCGTCTCACCACTTCTTGGACAGTGCGTCTCCCAAGGCGAGATGATCAACGAGACCTATCTGCGCCGCGCCACGCGTGAGCCCGTTGACTTCATCAAAGCGCTTGAAGCTGTTCGAGTCGATGGCTTGGTCAATGATAATGCCGTCTGGGTCGATATCGGGCCTCATCCAGTGTGTACCTCTTTCGCGCGCAATCACTACGAAAAAGGAACCACACAGACATTCGCATCACTGAGGCAAGGCGATAACACGCTATCTACTCTGACAGGAACTCTAGCATCACTACATTGCTTGGGTTTGCCTGTAGCTTGGAATGAGTACTTTGCTGCGTATGAGAAGAGCCTCCGCCTGGTTCACCTCGAACCGTATCAATGGAATCAGAAGAACTACTGGATTCAGTATGAAGGCACATGGACTCTGGATAAGGCGCACGCCGGACAAGCCAAGAACGTCAAACAAAAGGAGTCGGCATCTCCGCCTTTCTTCACCTCGTCTGCGCAGCAAATCATTTCGCAGGAGTCCAATGAGTCAATCGGACGTATGACCGTGTTGTCCAACTTGTCTCACCCCGATCTCGCCGGCGCAGCCAACGGCCACAAGATAAATGGAAGAAGTGTCGTGACTGGGGTAAGTTCCGCTGTCTCTCTTTGCTTCGCTACCTAGTAGTTTTCGTTGACCTTGCTGATTACATATCTTGCAGAGCTTATGGGCGGACCTTGCCCTCACCATCGGCGAATACTTGTACAAGCACATGGTACCAGAAGGCGATGAGCCTTATATGGACGTTCAGAACATGGAAGTCCTCGAGGGGCAGGTTCTACATGACAAGACGTCGTCGGAACCAACGGCGGAGCAATTCATTCAAGCTGAAGGAGTATTGGACTTGTCCAAAAGACAAACCCACATCACCTTGTATACGGCCAGCGCTGACGGGACTCGCAAAACGGAGAAGCCATTTGCCTCGGCAACAGTTTGCTATGAAGATGTGCAAACATGGAGAGCTGAGTGGCTAACGGCTTCACATCTTGTTGCTACTCGTGCCGATTCCCTCTGGAAAGCAGCTGCAGGCGAAGAGACTTCAAACACTACCAGCAGAGTAAGCAGACTATCCCAGGGCACCGTATATCAGCTTTTTGCAAACGTGGTGGATTACGGGAAGCGGTATCGCGGGATGAAAAGCGTGGCTCTCGCCGAAGCGACGCAAGAGGCTACCGCAGATATCACGCTGGATATCGACCGTCACGGAACCTGGCATACGCCTCCTCACTGGATCGACAGCACCTTTCAGCTGGCCGGCTTCGTCATGAATGCCTTTGGTGTCCAAGGCACAGGAGAATACGCCGGGTCTTCACGCGACTTTTTCTGGATCACGCCTGGATGGCGGCACTTCCGCCTGGCTGAGAAGCTTGAGCCGGGCGTTGCTTATCGCAACTATGTCCGCATGTTCCCTGTCCCGGGTGAACTTGGTGCCTTTTCCGGCGACATATACCTACTCCGCGGTGACAAGGTTGTGGGAGTGTGTGCGGGTATCAAGTTCAAGAGAGTTCCGCGCTCGTTGATGCCCATCATGTTTCCCTCGGGTCAGAGCGGGAAGAGTCGGGCTCATGTCCCTGTTCCAGCCCATACCAGCCACAACGTCACTTCAAAAGAGCCAGTGAAGCCGAAGCAGCCTAAGTCCAGTTCTGCTTTTTCTCATGCACAAGAGCAACAGTCGGACGTTGCCAGACAGGTAGCAGAGCCTGTTGCAACAACGCCACCAGCGGGGCAGCAGAAGCCGAAAGATGGCGGGCAAAACCCCAAGGTGGCCGCTTGCTTGCAGCTTATTGCCGAGGAGACTGGACTGGAGCTGGAAGATCTGTCTGGTGATGCCGCATTCGCAGAATTGGGCGTGGATTCTTTGATGTCACTGGCGCTCTCTGGCAAGATGCGTGCGGAGCTGGGTATTGAGGTCCAGGCGTCCATTTTCCTCGAATGTGCGACTGTGCAAGAGTTGGCAAATTGGCTGGGTAAATAGAATCTATATGGGTAGTGTGACGTAGAGCTGGTCTCGGTCTATAGAAGATTAAACGATTCCCTTTCTCCAACGCTTGTTTCATCTCAGAGTCACGATTCAAGTGAGCACCGAATATCATCGAACAGCAAGAGAGCAACTCCTGGATTACACTGTAGTTCCCAATGTCGTGTGGAGAGACATTCTCTATCAAAACCAAAGCTTCATTCTGACATACCTCCTTGCAAGCCTGTTACTTCAAATCCTATTATTCCTAATCCTTGCCCACTGACTTCAAATTAACCCCGACCAGCCTTTAAATAACCCGAGCAAGAGCATAGCTATGGTTAATATATGTATATACAATCATCAATTAACTCTGCACAGACCAAGGCTTTGTTTTTGCTGCATATCAGTATCAAATTCTGTGAAACAAGTTGAGTGTACACGGAGGAGTTCCTCGCTGTAAAATTTTCACTTCTCTATATCAACACCTGTTTGTCAGTCTAAGTTTGTCTTTAGAGCAGAGTAATCACAACTATCAAGTAATGTTGAAATATATTATCAGATAATGGATTTTCTTTCAAGCTTCAATCACAAGTTTCTGGCGAACATTAACAGGAGAAGGATCACAAGATAGTTCAGGCAACCTCTTATTCTGTCATCATAAAGAGCCACAAAGCAGAATGACTTTCAGCCCTCTCGTATACTTCCAATGCCCTTTTGCTCATGTAGACGTCCATTCTAGGCTCTGCTACTACGGGGAGCCTCGGCCTATGTGGACGAGACACAAAAGCATAGATTCCACCGGTTTCACAGCGTTATCTCAGGGTGTTTGTCAATACTAACGGCCGGCTAAACTGCGTCACACCCTCCTGTTTTGATTGAGTCCCACACTCTGTCATATTGCATCCAGGAATCTCGGCAGGACGGCAGGAAAGCATGTGAGATAGCCTTTCCAGATGAACAGATGTTTCCATCTTACCATGGCCTTGCAGCAAACTTGAAGATCACTCCCACATGGTGAAAGGTCTAGAACATAAGCCATACATCAGACGCCAAGGGACTTTTCTGCTTCGGTTCCCATTAAGCGCCCCGGCGCCGAGGGCAGCCGGATGGGGGTTACATCTGGGGAAGAAGTACAGCCAGATCCCACCCTGGAGTGGTACTGCATATTACACCAGATTGCATGCAGCCTTTATCTTTGTCCTTCGCGACCTGCTGAGCCGGGCACTCCAGCGCGAGGCTAGCTGAACGTCAATGGTGGAATATAGGCCAGCTGTGTGGAACTTTTTGATGGAATGGTGTTCAATATATCACTTATTCTCGAAACTCAGCGCCTAATGAAGGAGACTGAGCTATTTCTTCGCCCAGATGCAATCTCCGTAAACAGCTCTCCCACGTGCCATTCTGGAGATGCCGCAGGGGGGGCCGTCAATAGTGGCAACACACTGCAGATTCAGCCGCGGCAGCTCCCTTTACCCAAATTAAAGCCAACGGTGATTCTCCGATCGCCAAGTCGTTTGATCGGACGGATATCTAGGCAGCTACAATATCATTACATGATTCTACATGTTGTTCCCCGCATAGACGCTGTATATCGACAAAAAATGTATGCCTTATGCTATGCCCACATTCCGCGGGATGTCGAGGAATAAGCAGCATTTCCGGCCCCATAAGCCGTCGATGACTGCATACACGTATTGTGCAGAATACGCCCTTGAATGATATCAAATTTCGAAAGCCTATCCAGAAAAAGAAAACGACAAAAGTGAGCCCAACACTTCTATTTTAAGGGCCCAGATAGCCAATTGATAGGCAATCTATGCTGATGGCAATGCCAACGGCTTGCGCTCCCCCAGCCACGGCGATTCTCATGGCTAGAGGCGGGCTCTTCTTCTGCCGTCTTACTTACATTCGCCTCTTCCATCCTCCTCACTTCTGACTGTCAGAATACTGCGGGGTCAGCCCAGAGTCCTACGGGAGGAAGACACGCAGTCTGCCAAGTTCTGTTCCTCGCTTCGTTTATCAAGAGCGAGGCGCATACGAAGAGTCTCGGCTCAAATACGCCCTCACTCGCCGTCGTGGGGCCCCAGAAGGAGCCTTATCCTGGCCCGCATGCAGAAAGGAACGTTGGCCCTCAGCCATACGCTGGGCTTTACTGCAACGTCGAATCCATATTGGCATTGGCTTCTGTTTCAGCCCTTCCTGCGGATCCGCCAAGCGATGGAACGCAGATTAGGGGGAAGCGCAGCCGGTTTCCCTGATGATGTTGCATTCCTTGGGTAATTCACACGGTGACCCTTGAGCTTGTAGGATGAAGTTCTCCAAGTGTTATAGTATATCACCGTTACATTGTGGTTAACTCGAGTGTCTCAGTCCTTCTGGTAGATTATACTATACAAATCCAGAGTGAAGCTCTATGCCGTTGGTGATTCACTTCTGGTTTAAGAGCGTTGACTGTATCACCATCAAACATGGCGTCCTCGTACGGCACTCATACCCCGGCTCGCAAGCTAAAAGATTCCTGCGATCTGTGTTCAGCATCCAAGCTGCGCTGCAACAAGCAGAAGCCCACGTGCGCTCGTTGCGCAAGTCTCAATCAACCATGTTCCTACAGTCCAGCCCGACGAGCCGGAAGGCCGCATCGTGTGCGGGAGAAGAGCCAGCAGCAGAGCTTGGAGATGTCAGTTGACAGCACGATGGAGTCCGTGGGAGACTGCAGCAGCAGCCGGGAGATGAGCCTCGATTTTTCCGCATTGTTCGGCCTGCAATCAACAAGATATGATGGTAGTCATCAACAGCAACAACAACCACAACAACAACGACAAGCAACTGAGCACTTATCGTGTCAAGCCCCTTCTCAAGATAGGGGGAGCGGCGACTGTGCCAGAATTGCCATGACAATCTTGGAGCAACTGGATATTGCCAGACAGAGAGCGAATCATACATCGGTGAGCTCAGCAACCACGGATGCGTGCCAGAGGCTCTTGACAATATTGGTATGCCCATGTTCAGAGCAGCCAGGTGTAGCGCTTCTCGTGGCATGCGGATGTATCTCCCTAATGGACACGGTCCATCACTGCCATGTTCTTCAAAGCGCGCCAAGTCAAGAGATGCCGACAAGGACAACACCAACCCCCAGCCCAGAAAAGGACCTATCCGCTTGGCATAGACCGTCATCTTCTAACAACAACAACAACAACAACAACAACAACAACGGCCAGGGAGTCGAGCAGCTGGCAAAGATTGCCAAGGTCATCTTGCAGTTTACAGACAGATACTCGCAAGAGCCAAAGGGAGGCGCTGCCTGGACGCAAACAACGTGGCTGGTTGCACCCATTGCAGCATTGCTCCGGTTGAGATTGCAAACTGTCACTCACCAAGCGGCGAAGAGCCTAGTATTTTGATGAGGAGGATTCAGCGACTCTTGACACACAAAGAAGAGGTTTCCAGTTGACATGAGGGTAGCCGGCAGAATTTCTTTAGTTATGATAGACCTTTTGCCTTTTGACTGTAGCAATAGATAAACTGTTCTCGACACTAATAGGCTCCTACCCACATGTGTCTGGCTCTAGTTTCGCAGAGACACGGAGTCAAGGGATGCATCTGTCCTGCATTACATCAGGGGCAATCTCTCAATGTCATCCTTCCCAGAAGTAACATCTTGACAGGACGCAAGGAGAAGTATAATACAAAGTTACATATGTCAAAGAGGCAAAAAGACAAAAACATACAACAGCCGGTGTTCGCCAGTGGTCACCCACCTGACTACTAATCTGCCTCTCATTAGCTTGACTCTGGGAGAGCGGACGGGATCCCGTATACTCTAATGGATATGGTCGTATGTGACAGTCAGTGTCTTGCCTGCGATCATAACGACTGCCGAGCGTAGGACCGGCCCTGTTTACTAATGCCTAGAAACAAAGCGAGTGGTTGCAAGAAACTATTTCATTGTAATGCTATCTAGAATTTATCTGCTCGTAACCTTCACGCTCTGAAAATCAGCGTTTTTCTCGGTCGAAAACTCATAGCAAGCGGCCTGTACATCCGTCGAGAGCGGTTGGTTGGGTCAGGCTATGCAAACCTCTCAAGCACCAGGCAGAGGGTTGCCCCCGATGTATCGTGGAAACCCTTGGAAACTAAGCCACAGCTCGCCAGTTCCAGGCTGCCCACCGACAATCTCCTTCTCGCGGCTCTTGAGCTCCTCAACGTCCCAGGCAGAGAAGACAAGCTTGCCATTGAGGAACTTTGCCTCAGAAGAAGCAATCCAGACGAGGAAGTCAGCTGGCAGAGAGACTAAAGAAGAGAAAGAGATTAGCACGTTAGATTGACGCACTAGCCGTTGTAGTACTTACTGTCGTCATAATCAAAGGGCAGCTTGGTAGTCTTGGACAACTGCGCGGACATGGCGGTGTCGAGGAAGCCGGGGTGCACGTGGTGGAGGCGCACTTGAGGGTTCTCGGCAGCGAAGGATTGCAGGAGCTTGACAGCCGCCATCTTGCTGCTCACGTAGGCAGCCATCCCGGGGAAAGGAGGGAACAAGATACCCGCAGTGGTGAGATTGATGAAGGTGAGCTCCCTGTCCTTGTTGGCCAAGACGGCAGCCTGCGCCACCACCAGCGTTCCCACGACGGTCGTCTTGTAGCCATCGAGGAAAGTGGTAGGGTCTGCTTCAACAAGAGGAACAACAGGGGCCAGAACACCAGCGGCGTGAATCAGAATGTCGATGCCGCCAAACTCGGCTGCCACCTTGTTGAAGACTTCACGAACAGCTGGTGCGTCGCAGAGCTCGGCGTTGTGAGTCTGCACCGCAACGTCGGCGTTCTTAGAGCGCACGAGGGCCGCAGTTTCGGCCAAGGCGTCAGAGCGGCGTCCAAGGAGAATAAGAGCCCGCGGCCCTGAGACAGCATAGGAAGCGGCAGTGGCGCGACCAATACCGCCAGAGGCACCAGTGATCACAACGACCTTGCCATTAGTCGACAGGGCAGGCGAGCTAGGAGAGATGGCAGGGTAGGAGGTTGAGTGAGTAATCTTGGTGTAGGAGAGCGGCGGCGGTGCCATTGTGTCAAGCCGTGTGTCCAAGGCGGAAGAGTTTAGTGACGAGGGGTTATGTTGACTGGGAGCTGACTCTTTTTACAACAAGAAGCAGCCAAAGATGGAAGAAAGCTTTTGATATCGAAGTAGGTGTGAAAGGTAAGATGCTCTGACACTGACAACACCGATTATTCTATCAACCTTTATAGCTAAAACAATCCAACAGCCGTACGTCTTCTCTCTCCATGGCCAACATATCGAACAACTTGAGCAATCCTCCGAGAGACACTGTGTGATGTAATATTCGGAGGAATGGTCGACACGCAGTTACATTGCGTTAGTGCTGCCAAAGGATCCTTCTGCTGCGTTGGTCGTAAGTGCGATGGCCCTCAAATGTGCGTTGGCTCATGCATGTTCCCACGAGGAAAATTGCCCGCAGCCCCCAATCATATCGAGAGGGGGATCCTTTGTCGCTCTCCGCGCCTTTTCGCACAACCCGTGAATTTGGGGCTGACGGCAAGCGAGTGCGAGCCAGCAGCTGCGCCTCTGATACGGCTGAGAGAAGACTGCGGAGAGAGGATTGGCATTAGCGACGTGCATATCGGCAAATGTTTCAGCTGATAGGCTTGCCACTATCTCGAGAAGCGTGCGTGTCTGGTACGGGTACTATGCTGTACGCAGAAGGGATGAAGAAGTCATCTTGATAGGCCTGCGATCATGCCTATGTATATAGCATCAATCTCATCGTATGTTGAACAGTACATGTAATGCCATTACGCTGATACGCGCCGATATACGTTCACTCTTTGATCATACCGCACTCAGACAGACCTTCTCTTACAGCCGAAATGGACGCCGCGGACGGATATGAGCGTGGAACTTCTCTGCCGCCTCCAGGCGCATCGATGGATGACTTCTTGGATGTTGAGAGCTTTGTTACGTCCGTTGCAGACCTTCTAACCCCTCCCGATCTCAACGCATTCAACTTTGACCGCAAAGATCTATCCCCCAAGTGGCTCAACGACGTCTTCTCAATCACACCTAGAACAACCACCGAGCCTGTGCCTCCATCAACAGCGGAGATCTCGGACATCCCATCACAACCGAGAGCCACATCTTCGGAGATTCAGAAGTGCCGAAACCCTCAGGGTCTCTGCCTTAGCCTGGCTACAGGGCTGCTCAAGTCCATGCACTCCTGCTCCCCGTCCTGCCTCCTCGGCCTCGGCATGGGCAGCCAGCACGGAGAGCCGCCGCTCTCTCGGGCAGTCGACACTGTCCTGTCCACCAACTACGAAGCGCTACGGGCCATCCGTGGCTTCATCCGGTGCCCCTGCTACGCAAGCCCACAGCTGCAGCTTCTGGTGACCGTCATGTGCGCTGAGGCCATCGCGTGGTACTGGCGCATTATCGACACGTATAGCAGCCGCTGCGGTAGCACGAGCTTGGACGGTGGCGTCCGGCTTGCGGAGAGGGTCGAGATGTCCCGGAAGTCATTCTTCATTGGCGATCAGTGCTTGGAGAGCCGTCTCGAGGCGACCCTCATTAGCCAGGTAGTTGCGAGTAGACTGCAGGAACTGGAAGATCTGATCGGGGACATTTCTTGGAATACGGAGCAATCTGCCGCAACCAGCAGCGAGCCAAGAGGCCATCCGATGTATAATGCGGTGCATATAAGGATGGATGCCTTTCTGAATACGCAGCTAGCGGCAGTTCGACGGGAGTTGCTCAAGCTACGCGATGGCTCTCAGGGGCATCATGAGGAGAGTACTGGTCAGGGATATACTCATGGGGCGACTTCGAGATGAAGCTGTGAAACTACTCTTGTGCGATTACATACTGGGAGCTGGCAATAATAGAGCTTGGAAACATTGATACAGAGTCTGTTTTCACTCGTATAGTCCAATCACTCCTTCATTAGCTAGGTAGAGCGCTGAATTGATTTACACAATAGAAGACACAATCAGCCTGGTCGTCGATATGTGTACGCGTCTACCTCCAGCGACTGGTGTTGCTGACGATATCTGACAGATAGGGGAATGTTGATCTCCACGAAGGATTCTTTCGTCAAAATTGAAATGCGACTTGTTTTCATGTTTTCAATCCTCCACGCAGTACCCCATCAATCCGTCAAGCGCTTGGCAGGGGTCTTCCCCAAAGCCAAACGTAACCTTTTCAGCTCCCCTGAATCCTTCGATCCATTTTGCCTGATAGTATACTTGATCAGCACTAATATCTGCCGATTCCTGAGATATGATCGGGATCCGAGAATCCCTGTCGCTTACATGCGATGGGCGGAATAGCTTCAACCACCAAGGAATCGGTGGGATTCAGGATTGTCCTCTACAATACCACACTACACATAGTCCTCGGGACTCGCCGTGGAGACGTCGCACCGGGACTTAGCCTCATCGTAAGATCTCTTCGGAGTCCGTATCTTATGTTGCCCTTGCCGATACCCGGACCCCTTTTTACTGTTATCAATGGGGGCGGTAGTACTGCCCCCAATGGCACTGGATATTGCCACAAGCGGTCATGAAGCTCTGTGGCTTGCGTTGTACGAGTACTAGAGCTATGGTGCAGAATCCATCCTTTGGGGGTTGGGCATCCCTTGGATCCGTGACAGCCTCACTTCCGGTAATAGCTGGATCAGACAGCTACCACACGAGAAACAACACCGGACATATATAAATGTAGCCATAGACTAAAAATCATATGTTGATAGAGAACAGAACACTGAGAAACATTCTTTGTATCTGGAACAGGGGCTGGCGAGCTACTTAGTCTCTCTTTTTCGTCCATTTCCCATCCTGAGTGGTTCATTCTCCTCCGTGGCTCCTGGCAACGGGGTACAGCTTGAGGGCAATACAAACATCAAGATGTATTCATTTGTTCTTTGTTTACTTGCCGCAGTTCAAGCTGCGTCTGCATCCGCTACTCAGACATGCAAGACACTCGATGCCAAACTCCCCGGCCGTGTTTCTTACCCAGACAGCACCGCATACAATGCTTCCATCTCGTCGTATTACAGCGGCCAGGAACGAGACCTGAACCCCGGTTGCATATTCAGGCCTACCAGTACCGCTGAGGTCTCTCAGTTCATCAAGCTAGTGACCTCAAGCGGGAACACTCAGTTCGCTGTGCGAGGTGGTGGCCACACCCTCTGGCCCGGTGCCGCCAATGTCAAAGGCGGCATCACTGTCGATATGCGTGCGATGAACAATTTGACGTTGAGCAAAGATCACAAGATTGCTCATCTCGGAGCTGGAGCTGTCTTTAGTGATATCTATCCCCAGCTTGTGCCCTATAACTTGACTGTTATGGGAGGTCGAGTTCCAGGCATTGGAGCAGGAGGCTTCGTCACTGGAGGTATGTCATTGATGAGGAATCGTTGTCAAAAATAGCGGTGGCTAACCCGAGACCAGGTGGTATCACGTTTCTATCTCGTCGAAACGGCTTCAGCTGTGACAACGTCTATGGCTATGAAGTTGTTCTCGCGAGCGGAAAAGTCGTGTATGCCACACAGAGTTCTAATTCCGACCTTTGGCTTGCCCTGAAGGGCGGATCAAACAACTTTGGCATCATCACTCGCTTTGACCTTGCTGCTTTTCCGATGGGCAACATGTGGTACAGCGACCTTAGCTACAACTACACGGACAGTATATTGTCGGCCAATGCCAAGGCCTTCAGCAATTTCATGAAGCCTGCCAACTACGACAGCGCCGCCATGATGGGACAGTTCGTGTACTACACGAACCAAGGGTTCGGCGTGTCTAATGCCATGTGGTATATCGAGGATGTTGCCAGTCCAAAAGTTTACGATGCCTTTACCAAAATCCCTAACCTGGGCGGCGTGTCGGAGCTTGCCACTGTTGACCAAGTCGTGAATAACTTCGGGGAGAATCTTCCAGTAACCACCGGCCGGTAAGGACACCCGGCTTTGACATTTATCTATAGTCTCATCTAATCGTTCTGAATCATCTAGATCCTATCAACTCACCTTTACGTTCAACAACCCTCCTGCTGCCGTCTACCTGCAGCTGATCAAGATTTGGGAGAAGCGTATTACGGCACTCTCAAAGGTCGAGGGACTCTTCATCGAGTTCCTCTTCCAGCCTCAGCCTGTCACCAATGGCACCAACATGTTTGGTCTGACCCCTGGAAAGACTGATTACGTGCTCATCGACATGACGGCCGCCTACGACAACGCATCCGACGACGCCCTGGTTGAGTCTGTTATCAACGACATTGTGAAGCAGCAGCGTGCACTGTTGAAGTCGAGCAAATACCTTGTCGACTTTATCTACCTCAACTACGCCGACATCTCGCAAAACGTGCTCAGCACCTGGGGTGCCAGCAATCTCGCAAAGCTGCAGGCTGTCAGCAAGAAGTACGATCCCAAGGGCGTGTTCCAAACTAGATCTCCTGGCGGGTATAAGCTGTTCAAGAAATGAGGGCAGTTGTCACTTTGACAAGTTTTGTCACTGTTATCAATATTGTTGGAAATTTAGACAGGATGTGTTCTCTTCGATTAGAGAAATTAGACATGCGTGTAACTCTTTAAGAATATGGGCTGGGAAGCTTTCCCTTTTATGTTTGTTATGTAGAGGGTTGTCAGACTATGAGATAGTTGATATTAACTCTCCAAGAACCTAGATAGGTTTACGTATCGTTCTTATAAACGCCGCACTCATATACCCTACTTTCGGATTTGGCAACTTTCTCTACGCGATAGATTCTTCCCTTATGCTAAATGTCAATCTAGGGCCGCCCCTAAACATAATCAGAATACGCATATTAACTATCGCTTTAGATAGTCCTAAGCGAAGCTGTAAAGCAGCAGAGCGCAGGGATTACTAGAGTGTTTACTACTTCTAGCTTTACTTAGTTATTAATTTAGCTTCTCTTAAACAGCTAGGGAAGTTAAAAAAAAAGTTAATTAGTAATTAGTCCTTTTTATTATTTTACTGCTTTTATAATATATTTAAGATATTATTTTATAATATTTTTATAAGGCTAAAGTTAGTATTATAATATAGCAGTTATAGTATTATAAAATTCCTTAGCATTTATATACTTAATTAATAACTTTAAATGCTATATTATATGCCTATACTCTAGAGTATTAAAATAATAGTTATATTAAAAAAAGCAGTGCTTTTTAAGCTTTAGAATAATATAAATCTTATCTTTTAAAAATGCTTATATAATATAAGAAATATATCTTAAGTAAATAATCTTAATAAGGTTTTTTAAAGTTAACTAATTAAAGCTTTTAAATTTAGTTATATAATCTTATATACTTAATAATATAATATAACCTATAGTAAATGCATTTTTAAATATAATCTTATAATTTAAATTTTATTATACTTTTTACTTTTATTAAGGCCTTTTAGAGTATTATTAATAGCATTAATAGCATTAATAATATTAATAGCATTAATAGCATTAATAATATTAATAGCATTAATAGTATTAATAGTATCTCTTATAGTATTATTAATACTATTATTAATAGTAGCCTTAATATTATAGCATTTATAGTATTTACTGCCCTTTTATTACTTAATCCTTTTAATAATTAAGGCCTTAAGCCTTTTAAAAATGCCTTAAATATTCTTTTATAGCAGTATATATATTATAAAAAGCTAAAGTATAAAAATGCCTTTATTTACTTAAAAAAGCTAAAAGCTTTTATTTAAAAATGCCTTAATTACTAAAAGTAGTAAAAGGCTTTATTTATAAGCTGCTATATTTATTCTTTATTATCCTTTTATTATTACTTTTATTAATATTTTTATAAATCTTTAAAGCTATTAAAAGCTTGTTTATATTAAGTAAATATATAATTAGTAGTATATAGTCTTTTAAATAATTATAATACTAAGGCATCCTCCTTACTCTTTTATAAAGTATTACTCTTTAGCTAGCTTTTAGTATTACCTTTAATATTACTTTTAATACTATTTTATATATTATAAGCTTTTCCTTTATAACTATTCCTAGGCTTTTAACTTAAGCTATAAGTAAAGTATAGTTTTTTTACTATAATATAAATCTAAATAATACCTTTTAAGAATAAGAAGCTTATTATAAAAAGGCATTTATTTAATATAAGCATTATATAGCTTAATATACTAAAGAAGTTCTCTTTTTTATACTAGTAATATTATAGCTTATAGCTTTATTATAATCTTAAGCCTAATAGGCGTTTAAGTATCTTTATTTTAGTATAAACGCCTTTAAAAGTAAGGCAAGCTAAAGAGCTTATAAAAGCTAAAAAGCTTATAAAAGCTAAAGAGCTTATAAAAGCTAAAGAGCTTATAAAAGCTAAAGAGCTTATTTAAGCTAAAGAGCCTATAAAAGCTAGGGAGCTTATTTAAGTTAAAGACCTTTTAAAAGCTAAAGAAGTAAATTTATAATAATATCTAGTCCTGCTTTTAATAAAGCTTATAACCTTAATATATCTTTCTTATAGTAAATGCTTTTTTCTTAGCACTCTTAAAGTTATAGTATTATACCTATACTTACTATCCTAAAGCCTATTTAGCTAAATATTTTATTTTAAAAAGATCTTAATGCTATTACCCTTATACTATTTAATTAATAGCTTATTTACACTTAGTAAGTATAAATTAACTTATATTAAATAGAATTTTACTTTTATTATTAAACTAAGTAATTTAATTAATAACTTATATAAAGCATTTACTATTAATATTATAAAAAAGATAATAAATATAGTATAAGTAAACCTTTTTTTTATTTTATAATAAATAACCTAGACTTTAATAATATTCCTAGCTATTTACTTAACCTTTTTTAAATAAAGGAGATGCTTATTATATATATTTATATTTATATCTAGGTGTTTTAATATAAAGGCTAATAATATAAATATTATAACTATATTATTAATTTCCTTTAAAATATTAGCAGTATATATATATAGCTTTTTTTACTTTTACTTAATCTTAATATTATTATCCTATACCTAGCTAATAAAATAAACTAGGCTTATATAATATATTAATTCTATATATAATTTTAAGTTTACTAGTTAGCTATTTAATAATAGCTTTTTTTCTTAAAGAAGAACTATTTAGGCTATAGTAATATACTTATTAATAAAGATTAGTTAAGCTAGCTACTTTAAGATAGTAATATCTCTTAGTAAGTCTTAAATTATTAATAAGCTAAAGTTAATATTAAAGATATCCTTAATAATAATAATATACTAAATAATAATTTTAATACTACTACTATTCTTAATCTTATTATAGCCTAAGCTAATCTTAATTAACTTTATATTAAGCTAAAAGGCTAGGTTTAACTACCTTTTAAGTAAATTCCTTTATAATCTTAGCTAGTATCTTAAATATCTTAGCTATAGTAATAGCAGCTATTCTTATATATACTTAAGATTTATTTAACCTTATTAAATAAGTTTAATTACTTTTAACTCTTTTTATCTTTAGTATTCTTAACTTTATATCTTAAAGGCTAGGCTAACTTTATATAGCTATATTAAAGACTAATTACTTATTAATAATACCTTACTTTTATTATAAAATAGTATAATAAATAATTTATAAAATACTTATAATTTTAATATATAAGGTTTAATATATATATAAGATTATTAATTAATACTTATAATGCTTTTTATATTAAAAGACTAGGCTAGGCTATATAGTATATACTTATTATAAATAATATTTATAAAGCATTTAATAATAATACTTTAAAAGCCTAAATGCTTTTAAACTTTATTATTTAATATTTAAAAAGTCTTTATAAAACCTATCCTTATTAAAGCAGTAAGCAGTATAAGCTAAAGGCTATAGTATATACTCTTAGCTGCCTTAAGACTTTTTTTATATTTTTTATTATTAATAATTATTAAAAAAGCTTATATAAGTATCTCTTTTATTTTAATACTTAATAGGCTGCTTTAAATTATAATAGGCTAAGGATTTTAATATAGAATTTTAAAAATAACCTATATATTACTATATATTATTTTAATTACTGCTTTAAGATATTTTTTTAAATAGTTATTCTTTTTAAGCTATAGATCTTAAAGTATTAGTATTATTATAAATAGCAGGCTAAAAGAAGTATATATATTTATAGCCTTTATTAAGCTAATAGAAGTCCTTTTATTAACCTTTTCTTTATATTAAATTACTAGGCCTTTATAAATTATTAAGGCCTATTTATAAATATATTAAATTTATAGCCTAAGTATAATAATTTTTAAAAAAAGGGTAATCCTCTTACTTAATACTAGTAAAAGCCTACCTTTTAATTACTATTTAATATTATTAACCTTATCTAAGTATATAAATGCTTAAAGGCTTATTATCTTTACTAATACTATCTCCTTAATAAAAGGCTTATAAATAGTAAGGTTTATTATTTCTATTTTTTATAAAAATTATATTAAAGGCCTATCCTTTTTTAAAACTTTAACCTAGCTTACCTTACTTTTAATAAAGTATATAATAATACTTAGCTAAATAATTATAATTAGCTTTTTATACTAGCTTAGCTTATTAATTATAATATCTCCTTTATAATAAGCGCTTATATTATTCTCTTATATATTACTAAATATATTAATAAAGTAAAGATATATAGTATATTATATAAAAATATAGCTAAGTTTATTTTTTTAATAGTTAAGAGTAACTAGCTATTAATAAGCTTTATAATAAAGTTTATAAATAAGCTTATTATAAAAAGAGATTAATTAAGCTAAAAGGTTTATTATCTTTTATTAAACTTACTATTATAAAAAAGCATATATATTACTTTAACTATAGATTATTAGCTAATTAAGGCATAGCTTTATATTAAGGTTATTAAAAAGAGCAGTATTTAACTAGTCTAGTTAATATATAAAAAGTATTTTAATTAGCTAGGTAAGTTTAAGAATATAAGCTATTTTATATAGCTTATAATAATAAACTAAAGTAAAGTAAGGCTATTCTTTATAAAAGTAAAGGCCTAGGTGCTTAATTACTTCTTTTAGTATTATCTTAATAAAAAGGTAAATAAGTATAAATAGTATTATTATATATATCTAATACTTAACTATAGCTATTATAATCTAGCTAGTCTTTTATTTATAAAAGGTATATAATTTAATAACTTTTAAAAGGCATTTTAATATTATATTAAGCTATATTTTAATACCTATTTTAATAATTACTATTTTAAGCTTCTTTTACTATTACTAAAGGAATTTAAAAAAGAGAAGTAAGATAATAAAGCTATAGCTAATATAAAATAGCAGTAGCTTATATAATAATTACTTAATCCTAAGCTTAAGGTTAAGGATATTAAAATACTTAAAAACTGCTTTATTAATATTTTATATAATTAGCGCTTTTATATTAAGTAATACTTTAACCTTTTAGCTTTTAGTTATTAATACTAAAAGTAGCTATATAATAATAAAGTTATTATTATAAAAGATATTATAATAAATATAAAGATATAGCGCCTAAACCTTAAGCAGCGCCTAGTTTTTAATTTATTTATTAACTATTTTTAAAACTAACTTAATCTTTTAAAGCTAATACCTCTGCCTTTTTATATTTAAATTAATAGCCTTAGTAGTATTAGTAAGTCCTTTTTTATTAAGGCGATTTTTATAAAGCTATAGTAAATAGTGCCTTTTAACTAGTAGATTATAGCTAGGGCTATACTTATTAATATAATAGTAAATACTATTAATAGTATTATATTATACTTATTATTATACTTACTAGTTTTTAAGATACTTAATAAGCTGCTTTTTTTATTTATTATTAATACTACTAACCTTTATAGTAAATTATATTATATTTAGTATTTAATTATTAATAAAAAGTTAATAATTAGTTTATAAACTATAGTATATATTAATTATTAACTTTAAAAGCTTTTTTTAATATATTAAGATAAGTATTTTAGTAAATATAGTATATTTCTTTTAGGTAATTTTTATTAGCTTCCCTTTATTATAAAAAGACCTTTTTATATTATAAAAGTCTAAAGTAAGATTAACTTAGCTAAAAGAAATATATATAGATTAATTAATATTATAATTAAGCTTAAGTAAGTTATATATTAAGCTAGTAATAATTAAGCCTTTTTTAAGCTTATGCTTTAAAGGCTTTATAAGAATGCCCTTATAGTTAAAGATTAGCGCTTACTATATACTAAAACCTAATATTTATTACTTTTAGCTAAAGTTAAAGAGTTTAATTTAGCTATATAAATATATCTTATAAATACCTAAGTCTAGGAATATAATTTAAAATATATAAAGAAGTTAAATAGCTTATATATTTATATTATAGCTTTTAATACTAGGCCTAAAGCAGTAAAAGCTAACTCTCTTTTTACTAGAAATCTTAATTAATGCCTTTATTTATATATTAGTATATATATTATATTAACTAAGAATATCTAGATATTTATAAGCTTAGTAAATAGTATAATAAGTTATATTTATAATATCTTATAATAAGATAATATTAATAATCCTTATATTAAATATTTAATAATTATTCTAGTTAAATTAAATTATTATAAAGGCCTTTTTTACTTTTTTAAGCTTTATTATTATAAGATTATTCTTATCTTCTAGTTTATATAAGATTTTATTAAGGGAAGTGTGCTATATACTTATACCTAGTTTTTATTAACTATAGCTTATACTATTATAGTTTATAAGTCTTAAGGATATATTATAAAGCAGGCTATTATTAATATCTTTTAGTAGGATTTTTTTATAAGACTTAGCTATATAATAGTTTTAAGAGTTAAGACTTTATAAAGTATCTTATTTAATATCTTTTTTAATCTCCTTACTATATATAGTAAAAGTAATTTAGTTAAAGATCCTTACTATTTTAATTATTAGCGCTAGATTTTTAAAATAATACTAATATTAGCTTTTATTTCCTTTACTTAGTTTTTTATATTATTTTATTATTTTATAATCTTACTGCTATAGCTTTTTTATATAGATTTAGTATTAAAATAGTATTAGTTTTCTCTTTAATAATAATATATGCTTTTTTATATATGCCTTTTTATATATGCCTTTTTATATATGCCTTTTTATATATACTTTTTTATATATACCTTTTTATATATATTTTTTTATATATGCCTTTTTATATATGCCTTTTTATATATACCTTTTTATATATATATATATATAATAACTTCTTAGATTTTATTATCTCTCTTTTTATATTTTATATAAAATAAATAATAGCTAAAAATAATTATATTAGCTAAAAGTAATTATAATAAAAGCTAAAAGTAATAATAATAATAATAACTCCTTTTTCTCTTTAATACTAGCGCCTATTTATAAAAGAGCTATTTACTTATAGTCTTTTAAGCTTTATAAGCCTTTTTATAGTTAGTGTTATTATTATTATTATTATTAGATTATAATACTAGATTATTTAAGTTAAGTATATAAATTATTAAATATAAGGCTATATAGTATTACTTTATTATTTACTTTATAATTAGCATAAAGTATAGTAAGTAGTTATAAGTTAAAGAGATACCTTTTTATTATTTTTTATAATAGTATAATTAAGACTTTAAATAAAGGGCATAAGCTTTAAGTAATTATTAAATACTATTAGTAAAAAAGTATTAACTTAAAAGAGAAAATATACTAAGGATAGTATATATAGCTACTGCCTTTATAAACCTTATAGTTATTATAAGCTAGGTTATTTATATTTATATACTAATTAAGAGTTATTACCTTCTTACTAGCTAGCAAGCTCTTAATATAAGGCTTATATAGCAGATCTTAAAGAGCTGCTGCTATTACTGCTACTATTACTACTACTACTACTATTATTATTCTAGTTATTATCTTTTTTATCTTTTACTAAAAGTAAGTTAGCTATAGCGCTTATAAATATAAAATAGAGGTTAATTAATAACTTTAAAAAATAAAGGCTAGGTAATAGCCTTGCCTTTACTTTTAGTATTAGCTTTTTTAAAAGGCATAATAAAATAAAAAAGGTTATAATAATAATAATAATAATAATAGTAATAATAATAAAAAAGAAAGAAGAAAAAGGCAGAAAAAGCAGCTTTTTTATCTCTTTTTTTAATATATAAAGGCGCCCTTATTTAATACTATTATAATATGCCTTTATTTAATATAATATATATATTTTATTATTCTATTATTATATATATTATAAAAAAACTTTTAAATAGTAGTATAAATATAAAGCTATATATTAAAAGGCATTAAAACACTAAGCCTTTTATTATTTAATTAAAGCAGTAATATTATAATAACCTTTTTTAAGCCTTATATATATAAGTATTATAACTTATCCTTTATAAGTAATAATATCTCTTCTTTTTATAATATTAGCTAGATATTAATATTATAATTAGTATAATAGTTTAAAAAGGGTAGCAGCCTTTAGCTATTATATTAATTATATATATACCTGCTCTTTATATATAAGATATTTAATAAAATAGCTAAAGTAATAACACTGCCTTATAATAAAGCGCTTAACTTTTATAAAAGCAGTTAAAAAAGAGGCTTTAAGCCTTCTTGCCTATATAAAAGCTAAGTATTATAAAATAAATAACTAGGTCTTTAAATCTAGCTTATAGTATATTAAAGCTAGTATATAAAGAGTTTTTGCCTTTTTACTATTCTAGCTATCTTTTCTTATAATAAAATAACCTTTATAAGTAGCAGATTATACTTACTAGCTAGGCTTAGGCATAGCTATAATAGCACTTAATAAAAGTAATTAAAGGTATAAGGGTATTACCTTTTTTACTATACTTATAAATATAATCTATAGCTTTAAAAGGGCCTTTAGTATTATAAAGCAGCTAGAAGGTTAAGTATTTAAATCTAGCATAATACTTCTTTTTTTATAATACTTTTAAAGCTTTTTAATAATAATAATAATAATAATAATAATAATAATAATAATAATAATTATAAAAAGGGCAGTAAGGCATAATATTAATTTTCTGCTAATAAGGCGCTAAAGCCGCTCTCTCTGCAGCTTTGCTTAGGCCCCTTTAAACGCTTTAGCAGGCATTAGTCTTGTATTTAAGTTAGTGTCTCTCGGAGGAAGCACCAAGTATCGACATACTGCAGGGATATACTAGCTCTAAACAAGCGCTTACCTTCGTGACAGGCGATCCGAGCAAAAAATCTTCACAACTAACTCATACGACGCACTATGTAGATACCGGAGGTGTGCCGTGACGAAGCCTTCGGTCTGATTGGACGTGAGAGTATTCACCGGCAAGAAACAAACCGTGATAAATCGATGGCTCGTCCTTGATGGAAAGATGTCCGAGAGTCCAAAATTCTCCGATGCGGCTCCTTGGGAATGGCTGGAAACCTCAAACAGAAGTAAATGTTCCAACTCATGCTTACAACTTGGCGGCAGGCTTCACTACAGTTGAGGGTGAGCCGCCTCGGCATAGTATTGGCCTGCAGCTCCCCGCACATCTCCTCATGCCCTTCAACCACTCAGAGTGTGAGGGGAATTCGATGGCAATTGTGACCTGAAGGATCTAGCTGTGCTCTGAGGCAGTGCTCTGAAGCAGACAGATCACAGTTCACACAACATGCAGTGGAAAGACATTCATACTACACATCCTCGTTGACGATCTTGACTCAAGAGTCCACATGCCTGTCTATTCGCTTGATGATGAGCGCTCACGCTGGTGGTCGCCATGGCGGAAACAGTCTCCAAGCGGCCCCAATGAACCTCCGCCAAAGAAACTCCCAACATACCGCATACGCGGCGTGCCAAATGGCTGGGACAAAGACAGGCTTGAGTCTTTTCTCGCTGGGAGAGTCTCTGCATCGCGACCGTCCGTACGATCTCTAGCCGTCGAGTTCCATGGACGGTCGCAGACAGCTACAGTTCAGTTCAACAGCACCAGCCGCCTGTCACTGAAGATACCCCTGCCTGTTTCTGGCAGCGAGTCTCACAGCCTGACGCTTGATCATGGCTTTTTGAGCATCACGAGCCTCTTTAACCCCTCCCCACAGGATCACAAAGTTGAGTAAGTGCATGCAGTCGGTTTCCTTTCCAATGTTCCAGCACTGATTACAGCCCCGAAGCATCATCGCCATATCTGGCCTCAGCGGACACGCATTTGGATCGTTTAAGGAGCGAAATGGAGAATACATGTGGCTGAGAGACTCCCTTCCATATGCCATCAGTGATGAGAATGGTAGGAATACCGCACGCGTCATGATATATGGCTATGAGTCAAGTCTTCCGAACAGCGACAGCTTTCAGAACCTTGAGGATCTTGGCTCTGCGCTGCACTTCACACTTCGAACGCTGGCACTCGATGGCACGTTCAAACCCGTTGTATTCATCGCTCATAGCTTGGGTGGATTGGTGGTTAAACAGGTTCGTGCGCTTATCCTACATATGTACTGTCTGGCCATATACGACACTTTCATCTCACATCATTCCAGCTTCTCATATCTCTTAGCAATTCGAGCGATGAGCTGGACAAAAAGTTACGTCGCGCAGTCTACGGAATCGCCTTCTTTGGTGTCCCGCATGACGGCATGGACATTCGTTCGCTTATTCCCATGGCCGGGGACAGGCCAAATCGATTCCTACTGGAGTCCATTGGATCCCATAGCTCGCAGGTCCTCAGCACTCAGCAACGTGAGTTCACGCAAGCTTTAGGCGGCCAGGGAGATTCCGAAATCATTTCATTCTACGAAACGCTGATGTCACCAACCGCGGTCAAGGTGTGTATCCATCGTCTAGTTGGCAAACTGTGCTAATGCCCTGTAACAGGATAAGGAGGGCAGATGGAGTATGACAGGAGAGCCAGCTGTTCTAGTATCAAAAGCATCAGCCACTCATTGCCGGCCCTGGGAGAACGGGCCCGAGCACACCTGCGCCATCCATCGGACACACTCTGAAATGGTCAAGTTTGCGGACGAAGACCCTGAGTACGACAAGGTCCTCGGCCGCATCGATAGCCTCGTCCGACGCGCAATCCTTATGCGGAGAGGTATGGAAAGCGAAGACTCGAATTGACCGCGCTTTTGATACTAAAGAGTCCACAGGTCCTATACAGCCGAATCTATCGCGGACGGAACGGGACTGCCTGAGATCACTCGCCTTCGAGCAAATGCAGAGCCGCGGCAACGACATTGATCGTGCCGTCAAAGGAACCTGCGAGTGGCTATTGAAGCACCAGAAGTGTATGAGCTGGGCCACATCTCATCGAGGTCTTCTCTGGATCAAGGGTAAGCCGGGCGCGGGCAAGTCCACGCTCCTCAAATATGCCTTGAGCAAGCAACCGAATATGCCCAGCGCCAGAGACAGTGATCTCGTACTGTCCTTCTTCTTTCATGGCCGTGGTAACGCCCTTCAAAGAACACCGCTAGGTTTATTTCGATCTCTTCTTCATCAGACGCTCAAACAGATTCCTGTAGCACTGTCAGACCTTGTCGATAGCTATCAGGAGAAGTGCAGGGAGATTGGTGCTCCGCCAGAAGCGTGGCAGTGGCATCCGGAAGAACTGTGGCATTTCCTCGAGGCTTCAATCCCGAAAATTCTCGAGCCGCGTCCGATCTGGTTGTTTGTCGACGCGCTGGACGAGTGTGGCGAAGCGGATGCGGTGGATCTGGCGATGAAGTTCAAGTCGCTGTTAGACAGCTTTTCATCCAGGACAACTCAGGGCATTCACATATGCTTCAGTTGTCGCCACTATCCGATACCACCAGATCTAGAGGGCGTACTAGAGATATGCGTCGAGGATGAGAACGGAGATGATGTTTCTACTTACGTGCGGCAAAGGCTTTCAGAGACCTTTGTCCGTGAGGCATCTTCCATTGCGGACTTGGTCACTTCCCGCGCATCAGGCGTCTTCATGTGGGCGCGGCTCGTGCTGGAGCGTGTTCTTCGCCTCGAGCGGCAGCGAGCGAGCTGGGGGACGATCCGGCATGAAATCTACTCCATTCCTCCCGATATGGACAGTCTATACCTCGATCACATCCACAGAATGGAGAACAAGGCAGCTTCCTTGAGACTCATTCAATGGCTCTGCTTTGCCGTGAAGCCGTTGTCACTTATGGAGGTGTATTGGGCCCTGGCCGTCGACGCCGATTGCCCGCACAAGTTCTTGAAAGAGTGCGGAAGCGAAGAAGATTACGGAACCGACGAGGATATGGAAAGGCGGATTATAGCTCTAAGCTGCGGACTGGCTGAGGCTGTGACCTCATCTCATACATCTGTCGTGCAGTTTATCCATCAATCCGTCAAGGACTTTTTCGTCAACAAAGGCCTGCTAGTCTTGGACCGCAGCTCAGCAACAGTCGATGAAGCCATTGGAAAAGCACATTTCTCGCTATCAAGGACATGCATCCGCTATATTTTGATGGAAGAGATCGGCCAGTCGAGAAGTGTCAACAGCGGCGAAATCGAGGCTCAGTTTCCCTTTATATCATACGCCGCTACAGCATGGACGACGCACGCGCATCAGAGCGACAGGCTGGGTGTCTCCCAAGACGACCTCCTCCAACTGTTCCGCTGGCCGTCACCCGAACTTTTGGAAACATGGGGGCGTGTTCTCAATGTGGTAGTCACAAATGTGCTTGACCGTCAACCGACAAAGACCAGTCTTGTGCAGGTTGCAGCGAGATATGGGATCTCAGGAGCACTGTCTGCGATCCTGCAAGACGACAAGCAACTCACCGAGAACGTCAATTTCCAAGATGAAGATGGCCGATCACCGCTATCGTGGGCTGCGGAATACGGTCACGAGCCTATAGTCAAGCTCTTGCTAGCCACAGGAAAGGCCGAGATCGATGCCAGTGATTGCTATTCCCAGACGCCGCTGGCATTTGCCGCAGAGTGGGGGCATGAGGCCATTGCGAAACTGTTACTCGACACAGGAGAAGTGCGAATCAACTCAAAGGACAGTCATCATCACACACCGCTCTCGTGGGCTTCAGAGAACGGGTATCCGGCTGTGGTTAAGCTCCTACTAGACACAGGACAGGCTGACGTTAATGTCGAGGACAAGTATGGACAGACATCTTTATCATTCGCTGCGGAGAACGGGCACGAAGCTATAGTCAAGCTCCTGTTGGCCGCGGATCAGGTCGTGGTTGATGCCAAAGACGTCCTGGGCAAGACACCACTGTGGTTCGCTGCTCTCAAAGGTCATGTCGCTGTTGTGAAACTCTTGCTCGACACTGGGTGGGCTGACGCCGGCATCAAGGACAAAGCAGGACGGACACCACTGGCAATGACCGCAGAAAAAGGGCATGAGGCTGTGGTTCGCCTCTTCCTTGACAAAGGGGCTGACGTTGAGTCAGCAGACGAGGAAGGCCGGACGGCGCTTTCTTTAGCAGCGGAAAGCGGGCACGAGGCCACTGTTAAGCTCCTCCATAGTAGAAGTGCTGCGCTTGATTCCAGGGACAAGCGTAATCGTACGCCTCTATCATGGGCAGCGTCCAAGGGGCGCCAGGCTGTGGTTGCTTTCCTACTGGATGGAGGGGTGGAACTGGATTCCAAGAGCTCCTTTGATCAGACGCCTCTATCGCTGGCTGCGGCAAATGGGCACGCGAACGTCGTTGCCCTCTTGCTTGACAGAGGCGCCGCGGTCGATATAAAGGAGGATGATGGCCGAACGCCACTGTTGCGGGCTGCTCGACGAGGGCACGAGGAGGTGGTCAGATTGTTGCTCGAGAAGAATGCAGATGTTGATGCCACAGATCAGGAGGATGAAACGGCTCTTTCATTGGCCACGAGGTACGGGCATCAAAAGGTGGTTGAGTTTCTGCAAGCACATGCCATAACTTCTCCTGGCTCCCCTCATGAGCCTCCTTCTCATCCTGGCTCTCCTTACAACCTAGGCCCAAGCAGTCTAAGCCCAGGCAGCTTAACCCCAAGCTTACGGAGCCTGTCTTCCTCTTAATATTTACTAAAGAACTCATTCTTGTAATACCAGAAGTGCTATATGCTGCCAGTAACGGGGTCTGTTTGGCTCATTTATTGAGGAGGACTGCTTTAGCTCATACAAGGGGGTCATTCCAGGCAGTACCATGATGAGCGGGCCGGTTATGTTCTCTTAATATATAAGGGGATTATGCTTTATACCACAATTTATTGCGATAACTGAAACACGTGCCGCATGATAGACACGGCTTTGTAGCCCGACGGTGTGCCATCCTGTTAAGTCCTGTCGAAGGCTGGGCAAGATACCCAAACCTTTGCCCCGTCAATGCGGCGCTTGTCTGCGAAGAAGTGCGCGGTCCCTTGGAAACACGCTCATCGTGTACCAGAAACGGGCGCGAGCAAATCTTCTGTTGCTGCTCACGTAGTGGCTGAAGACTGGTATTGGAGTAACCATACCACTTGATATATAATCAGCGGTGCAACCGAATGTTTGGGGATAACAAAAGCTTGATATGGTGTAAGCACCATGTGGGATGATCCGAATTATATAATGACTTGACCTCTAACCCGCCTAGATATACTAGGACGCCGAAATATCCTAGATTATTGGGAAAATACGGACATTAAACTCTTATACAGTGAGGCTAGTTAATGTCTATACCTAGGTATGCAGATAGTGATTCCACGTCATGGGTAATAAGCACCGCATCAGCACTAGACTCGATGATTCCAAAGTGTTAAAGAGACGAATGCAATTAAATGCCATTGATGCCGCCCGCCATTGCGATGCGGTTGTCACAGGAAACCCTCCTCACGTCCAGACTTTCGATCCACGTTAATCGCACTTGACTCACAATGTGGTCTCATCAATCCTCCATCTCGATCACCACCTCGCCACACGAGGACCCAGAAACCATGCGCAAAGTGATGGACACGCATATCGAAAGAGTCTTTGGAGAATTCGACGAAGCCACCCGCGGCAAGACAATGGAGCCTCTCTATCACGAAGACGTCACTTGGTTCCAGCCCGCCGAGTACTCGGGAGAACACGCCATTGTTCGAGGCAGAGACAACGTCAACGCGACGATTCAAAAAGAACAGACTCAATTCCCTGGCTTCTTCATAACACACGACAAAGAAGGGTACATTGCCGTCGCGCAGAATCTGGGTATCGTGCACTGGCAGCTGGGGCCGCGGGAGCAGCCGGACATGATCAAAGCATGTCACTATATCTTGTTTGAGGATGGAAAGATCAAGGCGTTTTGGACTGCGCATTTGAAGATGCCTGAAGGGCCGCCGTCTTGATTGCCGACGAGTGAGCCCTGTAAGGTAATATTCTTCCTTATGAGTCCCAAGCGCCTCTGCTTACCACGGAAGAATGGGATAGATCCATCACACAATTGCTTCAGAAAAGCGAATGACAACGACCGGTTTACTCCTGTGATTTCTATTCCAAGTCGCGCTTGACCATATAGCTAGCTATACGTAGCAGCTGTATTGCCGGTGTTCGTGAGGGTAGGTAGGCACAATGCATGGGTTCTGGAACGCAATGGGAAGAAAGCACGCTTGAATGAGAACAAAGAGTATAAACAGTTTCAGACAGTGGGAAGTTTGTGCTATTGGCATCAGCATTCAGGGAGCAAAGGCGCGAAGCAAGTCCATGGTAGGAGAACCATCACAAACGACGCTTCCTCTCAACAGTATATGTACGAGCAGCACCGCACCTCAAGATAACTCCTAGTATTACATCTCACGGCAACAATCCAGTGCCTTCCCTACCCTCCGTTGTTGACCCATGTGTGTGCACATACGTTCACTCTCAGCGGCCAAATTCTCACACCATGGCACTGCGTATCATCACAGACCCGGAAACAATCTCGAAACTCTTGACCTTCTTCTACGGGGTGCTTCAACTATCCTAGATCGCCTACTCCATCTTCGGAGGCCAGCGCAAATCGAAGCCACAGTCGACCGGACCCTTCATCAAGGCCTGGAAAGGTCAAATGTTCCGCGGGCATAGCGTATGAGCCCGACAATGGCCGCCGATTTGTACTCGGCATATCATTGGGCTTCGCCGCGTGGAAATGCAAGTTCGACTTGACGAAGTGGAAGTCAAAGCCCAAATACAAGCTCTCCTTGTAGCGACTCAAGTATTTGGGATCAAACAAAGATTATGATTCAAGCGGAGTGCAAAGGGAAAGCCTCCTATTGGGCTCCGGCGGCCTTTGATGGAAGCGGGAGACACGCGCTCGATGGGCAAGTACTGGATTCCGCAAGCCTCTGGTCGATGAGCAAGCAGACAGTTGGAGGTGGACCACTTTCAATGTTTACAAATTGACATAGTAGCGAGGAGCGCAGGTGGAAAATCGACCTATTCGTGAGCGTTAATGCAGGGCACATAATCAATAGCTCGGAACACCAATACCTCGTCTCCAAACGCATGTACTGACTTTATTGTTCAAGGATGTGTCTGTCCGGAAGTCCTTGCTGACTGCACTGCCGTAGGCCCCTCTAGAGGCCGTGATTTAACAGGCTTTCCTCTGGCGGTCCTGACTTCAGGGTTTCTTCGAAGAAAGCCATCAATCCATCGTTTCCCAAGCGGTTGACTGTCGTCGCCAGCCTTGAGGACCCTTGTAGCGAAGTCTTTGATCTGGTCGTATGTAGGGGGAAGCCCGAGGTTAACCTGGGCCAGTACCCATTGGGCGAGATGGAACTCCTGCTCCTTCGAAAGTCGTTGAAGGTTTTCGTATGCTTCGGATCTTGGCTGGCTGCCCTTCAATCGCTTCTGGAGAGTCGTACGGGGAACGCCCCAGCGCTGTGCCGCCTTTCGCTGAGACGTGCCGTTGCTGATGTCGTTTAATGCCGAAGTAATGGCATCTTCATCAGGCTGAGTCATTGCCTAGCAAAGATTCCAATTAGGTCAGATATCTCCCAGCATTCGGATGAGGAATGACAATTGCAGTCATGTGCGTTGTTGCCGTTCGCTTTGGTGTGTTGAGGGGAAATGGCGGTGGCCACCTAGTCCATGTGCATAGCCTGGCTTCATGTTATTTACCAGCCACAGAGGCTTTCTGGGAAGTGGACCTACATAGAGTGTTTGACAAGAGCCCAGTGTCCCATAGTTAGAAGATGTCTTTCTGTTGGAGCAAACAGATGAAGCCATTGTTGCACCTGAAGCACCCGTATAAGGAGCTAGAGATTTTTCCATGCTATTCACCTCTTTGCTTCTGCTTTCTTTGGATCACGAACCATGTCGATTGAGTCACGAATTGGGCTTTCGGTCTACATGACCGTGTCGATGCCTCTCGTGGCTGAGGCGCAGCATACCCGGTAAAGGGCCACAATTTATGATGAACAAAAATCAGCAGTACCAAATACATGCTACAGAGGTAGAATGGACTGCACGGCGATTATGGCAGCTCTAGTATAGCATCATCCTGATTAATGTCACCGACGGCGTTAATACCCAGAGTTACGAACTGGGGTGATTTGAAAACGGCATGAAGCCTTTCTGTAGCCTCATGATGTCTGCATACTGAATAAGTCACTTGTTGCCCTGTGGAGGATCTGTGTGCAAAATCGTTACGGCTACGCCCTGGTTCCCATGGACAGACAGCCTTGGCTTACATGCACGGTTGCGCTCCGCCTCTTGTCTATTAAATATAAACAAAAAGCGTCAGGCTACCATCTAGGAAGCGGGTGGTCATAGCAGTAAGACAGATGGATGGGTCATTATATGGACATGTCGCTGACTGGTATCCATCTATATACCGAAAATTTGTGGCTCATTAGTGGCCATGGATTCTATTTTCGTGAATACTATTGCTTCTTTCTGGAGTACCCACGCATCGATCCACGCACACGAGATCCACGGGATTGATGGGTTTAAAGATGCACGCAGAGGCAGGGGTTTGGGGGGGGTTAAAAACCAGGGCGGATTCACCAGGAAATCGGGCGATTCCAGATGCGCCGGCCCCGAGGATCGTCCATACTCCTCCGTCGATGCGTCTGCTTTCGCTCCTCTGGCCGTCATGGGCTGAGCTGAGACGACTTGAGCGGAGCATGAGGCAGCGCCTGCGGCAACGAGGCTGGACGACAAGACAGGAAAAGCAGAGCATCGAAGCGGTCAGGATCGGATCACGGCATCAGGAGGAGCTGAACGGCTTTAGCGCCGCGAGCAGGGGAGCATGTGCGTGTCTGGGATGGAATGCGGTTGTCGATGAAGCGATGACTCGTGACTCGAGCACAGAGAGATGAAAATCTGGAGTCGGCATCATAGACTAGATGTTGATGTCGAGCATCCATGTCTTGAATTGAATCTCACGATAGGCCGACTTTAGTGCCGTCCATCTCCACGGCAGGTTCGCGTTTCCCTGTTTCAAGCGTCTGCTAGCCGCTGAAGCAATTGTCGTTCGCAGCTCGTCGTTGCATGGCCTGGTCGCGTGCCGCCAGAGTCCAATCGACCAAATCACTTCTGCCCACGATGTATTACCGAGGATGGATCGCTAGAGACGGCGTTTGCAGACCAGCCCTGAAGACTTTCTGCCCACCAACGCCTTCCTTTACCACAGCATACACGGCTGAAGCGTTTGCATTGACGCATTAAAGCATTGAGGGGGAGGATCCATAGCGGCGTCCATCGTCTGCAATCTCAGCGGCTTGCCTCCTTTTCTCCACCCAATCTTGCCAGGGAAATGCGTCGTGCCGGGGTTCTCGCCTCATCGTCAGCCTTTTGGAGCGCCCTGCGCCTCCATGGCTATGGGTTCAACGGTGCTGAGTATGTATTCGGTGTCAAGACAGCAAACATGCAAGTGATTTCGCTGGGCGGCTGAGCCAGATTGCGTTTTATTAATAGAGCAAATGAAGCAAACTCCACCTGCGAGAGGGGAAACGTGGAACTGTCTCTCTTCTGTGTATAATCCTTTCTAGCTGTAACGGTAACACAGTGTTGCTGAAAGGCCATCTGTATGTGCACCTTTCTGTGGATGCATGTTGGCTGGCGTGAGTTTTGGGTGGCTCAAAGTTTCCCAGAATAACCCTTGGGGCTGACCTGACTAGCAAAGCAAGATCCAAAGGATCATCCTCTGTTTACCTGTATAACATGAGAACCTACTACTACCTCATATATATAAGATAGCCTACAGTAGCTATCAGTCTCCTCACAGAGCATCCAACTTCTCCATTGCATCAAAAGAGAGCTCAACACTGTATTACCGATTCATAAAAAAAGAAACCCGCCACTCTAGACGGACTGAGACCCCTCGCTAGACCGCGGACCCTTTTTCCTTCCCCTGCCGGGCTGCGTGAAGCTATTTCAACTCATTCGCTCCTTTCCAATCATTCAAATCTCCAGCCGCCTGGGGTCAGGCGTCTCTGGCGCCGGGCCGCTCAAGCAGAAACCGGGCAGATCAAACATAAAACACACTCGTGCGGCCCTCGTTCCCCCTTTTCTGACCGCAAAAGCACGAAGGGGCTCTGCGACGACACACACACACTCAAGGAATTAAAGAAACCGGCGACGATTTTCATACGGTGATCCTCATACCTAATCTCACACCACCAAAGCACACACACACGGCTTATAGACGAGCATAAGACGGAGATTTCCTCCGGAGAAGTGCACCATGGCTGACCACCTGGACCCCGGAGCAGCTCCCGGTACCGCTGACCAGCCGTCGCCGGGGCGCCGCCGGTCGAGGAACCCCCTGAGGAACATGATCCAGCACCTGACGGTTGAGTCGCCGTCGGGCACCAGCGACGGCTCGGGCTCGCGGCGCTCGTCGCTGATCCGCCGCCTCAGCGGGCAGAAGAGCCGCAGCCCGTCGGCGCACTCAGACGCCGCCTCGAGCTCGCGGCCCAACTCGTCGCAGGGCGTCAACCGCGACCCGGCGCTGTGCGACTCGTGCGCGCGGCTGGCGGCGGAGATGGAGGAGACGCTGGACGAGGTGGACGCGACGTTTGCGCGGCCGGCCGACGGCGGAGCGGCGGGCGACTTCGAGACGCGCGAGCACTTTGTGTCGCGGCTGCGCTTCCTCGAGGAGAATCGCTGGGCGGCGACGTGTCCGCTGTGCAAGCTCTTCTGGGACCTGCACGTCCCCGGCAAGGAGCCCGGCGAGTACCACCTGGTGGCGCTGTCGACGCGCGACACGAGCTACTTCATCGACTCGGCCAAGATGCACAGCCAGGACCACCCGGCCAAGGGGCGCGCAAAGGGCCTCAGCCCGGCCTTCTTCTCCGTCATCTCCAAGGCCAAGGCCGGCGGCTCGGACCCGGATGTGGACCCCGAGTGGTTCCGGGAGGCCGGCATGCTGCTCCGGACGCGGCCCGAGATGCTGGTGGACGCGGCCAGGGGGAGGACCGGCCCCGAGGCGAGGCTGGCGGTGTCGACTCCAGGAGCGTCTCCGCTGCCGTCGCCGTCATTATGCTTGCCGGACGACGCATCGTGGACGCAGAGGGGGATCTGGGGACGGGATATCGACAAGGTCGCCGATATGAACATCGTGCGGGAATGGATTCACTTTTGCGACAACCACCACCAGGGACGATGCTCAAGGAGGCCGGTCAGGGCCGAGATGCCAGGATTCCGGCTCATCGACTGCGCCCAGTCGCCTCCGCGGGTGGTCGAAAGATCGCTGCGCGACGACTACGTGGCGCTGAGTTACGTCTGGGGAGACGCAAAGGTCGAGGAGGGCAGCTGGCCGCAAGTCGTTCGCGATGCCGCCTCTGTCGTGACGCAGCTGGGCTTCCGCTACCTATGGGTCGACCGCTACTGCACGGACGACAACAGGCCGGAGCACAAGATGGCGCATATCCAGCGCATGGACGAGATATACGAGGGCGCTGCCTTCACCATCATTGCCGCTGCTGGCGAGAATGCCATGCACGGATTGCCTGGAGTTGGGGCGACATCTCGACCTGCTCAGCCGAAATACAAGTTCACCACGTCCAACATCACCCTGGTCTCGAGTCTGCAGGATCCGCGCCTGCTTATAGAGCGCTCGACGTGGTTCACTAGAGGATGGACCTACCAAGAGGGGCTCCTCTCGCGACGGCGCCTCGTCTTCACAGAGCAGCAGATGTACTGGGAGTGCGAGGGAATGGCCTGTCCCGAAGCACTGGACCTGCCGTTCGAATTCTACCACGACGCCGAAGAGAAGCGCCTGTGCGATTTTGTACGTCCGGGAATGTTCAACGGAGTGTCATACATGGACGGCAGCTGGGAGCAGTGGAAGAAGCTGCCCCAGAAGCTGGGTGAGGCGAGCACGCTGAGTATATTCCGAGAAGTCGACCAGCACATCACGAAATACACGGGCAGGAATCTCAGCCGAGACGAGGATTCTTTGGATGCAAGTCTCGGATTATGGCGAGAGTTGGAGAGCACGGTTGGAAGGGGGAAGCTCAGCGATCTGGTGGGAATCCCGATGTGGGCTCCCCTGGCTGCTCAATCGACCGAGAACAAGGAGGGCCCTGTTTTACCGAGGACGAGACACTTGTTCGCCTTATCGACTTGCTTCTGGCATCACAAAGTTGGTACGCAAGCTCGAAGGAGGAATCACTTGCCGAGTTGGTCTTGGGCAGGCTGGTCCGGCCCTGTAGAGCTCTTCTCCTCCATCACCATCGCCGCCGATCCAGAGGCCAGAACAAAAAGCCGCAAGATCCTCAACCACCACTACGTGACAGCCACCCAGCTGACGAGAAACGAGCAATCTTCGGTACAGTGGACATACTCGCCTGAGATGGCAGTACTGGCCCCCGACGGCACCGCGGTGTACGACTTTGGAGATAAACTCGTCAGTGCCGGACCTCCACGGTTCCGCCCCGGCAAGTACTCCCTGCATGTCCAAGACCCGCTGGTCCTAGACCGCGTCAAGGCGAAGACGCACTCCGACGGCTGGCTGTTTAGCGGCCTGAGCGTTGATGTACGGATGAGTCGCGGAAGCGGCACCGAAACGGCCTGTCTGGGTGGCGAGGAGGCTATAGGCAGTATTAAGGAGTATATCACAAAGCACGGAAAAGGAGAGCAGATGAGCGTGCTATGGTTTGTTGAGGAGGCCCTGGTGATGCTGCTGGTAATAGAAAAGACGAGCAGAGGGACGTGGGAACGCGTGGGGAGGATGAGGATGGCTTTCCAGGAAGATGCAAAGGATGTGGTGAGGGCTTGTGGTAGACTTGAGGGACTGGTAGCGAAGTTGCCTCTAAGAAGGTTAGGGGAGAATATCGTGATTGAGTAGGGAGGGAGGAGGCGCTCAATGTTTAAATAATACTAATGATTCTGTACTCGACTCCATCATTGTAATACAGAGAGTAAAAACACTCGTCGCGTATCAACAACGAACTGGACATCAGATAACGAACTTCCGTCTATTCTGCCAACTGAGCTATACAACATACCTAAGGTAATAGTATATCTACACCTAGACATCCAGCTTCAAGCTTGGCGGCAAGCTCGAAGCGCTTGTCCCCCAGCTACTCTCATTCTTCCCCAGCGTCAGCTCCAACACGCCTCCATCCGCAAAGAAGTCATGCGTGATCCAGTTCTTGTAATACGGCTTCCCGTTGAGCTTCGCACTCTGGATATAGATATTCTCATACCCGCCGTCGAAATTGACATTCTTCACCGTCGCCGTCTTGCCCGTCAAGCCGTTCTTGATGCTAATCTCGGGGAAGTACGGCGGCAGGATGAGGTAGACGTTCTGCCCGCCCATGGGCCACAGGCCCATCATGGCGAGCGTGCTAAAGGCGCCCATGGCGCCGGAGTCGTCGTTGCCGGGGATGCCGTCGGCGCTGGTGTTGAACTGCGAGGGGATGTAGTGGTGGCTAAAGTACGAGGACAGGCCGGGGCGGCCGGCGTAGTGGAAGAGGAAGACGAGGAGGAAGGCTTGCTCGTCGCCAAAGTAGAGCAGGTTGGGCGTCGTGTGGAGGAACTGGAGGCGCTTGACGAAGGTGTCTGGGCCGCCGAGGGTGGTGACGAGGTCGGCCATGTCGTGGGGGGCGAAGAAGGTGTAGAGCCAGCTGCTGCCCTCGTACGTCTATGGAGGATGTCCGTCAGTAACATGAAGACAAGAGTTAGAGTGTAAAATTCTCACCTCATGGCCAGTAGGCACCAGATAACAGTCGTCAAAGCGGAACATGGGCGTGCACATCATGGCATCCTGGTAGCCAAACGTGCCGTTCAAATACCGCGGCTGAAGGAATCCGTAGAAACCACTGTCAACGTAGCCAGTCGACCCATCCGGGTTGGTGACATAGATGTACGAGTTCTGGTTCGGGTTCCACATGTTCTTCCAGTTCTTGGATCGCTTCAGGTACTTTTCGGCATCGGCCGTCTTGTGCAGAGCCTGGGCCATTTCTGCGATGCAGAAGTCGTTGTAGGCGTACTCGACTGTTCGCGAAATGGATCGCGAGAATGTGCCAACACCGTTGGGGTCAAAGTCGTCGGTGGGAATATATCCAAGCGTCTTCCAGCTGGTCAAGCCACCACGTCCCTCGAGACCCCAGTTCGCCGGCTCGTCTTGTCACAAGTCAGCTTCATGTATTCACAGCTTGCTATCAGTGAGCCGTACCTTCGGCATCCGAGATCAGGGCTTCGTATCCAGTCTGCCAGTCAACATCCTTGTGAAGGCCCTTCAGATACGCGTCCACAAGCACTACATCAGCGTTGCTACCGCCCTGCGTCCATCCTTTACAGAAGGTCATGCGGCAGTCGGGCAGCTTTCCTTCGTGGCGATAGATGTCTATCAGCGCGCGAACCATTTGCGTCTGGCTGTACGGGTCGACAATCGTCAGTAGCGGATGAATGCTGCGGAAAGAATCCCAGATGCAGTAGAAGGAGTCATAGTCTATCATGCTCTGTTAGCTTGTTCATACAGACCGGGAGAAATTGCAAGAACTCACAAGGCTCGCTGCTCTTCCATAGCGGATTCTCTCCCGTGTAGTCCTGCGGCGAGATCATGGAACGGTACAGTCCTGAGTAAAAGGTAGTGAGAATGTCCTTGTCCACGCCCTGGTTATCGACCTTGACCACGCCCAGCTTCTGTCGCCAAGCATCCTCAGCTGTCTCCAAAGTGCCCTGAAAGTCAAACCTGGGAATCTCGGACTGGGCATTGCTGCAAGCCTGGTTGGTGCTGATAAAAGACAAGCCCACTCTGGCCAGGATCTGGTTGTTGCTGGGCTTGTTAAACTGGACAAAAGCTCCTCCAGGAACAGGCGGTCCCGTCACGGTCGCGGTTTCAGTCTTTAGCTGCTTAAAATTGGTGCCGGCTCTGTTGTTCTGGAAGACGCCCGTGTTCTTGATGCTCGCGCCCTGAAAGTCCGCGCAAAAGTACAGGGTGTATGTGCCGACTCCAAACGACGGGTTGAACGTCCCAGAACCGGTGATGCGTCCACTGTGCGGATCAACAGACACGCTTCCTTTGCTCCTGGAATCGGAGAGATCCGTCAAGTCGGCCAAGATGACGGGCTCATATGGGATCGAGTTGTTTCCTGTTGCATCTCCTCCCTTCATAGGCACAGGCTCATCGGGAAAGGTAAAGCGATACAGAGCCGTCTTGTTCGACACCGTCATCTCCGCCTTGATGGAGGTGTTGAGGGTCACGGAGAAGTAGCCGGGACGCGCCTCGATCGAGCTATTAATCGGCAGAGACTGCCGGTCCGTCTTGGTGAAGTAGCAGTTGTCGAGAAGACCTCCTGTGCATCCGCTCTGAGGGAACAGGGGAAAGTTTCCAAGAGAAGCACCCTAACAATGCATCAGCAAAACATGTCCCGTAATTTGATATGAGACGTCACTTACACCACCCGTTCCGCTGTCATGCATATGGGAAAAGCCAGTGACTGAAGCATCGTCGTCAGTCATGCAGCTGCTGAGAATCCGTGTATACTTCACGTACTTGGACCGCCATCAGAAGCGTAACCACCCGCATTATCATTTACAGAGTCAGCCACCGCCTTGGCGAGACCGAATGGAAGAGTTGCGCCAGCAAAGACGTGTCCTGAGTATGCCGTTAGTCCGACTTCCTTCTCCCTCCTTGCCTCAAGCAAACAGGTAATCTTTACCTCCATTAGCAGTCCCTATGAGAGGATCTACATAGTCAAAAACGTCGTACGAGGATGTGGCATGAACAATCGATCCATAGGCGAGTGCCGCAACCAAAGCTCGAGACAGGCTCATCGTGAAGAGCTTGCTTCTTACCAAGCAACAAGCTGAGCTGCTGTAAAGGACCCGAGAGAAGATTGGTCACGACAAGCTCATGATGCCGGTACATACTCGTCTCTCTTTATACTCTTTCTAATGAAGCTTTAAGCCCGACGGTTGTCACATGAACTCCACGATTCTGAAAGACTAGACACTCAAAGGGAATCTGTGACTATGAACTTGCAGTCCGAACTTCTCTCCCCGGACTAAACTCCGCAAAACTGCCGGGCATCGATTTCTAAGAATGGGGATCTCAACGCGGGGAATCCCTGACACGGCACGAGACACAAACAAGCCGAACTCACGATATCCATCTTGCCGGCCTGCAAACGACAGGCATCGACTGCCAGAAGCCACAATGCGGGAAAGGCGGCCACTATGTGAACCCACAGCTGGCTAGTCTTGTCTGCAACGGGCATCTTATGGGAGCTTCGTCCAATCAAGACTTGTCACAATTCCTAAGCTTAGATCGTCCAGATCGGCTGGGGAATTTGCCCGTCGGGCTTATTTGAGCCTTACAAAGAGCACTTTCTAAATAGAGCCTCTACTCGCTCTCCACCTCTTTCGAGCTCTAGGCTGTATCTACATCGGCAAAATCGGCTCCGCAGAAACAGTAGGAATAGGGCTGTACCTTTCGGCAAGCAATGGCTCTTATTATACGAGGAAGAATTCCATGATGCTCTCGCGCTAACCAGTGATGTCGCATTACAAATGGAGGAACCGCCGGCAGTGGTTGGAGGAAATACTTTGAGTCCCCGCCATGTCCAGCACCGGTCTCCTATTATCCCGGTCGTTATACGTACTTGTGCCTATCTTGTCTCGGTAAAGAAGAGAGAATGTTGCCAACGAGAGAGCCGTCGGAAGAAGCAAGTGAGGATATAGGCTCCCAGTTCTTCTGTTACCTGCGTTGCTTAAAAATCAGGACGATGATTTCGCGTCTACTTTCGGGCATAAAATCGGAAGCCATCAGAAGTTGAAGCGGTGTTTGTAAGTCGTTCGTTGGCTTAGATTGAGTCACCACGATGCCGAAGGGCGTCTTCAAGATAGATGAGACATCATATTCCACATGTCCGCTTTTCGATCCCGTAGGGTAAAATAAGCCGATTCGCCTCTGTAACCACTTCCTCGTCTAAAATGTCGTCAACGTACATTCAGCCAGCAAGTGTAATGGAACAGCTTTACAATACTAGCTTAGGAGACGCAATGCACTGGTCATGGACATCTCAGGTATCCTCGACGTTCCTCATGCGAGAGAATTATTTTCACGCACGGCCTAGTGAAGTCCTCACCTCCATCAAGAACTACTAATTCGAAAATATATACAACTCGTTCTTTCACGATACGAAATAAGATGGCCACAACTATGTCGAGATCTTGCAGGTCGTCTCTTGAATAGGTAGCCACCATAGCATAGAACGTGCCTCTTGATGTACTTCATGTAGTATCAGCGAGGATCGGGCGTCATTGATTGGAGGTGCACTCAATGCGAGTATATTATGCTTATTGTAAGACATCCACCAATCTTGCTGATACAAGCATGCAGTCCCCATGGATCTGCAAACTGTGTCGTGATACTGCCCGACTCTCATATTTTGCAGCAAATGGATGCAAGACGAGGTCTCACCGCATGTGGTGGCAGCAATTTGCAGACTATTGCAGTAACTACATCTAGCTACTCCGTAGACGTTGACTCCTAATACGGACAGTCGTACGCGGCAGTTGTAAGCTGCCCATGCTATCCTGGCTATGATTATGTTTTGCTATATCGCAGATTCACAGATACCTCCTTGACACACCTTAGAGATGCAAAGAGAGGTTTGGAGACGCGCGAATGCTGCTAGGCTCATAAGACTGAATAAATTTGGCGCTTTCAATGCCCGCTTGGCTAAGCGGTATAGCGTGTCACTAGTAAAACTACTTGACATGACAAGGTGATCAGTTCGACTCTGATAGTGGGCATCTCTTTTTGCTCTTTACTCTTCCTGTTTCTCTTTTCTCTTTTTGCATCTTGATCGATCGCGTGTTCATTTTTGTTTAAGG